TCCATTGGCACCGTGGCACCGTAGCACATACTCGAGGATGCTAAGCTGTATGCGCTCTCATGCAGCTGGACCATGCAGTAGTGGCACCTTTAGCAGCCGGCTAGTGGATGCACCTGGCAAAAAGGTTACCGGAGCGAGACACGGCTGGGCCAAGTGCAAGGAGAAGCCCTGGAACCAGCGAATGAAGCAGGCGACAACGTATCTCGAAGCACGGCAGCGCGAAGGGTTCATCTGGAGGGCGTGGCGGTTTGCGGAGCATCGGGTAGTCTGATAACCTTTGGCGGAGCTCGGTTCACGGAACCGGCGACCAAAAACCTAGGCCAAATTGGACGGAGAAAATTGTAGAAAAGCCCGGCCGGGCCAGCAAGAACTACAAACAGAACACTCACTGCAGACCGCTTGCCAGGGTAGACATGGAGACGACAAGAAATTCTCGAACAAAGATGGCATCGATTTTAACGTGTGGGCAGCAACGAGGATAGCAAGATCGCGAGTGTGTCTGTTTGTGTGTTGACCGCCAGCAACGTATGTGTATACAAAAGGCAACTCGACGAGGTGATGTCAAGTGTGCCTGTTTACGCAAGAGTTTTTCCAAGTCTGCAGACGATTGTGGTTTTCAGCCTCACCGAGACTACATAGACGTTGCGAACTCTGCGGGCTGGTTCTGCATCAACCGTGCCCAGAGGAGCGTATATCATATCTTATACGGCGCAGGGACCCAAGCAGCTGCGACGGGTATGTACATGCGTCCATGACAGCTTGTCAGTCCAGGTCAGATGGCACTGGGGCGCGACACTGTCCGAGCCCACTTCGGAACGGGCATTGTGGATCATTACGAGTCGGGAAGCGGTGATGGGTATATAATAGCGGCGTATCGTCTCCGTCTCCGTCTCCTCGTATGCAAGCAAACCAGACGCTGAGAGCGAGAATGGGAGAGAGAGAAAGACCTTGACACAAGAGACGGCGCGCGCATGGGGCTCTGCACCACTCCCGGGCCTCATCCCGGCACGCTGAGAGCTGGAAACCGGGATGAGCATTGACCATCGGCTACAGCTTCATCAACGGCCACGGACACGGACTGTTGCTGACAGGCCCACTCACCGTAAGAGCAATCGACGAAGGGTTGGATGGATGCACAGGCGATATTGGCAGTGCAGTACAGCTTCCCAGTGGGGTACCACCACCCCTGTTTATTCTCTTGGCCGCGTCGAAGGGATCATCACCCGCCGAGGTGCTGGCAAAGTCTGTGTCGTTCTTAAACACTCCAGGGAGCCTCAGTCAAGTCCGTTCCCATGTTTGACGTGGAAGGGATGAAAGATGAACCTCGAGATGACGACGAAGCCTCGAGGAACGTTTGCTCGGCAGAGCGAATCGAGTTGTATCGACCCTTGTGAGTTTTTAGGCAACCACCTCTGGTGATCGTTTCGCTCTTTCCAGCCGCACGGACGATATTCAGCGTCAGTCTTCATATTTTCGCGTCGTAACGGCGTCGTTCCGCGACGTTCACAGCCCTCTGTCCCAGACACGGGTGGACATTCGGGAAGTGACTGGACTCTATCCCGGACCGGACTTCGGCTGTCTGCAATGTCATCTCAGATGATCTGCTGGTAAGAAGGCCGCTATTACAGGCACTGTTCCGGCACGCGTCAGCAATATGGCGGCAGCAGGCAGGTAATTAACGGAATCTTTCACACACCACACCCCAGTCAAGTTGTCGGGCCACGTTGAACGCGGCGCTCTCGGTCGATCGAAGACCGGCCAGCATTGCAGGAGAGTTCTGCGCGAGCGGGAGAGCAACACCGCCGTACAGGCATACTGAGAATGCGCGCCGGTACGGAAAGCAATGAGTGACCTCAAGTCAGGACAAGGGAAGTGGGGGGGGGGGGGGGGGGGAAGGAAGGGAAAAAAAAAAAAAAAAGGGTTGAGCTCATGCAGGACCAGGGGTTGGGCCAACCTGAGAAGATGCACGCACCACAGGGCAATGCTTGGACCCCCGGGAGGGTGTCCAGATATTGGCCAAAGGATGCACACCCGACGCAACCCACATCTGGACTGAGTAGTGTACATCCTGGACGAAGCAGAAGAGCAAAGTGGTTAGTCTGAGCAGGCACTTTCTCTGTTCCGGGACGACCGCGCCCGAAGACGATAGCTCAGAGTGGACCATGTCATAATACGGTCAAGATGCGAATAATTTGGGGCCCGAGGGCAGGGTTTCCCGCTGCTGGTCGCTTGATGGATGAGATTTGTGATTAATATTCATTATCCGTCTTCACCAACTCCGAACTCCGGGTGGAGGTGCACTGCACGACACGGCTACCCTTCAATCCACTGGTGCGGCGGCACTGCGGGTCCCAAGCTACTGCTAATGGGCAATCGGACAGGCACCATACCATTCCCACCGACTATATTTCTCGGTTGTCAGGCGCCTCGACTCTACGGCATCCGTCACGATGCCATCCATAAGCGGACAGCTAACACCAGCACCCGTTATCAGACAGTTCGTCCCAAGTCTTCTTCATCGTCCGGGAAGCGAAGAGATGGGGTTGGACAGGCCATCTCATTGTCGACGACAGGACTATCCTTATTACATTGCCTCACATCAAGAAAATGATACGGTCATTTTCGTGTCCCCCCCCGGAATTAGCAAGGCAGGGTCAGAAAAGCACATGCATCTCGTTCCTTGGCCTGGAGAAGTCAATCTCAGGGGATAAGGGAGATGGGATCCAAGTGTCTGGTGCTGGTGGGTTCGGTTCGGTTTGGTTTGGCTTTGGTGAAGGGGGGGGGGGGACTCTCACCTGCTTAGTGACAGAGCCAGACTGACAGGGTCAAGGGTTCCAGCCTCTAGCCCTGGTCCTCTCTCTCTCTCTCTCCATCTTTCTTCTTACTTGCTGTCTCTGCCTCTCTGTACAGGTCTCTCCGGTTCTCTGTGTCTTGGTTCTGCTACCGCGCTCTTCGTTCAGCGGCCCAGTCGGGTAGTGTACCATAAATCTATTCACACGCCTTCCCCCGTCTCTTCCTCTTTCGCCCGCACACGCCGCTGATTGCTTTTTCGATTGTTTCTTTTCCGAATGGCAGGAAGTCGGATCTCACACCACCCCCCCATCCCCCCACCCCTTTCCTAGTCTTCTTGCAATGGCCAACTGAATGATGATGACAGACCTGGCTGGAACATGCCCATTCTCTCACTCCCTCCCCGACAATTCAACCTTCACTGCCATCTTCTAGTCCCAATGCAGCTACAATACCTGGGCTACGTCCACGCCTACGCCCCCCTTTGGTAGAGGCATCTGAACTTCTGCCCACCAATCTTATCTCGCGCCCCTCCCTCCTTGTCCTCACCCTCCTTGTCCTCACCCTCCTCGTCTGTGTGTTTCCCCAAGGTAAGGAGCATTGCCCGCTCCTGATACCAACTTGATCCACGCCAGCGAGAGAGCTGTCTTCGGTCTGGGCTGTCCGTCAATGAAATGTTAACCTTTAATCTCCAGAGACCGGCAGCTACCTTTGAGCAACCCACCCCCTTCTTCTCCAAACACACCGTCCCAGCAGCTTGCTTGTGTTCCGCCTTCGACATCCAACGCCCAGACCCTGTGGTCCCAAACCAAAGGTCGGTCAATACGCCACTGCTGCCCACCTCCCCAGGTACGGGGTAGGCCCCAGAAGCAGAACGCTGAGCACCTCGACTGCAGAGGCTACCTTACTCTACTGCATCTTGGTACTGCCCCCCGGCTGGGCCTCGATGAATGCCAGGCCAGGCGGGGACGGCACAGAGACAAAAAAGGAGAGAGAGAGAGAGAGAGAGAGAGAGAGACATCCTTCCCAGAGAGACACTGACCGGGAGAGAAAAGCACTACTTTGATCACATCTCTCATTCTGCTTCTTTCTCCTCTCCGCCGCTATCATTTGCCTCGTCAGATATTCGAAAAGCTCCCGCTGCTGCCAACACGGCATACCAGAGAATCATAGACCGAGCCAGGGGATTCTGTGCCTTTCGTCTCGTCTCGTAGGGCAGATGGTACATCACTCATCGTCGTCTTTCTCCTCCCCCCCCCCCCCCCCCTCTTCCTTGTCAGACACAACTACCCACCCCCGGTACTTGGAGCTGAGGCGCCCAGGGTCCTCCGGTAACATTTTGGTATCCGTCTGCCCATTTACAAGCCCCCTTCAGCCCTCCCGAGCTAGAGCCTGGCTGGCTTTGGCCTAAGGAGATCTCGGTTTAGCTCCCCCAGTCCAAGTCCCGCACCATCAAGGAGCTACATATATTCGACAGCCGCCTTTCCGCACTGGAGGAACGGATTGTCGCCCTAATGTGATCGACGCACGATAACTCCTTTCGACATCTCGCTCCAGGATAGCTTAAAACCTGCACACAAAGCCTCTTTGCGAATCCGACCACAAGGCCTGTTGTCTATTTACTGCGTATTATCCACTTCATCCATCCATCCGCCCATCCATCCATCCATCCATCCACCCATAACCCATCATTCACCTATCCGTCCATCAAGGCAAGCAACCCATCAACCACCACCTCGGGGCCTGACCATTCTCTGCCTCCCGTCATCCTGACTTGTCTCCCCGTCTCGTCTCTTCTTGTCTACTCCGCTTCCATCCCTTCATTTAAGGGTTGCGGAAGTCCGCCTGGCCTGGTCGAATACCCGGCTGTGTGTTCCCGCGAGTCCCTGGCGAGCGTTGATAAAGTCAGCAGTGGCCAGGAGTTTCCCGGCTACATTCCAGAGCTTCGTGTTGAAGTTCCGACTTTTTTTTCCAGCTCCGACGCAGCTTCCTCGTGATCCGCCCGCTGTCCCTGCCTTCATACTCAAGGGGAAAAAATACCTTGGCACCCATTCGCGCCTCGTCCTCAGGGTTGTTGTCCCGTCAGACTTTGATCCTCCAACGGTCCTCCCTCGGTGCCTGCTGGCCCTGCTTCACGCAAAGCAAGAAAAGGAGAGCAGCGTGACCGGCAGAATCGAGCACCACCTGCTCACTACGACACCCGACCCACAATGGCCATGGAGACTTCTTCAAGCTTTACGGCTCGGAGACAAGCCACCCAGGCTTTGCCGCCTTTCCATCTGCCGTCATCCCAAGATATACCCAGTATGAGTAGACACCTTCATCAATACCCTTTCAATTATCACAACCAGCCTCTTCAATCACCGTCTACGTGGCAAGCTCCGGCAATGATCACGCCGTCGGCTCCGCCATCCTCCTCTTCCGCCGCCTCAAATACCCAACACTCTCCCAATACCGCCAGCTCTGGTCTAACATCGCCTTCAGGGGTACCAGGTGAAGGGTTAAGCCCGCTATCTTCCGGTGTCAACACCGCGAGCTCGCAAAGTTCCTACTACCCGGCGAGCGTTCAAGGGTCATGGCCGACTCCCTCCAATTCGTACCAGCTCAGCTCTGGGAACCCGCAATCCCTCAGCCAACCGCCACAGTACGCACCTCGGGGAAGCACCTATGAGCATCAGTCTCCAATGTCCTATTCTCGCACTTCGCAGTCTCCAGCGACGGGGGGCGAAGGTCTTCCTGCGCCGCCCTACGGACAGCATCAGTCCTTCCAGTCGGGCTACTCTGCAGGAGGAACGGGCTCTGCTCCAGTTAGTTTGCCTTCCCAGGGCCCCCCAACGCCTCAGGCTGGGATCCTCGGATCCCAAGCCTCAGTCTCGACGCAGCCACCCACGCCCGGCGGCGTCCCTTCACACGTTGACACGTATACGCAGTCCCGACCACCAGCGACCCCCGGCTACTACTCGACGTCTTCCGCTCCTCAGCAATCGCCATTCCCCAGCTTTCAGCACACGTCGCCCACAGCCCATTCCCCGACGACTTCAGGCGGTCCCGGAAGGGGTCTTGCTTCTCTTCAACACCCTTCCGCCATGGCCCCCCCTGGTTCCTACCGTTACTCGACATATCACGTACCGTCGATGGGAGGGCCGATCATGTCGAACCTCACATCACCCGGCCATTCAATGTCAATTGTTTCTGGCATGGGCGTCCCCGGCGGCTACGGAGCTCATCACCTTGGGGCCTCAATGTACGGCCATGGCGGACAGCCGAATCCTCAAGCAGAGCGACCTTTCAAGTGCGATCAGTGCCCTCAATCTTTCAACCGAAATCACGACTTGAAGAGACACAAGCGCATCCATCTTGCTGTCAAGCCGTTTCCCTGTAACTTCTGCGACAAAAGCTTTTCCCGCAAGGACGCCCTGAAGGTATGCTCTCCGAATGCTGAGCGACAGCCACTACTACAATCGGCCTTGAGACAGACGACAGCTAACAACTGCCATAGCGACACCGGCTTGTCAAGGGCTGCGGTAACAAGGACGGGGAAAGTCAAAACGACAACGGCCGCCGCTCTCCGCAGGAACACTCTGACGACGGAACACCACCCCTCAGGCGAGAATGAGGCGTCCAGCACGGGGTTTTGATATCATGATAACGTTGCAGTCTCGACTGAATGGCGGGCATTTAACGTTGCCACCGCGGAGTTACTGAACGAACCCATCGCACGTGTGGCTGCAACCTCCAAGCCTGCGACCACCACACTGGGAAGCAGGGACGCATCACGACAGAGCTACGAGAACAGCCACACTTTGTGAGGTAGATGGCCTGTAAAACACAGGCGCGAGGCATGTTGGGCGTTATCAAAAAGTGACCGACTCGAAGCTCTCTAATTTCCCTTTCTTCTCTACGTTTTGATCACGAACCTCGTCATCGTCTTTTATTTTCTCCGCGCGCTTGGCCACACACGACTAGCCAGGAATTGTTACTTTACCGATACCACGGCACACTAATGGGCAAGGGACTATCAGGGTCATAGAGGGCGAGTCATCTGGCACTGTTTTCACTTTTTTGTTTCGCCACGCAAAGTTTCTTATCATCATGATATGCTTTCCCGGGGAACTTGTTTGCGACAAAGGTTACGAGGACTCGTATGGAACAGACGCGCTGGCATTCATGGCGAAAGGGATATAGCGTAGACCTTTGTCCTACGGCTGGCTGGCATGAGGACTGGTTTTATGGTCTTACCGTGTCCAATATTGGGGGGAAAGAGGGGAGTTATTACCACGGTTTGGGATGGATCACGATGGGCATTAGGGTCTCATACGAGAACGGGGATAAAGATCTGGTCACGGATCAGACAGAAATTGGAAGGACACATTGGACAGGTTAGGTTGGAGTTGTGGGACAAATCGATCCCTCAAGGTAGGGTGGAGTTGGGTTCACGGGACTGTTTTGTGAGATACCAAAGATTATTAAGGGTCAAAGGGGCCCCCTGATGTACTATTACGCTGTGCACGCGCTCCGAGATTTACAAATGCAAAGATGATCCAACTCGCTGTTCGCATGTCTGTCGACACACGCCCATGTTGGAAAGGTTCCCTGGCCATCTGACCGTGACGCAACAGCGGGGGATCCGGGGGACGATGAGGGCAGCCCCGAACGGGGAACTGGCTAGCATGTGAAGAAGACAAGAAACATTTCCCGGCCTAGCTCGGCCATCTTTGTCCTCGTTCCCCCCCTTTCTTTCCGGGCTAGACGCCGACGACGAAAGCACCCTCGGGCGGCGCGTTCGAGACTCTACTATGAGGGCGGCAGAGAAACTAGAGAGAGAGAGAGAAAGGCGAAAGTATACGAGACTTGTCGACCCCCTCCCCCCCACCTTTTCCATGCCCAACACAGATGGTCTCAAACTCTCATCCAAGACTCTCGGAGAGGCATTGCGTATCCCCACCCCCTTCCCCTTGACATCGTGAATACGGAAATTTAGTTGAGATGTCCGAGAGTGGTACGGACCCCGGTATCTAGGGCCTTTCAAGCGTATTACAAGGGTGGGGAGAGACTAAGGTGAGATGGCGGCGTGGACGGACGATATCGAGGGCTGAGAAAAGGGGGAACGTGCTCACGCTTGGTTGGGGGAGGGACAGTGAATGGGTGAATGACCTGGAGAAGAGATGGGATGACAGATGGGTACCTAGGCACTGTGCTCAAAACATCGGATGGCATGAGCAAGAGAGTGCGCAACAAACATCATGGAACTTAGGTACCGGTAGGCTCCCCCCTACCCATTTACCATTTTCTTTTTTTTTTTCCGCCTCACAGAAGGCGGGGAGGCCCAAGATGAGGGATGGGTCGGACGGAGAAAAAAAAAAAAAAAAGAAGAAGAAAAGTCCCGACAGTGACCCGTTTCATTGCTCGTGCGGGTGTCCGAACAAGTGACGTCGGCCCTTTTCTTCTGGGGTTTTGCCTTCATCCGGCAGGGTGCGCCCGAATCGAAGCGCAAATCGGAGATGGAGGGTTTGGTCTTTACGCTTTCCGTGTCATGTCAGATGTAGGCGGCCTTCTCGCCCCGGGGCACCAGCAAAGCTTATCGTGACAATATTCCCCGAGCGGTGGGGGGGGGGGGGGGGGGGGGGGGGCAGAGGCAATCTAGTCCGTCGCCGAGAGTCCGAGCTGACCTCGGCGTTCTGGCCAGGGTTTCGGTCGAACTTGGAATAGTGCTCGCGACGTTCACGACGCAGGCGTATGAGAGAATGAGAGAGAGACATGTGAGAAAATGTACTAAAAGACTATTTTACTCCCTTGAATATAGGCTACGTTGGGGGAACTCGGGACGAGTCGGCCTCGCTCGTCGTGCAAGCAAAGATGCAATATCGAACACGGTACCTAGGTCCCGTTCAAAGCCAGGCGGATAACTGCATTCCACCTCGGATTTCGTCCTGTCATTGAATACCCCGAATCCCCGATCCAAGGAACAAAGCTCCGCTGGGCGGGGAGGGGAGTGGGCAGGTGAAAGCAAGTCGGCTGCAGAGGTGAAGCGAGTAAGCTGGCAAAAAGTCGGCCGGAACTTTCTAGCCCCCTTTCCCCCATCTGCCCTCGTGTTCAGCAGCATTGCTAGTGGGCGAGCTATGCCACCTCCATGTGAGCACGCGGGCTTGACGAACCGGTCGCCTAGCTGCAGTCAGGTAACACGCCCGGGAGGGGGCTCTGGAATTAATGGGCAGCTCTGATGAGGCCCTGTATCAACTCTGCCGTATGGGGAATGGCTTCCTCGGCGCATTGGAAAGTATCCCCTCTCCGCGACGAAAGTGCTGGGTGAAGGGCGGCGAGGCCATTCTCCGTGACAATCCACATTGACTTCGTGATCGTGCTTGACGCCATTGCCGGAGGGCCGGCCGAGAAAAGCGAGCATATTCTGACAGGTCCGACGCACAATGTCACATTTCAGTGTCTGGTCTTGGCAAGGTTAATCTGGGCGGCTTGTTTGCTCCCGCTTTCCGTAGGTTCTAGTTTGTGCATCGCGAAAGGGTCGAATGCTCGTCTTCCGAACCTCCTCACCCGAACCTTCCCCCCGTACAGAGGTCACTTGGGCGTGGCGGACGTTTGGGTGGACAACCTTCGTGCGCCGTCTCTTTCGGCCTCTGACTCAACGTGGGATGGAAGACGCCTTGTCAACCGCGGCTAAGGCGAAAAGATCCAGAAGACTGGTCGCAAGACCAGGGCGTTGACAGCCCCTTGGCGACGAAAAAGCCTGCCGCGCCACGCAAATGCTGTCTGTCTGGACACTCGGTAAATAAACCACACCTCGTCATGAACGACGGGCGGCAGGGCAGTCCGCTTTCGAGTATACCAAACGTGGCCGCGTCTCGAGAGGGCGTCTTGACCGATCAACATCCTGCGACATCCTTTTATCTCGCTGCCGCTCATCCTGGTTCGAGTCTAGCAGTTTCCCCTCAAGGTGGAAGAGGCTAAACTTCCGGATGCAGAATAGGGGATCCCCATGACGATCATGCGCCGACCGTTCTGTCAACCTGGGTGTCCTCGCCACGTTTGTGTCTTCTGCGTTCGATCGACCCATGATATCATCCAAGACAAGCTCCTTCAAAAACGAGTCGGCGTACAGGTTGATGGAATTGACCGGCTCCTTTCTAAACCTTGCGACGGCTGCAGCCTGTTTTTCTCCGGTGTATGTCTGTTGTCTTCAACTTGCCAAATCATATGAGAGAGTTCCGATACTTGTAATTCTTCGACAGAGCTTGTATTTAGAGCTTTTCATCTTGGTTATGCCGAACGACCAGTTCCATTGAGCCGAAATTCGCCCCCGAGACCGGGTACCAGCGGTTTTGAATCCTCACAAAGCTGGCGGCAGCTCCATGTCCTGATACTATCCACGCTGCACTGACTTAATTTAACCGCCTGCATCAGGTCCGGCGAAGTATTCGCAGTGGAGGCAGGTATCGCGTCGAGGGTGCCTGTACCAATCACTGCGTGTGATTTTATCGGGAGGCCAGAAGCTGTTGCACTTTTTGATGGCCCCTCGTCGGCTTAGCCGATGTCTCCGACGTGGTACAGTTACTCCGCTTATGGGCGTGTCATACGAATAGCCTCCTTTCGGCGAAGATACCCCTGCTGATGGACTCTAGCCGATTCATGGAAAGAAATGACACTCACTGCAGTACTGCCACCTGTGTTACGTGACACCCAGCACATTGATCCTCCGCTCCCTGTTGTGTGTCAAGTTGGCCCAAGCTGTTGATGTACGCCAATTATACGTCGGACATGCTGTGACATGGGCGAAATTGGTAGCCATGGAACGTGGGGACGAAAATTAACCACCAGCCTTCTCCGCGTGGCTGTTCACGACAGTATAATAAAGAGCATGGAACCGCCATGCTTTGCACATGCAGCCGAGGGAAAGTCCGTAAGGTTCGAGCCAAGTTCCATGCGAACGCCGCGGCGGCTTTGATGAGTCGGCAAACCCCTCTTGGCTCGAGCAGTTCGAGGCTTGTATCAGTCGAGATCACGGAGTGACCCCCGTAGTATATCGACAGTCACCGAGGCTGCGATGGCTCCCATTGAACGTCAAATTAGTGGTTCAAAACATCATTCATTAGGCTAGTGATGAGCAGCCACTCTGCGGAGCAAGGGCGTCCGTTGCAAGTCGTTAAAATAGGCTCGGCAACTTGCGTTGTCCACCCCTCGACCCCGGCTCCGCGGTTTGGGTTGGGTGCAGATAGGGTCCCACCCTTGACTAAAACTGTGGTCTCAACCGTGGATATGCTGCGTGCTGGTGCAGATCGGTCTCCATGTCTGATGGAGACAAATATCCGCGACCAAAGTGAATTGTGACCGAGTAGGAACCATCCGATGTCGACGTGGACGGAGGTGACGAATATGGATAGAGCGGCAGTCATGCATCTCGCGGAAGGCTGCAGAACACCGTGAGACGATGGTTTTTCCAACCCAAAAAGACATCAAACGCTTTTTACCGCAGTCTGGCTGGTGAATCACCAAGGAGAACCGGGAAGGGCTGTCCAGAGGGCAGCAAGTCGCCAGTGGTTGGCGTTGCATAGACTCGGAGCAGTGATCGCCGGGCACCCCTGCAACATGGGGGGGTTCCGCAGTCGTGCGTGGTGACGATGCCGATCGTGTGGAAGTTGCATTCCGATTCCATCGCGGTCCAGGGGAGAGCCCCGCTCTTCCTGTCAGGGGATAACTTGGATGCTTCGTCTCCCTATGATAACCCAGCAGAAAGCGCTCGTTCGTTTTGGCCAGAGTCGCATCTTTGTGCATTACTTGATGTGGAGACCGGACACAACGGATGCCGTATCATCACCCGTCGCGCCGCATCCTGTCGACGCAGTCGTTAGTCCAGAAAGGCGTCGATAAACTGGAAATCGAGCTCGTCGTCGATTCGTTCGGTAAGGCGAAACAGCAAATCACTATCCAAGTGGGTGGTTCTCGAAAGTGTCTTTTCTGGTATTCCAAGTGAGGCTGTCTTCCTTTTCTTTTTTTTAAATAAAAAACTGTCTTCTTCTCGCAGCAAAGATCGGCACGTTTTCTAGGATGTTGTTGTTGCAGGTTATTCCAGTGTAACGCTGCTTGAGCTAATGAGTCGTGGGGGCGCACCCGGTCTGGCGGCTTAAGTTCCATCACACCCTCTCCACGATACGAAGGTTCAAAGTCTGAATACTAAAAGGGTGGCGTTTACCAGCAGGTGCCGATTTGATAGGTTGCAAGGGTTTTGGCTCGTCGTCTGTCGTATCGTACACGTGCCAACATTGACGACGCAACGTTAAGAGCTTGACTGAGAAACCGTGAGATAACTTTGCTGTAGAATACCGACACGGAGGTGGCTTGATACTTATCGTTCCTTCGAAAATGCTTACTCTACACGTACTTTCCATATTATGACGCTGGCGAAAGTTCAACCGCTTGGGCGGTTTAAAAAAAAACCATCTGCCCACAGAAATAGTCAGGAAACCACGTTAGGGACAGGGACACCTAAGAAGCATACTGGCAACTCTAAGTCATTGCATGGTTGGAGAAAGTCGGTGTTAGCATAAGTACACTTTCTAGTCTCAGTGGTCCCATGCAAACATGGCCCCATCTTGATTTCCCCAGTAGTCGTAGGCGTGCAATGCTTTCCTGGATGCTTAGTAGTCGCACGGGATAGATCCGACTGTCCAAGCAAAACGCGACCGTCGGGTGCTTGCAATAAACGTCACTACTGGGTACAACGAGATTGTGGGATTTCAGCCGAACAGCTCTCGAGACCATTGAACTGGTCCTTTGGAAATCGGAAATCGGAAACCGCACGCTGTGCAAGGACTGGGGCACGAGGCAGAAAGTATCAGGCAACAAGGCGTGCCCGGCGGACCAGCCATTATCTATCTTGTGAGGAAGAGATGGCAAAACATGATTGCGATTGGGTGTCTTAGGATAGATAGGGTTGCGGGGTGGATCTCCTTTATGAAGCAGCAGGGCAGAAGAGAATAGGCTGGGCCGATGTCACATCGGACGAGCATTTGAAGGGGCGGATAGACTTTGAGCTTGTCAGCGGTGCATGAGACCTCAAGATGTGCTTGTTTCTTTTGCTGACAAGGTGGCTGCGGTAGACGTTTCGAACGGTAGCAGTAAGGTCGGCTTTCACATCAGTTCCAGGTGTGCCAGGCCAACCAAGCATTACAGGATCCGGCGACAGAATTCCAACAATGGCCACAGTCCCATGCTCGTGGTTATCAGGGGTTCGGGTTTTGATGTCAGACACGGGGTCGATCCGGCCATGAGCCGACCCTTTCCAGATTAAATCCATGTCTGTGTCGTCGCCTCTTGAAGCATCTGTTTAAGATCCTCTGGCTGTAGGGCGGCTGGGAACTGGTATTATTAGTAACATTGTGCCATTGGATTAGGGTGGCAGGTAAGCATTGAGTACAAGGCAATAACGTTCAGTCCAATGTTTGCTCGGTCGAGGGCCGATAATGTCGGAAACGCGGAAAGAAGGTACAGAATAGGAAAACGGCTGAAGTTGGACTGTAACTGTAACAAGGTGAGCAGTTTGTTTTAGAAGAACAAGGACGGACGAGAAGGAAGTTGAGTGTGCGGTAGTCACTCGGGCAAGAAATTGTTAGTGGAAGGGGGTAACGGTACTTCCTGCCCCCCCTGCGCCGGCGAAGCTAGATTAATTGCGGGCCAATGAGAAGCGGATAAAGAGGAAAGACCCACTTAGCATCCGCCCTTGGCGTTGTCGCATACTCCACCAGTGCGCACGTTTCTGAGGGAGCGCCCTTGCCAGGCAGTAGCAGCACAACCGTATCTCCCTATCAGCTTGATGCGTGTTCCACGGCACTCGCCTGCTAACGACGTCTTAGGCCCTGGTCTGGAGCCAGGTACGTACTACACCGAGGGTCATCCAGGCTTCGTCGTCAGGTCGGCACGGACAACAAAAAGTCACCACTGCCCGGCTGAGGCATCTTGGTAGAAGCCGAGTCACTTGCCATTAATGCGGAAAACTTGCTCTCGTTTCGCCGCCCTGTTATCTTCGCAACCCAATTCGTAACGCTCTCCTTGCTCGAAGCGTCTGAAGATCTCACGCAATCCTTCTCGCTGCCAATCTATAACACTGACCTTGCCGCCTTGTCCTCTATATCCTGGCGTTTTTCCATCTGAAGAACTCTCTCCATCTCTCTCACGCTCCCTCCTCCTTACCCTCGATCCGAAGTGATAACGATCCTGACGGCCGGGACTGGAGCCTGGTTTGTTCATTGATTTTTGCACCGGCACTCTCTTAATTTACGAATACCCTCCCCCATTCTCTTCCCTTACTGCTGCGCCGCCAGCGTCGACCGCTTCCCACACGACACCGCCGCGATGGACAGCTTTCTGATGGCCAGACATGGGGACGAGGACCACGGCGCGGCGACCGCCGCCGACGCTATGCCGGGAATGGATATGGGATCCGGCTCGATGAACAACAGCAGCAGCAGCGGCGGCGGCGGCAGCATGACGATGATGATGATGAGCATCTTCCAGAACAGCATCAAGACTCCTCTGTACACCGAGACGTGGACCCCGAACAGTGTCGGCACCTACGCCGCAACCTGCATCTTCCTCATCTTTCTCGCCTTCTGCATGCGCGGCATGCTGGCTCTCAAGTCCATCCAGGAGAAGCGATGGCTCGACAAGGACTTCAAGCGTCGCTACATCAGCGTCAACGGAAAGATGGGTATGGCCGGTCAAATTTCATCGGAGAGCATGGCGAAACAGATGGTGCTCTCGGAGAATGGCGTCGAGGAGAACGTCACTGTCGTCCAGAAGCAGCACGGGATATGGAGGCCGTGGAGATTTTCGGTCGATCCCATCCGCGCCCTGATTGACACCGCTATTGCTGGGGTCGGATATTTGCTGTACGTGGCCCCGTTGTTCTCCCCGTGGATCATCAAACTGACAATGGCCCTAGCATGTTGGCTGTCATGACCATGAACGTTGGTTACCTGCTCTCGGTTCTGGCCGGCGTCTTTCTGGGCAGTCTCGCCCTTGGTCGCTTTGCTACTTTGGGTGAGCACTAGAGGCTATCAGACGTTTGGCTAGGGAGAGAACGTCGAAGACTCGGCTCACTTGCTCCTACTGCGTTAATACTTCATAAACCCTGCGGGTATATCGGTGGTATTGCGGTAGCCGAGGAGACGGAATGAAGAAACGCGATCACGAGAAAGCAAAACCGAGGAAGTCAGTCCAAGCCTTTGATATACTTACTATTTACTTTTTATTCTCTGTAAGCTTTTTTTTTTTTCCTCCCGGAAAAGGGGACCTCAGTTAAGAAGGATTGATTCTACCATGTTGCTATCGGCTTGTGCATTACTCTTGCTGTCCTGTACACTCTCTATCCCAGCGGACGGCCGCGGAGCCAAAAGCTGTGACGATAAAAAAGCTGTCGTGAGGTCTGATCCCCCCCCAATCATGAGTTCCTCGTGCTGTGCCTAGTGCCCTTGACTTCTGTGGTAGTGATGTTAGTATAAGTACATGGGCTCTTCCGGTGCCGCCACCTGGCCCGTGCAGAAACCTTCTCAAAACCCCTCAACCCGCTCCTTCGGTTCCCCCTCTCAGGGTTGTAAGACGTGCCAAGGCCAAGCATTCACTGGTGCCTCCCCATACTATCCACCTCCAGGTTCCTCTTCATCACCACATGGGTCGTTGCTGAACCGTATCGTGTTTGGGCTGCCTGTCAAACATTTGGCTTGTCGGGGGGCCGCTCAACATAATGGCCACAGCTCAGCCCACACAGCATGATGCACCACCAATGCGAGCGAAGAATGGTGGGGTAACGATATGAACAGTTAGGTTCTGGGATAAGAACCTTACCACTTCCTTGGTCAGATGTGCTTACCTAATCTAATGTCTTGCTGTCTTGCGAATACGGACACGTAGCAACCGTCCATGACCCCGACAACACCAAGCTGCCTTCCTGGATGAAAAGAAGAAGTCGTCCATACACGAACTTACGAATCGTACTGTTAGTCCTTCCCGAGGGCCGTATTCTAAGAGGTTTGCCTCGGTCCGTTTCATCTGAGCTGCTCTTTTCTGTGGGTTGCAGGTTTCGTTGCTCCGATGCTCTTACCCGTTTGGTTTGTTTCCTTTATCCGTTTACCAGATAACGAAGCCGGGCGGCAAGTTCCGTGTGAGAAGACGGAGGGATGCCGGTGCCACGGCTAGAACGTCTCCCTTTGCGCCGTCTGTTTTTGCGTTGCAGCCATGGACGGCTGGCAAGCCTCTTCGTCGTTACGCGACTGTCGGGATTACCTACATCAGTGCCAGGGATCGACGATCCTCTGCCGCTTCGTTCCAGCCGGGCCGAGGTCTGATGAAGTAGCGACAACGGGAGGCGGAGATATGGTGGCTGTATCAGTCCTTCATCTTACATTGTGTTTCTACTGTCTTTTCGACCCCGACACTCGTTAACTGGCAAAGAGCATTCCCAACTCCGGGCACTGTGTGTTACAAAGCCACCATCTCCGGACCTCAGTCTTTGGTGGGCCCCGGTCAACATCCGTCCGATTGGGGACCGGAATTGCGACGAGGTAAAGTTGCCAAATGCCCGAAGAGACAGGGGACCCGGCGCAATGTTCGATGCCAGGGACAACGAGCACAAAGACAACGTTTTGCGTATGGCTTTCCATACCTACATCTGAAGACGGAGCACACGACACTCAAACTTCTACGGGCTCCGGAATTTACGAAGACACTCCCAGTCCTGCTTGCTCTAGGTGCCTGAGCCATTGGGCATAAGAAACCATACGTTAAGAATGGAAGAGACCATTGTGACGGTCGACGAACGATGCCCATCTAGAGGAATGACGCAGGCATTCGCTCAGGGTATCCGAGCGAGACATCCATTCAATGAAGCCCAAACAAACACTTGTATCAAGTCGATCTTCTCAGTGCTGTTGACCCGACCATGGCTTCTCATTGCGGCTTTCAACGGCGCGAATCCCATCAATGTCCGCCAGGCCCAAACAGGCAACGAGCTGTCCCTGCATCATGTCCGAATCCAGAATGTACCTCCCCCAAGCACCTCCACCACCGCCACCAGCAGCGGCAGGCCTTCGGAAATGGAAACAGCTAAGAAACGACCTTACATCGACCGAGACCCCGTGACTGATTACCATCCCGCCAGGGACACGGGACGAAAGCGAAATCATGCATGTGACAATGATGCAGACTGGCGTTATTCTCCACGGTCTCTGGCTCCCAAGATGAATGCTGTCGTTTAACCATGATCGGACTTTCCGCAGATGCAAGACCGCCCACGAAGAACTGTTCAATGTGTTTCTGCTTTACGACTTGATGGGCTGGCCACACACTAACTTCATCGTCCCCTCCTAACACCACCTTTCCCCGCTGAACCCCGCCGTACGGACGAGCGCGGTACACTGACTGGCAGTAGGTAGGTAGGCAGGCACACCGGCTGGCAGGGCAGGACTCCCGAAGGGGGAGGAGGGGGGGGGGTCCCCACAACGACGACTGTCAATTACCTACCGTCCACCTCCAGCGGTTAGGTTGAGCACGGGCAGGCCATGTACTCGCCGAATCACAACCCGGCAGACGGCCAAAAACAGCATTCAAATCATTCACCCATCCATCCATCATATCCTTGCAGCCCGATCTCCAGTATCTCGGGAGTCTGCGACTAGGGGAGAAAAAAAAAGAAAAAAAGAGGCGAAGATCTCGATGTCGGGCCAGAACAGCCGCTATGGAACGCATCCTTTCCCTCCACACAACACACACTCGGATGCCGCAAATTCACGTGGGGCCGCAGCTTAGCTCGATGGAACGACAGGCGAGGGCGACGCCGCCCACCACACGCCCGCCCCGACCGAAGCTCGAATCCAATTGGGATAAGCGCAAGGGAGATGAACAGAAACAAAAGACGTGAGAAAAGCAGGTTAGTCATGGTATGCGACCGCCAGCTGGGTCAAAAGAAACGCGCCTTTGCGATCACGAACTCTGGCAAAGAGACAATCTCGATAAAAGGGGAGGATGGAAGGAAAGGGAACAGGGGAGAAAGGAAATAAGCGAGGACTGATGGACGGGAAGCGGAAAGGAGGGGGGAGGGGCGGCGGTGGCGGACCACTGACGAAGTGTCTCGAATTCTTCTTTAGAGTTAAGCCACTTGTCATGTCACCTCGGCGGAATGCGCGTCCACGGCCATACCGGGTGGCGGACGCCGGAGAGAGAGCGGCAAGAGGGCAGCACGGGGCAGAGACTGACGCGATTCTGTCCGCAAACGGACATGGGGGAGACGGACGATGCGCCAGCGGGCAGGCGGAAGGGGGCATGTGTCTTAGGCCGGATCCTCCGAACTTGTGAGGCATCAGTGCAAAATCTAAAAAAAAATAATGAAAATAAAAATGTAAATAAATTTTTGAGACAAAAATTTCCCAACAATGGGTGAGGGGTTCACAAGCATCGCTGGAGGGTTCATGGTTATAGTGTATGAAGCGTCGAAAGATTAGCATTTGTCAGGCCCTGACTGGTCTAGTTGTAGCACGATGTTGTAGTAGTACAGGTAGTGTAGTAGCAGCAGCGTTGGTGGTGGCGGTAGTAGAAAAAGACGTTGAGAAACCGATAAAAAATGTAGGCGCGCGCGCGGGGATATACTATCATACAAAGTTGGCTCTCTTGCATCTCCTTCCTCTTCCCCATACAGCCGCTTCCTCGAGGTTTCTCCTTCTATCCCCTTGCTGCCGAACTCTGGGTTCGGATTGCTGAGGGTGGGCGCATTTCTCATGGCGTTCAGTATGAGCGTGTAAACATGGGACTTTTGTAGGGTTTTTTTTTTTGTTGATTTGTCCAGGGCCGGAGAAGGGAGGGGGAGAGGGGGGGTATCGAGCCGAGTCCCTACGAGTTAGGGGGAGTAAAATTCGCGTGTGTCTGGTCCTCATTGATCCTCGAATCGAGACAAATCGTCAAAGCCCATTCCGGGAGGGGAAAAAGAAAAAAAAAAGAAGCCGTGCCTGCCCAGCCGTGAGATATCATGTTCTCATGCTGAATGAAAACCACCTTTCCCATGCCGTAATCCCCCCCAGCCCTTTCCTCAGGGCAGACTTCTCGAACATCGCAACCTCCAACCTCCGCCGCCCAAGGGAGAGAGAGAGAGAGAGAGAGAGAGAGAAAGAGAGAGAAAGAGAGAAAATGAAAAAGAAAGGGAAAAGGGGTTGGCCCACGGTGCCACACAAGCTCGAATCTACACAAGCCTCGCATGGAGTCAGCTCTTCAACCAACTCCACAGCAAAAGGCCGGGTTCAACGAGGTTGACTCTTTCGACATATCACCCCGGCCCTGTCTTTTCATATGCCTACCCCAATGTTGCTCTGTCCCTCTTAACGCATCCCAGTATGACCCCTAATTGCGCATCATTGGAACTTGCTCCGCAATAAGCAAGGCATACAGAGCCTTGCATTCCTTGGAAACCAAGCCAGCGTGGTCGAGTTGCAAGAAGTCTGTGGCATCCGAATGGCAGCAAGTAGAATTCGGAATCAAGGGAATCAAAGAAAAAAACGTAGTGGGACGAGGCGCAGTAAAGTGGCAACACCGATTTACAACGCCAAACAGCCAGAACCTCGACGTAGGACGAAGAAACACGAGGACCAACGGCCGAGGTTTGGGAGATGCAGAATGTGTCTGGTATCAGCGAGAAATGCACAAGTCAAGGGACAACCTGGTTATCATGACTGATGCGAGGTGTGCTGGGGTAGACCAGACTGCGGCGGCATGGCGTAGCCGCCGCCCCGTTGTTGTTGTTGCTGCACGTAGCTCTGGTACGCGAGCGCCTGCGAAGGGTCCATGCCGACGTTGGGCATGTAGTTGGGAGGCATGTGGGGGTTTTGCGGCATGCCCTGGCGGCCGGCCTGAGGAGGTAGGTGTTGTTGGGGAGGCTCCTCGGGGGAGTCGACCTGGTTCGAGTCGTCGACGCCGTTCTCACCACCCTGAGAGGGCTCGGGAGCGTTCAAGCAGGCCTGCATAAAAGGTTAGCATGGTGTCTCTTAACGAGTAGTCGTGAAAATAACGTGGACGTACTTGGATCAAGTTCTTGCCCTCAGCCTTGGTCACGAGTGGTTGCAGCTTGGGCGTCGTAAATGTATAGACAAGACCCGTCTCGGAAACGACGAGGAGCAGGACCTGGGTGCCGGTGAGGACGGAAAGCTCATAGGCCTACAACAAATCGGGGTCAGCAATTGATGAGCAGAAAGTGCCATGTGTGTGATCGCTCGCGCGCGCGCGCACACGCGAGAGTGAGCGATCATAACAGCAGCGAGAGTGCAGGAACGATTGGGCGTGGTATGCTCACCTTCTTCATGATTCCAGCCTTACGCTTCGAGAAGGTGATGTGACGACGTGACTTGTCGTTGATGAACTTGATCTCGATCTTGCGACGCTCGCGGCCGCCCTTCTCGTCATCGTCATCGTCGTCGTCGGCAGTGCTGGGACGCTGGCGCTTGACGCCTCTGTTCTCGGGGACGTTGCCGTTGCCAACCTGGGACTCGTCGAGGTCGGTGGGCGAAGTCTGGTCGTGTTGGTCGGTGATGTCGGCCATTGTGGAATTGTTGGACGGTGTCACGAGCGAGCCAGAAAAAGGTAAAAGCGGTGGAGATGCTCTTTTGAGCGTGGTGCCGATTGATCTATACTTGATCAGGGAGGAAGAGGTGCTGCTGTGTGCAGCTTGGGCTTCTGTCGCAGAAAAAGCAGGTCGAAACGGGACGTAGCCTGTATCGAGTCTGGTGCGGAGCGGATGCGATGCGGTGCCTTTTGCGGGAGGTGGAGGTGGAAAAGGTAGGGAAGGTTGAAAGACGGATAGGGTAGGGTAGTAAAAGGCAAGGTGTAAGGTAGTGGAGGTACTCGGGCGATTGGTAGTGGTGCGTGTGAATGTCGAAGTGACCTTTTTTCTTTTCTTCCCCTGCTGACCAACGGAAGCGAGGAATTTGCAGGTTTAATTTTTTATTTGCTTTGTTTGACTTTTGGAGCTTCCGTGCCTGAGATGCAATGCACTTCACACTTGTCGAGGGGTCAGTGGAGGGACGAGATTTGTCCAAAACAGTCGACGGTCGAAAGTGACTATCTTTTGACAGGCGGCGCCGACGTGCTGTCGAAGGAATTGGTCTTGGAAGTAGTGGATTGAGCGCGTGGGTGGTGGTGGTTGTTCACAGCGAAAGCGGGATGGTTCGGCCTGGCGAAACAGGACAGAAAACTGGCTGCAGTGCGAATTAAGAGCCGAGCGGTTGGCGTATTGCTGCAGAGGAGCGAATATTATGGTCGTGGTGGGTAGCCGCACAGAAAAAGGAAAAACGCGATTCGGGTGACTTTTGGGGGGGGGGGGGGGGGGGGGGGGGGGAGGGGTGTGGGGTTTTTTGACCGGAAGAGAAGGAGAAGAGAGAGAGAGAGCTGAGATTAGAAGTGTGGTAAGGCAAAGCCGAACTCCGACGGAGGTTCTCTTTCTCTCTCGTCCAAGGATGTAATCGAAGACACGGAGCCAACGAAGGGGATTCTGGCTGCTCCAGAAGTAAACTTCAGGTTATTCGGGAGAGCGAAGTAGCAGGCTGGTATGGGTGAACGTTTTTGGTCGTCGTCAAGCGGTTTCCCCTGCTCGAAAACAAGCAACAAGTGTCAGTTGGGGAAAGAGCTCGATTGAGGATAAGGCGAGAGGGAACTGCGGAGTGAATGAAAAGAGGATAGTGAGGTTGTAGCACGGGCTGCGGCCACAACCAGACAGTTTAAGGAAAAACGAAAGGCGGGGTGGGTGGGTGGCGGGCTTGGGCTCTAGGCCTCTGTCTCTCTACGGATACCTCACGGTCGCGACGGGGGAGGGGGGGGCCTTGGGAAAGCGACAGGGGTGTCGACTGCTAGCCGCGTTGTAGCGTACAGTGCGCGGCACGACGATACCTCGACACCTTTTGGGACCTGGGATGTCAAGGGGAGAGATGGTGGTGCGTGTACGTACCTCGGGCACGTCACGGTGCATGTATTGCCTTATGTACTCCGTATCCGTACTTTTACCTACCTAGGTACTCCGTAGTGTAGGATGTTTGTGTCGTGGTGGGTGGGCGGATGGTTGGATGGACGGGCCAAATGTAGAAGAGTATCCTCCGTTCAACACCTTTGTTTCGCGGATTCCTCTCGCTCATTGACCCGCTCCGCGCTCCGTGCACACATTGCAAGTTCTCAGCTATGCAGAAAAACACCATGTAGAATAGACGCTGAGAAGAAAAGGGAGAAAAGGGATGAGAAGGAGGGAGGGGGATGGAGTGCGCGTTTGCGAACGTTTGGGCGAGAACCGAAAAGTCAATGGGCGATGGAGAAGCAGATCCAGGGGGGGCGAAATCTAAGGTGTGTCAAGGGACAATCGACGACACCCCAGGCCCAGGCACAGGGAGAGCCAGAACGCGAAGGAAAGAGCGACCCAGAGAGACGAAAGACAGGCAAAAGGTAAGAAAGAGCCACAACCAGCCCTGGCCATGCGTCGACATGATTGGCCGAGGTGCCATGCATAGTGTCGAAAGAGGAGAGTGGGGCCTCTGGAGGTGACCTTCCTTCTCAACACACACGCTGATTGTCGTCGTCTCCGCCGCCACGGAAGGAGGCCATTCTACTACAGCCATTAACATCGCGACGCGGCTTATCTCCCCCCCCCCCCCCCCTTTTTTTTTCCCCCCATTAACTTGGACATGTCAGCGCGATCAAACACCCTCTGAGGGAGGGAGGGTGATAAACACAATAATGAGCTGCATCTTCCTGTTCCTCCTTCCTCTCGAGGGCCCCATAGATAACCTAGGAACAAGAGATGAGCGAGATACTAGCTTGCATCCATCTGCAGCCTGGCTGCAATGGTTTCCTTCTAGCAATGCAAGCGCAACCACGCGCGCCTCCCTGGTTTGCAATTGCTCTTGCTGCTTACGAGGTACACGTTAGGTACATTCGTACAACCGGGTCTCTCGACTCCTTCCCCAGCCTTCCTGTCGCAAACCTACCCGATCCCGCCAGCTTCGAGAAAGTCCAAAGTCTCAAGGATAGACGGTGCCGGCGCAGGAGCCACGCCCAGAGATGGCCCTGCTTCCCATTGGCACTGTTAGGTTGCGTCCCGCTCTACCTGTGGGCCTTTCGGTCAGGTAGGGTAGCGGCCGACCGCACCAGACCAGCGACAGCCTGGTCTGTTCCTTGAGGGGGAATCCCACCGCCATGGGTACGAATACTGGTTCTGCACTCGTGACTTGACTGCCAATACCCTCCTATATCCACTGTCTAGGTAGTGTGTAAGCTACGGTCTGAGCGTAGTACAGACCCATCCCCTTCGGAGAGAGACAAGCAGATGATGGGACACTTGGTTGTCAACTTTGTCGAAGCGACTCCGTTGTTGTGTCTTTTGGTGATGCTTCTGGTCTTTGCGCCGTGTTCGGCATGTCTGCAGAACAGGTACCTGACTTGTCCGGTTTGGGATCCGTTCCTGGTCACTGCCAGGCATTATGTGCCGACACCGTGGAAGACTGTTCTCTAGAGTATCAAGCTAGCGCGAGACAGAGCGCAGACGTCGGCGCGCTGTCAGAAGAACCTAAATCATTTTCACACCGTCGCATTCAGGACTACTCTACATGTAGGCTAAGTCTTCTATCCTCTCCTGGGTTGAGCGGCCATGCGCTTTGTACCTTCGACAAGTCGGGACAGAAGACAGCTCATGTCAGCCAACACCCGCACGAATGTACTGAACCCCGGCCGCGCGTGTTTTTATTTATTCCATTTTATTTTTCCTACCCTCTATCTGCACCTCGATTTGACTTCTCCCCATACAGGTCTCGGCTGCCAGTAAACACATAACAAGCCACCATCGTAGTGTATGTGTGCGTGTGTGTGTGTGTGTGTGTGTGTGTGTGTTTGTGTGTGTGCACCGAGAGCGCTTTCTGTCTGGCCAACAACACAGAACATCATGGTTGACGACTGCAATGTACGGATGAGCCAGTGCGCGCGCCAGAGAGAGGGAGAGAGAGGGCGAGAGAAAGAGAAAGTCAAACGGCGTGGGCGAAGCACTCGAGTGTCGTTGATAGGTCATCTTTCAAACCCGAATCCCAGCCTTGACATTGAGACCTCGAGGTCGAGACACGAGAAGCCACCAAGCGCGCGCACTGTTGAGCGCACGCCAACGAAATAATCAATGATCCCAAGGTCTTGGTGGGGGCCCATTTGGCTCGATGATTAGGGCCCCCCCAGTGCCACAATCACCTAGTGGGTAGTGTAGGGTACAAGATTGAACCCCTGCCAGCTACCGCGACTAGCGGAATCGAGAGCCTCGGCTTGTCCTGGTCTGTCTTCGGTCTTTTGCAGTTATTGAATGGCCTGCTTGGTTGGCTGCTTTCAGCTGGTCAAGGACGGCTAGGACGAGGAAATGTTGCCCACCGCCCGCCATTGCTGAATGACATGACGATGCCCCCAGTGGGCCGGTTGGATACCCGAGCTGCGCGTAAGGCTTCCGAACGGCCCTTGGTGCAGCTGACACTCGCAGAACAATTGGAGTTCTTGGACTGCATCGCACATGCTCTACGAAGTTGGGTATTTTACGCAGGTGGAACACTGTGGCACGGGCTGGCTGGCTTAGCTTTGCTGTACAGGGTGTAGGGGTGTTCCCAGATGTCACCCGAAGCTGATTTCCTGGTTTGGAGAGCTGTCGCTCGGCCAGGCTCATTTGCGCCCATTTTTGAGCGGCGCTCTAGAAGCCTGCCTCAATCAGCACTGGCATGCCATCCGCAAAGGGTAAGTAGCTCATAGTACATACATACCGGTACGTGGGCACTGACAAGACCGACGATCGGTTGAAAGTTAGTCTTCGGCAGGGCCTTGAAGCAGTGCAGTCTGGAAAGCTTCTTGCAGCGGTCCAGACAAGGCGCGACCTGCACGGGCTTAGCAGTGGCTCAGTGAGTCGCCGGGTTCTACAGAAGCGCCAAAGACCGTTAATGTCGCTTTCTGTCCTGATGCTACAATCGATTGCTGGACAGGTACCGAAGCGACATTTGGCGCGCCCGATTAGACGACTTTCATCATCTACCAAAATTGGCAGCCCAGTGCCAATCTGGCCAATCAATGATTGGCGGAAATTGGCAACGTGCTGAGATTGTGCTTGTGTACATAGTATGTATGTACCGTACCCCTCGAGGCGGGCATCCCATTCTCTTGGAATCGATAGCGCTGGCCAGACCCCAGCTGCGACGGGGTAGTGTACAGGAAGGGTACCTTAGTACTATGAGGTGCCTCTCAGAGCCTGTGGGCTGGGGGATGTTCCTTCATTCGTCCCTTCGCTCGATGGATGCCCCACGCCGTCGCCGCCGGCCGACATCAAACGACACGACACGGCGTGGACAGGGGAGTTATGGCAAGGATTTGGTTGGTGGTTTGCTGCAAGGTGGATGGGGAAACGACGCGGTCGCGTTGCGGCACAGCACACAGTGCTTCAGGCGCTCATGGGACGTGTCGAAAACGTCGCCCCAGAGCGGAGACGGTCAGGGCGAGCTACGCAGTAAGCGTGTGATTGCAGGGGGGGGGGGGGGGGGGCCGGAGCCGAATGTCGTGAGAGATAGGGTGCGGTATGCTGCAGTTCCGTTCTCTCCTTCAAGGGTTGTCCGATGGATGCAATTCGAGACCACAGTAGTACGCCAGGCTAATGCTGGGAGAGAGTTCGGTGCTAAGGAGCGGATCTTGGATGAGGACATGTTTGATGGGCAGACGGGGTTGTCAGGGCAGGCAGGTAAAAATCTGGGTGGCAAGGGCATCGTTTCCTCGCCATGCGCCTGCGGATGCAGGATATATGCTTCGTGCTCGGAGTACCGGTGCTTTATGCAGGGCCAAAGTTCACCCATGGCGAGTCCGCTGCGCGTGTCTCGGATAGCAGATGATGAGCCTACAAGGTAATGTGAGGTTGCATTGCGCTACGCGTCGTTGGAGGATCCGACGACGGCCGAAACAGACGTGAGAAGACGGATTTGGCGATATCGCCCGATAGAGGGATGGGTCAAAATGTAGACTGCAGTCACATCCGTACGAAAAACAACGTACATGCCCACCTGTGTCGAAGTCTGCACTCAGCCCATGTCGGGCCGTGGGGAAAAGACGTCAAGAGGCAAGCTGCAGATGGTCGACGATGGAGTGGTGGAAAGAAAAGCAACGACGCCAGGCGAGCTCGTACGAATGTTAGAGGCCGGAGGGGCCGAGATCGGTTGCCTAGCAATGTTTGGACGTGTTCTCGTATTCCGAGAGACTTTTCCAGTGCCTGCGCGACCAGTTTTGCTGTGTCTTAATTGGGGAGAGGAACGTTTTGATGAAGTTGGTGACGGTGCGGTTGAAGTCACGAGAGGCTTGGACTGAGGTTGAAGAGGCTGACGCGAAAAGGGAATCAAGGGACTGGTGATGAAGAACAAGGTGGTAATGAGGCCTGAGAAGGAAAGGCGTGTCGAATTTGACTTTTGGGCTCCCGAAAGAGAGATCCGGCCTTTGCTCGATTCGTCTTTGACAGCCTAGGTGACAGCCCTTTAAGGACCGCAGACCTGGGGCATCGCCGGGCATGCCAGACTCGGCGGGCGCGTGCTATGCTGGACATGGACTGGGCTGAGCTGGGTCGGAAGAACCGTTTGCTAGGGGGGCCACGACAGAAGATCGGCGGGCGGCGGGCGCACCATGTAGCCGTCTTTTTTTTGTTTTTTAAGAGCATCAAAAGTCGATGAACGAGGGTGGAAGTACACAAACTACTAAAACTAGGTAGGTAGTATGGTAGTATGGCGAGGTGTGTGGGACGGGGTGGAACGAAGCGTAGAGCAAGGGGGCCAAGATTGGTCCAACCCTATCCAGGATGAGGAAAGAAATCGATATGGGCAAGGAGGGGGGGGGGCGGACGTGCTTCAGCAGGGGAGATACGTACCCTTTACCCACACAGCGTGTCCGGGCAGGCAACGCTGCGCGTTCGCGCGAAGGAACGACAAGCAGAGCATCCACAAGAAGAGAACTTGCTTGGTACGTATCCGTTTCCGCGGCCTCGTCGACGTCGTTCATCATTTGGTGTGTAGGAGGAGCTGAGGCATGTTCAACCCTTGACATTGATTGCATTTGGACCACGCGAGGGCAGACGAGTCGTCGGCCTAGGCCCAGGCCAGGCCAGGCCAGGGTGGGGGGCGCATTTCGCTGGTGGTTGCTACCCGTACTGTAGACCTCTGCATACAATTGTACACAGTACGTACCCGCGCACAGTTGGTGCTGCTGGGCGACAAGAAGGAGGACCGAAAGGTGAACGCTATGCCTCATCAGGAAGCTAGATGATGGGACCACACGGTGCGAGCTGCGTAGGAGGGTACTTGATCCGCTACCCGTGCGGATACCCGAGTCGAGGAAAAATGCAACGGTAATGAGAGAATCGATTTTCAATGTATTGTGTGCGTGCCTGACTGCAGGTGTGTATGTGTGTGTGTGCATGCGGGTGGGAGTAAAGGATTAATTTACCTTACCACCTTGGCCCCCTGAAGATGGGAATCGCTCGCCGTGCAAACAACAGCAGTAACAAGACTGGGCGGGCCTTCCCTCCCTCCCATCGATTGCCTGTCAGCAACGAGCGAGCGAGCGAGCAAGCCGAGGCCACCAGCACGGTTGGTGAAATGGACACATGCGGATGCCTCGAGGGTCCGGTCCTGATTGACTGCCTCGCTCACATCAACATGTCGAACGACTCCATTTCCCAGGATCAAGGGAACAGAGGCAGGCGGGCCCATTCTCCACGGGACTCTGTTCTACGGTACCTAGGCGGGTATGCCACCAGCGCGCGCTGGTTGGAACCCCAATCACGATCAAACTAACTCGGACTTCGGGGCGCGCAACAGAAGCTGCGCGTCTGGTGTCAAGTCACGGGTGGCCCGTTCGTTACCAGTTCCATTTGTTGTAGTGTGCTTATGGGCCTGCAGCATCTCGCCGCCGCCGCACAACCTCACACAAACCAAGTATATACCTACCTACCTACCTACCTACCTTGATTGCTTGGGTAGGACACAAGCTTGGTAACGCCAGATGATGCGGAGCTGGACGGCGCGTGGGCAGGCGCGGCGCGGACAACGTGCCCTTTCGGCGTCTGCCATCTCTCAACCTTGCTGCGGGGCATACGAGAAGCAATGCGTACGTATCCTTCCTTGCTACCAACCTAGGTACCTACCTACCTATGGAGGTGAGCGTCCCTGGCGGCATCGATGGGTGAAGTCCCCCTACAGATACTTCCACCGCTAAGTCCGGTCGCTGGGTGGCCAAACCAGGCCTTTTCCCGCGCACGTGACATTGATTCTCGAGCGCCTTCCCAGGGGTTGGTCACAGAATCCGGTGACAGTGGTATTGCGACTGATTCACTCGCTGCTGATTCCCCTCCACCCCCTGAGTCCTGCCAGCCCCACTCTTCCTAGCCGCTCTGCCCGACGCAGTCAGTGTGTGTGCACGAATGCTCCATACGGAGTACAGAGGAGTGTGTGTGCGTGCATACTTCGGACTGCAACCGACACTGCAAGTTTCGTCGCGTTCGACATGGTCCGACCTCAACGGTCCCTACCAAGTCGCTGGCACCTGTCGGCCACGCAAAGCATAGTTTGTCTACCTTTTTCGCAGAGTCGCAGACTGGCATCTACCATCGCAAGCCGGGAAACCCCTTAGCTACGCATCCGTACACCCCTTAATTGACTGTGCGTCCGGAGCCCACCCAGCTTTCAAGCATGTCGAACCGGCCTCGCGATCCATATCGTTTTCGCTCTCTCACTCTGCAGCATGCGGTGGTGCATGGGACGACTGCTGAGCCAGCCTCCTGGGTATCCGGCAGCCTCGACGGACAGTAATACGTGAAATGGATGGGGCAAATTATGCAGTCAGTCAAAGACCCCGACTAAACCTTACCTAGAGCCTAACTGCTTGCTCACTTGTTATAGTATTGATGATATCACGTTAAGACTTGATATACCGCCACTGATCTGATGCAAATCGTGTTCGCCAAGGACCACGGTCTTGTTTCAAGCCGATCTAATCGCACGGGCTCTATCTCTCAATATCTCGGGTTTCGCAAATCCAACCATTACTCCCAGGACCCGAATGTGCAACTACTGTACAAAGGTCATACGCTCCGGCTTGTCGTCGGCCATCCTGGATCCAACACCGCTCGGAGCATCTTCTCCTCTGCCAAGCGCTCGATGAGACCATGGAACGGCATAGAACTTACTGGCCATAGCATCCTCGGCCGCAAGCTCACGCCGTCCGTATCTCGCATTAACATGGGCCGAACTCAAGTTATGAAGACTCAGCAAAGCGGCTTCTTCGGACATGCCCGGCAAACGAGCCACTGGCGAGCAAGAATAGAGTAGGTGGCGTGTGTGCCTCGGTCAAGATAATCTTCCCCGTAAAACTAAGTCATCTGAAGCAGTAAGTACGGCTCTGGCTTGCAAGCCATGTTAGTATACGAGTCCCTGGAATATCAAGGAACCTTTCCGAATCGCATTTGCCTACCGCTCTACAGAGCCGCGTCTCTCACCGGCTAACCTTCATCTAGCCCTCGTAAAACCCGCTGGTGTATCCGATCTTGCGGGTCTTGGTGTTGGTGCCTACCGGCCGAGACCATATCCTGCAAGTCTATCCGTAATTCCTTGATCGGCACTGGCAAACTTCCCTACTCAACGTCTTTAGCGCTGGGGGCTATCGTCTTCTGGAACGCAGGGTTGGAACGATCCGGTTTGGCTTGCATGACATGTGCACTGTCGCTGACCAGACCGTGCTGCTAGCGGCTTTACCCTCAGAGGATGCCCCTGAGTAGGGTCTCAGCAAAAAGCCAAACTTGACGTTTTCAGCACCTAACCGAATCTGTCAGCCCGGCGGGCCACAGGCGGAGCATTATCCATATACAAAACACCAGAACCCTAGCCTCCCCGCTCCGGTCATCTACAGACGCTCCTCAGAGCCAGAGGAACGCCTATTCGGCTCCGAATTGTTCAGAGAGCTAGAAACGATTGACAGCTGGGCACTCTGTCCCAAGAGCCGGATCCCAGCACCACGCAGAGCGCTTCGGCTCCCTCTCTGGAGCCTGCTCCACACACTGAGGCCCCAGGCTTCACTCCGCCACCTCGGTGTGATGGAAGAACCTACAGATAGAATGCGAGCCTTGGCTCGACGCGTGTTTTCGGCTTTATGAAGTAAAAAAATAAAAATAAAATAGAAGGAATTGTGCTCCCAGAGGACAGAAGAACGCGGTTGTTGGGGTTCGGAAAGACGGTGGACGCGTTCTTGTGAGACAACATTCCGGAGCGTGTGATGACATCACGTCTCACCACAGTTGCTACGACGGCAGAGAGAAGTCACCTCGCCTCGGAGTCTACAATCTATGTTCTATGAGTGAAATGTGTTTTATTATGCACCCGTTGATCTGGGCGTGAGACATTGGCGTGCCCCCTACGTTGCTCCCCTTTGCCAGGTGGAGTTCATTGAGTCTTATAGGAGATCTCAAGCTCGAGCTCTGTTACGGCTTCGCCTACGACGCTTCAGACAACAGACTGTTTCTGTTATCCTGTGGCTCGGGGCCAACTTGCCCTATTCTAGTATCCTCAAGTGCAATCACCCGTCTGCGACGAAACGGCACGCAGTGAATTGACTCGCCCATTGGAGAATGTCATGTAAACTCTACGAGTGGGGAGGGGACAGAGACTGCCTTATGATCATCACCCCTCCAGCACATCTCTGAGAGTCTGGTTTCTCGGCGCCTACTTCTGTGCAGTCTCCCTTGTCATTGTTTCTCCTGCCAATTCTTGTGCTGTCTCCCGGCGTCGGTCTCGGGGACTAAGCTAGGGGAGGCGAGGAACAACGTCAACCGACCGCTACAGATACCTTTTGCTGTCACCTTTTGTTGCCTCACACAGAGCTTTTGGCTACGAAGTGATGTGCTAGTACTTCCCACATTTCATCGTCACATCTCATTCGATGTGTTACTCCAGAAGAGGAAGCGGCAGCACATGGATCTGCGAGTGTCGATACGGCACTGCTTGTGCAGCTGTAGTCCGTAATGGACTGCCGTGCCAAAGTTCATTCTATGGATAGCAGGGATGCGAGTCTTCACACTCTCGTTCTCGATGATCTACCTGCCCAGAAGTTGATGGACCTATTGCTGAAAGCTGAGAACGGCGCGCGAGGCCTCGGCGGTTACTGGGTTTGGCAGGCATGCTTCCTCTGCCCATCACAAACTGTATGCACTCACTGATGCATAAATCACGAGCAAGGCGTGCGACCAACCTGTTCCGCGCAGCTAATGGGTTTTCCGGGTAAGGAGCTCGTTCGGACTGGGACTAGGACAAGACTCCAAAAAATGTAGCAAGGCTTGGCTTCACGGCCGCTTGGACACACAGACTTGTTTCCAACGTTGACATAAGGGATCTCATCATCAAAGCAGTTCTCTAGGGCTGTGTTACTATGGTTGTCTGTTTCACAGGAATAGACAAGAGTGCTTCTAGTTCAGTTGTGTGTGTGAATCAAATACCTGACTGCAACTCTAGGACCTGTGGTATGGGATACCTAGAGTCAATTTCGTCATTCAACGATACCACATGAGACTAAAAAGGCATTTTATACGTTACCAGAACGACAGTCACTGCAAACACGCTCGGGTGTATTGCTCTTGAACAGCTTCGAGGGCCCTAAGGCGAGGACAAAATATAAGAAGGCTCGCACTCGACCCTTCGGGTAGGTAGTTGACTAGACATCCATCCCGAAGTAAGCGCGGCAGTATTGTTCCAGAATTCTCAATACTATATATACACCGGCTTTTCGGCACCACTGAACTTGGAGTCGACAACGGTAAGCGGGTGAGCGAGGCTATGACGAACTGAATTCAGGAAAGCCTGTTTTATTAGACATCTTTCCGGGCCTCGTCTCCATTTCATCTCCTTACTTACTCGGCTGCTCGGATGGTCTACTTTTCGATCCGGCGGGCGACGTTGCACGTGATGGGAAAGAAGATGAGGTTGCTTTCATCCAAGCGGAAGGAGTTGCAGTGTAATGAGATAGAAGGCCGATGGATTCCTCTCTGCGAGCGAGATGCCGTAAACGATGGCGGCACCGATGATTCCAAGATTGTGGTGTCGTCAGGAATCCATTTTCTCATGTCGTCTGGTTCGTTGGATATAATTCCACTGGTTACCATACTGACATTACGCAACCCTATGGACAGAAATTGGGCCTAGTATAACTTATATACGTATGGCAAAAGTCCAGCTGCAGGTGGCTACACCAAGCGCGAAGAAGAGAAGGTACCAGAATTGGATGCTGTGGTTATAGTTGTGGAACACTCTCCGAACGAATATATTACCTACCTAGGACAGTTGTTTGGGTTATGCTGGTTGGATCTGAACGTTAGGAGACGAGCTTTGCAACGTTCTAGATTACGGTCATGCATTATCAGAGAGACGGTGAGATGAATGGGCACCTTATTTGTCAATGCCTATATCAATTTGTCAAGTCCATTGCTTCGGGGGGTTGAGTTTCAACATGCCCATATAGGTTTTCTTTGATTTCTTGTTAGCAGATATAAGCTTATTCTACGAAGGGGCCAGTAAGCCTCTAATACGATAGCTAGCGCTGGCTGAACTCGATATTTGACGATACTGAAAGGGCATTGGAAGACCATAAACGCAAGCTAAGAATCGGGGTTCATGAAAGGAACATTCTTCGTTACAGCCTCTGAATTGGCTTGGATCATACCGACGCCTTCCATTGACTGGAATGGTCATACCTGCCAGCTTACTTCTATCTTGCTCAACCGTCTGCCTCTGGATTCTGCAGCCCTCCATTGTGTTACCTTTTCTTAGTTCTCCTTGGCGTTGGAAGGCGGTGATCGAACTTCATCCGGTCAATTTAGCAGCGATAAAGACGGTTAGAATCTAAGAATTGATAAGAAGTTGATAAAAAGGCGATGCGTGATACCAGATGCTAAATAAAGGCGCGTATGGTGAATGTAATGCGTGAGCATTCTCTTAATTAAAAACCACAATGATTCCAATTGCAAACGATTTGTTTCTTCAAAGTTACCAGCCATGCCAGAAAAAGCAGTTCTGTTGTTCCAGTCAGCAATCTTGCTCAGCCTGTGTGTGATATGGCCAGTTTGCACCTCTGACCACACGGAAGAGCTCTTCCTAACTTCAGTATTGGATGTGTATAACAGTGGAAGGTAGAAGTGCGGCTTGCGTACCGGCTCAGCGGATACCCTGAACCAGTTGGGCACCATGTCTCTACCATAATATCCCTACGGGAAGAAGACTGTTGAGGACCATCGTATTGACATGTCCAAGGACAAGTCGCGCCATGCCCAGCAATGCCGTGGGTGTGTTATCTTGAGCAGTAAGGTGTCATATACCGCAGATAACTTGCAGACTTTGGTCATTATCCCGTTCACGTTGCTAGTTCACTCAACATCATCCATCCCCCAGGTGGGCTTTTGGTACGCGGGTCGGTCATACTAATATCATGACCCAAAATAGTAAAGATTTGAAGACAATACACGTAACCTAGCTTCCAAACTTCCCGGACGCCCAATCCAGGCGTGCCAGCCAAGCCGTAGCATGCTCGTCTACAGCAGACAGGCAGTCACCCAAGAGAATACTCAACCAGATGCAACGGCCAGTTCACAGAGACGACTCCCTACTAGAAAAAGAATGATTGAGTTCTCAAAGCATTGCCTTTTATCTGAACCTCCATCTGAGCCTTCAAGCGGGAGTCAAGAACAAATTAGGCAGCTCTAGTGGACTTTGGAGAAACGTCCCCAACTTGACGCCCATTGCAATAAAAACTACGCAAACTCACACAGACTAAGAGACCAAAGCCACTGAGTTCTGTGCCACGACGTCCAAGTAATACCATAATGATCTTGGAGGTACTGGTCGCAGACACACGCAGGGCTGTTGGGAATGAGAGCTGGAATCTGCTCCGGCTTGAGGCTGGCAGCAGACCGCGCGGGCTGCAGCGGTTGGGTACCCAATGAGGAAGGGAAGGATGTATAGAAGCTGCGGCAAGATACTGTAATGCTTTAGGAAGCACGTTGGCGTGGCATGCATGGCCTGGTAATCGCTTTCATTCTGACTCCTTTCGAGAGTCAACAAGACCTGAGGCTTTATGTAGACAAGCCTCCAGGGTTGAGCGTCAGTATAATAATGAAAACAAGGGCCTGGCTAATTAGACAGTACTCTCACGTCACTTTAAGCAATCATGAGGCTCATTAAACCACAGACAGAGGCTACGACGAGAACAAGGGCAATCGTCACATGAATCACATATAGGACCCCACTGGTGGGATAGCGGTTGAGCGTAGATCTTCTATAGCCATACCATGACTCTTTGAAAGACATATACGCCAAAGCCCACCGCAGTTATGCAGTTGAGACAAGCATACAAAGCAAGAGCTTCCAGGATCTTCTATTGCCGCTCTCATTGCTCTTGCCTGTACCAGCGGGAAGAGCCGACTCTCATGCGAGTAGTACTCACCATGCAGTCCCCTCAGGCATTCTGAAGACAACTGCGCCTGGGATGATCTCAGTATTGCACGCCGCCAACAGAAAACGGCCACCATGTGCGCTTATGTCCGCGGGACATACGTTATCCCCAGAACCACAAACGTACCAGCCGTCCTGGACTTGATGAAGCCCACAGGGTAATCTGGCCAAGCTCACCAATATCCTCCACTGATCCACAAGTATCTTGTGGCGTCTCCAGGACCTCGCGCAGACATAAAAATAATGATGGGATACGTGCATCATCGGCCTTTCTCTAGGCGTTCAGCATGCGCTTCTCCATTCTCCTTGAAATTTGCTTCTTTACATCCTCCTTGACCACCGCCTTTAATAAGAACACGGGGGCAGATGCCAAGATGCTCGTGTCAACGCCCAACGTTAGGCGGTCGCTTAGCAATATTGTGTATCACTGTCCTGTTCCAGATTTCAGCTTCCTGTGTGCAACTCCAAAGGCATCACAACACAGATACATGCGGGATGATAGACGTCTAAACGTCAGCGCATAGGTCAAGGACTAAAACGATGTGTCTGAACGACGCCATGGCGGTCACAAAGGGGATGCGAGGGTTAACTGATGTATGGGCTTTCAGTTTAGTGGACCAAACTCAAGGGATCGAAAGTTGGTTGTAATATTGGGGGTATCATTGCAGGGCCTCATTCGCGTTGTTAGTTGCTCCTTGAACCCATCGGCGCTACTTGTTGAAGCGGATTGGCCAAAGGCAGCCCAATGTGGCTTCTTTGGCGCGTCTGCCCTGCAGATGAGGTATTGAGAGCGAATACGTCCATATGGCAGTGAAGAGGAGAATCTGGCAATGCCGAGATAGCAAAGCCATAGTACTGCCAATCAGGTTGAGAAGCATCAGCGGGAGTATCCTGTATCAGAAATGTGGCTGAAACCATACCGTACCACAATACTCCGTACAGGGGCGATACTAGAAGGCTAAGCACCACCCGCACCACTGACATATCTTAAACCCGTTCCTCTGATCGCATCTCGCCACATCCCTGTCCAATTAGGCCCTTGGTCGTGCAATATCGTGGCCCCATCCATACTACCAACTTGAATAGAATTTTCGATATCCGCATTCATTCAAGAATATGACTTGGAATCAACAAGCCCTGATGGTCTAGCGGTATGATTCTCCCTTAGGGTTGCGCAGAGTTACTCGACATGGGAGAGGTCCCAGGTTCGATCCCTGGTTAGGGCCTTTCTTTTCATTTTGCTTTGCCATGTAATTCTTCCTGCTGTCCTTGGTTTCTTTCTCTTCCCCCCCCCTTTTTTTTTTCGCACTTTCTTTTTCTTCTTCTTATTTTTCTTCTCCTCTTTCTGTTCTTTTTCGTTAATGTTGCAGATATCAAAATTTCTTTCCATTCCGGTCTAAAGCGAAGCCGGCCGTTTAGTAAGGTAAAGGTTAATGCACCACAGCCTTTCGGTATGGGAACGGTTTGCTAGTATGCGTTAGTTGCTGATCGGTGGCGTCCAAGTGCCGGCTGTGCCTCTCGACAGCGCGATTGGAGTTTACACTAAGTGGGTGGAAATCCTAAGCTGCATGCGAATTTCGCAGGCAACACTGCAAGTGATCATTTGCAGCACGTCATGCTTTAGTCGGATACAACTGCCGTCGTCCAAAGAGATAGGGCGAGTCGAGTCGGCGTTCCCCTCTCGACGAGCCGCTCTAAAGGTCGATCAACTGTTCGCGAACCGTGATACTGGAACAGACCAGCACCTGCGTCAGTCTGTTGCCGACATAACCGGTTCTGCACTACAGGAGGCTCTGGTGTCCCCCACCTTTCGAAGTCTCGCGTGTGCGGGCTCACTCTCCTGTTTTGTCTTCTTTGCGCGGAGAATACGTAGACATCGACACGGAACGAAACAGTATTGCCGGGAGGGCACGTACGAAACAGCACGAGGCCCCCTCGACATCGAACGGCAATACCTACCCTTCCCCCCCGTTCCATTTGGCTAGTGTGTCGAAACGATGGAAACTAGAGGCGATAGACTATAGTTGAGGTAGCAACAACATTTCGTTGCGCTTTGGCCCTTTCCCCTTTGGTAGGGTGTCAGAGTTGGGCAGTATTGTTTTGACAGGTCTCGGCGTCCCAAATCCAGCGGCTGTAAATCCAGCCAAGCGGCATGCGTATACAGGGACGATACATGGTGCTTTTGTCGTATTCCTAGGGCTGCGCAAGATAGAGTCTCAACGGATCAATGGACGGGTAGAAACCCCGAGGGGGAAAAGAGGGGAGACACAATAGAAAGAAGAAGAAAAAAAGACACCGATCCTGGCCTAGCGCGTGCGTGAGCGCTCAAGACGTCTCCGAGGGTCGCAATAGCAGCAACAGCGGCATCGGTTTCGGAAGCCCACGGCCATCGCCCTATTAGTGCACACTATACGTCCATCTCAGGGTTACTTTAGTAGTAGGTATCAAAGTAAGGTAGTGGGGACGACGGGCGCTAGCGACATGGGTTGCCAGGGGGCGGCCAAGAGCTTGGAAATTGCATGTATGTGGCGGTAATGTCGTGCCACCGCAGTCGATGGTGTTGTGGTTCACAGCCCCCTCTCAATTGAAAGGATCAACCTGCATCGTGTGTTCCGTGGTTCCATTCCCATGCCGGGCGTCTGTGTAGGTGTACAGAGTACGCCGACGGGAAAAGGTCGCAGGTTCGGTGGGCTCGGCCAGCGGCGGATTGATGACGCGGCGTGGAGTGGGATCCCGCCGAGTTTGTGACATGTCTCGGTACCTGCTATGTATTTGGACGCCTTCCAGACATTGGTTCCTGAGCTCTTCTCCTGTTTCTCTATTCCGTCACTAGACGATGATGTAATTAAGCCAGGGCGGCCCGAGTGTCTTTCCGCTGGGTTTTCGTCTCTCACTCTCCCCACCGGGAGCCGCCGGCCGCTGATGTAAGCCTCATCACCGCAGGCATGAGCCACGCTTCCATCCGGGGTGTGGAGGAGTGGTAAAAGGGGGAAATGCACCTACTACCCTTCTACCGACATAGGTAGGTACACTACTACTAATGCACTGCGGTCCTCGAGATAGACGCACATGCTCTCGCACACTCTCTGGTAAAGTGCTGCAAGGACCAAGCCAGCTAACAGCAGCCCTAAGCCATTGGCAAAACGGACGACCTCGCCCAATCAGGCGACTCTTGGACGATTTCAACATCGTGATTGGCCACAATCTCGGACGCTGGCGCTTGCGCCGGTCCCAGGCTGGGGTGTGCCCTGCCGCCTGCATGAGGCCGCCCCTCGGTCCTGAAACGCATCTCGTCAGGGAATCGGATTCATCATGGCCTTCCTCAGCCCATTTTCCTCCCCTTCACACAGTCTCTTCAGTGCTCCCTTTTGTGTGGGCTGGGCAAATCTCGCACAGTTTTTCGGTGGAACAAGCAGGCCTTCGCTCACAGTGTGCAATTTGTGGACTAGTTCCCAGGTGTTTCAGTGCGTTTCTCATCCTCGCCGTCGCTGTTCGAGAGCTCGTGGACAAGACCAGGGAGGGCCCTGACCACAACACCGTCAGTCCCCTACGTAACCACGCGAGACGATGACATCCACCGTCCCGTCGTGGCCTTTTCCCCTTCTCGATAGAGTGCCCCTCTGCTGCTTGTTCGAATCCGGTGATTATCTCTAGGGCCTCCCTTGCCATCGCAGGTATCGTCCGAGACAGTTTTGTGGACCCCCCTTACCGGACGCTCTCCCGCGTCCTCGAGGCTCAGACCTCTAATCGCCTTTTACGGGCCACCCACCTGCACTAGTAGCCTCTCCTCCTCCCCTCTTGCTTCGTGTAGCAAGTTGCGCTTCCCCCTTGGAGGGCCATTTCTGATCCATCTTCACATTCTTCTGTACAATCGTTCAACCCCCCCCTTGTTCTCTTCTTCGTGACGTTTTCGTCAACCTCTTTCTTTTCTCCCTTCGGTTTTTTGTGTGCGCTCGATTGTCCCCGCTGGGTGGTGGAAGTTCACTTGATTTTGCTGGTCGAAGACAGTCCTTACCCCCGACGCAGCAAAGGCGACGAACGCACATCCGAACCCGTACCGAACAACATCGAAAGACGCCGGTCGTCAAACTCACCAATCTCAAGTCTAAAAACTATTGCGGAAAAAACAAAACAGAGGAGGAATATCTCGAATCAGGAAAGGAAAGGGAAGAGGAGCAGCCAAGTCTCTCCGAGCGACATCTTGGTTGTCGGGTCTCTACGGTTGCTCGGTTTTTTAAGAAACACCACCAGTCATGGCGAACAGGATTCTCTTGGCCTTCGTGGCCGCCGACATCGTCTTCCTCATCACTGGAGCCCTTCTCCTCGGTTTCTCCCTCATCAACCAGAACCTCGTCGGGGAGACTCCTACGGAAGGAGCTGCAGCCGTCATGCGTCTGCTGACGGCTAAATTCCCATTGACAGGTGCGTAAGGGAAGGAGTGATGCGAACACGCCCGCTGGTACCCCGTCGTGGGCGATATTTGTGGTAATGAGTACTGACTCTCTCTGCCTTAGCCGGTATCGTCAACGCCGTTTTCATCTTCGTCACTTTCGTCAGCACCATCCCCGGTATGATCACGCCGACTCGCGGCTGGCTCAAGATCTCGGGCTACATGACGACCTTCTGTGGTCTCTTCAGCCTTATCCTCGGTGTCTACCTCTGGGTTATTACCCTCACCACCAAGAACGATTTCGGCAAGACGTGGAACGCTCAAGACCCTCGCATTCAGGATATGATGCAGACTGCTGTAAGTGATCCTCGCGATACCTACCCATCGATCAGGCATTCTTGGGCCTAACATGAACCAACAGTTCAAATGCTGTGGATATTTCAACAGCACTTCACCTGCATTCATCACGGATGCTCAATGCCCGAGTCCCGCCGCCGCCGCCCTGCAGCGTGGCTGCGCAACCCCGATCACGAGCTTCGCCAACATCTTCATCGATAACATCTTCACCGCCGTCTTCGGCATGGTCGGTATCGATGCCCTTCTCGTCTTATGCACGGCTATGCTTCTTAAGGACCGCAAGGAGCGCGAACGCTACCGCCACATTGACGAGAAGGCTGGCTACCGCGGTTTCTAAAATCCTGGCAGTCTCGTTTCCCAGGGCAATGTCGCAAGCCGCGGATCGGGCCACTCAAACCTTTCTCATCTCTCGTTCTGGGAACCTTTCTTCGGAAACACCCCCTTTTCTTGCTGTATGGTATGAGGGAGCGAGCGTGGCACTCCTCCCTCTCTTTTCTTTTTTTTCCTGGGATGAGAATGAAATGATAATCGCCTCACCGCTGCAGTCATTGAATGTCTTTAATCTTTCTGAGACAAAAATGGACAGGCAGAATCAATATCTTACCCCCATTTTCTTTGCCCCCATAGAGCCCTCCAGTTTTCTTCGTCGTCCGGGGGATAAGGGGGCTCAGGACCCTTGGCTCATCGAAACGAAAATCCGGGACGGAGATATTCGATGCGAAAGTTTTTGTTTGTGACGGCCATACTCTCTCCTCCTCTAACCTCGGTCGTCTTATCTCTCGAGCCAGATCGAACGTTAACCTTTTTCTTGTCTTAGTGTGGACATCATAGATTTTTTGTGTCGATTATCTCTGTTCTGTAAATAGGGGGGAACTTGCCCTGAAATCAAATCTGTTTCTCAACGCTGTGTGTGCGTGTGTGTGCATACGTAAATCCCTTTCTATCGTCTTGTCGTGTGTTGGTGTATGCGAGTTTGTGCGTGACTAAGCAAGTGAATGCGGATTCCGAGTCACCGGATGTGTAAGGATAGGGGGCGGCGGTGCTTCCTAGTTGCTCACCGAAGCTGGTATACTGAGGACTTGAAAACGACGCCGAACGAGATGAGCTCATATATACAACAATCTCGGTTGTCAACCTCCTTATGAATCTATTCGTGGCAGTAATGACGTGAGGGACATAGACACAGCCAAGGTAACGGCGCAATATATCTGATTAGCGGCCCCTGGCAGCTGAGGATGGACGAGATCGCCGGGCTCTCTACCATAGAAACCACGAGAGCCTGGTATATTTGGGCTGGAGCCCCACAGAGCAGGTAGGCGAGAGTTATCTCAGCTCGAAATAGCATGGACGCCTTCGTCTGGGGTAAACATTGCCAAGAAAACCCTCGTGCCAATGTTGAGGGTTATCCCTTAGTCCCTCCCCATACGAATACATCTATATCGGTTCGTTCATTGGCAGAGCTGGAAGGGGGGAGGGTAGGGAAGCAGATAAAAACCCGGCTCGACATGGCATTCTATATTGGCCTGATCGAGGTAGACAACCCATTTCGCCGAGGGCTGTCAATATCGCCGCCTGACGGCCTGTGGTTTGGCGTAAAAAACCAAACCACCCCAGCGCGTATAAACGAAACGCCAATCTTTTGCGGGGCAAGAACCGGGGGAATTGGGGGCGAACCTCCCCCATTTACCTCCAGCACTGGCGCTTGGGAGAGCATCGGCGACGGTGGCGATGTAACTCCATAGCTGCGGTCCTACGCCGCGATCACTTTCTTTTCATCCTCCTCCTCCTCCTCCTCCTCTCTCTTCTTCTTAGCGTCTGGATGACCGTGTGGGGCTGCCCTGGAGGAGCCTAGACGTGGAGATGCCCGCGCTGGCCCCGAACACATGGAGTGTGTAGTGATCAAAGCCAAACAGGAGAGGGTGGAAAGGAAGAGCGTCTAGACCTCGGCGATCTCCCATCCAGATCGGACTCTCTGTGTGCAGCCGAGCCCATTGAGCACTAGTCAGCAGCGCACCGGACAAGGTTTCGCGTCATGTCGCTTTCCGGCCTCTGACGTGATAAATATAGCTCGTGTACCTGCCTACCCGTGGAGCTGGGATGGGGTTTGGCGAGAAGTTCAAAGAAGGACGGGTATCGGGAAGGCTACGCGCGCGCACGAAGCCCGTTCTACGCCTTTGCAGATGGGGCGGAAGAAAACACGATAGTTGCGCGCCCTTCTGAGTCGTCCCGGTGACACATGCCAACACCGAAATGCATGCGCATACTCGCGCGTTCTGCACCGCCCACGTCCTCGCCACATGGAGGACTCAAAGTTCCGACGAAGAAAGGGTAGAGAGATGTCACCAGAGCCCACGAATGTGTGGGCGTCGGCGATGTAGGATTGGTGGTTACTGCTGCAGCTATATTCGTTGCGGATGGAAAGTAATGCTTCGCTATAACCTCCCTTTGAAAAAAAAAAAAAAAGAGAAAACAGAAATCATTGTGCAGAACGTAGGATTGTCAGACATAATAACCTACTGCATCATTGTGCTTGCTCGTTGTCCGTCGTCATGTCCTCGTGTCTAATACTCATAAGCTTGGGAATTCGGCGTGAGGAACCCAAGTAACAACACCAAAGCGCCGTTTCGACCTCGCCCCAGCATTGGAACCCAAGGGATATAATTCTAAGGATATAGTAGTAATGATAGGCCCTTGTGGCATGCATATGAATGCTGACAGGTCGGTCAAGATGGGTTTCCAATGAGCCACGACACGCGTGGATCGCCGACTCACTCTCTGATAGACCTGATAGAAAACATGTTCTAGATTATAAGAGAACAAAAATGTTTAAAAAGGAAATGAAGACATGACGATGTTCCGATACTCATACAGGCGAATCGTCATTCAGCCGGCCGCTCTGCCCCCTATCCTGGGACCCGCTACCGCTGCCATTTCCCCTCCCTCTTCCGGCATCCCCTTCCTCTTGCCCCGTCAGTGGCGGAGGATCGTCTCGGAACACGGGCCATGCACTACCGCTCCCACTGCTTCCCGGTGGGTTACTTGCACCGTCGTCCGCAGCCGCGCTGCCAGGTCTTATGTCGGGCCGCCACCACTTGAGCCTCCAGATGCCGCCCAGCGCGTCCTGCAACGTGGGCATGCTGCTCTGGCTCTTGTGCCGGCGGCGGGCCGTGAAGCCCGGGAATCCCGTAGATTTACGTCTCCTGCGCCCTAAGGGCCGACGTAATGAGGGTGATTCGCTGCCGGGTCCCACATCTGAGGTGGAAGTGAGAGGGGGAAACTGGCTGCCGCTGCCGCTGCTCACGCCGCGGCGGTGTGGGAGTAGTGATGTCGATTCGCTGACGTCGGGCATCGTGCTGGAGCGCCTGCGCGCGGTAGGCGGACTAGGCGTGTCGCGGTCCTCGAGCTCGTCCCAGATTTCGGCGCGTTCTTGCCATCTCCTGCCCGTCTTTTTGCGTTTAAGCGTGGGAGTCATTGGTGAAGTCTCGCCACTTTCCACATTAAATGTCGAGTAGGTCGTTGTAGGCAAGGGATCGTCCTCTTCGTGGAGGCTGTATAGGTCGTCACCACCCAGGAGGGACTCCTCTTCGTCTTCTGTGTCTTCCACGAGGCCGAGGCCGGGCGCTAGGGATGATTGGCCTACGCCAGGTGCGTGCTGCTCGTCGCTAAGACGCCAGGACAAGGCCAGGACGCCGGCCAGCAGAATCACCGTTCCCAAAGCAATGAGACACGCGCGGAGGGGGTTGATCATGTCCGTCTGCTTGAAGTAGATCAAGCCGTCCAGGATCGCGATGATGTTATAGATACAGAATACCAAGGGGTATAGCACCGAGGTAGAGACAAGCTTCAGACCGCGATGCAGGTAGTAGAGCTGGCTCAAAGCCAGAGTGATCAGCGCCATCACGAGGGCCCAAGCTTGCCAATGTACGAACTGGTTGTTGCCGTCCGCGATCGTCTTAATGATCAGCTCAACGGCTGACTTAGCGACCAGCAGCGAATGCGCCGAGAGAATGCCGCTTATGCACCCATACGAAAGACCACGGACGAAGCGGAACTTCGAGTTGAGCGACATGCTTGTGAAGTGGTCGAGGCAGTCGATGCTGATGGCAATGGACAGGACTAGCAAAGCCTGCATAATCATCCACACGATGAACGGTTTCCGGCCGAGCAGCTCCAGCAGCTCCTGCAGGTTATGAGCGGGCGCGGGGATGGCGCCGAAGATGGCGATCAGTACGGCGCCGGTGCAGACCAGCAGCGTCCCCCAAAGCGACCACCTCGTGAAGGGCTCATCGAGGATGAGGGTGGCGCATATCGAGTTGAAGACGAGGCCCGAGGCCTGCAGGGTCGAGAGCACGGGGAGAGGGAGGGTCGATATCTGGACGGAGCTACCGAGAAGGTTGGCGGCGATGAACATGCCCATTCCCAGTTGCCACCTGCCCCTCCGGTACGGCGGTCGGCGTATCTCGTGCGGGCCCTTTTCGTCTTCGAGGATGTGGGATTTCCGCTGCAGGGTGAGCCCCAGGCTCTGGACGCTGGTGGATAAGAGGCCGACGATGATTCCGATCTGCGTCAAGGGGCACACGTTAGCTACCTAGTATCAAGGGGACGGATGCCCGGCGCAAATGGAGTTGGGAAGCGTACGGCGATTGTCCCCCCGGGGGAGATGCCGCCAAGGGACCCCATTGCGCGCACAGGATCCAGCTAGGTGTCGGTCATTTGGTGGCGGCGGTGACTAGGTTTGAAGCAGTGGCCGTCAGGATCATGAATTATCGTCGGTCAACCCTTCTCCCTCGTTCCCACTCCTCGGTCTGCCCTGGCGTTCGTGTCGTGGGGGTGGACAAGGGGGGTTATTGTTTCCCTTTGCAGAATGATCAGATAGAATCGACTTTGGCGAGTGATCGGACGCTTCGGTAGGATGGAGGAGGCGAACAAAAGAGTGGTGCGGGAATCGCTTCAACGTTATGAGGGGGGAAAAAAAGATGTAGCTAGGAACGTTTGGCCGAACACAGGTCGCCACGCTTTGGGCGATAAAGTGTGCTGCTGCGCTTCACTCCAATAGCCGCCAAGAGAGAGCTTGCAGATGGGTTTCAAGGTTCGGGTGCGCGCCTAGTTCGTCCTGACGGCAGTTAAGGGGAAACAGAAACGTTTCTCCCTGCAAGGAACAGATGCTTGCGTATAAACCAATTTAATGCGCGTTAATTAAGCATGGGGATTCCCATTAACATGGCCAGAGTCGGTGAGCCACCTTCTATGTTAGATCGTGGCCTCAGTTCGAAACACCAGACAGATAGACGTACCACGACGCAATGGCTATCGGTATAGAGAAAAGAGAGGGTCGGGGGTTCGGATCTGGCCAGGGCGGAAGTGCCCCAAGGGGAGAAATGAGGGACAACACTTCCCCCGTGGTACGGAGTAAGTACACGCAGCAACCAAGCACCACCACGACACTGCAGCTGGGGTAGGACTCTCCACTCTTCAGGTCCCGCCTGCATTGCATTATTCAGTCCTCGTGGCGGTGCGGCTGCTTCTCGGCCCGGCGTCACCTGACCGCCGGATGCTTGAAAACGCTATCTTATCTTTTCCATTCAGGTCGTGCGTGATGTCACTGACTTCGAAAGGAAACGTGGCTGGAGAGACGACAGAGAATCCACTAGTCAGACACGCACGGGCTACATGTGGCTTGCGGTTTTTTTCTTTCTTCCATATTGCCCAAGCGGGTCCTTGCACGGGTACCCAAGTCGGTGTGGCTGACGGATTGCCTGCTGGCTGTGGGTGGGTTAGTGCAGGTCGCTGAAGCTGGGCCGAACGTCCCAGTGATGCTTGCCGGCTGGTGTACTGCTGCGGCGGCTTTGAGTAGGTAGCAAGGCCTCGTCAAACAACAGCTTCATACAACTACCTACCCCCCTCCCATCGCGACTTATCTCAACCACCGACGGGCTCATCCACCTTCTCACCACACATTCCGCGCGATCCATCATTGCCCGTCGTTGTCCTAGTTTCCCTACAAACCTGATTGATCCCGAAAACAAAGACGCTCACGCCGACGAACCCCCCCCAAATCGCCCATCATGTCGCACCAACCGTTGACCGACGACCAAGTAAGCTCCCCCGCATCGACGACATAAGGACGCACGGTGCCTCTGAAATGACATTCACTGACTCCAGGGGGTGACGGACAGGTCAGTCAGGAGCTCCGCAAGATGACAGCGTTCATCAAACAGGAGGCGATGGAGAAGGCCCGCGAGATCGAGATCAAGGCCAACGAGGAGTTCGCAATCGAAAAGTCCAAGCTCGTCCGCCAGGAGACGGACGCCATTGACAGCCAGTACGAGAAGAAGTTCAAGCAGGCCCAGATGTCCCAGCAGATCACCCGCTCCACCGCCTCCAACAAGACGCGCCTCAAGGTCCTCGGCGCCCGCCAGGAGCTCCTCGACAATATCTTTGAGGACGCCCGCAAGAAGCTGTCCTCCTCCACAAAGGACAAGGGCAAGTACCAGGCCACCCTCAAGAACCTGATTCTCGAGGGCCTCTACGCCCTCGCCGAGCCCGAGGTCGTCATCCGCGCGCGGAAAACCGACTTTGATGTCGTCAAGAAGGCCATTGAGGACGCCGTCAAGGAATACAAGAAGGAGGTCGGCAAGGACACGTCCGCCAAGATTGACGAGTCCAACCCTCTGCCAGCGGAGAGGTATGTTTCACCCCCCCGCCCTCTCACGCACTTATCACTGTGCCCGCAGGAACAGAAGCTAACGAAGATGGAAACAGCGCCGGTGGTGTATTCATCGTAGGCGGAAAGGGAAAGATCGAAATCAACAACACATTCGAGGAACGCCTAAACATCCTCCAGGACACCGGTCTGCCGGCCGTACGCGAGACTCTGTTTGGAAAGAACCCCAACCGCAGGTTCACTGATTAAGGCACATCCTCTCACCGAAAGCGCGCGCCCTGCAAATACATACATAGCCCCCTTACCCCCTTTTCTCCCGCACTCGGGGCTAGACAAACGCAACGCTGCATGAAGGAAACTCCCGGCGCCACCGTTTCCGAAACCTCCCTTCCTGTGGTGTATCTTAGATGCTGTATGATCGTGGCCAACTCTTGGCGTATTAGGTAGTTGTCGTCATACTACGAGTTTATCATCATTAACCGAGTGCCGTGACGAATGTGTCGTCCTCGCTCGACGGTAGTTCGACCTTGGCGTCCGTTGCCCCAGCCGGCTTATTCTTCCTCGGGTGAACAAACTTGTGCATGAAGTCCTGCTGCCGCTTCTTCTTCGCCGACGACGGTCCTTCGTCGTCAAATATGCTTTGTGTGGGCGGACGTCTCGTACGCACTGAGTAGCTGAGGCGCTCCCCAACCCACTCGAGGACGCTCTTGGCTTCTGTGCGCGCCAGGTTCGCGGCCCCGGTGTCGTTGATGCCGCGCCAGATAGCCTTGAGGCGCTTCGTGAGATCGTCAACTTCTGCGTTGAACTCTTTTTCATGCTCCCGGTCGTCCTTGCCATGTACGAAGGAGCCGTCATCCACGGCCATGTCGAGGAGCTGCACCAGGGCTTGTAGATCGGTGTACTTAGTTCTGTGGCCGGTCTGAAAGTCACTGTCCTTTACCCGGGCAATGATGACACGCAGAGAGACGACATCGTCGGGGTGCTCGCTGGCCAGCGCTGCGTCCCGGAGGAAAAACGCAACCGCCAGTCGTCTCCGTAGCTCATGGAGTTTTGGCGAGGTAACCGGCATGCAGAGCAGCGGCAGTATCCGGAGTGACGTCTTGTCAAATCCGTGGTAGAGAGACGAACAGATCTCGAAGCACTGAGTAGTGTCTAGGTCAGCAAAGAGCCCCGAAACCGTGCCTTGAAGCTCAACTCACAAAGCCATCCCAGACATCGTCTGCCACCGAGTTCACCAAGCCCTCTAGGGCATGCTGATGATGCGTGAGGATATCCGCGTTCTCGAGAACCATCCTGTCAGCCGCCATACGGAGCAGCATCTTGACGGCGAAGACCATCGAGTCGTGGTTGAGCTGAGCTGCTACCCAATACAGCCATTCCAGGAACGACTGAAGAGGCTGCCAGTTGCGATCTGCATATACGTCTCGGACTTCTCTGACCGGTTTAAGCACCTCGTCACCGACATGATCTGCGGCGCCCAGCCTCCGCAAGATTTCTTCGAGCCGCTGGGGCGTGACGAGCCGCTTGACATGCTTCGCGTTGGCCGCGGCGATTCTGCGGTATTCCTCTCTGAGGACGCTGACCTCTTCGACAGTGGCCATGTCCAAGATCCAGAAGTAAAGCTCGTCTGGAAGTCCCATGATGATTGCCAGGCTGGCGGGCATCCCGGACAAAATGTGTCGGTTTCGCGTTTCCGCCTTCGCAAGGAAAGACCAAGGCCCCTTTACGCACCTCTTTGGAAAAGGAGCGGGCTTACCCAGACCGTCGTCCTCCTTGTTGAAGAAATACCACTTGGTCCTGGGCGCACCGGCATCAGTCCGCTCCATTGCCCTCATCGCTTTGTCCGCATCCTCCTCGGACTTGACGCCAGCAATCTCGATCAACTTCTGACGTGCTTTACTGGGGCTGGCCTCCAGGTCCTCCATCACTTCATCCTTGACCTCGGGCGCGGCTGGCCGTTTGGGGCTGTCAAACAGTACATCGTGTCTTTGCGAGTGCGCATCAAGCGTCTTGAAATCGAATTTGTGCTTTGGCTGGATGGTGAGAGGCGATTTGTGAATGAACCTGGCCCGTCTCTTGGCTTTTGGCGTTCCGTCTGGCCTCGGCTTGGTCGGACCCAGCATGTCAAGATCGGGGAACGAATCATCAGATAATGAGTTGTCGTCATCCTCATCGTCAGAACCTTTGATCACCGCGTCTCTGGTGAAAGTGGATCGCTTCTTCGTTGTTGACGGAGACGATCGAATGCTGGGAGAGCTGGGTAGACTAGGGAGAGACGGCAAGCTGTTGGGGGTTCCCGTGGCTTTCGGTTCCCCTGAGCTGTTACGCTTGAGTGTGCCCGATGGCCTGCTCGTCCGCGACAATGACATGTCAGGGAGTATGCCAGCCGACGGGGACTCGGGCGGGCTCTGGCTAACCGTCCTTTTGGCCGGGCTCTGCCCAAAGAGCCGGCGCCGAGGTGTCGTAACTTCCTCCGGCTCAGGAGACTGCTTGACTGATGCCGGTAGCGAAGAGAATCGCATCTTTCGCAAAGAGCCGCTGCTCTGCCCTGAGGGCGACTTCCTGGGAGTGGCATTGTTTACTGGAGTGCGCGATCGTGATCGTGATCGGGGCCTACTGCGGCCTGGTGTCTGATAAATGAGACGCCGCAATGATGGTGGGAGGACCGGAGTAGTGTGGAGTTCCGATAGTGACGATACCGAAGTGTCTAAACTCGACGATGTGAGAGGCAGCGGGCAGGCCGTCGTCGTTGGAGACACAGCCCGACCCGAGGCGACAACTATGGTGTCTGCAACTGAGGCTCCATCTTGTGCTTTTTTTGAACGGGTACTCCTGGTCACCGTTTGCCGGGGCGGCTTCACATTCCGGGCCTGGACGCGAGCACGATTTGGTATCTCCGGGGCGGCGGCACCGGACGACTGCGATCTCGGAATTCCTGATCCGGGCTCTTGGGAGGCCTGCAACGATGACACCGTAGGTGTGGCAGATCTTGATGCACGAACAGCCCCAAAGAAACTCCTAATATCTCGGCTGCCGGTTGCGCCTCCAGCCTGGGTGGTGTTGCCCGATTTCCGAGCCATGGCCGACGGAGGGTAAGTGGAGGTGCAGTGCAGTTCTTGTTTTACTCGTGTCCGAGCTGCAATACAGACTATGGCGCGGATTCCTCACTATTGAATGGAGGGCGTGGGCCGTCGTGATGGAAACTTCAGTCACATCGGAACACAGGTAGCACCGCAGGATGGAATGGTCGTCGAGGTGCCGACGCGTGGGCGACGCCGTTTTCGCGTCGGGCATTGGATGGGAGTTTTAGTGGGGGTCACTTAAAGCTTGGGGCTCTTATCTTATCATCAAAAAAATTATGTCATCACGGACGGTCTTTGGGCGCGTTTCACGGAGAGTTGGAACAAAGTCGGCTTCAATCAACTGGTCGACCGGACAGGAGGGCTTTTTGAAACCACAATGTCGTGAGGTAATTGCGGAAACGACTAGTGGGAACGAACGCATAGACGGATTGGTTGCCAAGGGTGATCTAAGGAGTTGGAAAATGACATGAATAGTACAAGACAATTGCAGTGACAATGCCCACTCAGAATTCCGTCGCTCGATTCAGTCCACACCGCTAACTATCGTGTGCGAGGTCCAGCAACGGCTCAACTCGGGCCAGAATCGGACGAACATATACTCGGCACCAGCGGAGGAGGTGCATGATTTCCTTCTCCTACTCCATGGAAAAAAGAAAAACCTGAAATGCAGCTGCGGAAGCCCCGGGTAACGGATAATGGGGGGGCACCTCAAAAAAGGACGCGGGCCACGGACTGCTAGGGTTTCCACAGTCGGGAATAGGGGCCACCTGTCATGACCGTGGCTGCTGCATGACGGTATGGTTTGGGAGTTCCTGGGCGGCGACGAAAGGCAGGTATGGACTGCCCAGGAGCTTGCCATTTTGAGTCCCTTTTATCTCCGTCCTTTCTTGACTCAGCAGAGAAGAGGAAGGTTCTGGCCTGCAAACAGTCCTTGGCAACCACTATCCCGGCTCATGGGTCACTCTCGGAATTCCAACGAGGTCGGTCATCGGACTACAATCTGCTCGGGAATTCCGTCCGCAAAAAACGGCGGTCCGGATCAGAGGGCTCCAGGACTTTGGGCCACGATCAAAACAACCACCCTAGCAGGTTAAATCAACCCGCGTCCTGTGTGAGCCGCATGGCCTAACCCCTCCTTTCAAGTTTTGTATGCATCGGAGGGGTCGCGAGATTTGTGGCCCGAGGTCACATCCTACCTTCCGCTTCCCGTCTGTTGTCCTCCGTCCTTTTCCTCGCGGACTTGTTTGAATCACGAGCCTGCATTGGATGAGACGGACAGATTCGGCGTGGGGAACTCGAGTGTTGGGTGCAGTCCACCCCGTGTTTGAGTTTGAGTCGTGCAAAATCGTCAGGGCAAGTTTTGCTTGACTGCTGCGACTGAAGACTTATTGTGTTTTTGGTATAGCGACCAACAATTGTCTGACTTGCCTTTCGCCGCCGGGCGGTTCGTAGAGGCCGTCGAGTGGAGTTTGGTGTGGGCCGTCGCACTCGAGGTCGCCGGCGGGAACGGCGCGCGAGCGTCTCGCGTTCTTCCACTCACCTCGTCCTCAGCATCAAATAGACCCCGTCAGCGCCGTGAATGAAGCTTTGGCGACTGACTGGATGTCTTGCAAGTCCCCGCTGTTCTCCGTCTTTCCTCCGAAGGGGCATGGTGAAGCCCCGAACGCCCGACTGCACATACTTCCATTTTCTGCCCATTTCCCAGCTGCGATTCAGAGTCCAGCCGCACGCTGGTTGTCTGCGGGCGCCCCTTTACTACGCATCATATCTATGCACATGTACAGTGGGGTGCCATAAGTCTCCTGACAGCCTACAGTCTCTCACTAAAATAGACATTCTTTAACTATATAGATTACACTCTTTAGACAAGTTAAAGTTATCATTTAAAATATCTATAGAAAATATATCACTTATCTTAATAACATTAAGACACTATAGTATAAATTTTGTGTGGTGCACTATAGGCTGTCAGGAGACTTATAGCACCCCACTGTAGAAGTCGGGAGGCCAAGCGACCGACCCCCAGACTGGAGAATGAAGCTAGCGGACTGCTAGCAATAGTTAGTCTCAGCAGGTCTACGTAGTAACGTAGCCGTTAAGGCAGTTGCTTTGGGAGAGAAACTCCACAGGGGACACCCTGCCGAGGTTGACAACGTCGGTGTGATCCTTGCTTGATCTGAGTAGTTCATTCTAGCATAGATTACCTTCCATCAATTGCAGTAGAACACGGACAACTCTGTGGGCAGAGGCGATCCCAGAAATGGCTAACAAGCTTGAGCGGGAAGCATGTCAAGACTGTCGAGAGTGGCCGACTATATGCGCGGGCTGTAGATTTGTTTCTTGGTGCCATTTCCGTGCGGCTAGGACGGGCTTGATGGAGGAGGTGTGAGATTTGGACGGGTTTGTCTTCCTATGGGTCTCTAACAATGTCCCTCTCAGCCTCACGTTTGCTGCCCAAGGTCGGGTCGTGTGGGTGTGTCTGTATGAGTGTTTTTTTTCTTTCTTTTTTTCCTTCTTCGTTCGTCATGCCATTGATACCGATACGCTGCCTCGCGTAGATTTGATGGCCCCCTCCTGCCGAGTAATTCGAGGCTGTTCACGAGGCAGTGTTTCTCTGGACGCTTAACTCGAGTACTTGACATGACAGAAGCTTGGCTCAGTTGATGACCCCTAACACGCCTGCTTGAACGCGCATCTCAATCCCGCATGCCAAACAGACCCTAGTGCCACAGGCGCAAAGATTCGCGATCCGCCCGGGCGCCCGTGGGTACGATGCAACCCTGAGACCCTTCCCCCCTCTCACTGCCATCGCTGGGGCCCTGGCCGATGGAGCGTGGTCGCTTGCTATTTGAGGTGCGAGAGAGATGGAAAATGGGCCATACTGGAGCCAGTCAGCCCGGGTTTGGCCAGCGGTGGCTCGTAATGAGGCGTCGGGTTTCGTGCTCCGCCGGTCATCAAAGACAAGACTTGGAGGCCGGGGTCCTATTGCGCGCTTTCCTCTGGCTGGCACATTCTTGGCCAATTTCTCTTCTGGGGCAGCCAAGTATAGGTCGTTGTGAAGACCGGCAAGTCACGCAAGTCTAATTTCTGGCAAGAAGCGACAGCCCACGCCTGGAACGGTCCCCCCCTTTGGGGTACCCTGTTGGAACGGAACGGGGTGTGAAAATGGAAATGGGACAGGATGGCGATGATTGCGTCCCATGATGAACGCGCACAAGTGCTCAAGCCTCACAGATGTAGCCGTTAGTGACAGGGTAACACAATACAGGTACCGTAAATTGGTTCGGTTGATCCTAGACCGCTGGCTCGCCATGGCCCATATTTACCAGTGACCGTCTGGTTGCCGCCTCTCGGTTGGGATCTGCCTTGTTGCGACGAGGAATGATAACTGGAGCTCGTCCGAAGGAACCAGTCAGCAGTTGCTCTTGAGATCAACCTGCCCGCTGTCAGGCGTGAGATGTGAAGTGCTGCCAGCACACAAAGTGGGTGGCCGGTTGGTTGGGTTGGGCGCAGCATTGGTTGGTAGCAGTAAGCAGTGGTTGGGCTGTGCAAAAACCATGGCTTCCTTTTCTCCTTGTCTTCCTTGGCCTCGTCCAGATTTGCACGGGGCGAGAGCGCAAACGGCGGAAGGAAACGAAGAGGCTTGCAAAGCGGGAAACAAAATGCCGTGCAGCGCAGACACGGAAGCCGGCGCATGGGGAGCGCTAAACGGTGCGCACGCAGACGGATTTGGATGCAGAATTTGAGGGTGGGTTTTGGTTGCTTAGTGAAGGTGAAGGGGCATGAATGACAAGTACTTGGATATGAAGTGAACTTGGGCTGGGTCGGATACGGGTCGATTGGAAGGGCAATCATCACATCGCATACCAGCCGGCCACTTTGGGGGGGAGGAGGTTCCTCCCCCACTTCTTCTTCACACCGAATCCTTGCCAACTTGCTGGGAGACCCTGCCTTTCCTTGTAGGTACAACAAGCGTGAAATACTTGAGAATTTGCTGACGAAGCAAGCAGCCCGGAGACATTCGGACAATAGGGGAGGTAAAGGGAGCCCTGTATTACACTAGTGGGGACAGTGCAGTGTGTGGCTGGTGGAAGGCACCTAAGTGGAATGCAACGAGGGCGGAGATAAATTACGTACCCGGAGTTTATCACAGAAACCACCTACCGAGGGGCTTGCATACCTGGGTAGGTAGTAGTAAGGTACTAGGAATGCCTGCGTCTGCTTACACATAGCACACCGCGGAATCCCCGGCAGAGTCACTCGAAGGTCGCGCCCCGAGGGTTGGGATTCGTTCGTGACGAGGCGGGCTTGGGCTCACTGGCGCTGGTTTGACAGTAAGACGTTGCATTGCGAGGTCTAGGGACACGGCCACGGTCCGTTCTGTGCTCGTTTGGCCTCGTCTTCTCCCTGTTTGTGCTTGGTCCTGATGAACCGCAGCCGTCATCAAGTAGTCTACGGGTCGGGGTGTTGGAGCTAAATGGCAACAAAGACAAGGGATTGTGAGATGAAGATGACAGAGGTACTCGCACCTCAACTGACTGGCCGTCGGAGTTTGGACGAGGGCCCTCACTCATGCACACCTCATACGTAGTATGAGTACGGAGTATACTTGTCTCCTATGTACGGATACTATGTCAATCAACATGCAGAACTTCGGGGGAGGATACTTGGGGAACCGTTATTAATCACAACCTTGTCGCAGAGTTGGTTGCGTGGGAAATGGGAATCTCTATTGGGCCGATGCTAGTGGAAGGAGAAAACATGGGCAGAGTGCCATTGCCAAGGTCGGGGCTCCATGCTTGCTGCTCTCGAATCTCCTGTCGCTGTGGTAGCGAAAAGTGTGGGACGTACCTTGGTGTACCTCTGTGTACAAATCGCGGGCGGGCGCGACGTTGTACTAGGAAATCGGACAATCGGGTTGATTACCAATGGCTCGCATCCATTAGAATGACTTATCCACCAAGCGGGCTAGTGCGCAATGTATCTAGCCAGTAGCCATGTACGGTAGTAATGTGCAGACTGGGTCTGTAGTGTTTATAAGGTCAACTAGGTACCTAGATACACAGTAATGGTACTACACGTATTAGTCATGGGAAGCCTCCGCCTACGAGTCCGCAGTTGACTGGCAAGGGGTCACTAGTTGTTGACGGTTCGCAAGTTGGGTATCTACTAGCACGTACTACGTAGGTATATGATTTGCTGTCCGCTACACGTACCAACATCGAAAAGGCATTTTAGCCTAGTTCAATGCACTGCAGATGATGGATATGGCAGAAGCGGACGGTGGAGTCATGTTGGCCATCCCCGGGCTATCCGGACGGGCATCCTTCCACCTGGTCGTACCCCTCCCCTTGTACCTGCGGCGCATCGACTTGCGGAGTGGATGGTGGACATCGGTGACGCGAGTGACCACGCAATAGCAGAAGAGAGACCTTGACGTTTACCGTCTGGACCGGCGCATGTGTGGAGATCCCAGCGACTGCTTTCTGTTTCGTGGTTGGTATTGGATGTGAGCCTTGCGTCTACTAGTATTACATACAGCACTCCATCTGCAGGAGGGGGAAAAAAAAAAAAGGGTGTGTACACTAAGAGAGGTGGAACTAACCCGGCCGACACGGCACCACGGGCTCGCGCTTCGGTTGCATCGCAGGGCTCCCTGCTCCTTCCTCCCTCCCTCCCTCCTTCCCTCCCTCTCTCTCGCTTGCTTTCTTCTTTATCCATACTGCTTACTCGTCCTCGGTCCTCGTCCTTGGTCGGCGTCCGTGTTTCTTTCTCCCTCTGCTCTTGCTTTCGCCATCATCCCTCTTCTCCCGCTTTTTCTCCTCCCACTCTCCCACTTAACCCTCTGCGTCCCCCGTGCTCCGTAGATTCCGCTGAGACGCAGGGCCTTGACACAAATTTGAGAGACCCTAAGCTCATATCTCCGGACCTGGGCCTTAGACTGGGTTCCCCTAGACCAGACGCCGCGCAGAGAAAAAAGCACGATACAAGGGCAATCAGAGACAGTACATGTGCTGCCGCGCTCGAAATCCGTACCTGCCCAGGCTATTTCTGCCACAGTTCCCTAATCTAACGGTAGGGCCAGGTACTTCCAGCGCCACCCTCCCTATAGGTACCTCTGATACGTACCGCCCAGGCTTACATTTCTTCCCCCCTGCGCCATTGCACAGAGGGCGAGATGCATGCGGTACTTTATCCAACCTTGGATAACTTGTCTCTGATCTCCCCTCAAAGGATGAAAGCACACATTCTCACTGCACCCACGACTTGTTTCCATAGTACAGTGTACTGCTGAAGGGTGACTCGAGATACCTTTGCCTTCACACCCCCAGGCGGTTCCAAGCCCCCCCCATATCATCTGGTTCCTAGCACCCAGAACCCAGCGACAGGCACTCCCACCCCCTCCCAGCGGGTTTTTGGGTAACGCTGTCATCAAACACCGCGACAGCACCTCCTGGCCCCTTAAGCCAAAATAATTCTTGCCCCCTTCCGACCACTCCCTTCCAATTCTATTACTCCCTCGCACGAACCACATTCTCCCAACCAACACCACAACACAAACCTCGGACGGCCTTCGACGGCGACGACGACGACGACGACGACGACAACGACGACGACAACGACGACGACGTTACGCTGAACACCCACGGTCGCTCGTTTCACCTCCTGCGCACCGCTCGACGATAATCCGCTCTCATTCGATTTTTTACGTTCGAGATCGCCGACACTGGATCGCTCGATAAGCAGCACGTCGTCCCTCTCCCACCCGGGACCACTGTTGCGGCCGGACGAGGCCATCCTGGAGGACCACTCGGGTTGATCGGGCTGCTCGCCCGCACACCAGGAGATCACGATGGCGCCCACAATCGAACAAGGGCCCAACGCTGTTCTCGATCCTGCTAATGGCCCTGCCAACGACCCCGAGAATCCCACGCTGCGGACAAGATGGGCCACCCGCAAAATGACGATAAAGAGCAGCAACAAGAAAAGGCTTTCTCTCATGCATCGCACCACACATAAGAAGAACAACAGCGAAAAGAGCCGTAGCTCCGGCGGCACCGAATCCCTGCAGACTGAGAACAACACCGCACAATCTGACTCTGAAGAAGGCAATGGCGGCAGGAAAGTCTTCTTCAACCTCCCTTTGCCCCCGGAACTACTGGATGAGGAGGGCCACCCGAGCCAGCAATTTCCAAGGAACAAGATTCGGACGGCAAAGTACACACCCCTTAGCTTTGTACCCAAGAACCTGTGGTTTCAGTTCCAAAATATCGCCAACATCTTTTTCCTTTTCCTTGTTATTCTCGTGGTAAGTCGGACTTCAGGCGTGCCCCCGCCCCCCTGACCTCCTTGAACATGTTACCAACTCTCTACAGTTCTTCCCCATCTTTGGTGGCACGAACCCAGGCCTCAATTCCGTGCCCCTGATTTTTATCGTTGTCGTCACAGCAATTAAGGACGCCGTCGAAGACTATCGCCGTACTATTCTCGATATTGAGTTGAACAATGCCCCCGTTCATCGCCTGGGAAACTGGAATAATGTCAACGTCGAGGAGGACAACGTCTCGCTCTGGAGACGCGTCAAGAAGGCAAACAGTCGCTTCTTCGGCCTCATCTGGCACACAATCGAGAGCGTCTGGTCGAAGAAGGCGAGGCGAGAGCTTGCCATGCGCAGGAACCCCCAATCCGCAGACGCGCCGCGGCCTTCAATCGAAACCCGCGCCGGCCACCGAGACTCCTTAGCTTCGCCGCATTCTGGTCGCGACTCGTTCGTCTCCGCACGCGAGGACATCCAAATGACACCAGTCCCATCTCCATTGCCGCGCCAGAATCTGGAGGTGCCTCAGCCAGACGACTACAAGCGAGCGAGAGAGTTAATGCAGCGCGAGGGAGATGTACTCAACCGAAACTTGCCGAGCAAGGGCGAAGCCCGGTTTCACAAGGATCACTGGAAAGACCTCAGAGTCGGTGACTTTGTGCGCATTTACAACGATGATGAGCTCCCAGCTGACATCATTGTCCTGTCCACATCCGACCCAGACGGAGCATGCTACGTCGAGACGAAGAATTTGGACGGTGAGACGAACTTGAAAGTGCGACAGGCCCTCAGGTGCGGCAGGTCTTTGAAGCACGCGAGAGATTGCGAACGAGCGCAATTCTGGATCGAAAGTGAACCCCCCCAACCCAACCTCTACAAATACAACGGTGCTGTCAGATGGTACCAATCCTTCGACGACGAGGCGGAACCCGAACTGATGACCGAGCCTATTTCGATTGACAACATGCTCCTCCGTGGATGCAACCTAAGGAACACAGAGTGGGCCCTCGGAGTGGTTGCTTTTACCGGACACGACACCAAGATCATGATTAACTCTGGCATCACTCCCAGTAAGCGCGCTCGAATTGCTCGGGAGATGAACTGGAACGTCATCTGCAACTTTGGCTTTCTGTTCATCCTGTGTATTTTGTCGGCCATTATCAACGGTGTTGCGTGGGCGAAGACAGATGCTTCGTTGCACTTCTTCGACTTCGGGTCGATAGGAGACTCGGCACCCATGTCCGGCTTTATCACCTTTTGGGCGGCCATCATCGTCTTTCAGAACTTGATTCCAATTGCGCTTTACATCACTCTTGAAATCGTCCGACTACTTCAAGCAATCTTCATCTACAGCGATGTCGAGATGTACTACGAGCCGCTCGACCAACCTTGCATTCCGAAATCCTGGAACATCTCCGACGATCTGGGCCAGATTGAATACATCTTCTCGGACAAGACTGGCACATTGACGCAGAATGTCATGGAGTTCAAGAAAGCCACCATCAACGGGCAGCCTTACGGCGAGGCTTACACGGAGGCACAGGCTGGCATGCAAAAGCGACTGGGCGTTGATGTTGAGAAGGAGGCTGCTGAAGCTCGAGCCGAAATTGCGGATGCTAAAGTCCGTGCGATCGATGGCCTCCGAGACCTGCACAACAACCCCTATCTCCACGACGAGGATCTTACCTTCATCGCTCCTGACTTTGTTGCCGATCTAGCGGGCGACTCTGGCAAAGAGCAACAGATAGCAAACGAGCATTTCATGCTTTGTCTTGCCCTGTGCCATACAGTTATTGCAGAGAAGGTACCTGGCTCGCCGCCGAAGATGACCTTCAAGGCGCAGTCCCCCGACGAGGCGGCGCTAGTTGCCACGGCCCGCGACATGGGCTTCACAGTGCTTGGTAGCTCTCAGGAGGGTATCAACCTGAACGTCATGGGCGAGGATCGCTCTTATCCCATACTGAACACCATCGAGTTCAACTCGAGCAGAAAGCGAATGAGCGCGATTGTGCGGATGCCCGACAACCGCATCCTCCTTATCTGTAAGGGAGCAGACAGTATCATCTATTCGCGTCTCAAGCGCGGCGAGCAGCAAGAGCTCCGCAAGGTCACGGCTGAGCACCTTGAGATGTTCGCACGTGAAGGCTTGAGAACGCTTTGCATAGCGCAACGCGAGCTTACCGAACAGCAATACGAGGCCTGGCGCAAAGAATACGATGCCGCTGCCGCAGCCTTAGAACATCGAGAGGAGAAGTTGGAGGAGGTTGCCGACCATATCGAACGCGAGCTGACTCTGCTCGGAGGTACCGCCATTGAAGACAGGCTGCAAGATGGCGTGCCGGATACCATCGCCCTCCTTGGTGACGCCGGTATTAAGCTCTGGGTTCTCACTGGCGACAAAGTTGAAACGGCTATCAACATCGGCTTTTCTTGTAATCTTTTGAACAACGATATGGAACTCATTCACCTGAAAGTTGACGAAGACGAGACCGGCGAAACTCCCGACGACCATTTCCTCAGCATTCTGGAACAGGAACTTGACAAGTACCTCCAGGAATTTGGCATGAAGGGCGACGACGATGATTTGGTGAAGGCTATGAAGAACCACGAGCCTCCCGCCCCAACACACGGCCTCGTCATCGATGGCTTCTCTCTCAAGTGGGTTCTTCACGACGCCCTAAAGCAAAAGTTTCTGCTTCTTTGCAAGCAGTGCAAGTCGGTCCTCTGCTGCCGTGTCAGCCCTGCTCAAAAGGCGGCCGTGGTGTCCATGGTGAAGAACGGCCTCGATGTCATGACCCTTTCCATTGGAGATGGTGCTAACGACGTCGCCATGATTCAAGAGGCGGATGTCGGTGTCGGCATTGCCGGCGAGGAAGGCCGACAGGCCGTCATGTCATCGGACTATGCGATCGCCCAATTCCGATTCCTCTCGCGGTTGGTCCTTGTTCATGGTCGATGGTCATACCGCCGGCTCGGAGAGACCGTTGCCAACTTCTTCTACAAAAACGTGGTCTGGGTATTTGGTATCTTCTGGTATCAAATCTACTGTGACTTTGATGTCACGTATATCTACGAGTACACCTACATTCTGCTCTTCAACCTGCTCTTCACCTCGGTCCCGGTCGTAGTCATGGGAGTTTTGGATCAAGACGTTTCGGACAAGGTCTCGCTCGCAGTGCCCCAGCTGTATCGCCGGGGCATCGAACGAGCGGAGTGGACGCAGACCAAGTTCTGGTAAGTTTGGTTCCAGCTGTAGCCGTGGATGAGTTGCTAATTTGCCTATAGGCTATATATGATTGACGGCGTCTACCAATCCGTCATGGTTTTCTACATTCCGTACTTAACTGTGGTTAGCACGAGTTTCGTCACCCACAACGGCTTGAACATTGAAGACAGGACGCGACTCGGCGCCTACATTGCGCACCCTGCCGTTTTCGTTATCAACGCCTACATTCTCATCAACACGTACCGTTGGGACTGGATCATGATAACGATTGTCGTCCTGAGCGACCTTATGATCTTTATAGTCACCGGCATCTACACGGCTACCGAGGCATCCATGTTCTTTTACCAGGCCGCCCCGCAGATATACGCCCAGGCGTCGTTTTGGGCAGTCTTCTTCATTGTACCCGTTATTAGCCTCTTCCCCCGATTTGCGATCAAGGCGATTCAAAAGGTGTACTTTCCATACGACGTCGACATCATCCGCGAGCAAGAACGCCAAGGCAAATTTTCTCGTCTCGCCCAGGGCGACGAAGCGACAACGGTCGTTGGGGAGCAGGAGGCGAGCAAGACACCGTCAAACTCGTCTGACAGCTCGCGCAAGGGTAAGCATATGCACTATGCCAGTGTGGATGAGGACAGAAGGCCAATCTATCCACCTTCAGTTGCTACACACACGACGCACAACCCGCGCAGCCAAAACGGCAGCGATGGCACCAATTACACAGGTCATCGCCAATCGATGGACATGGTGCAAACGCAGTCCCTTGACATGACCCCTCCAATGCGAGCCTCCTTCGAACGATCTCGCCCCTCGTACGATCGAGCCAGACCGTCTTACGACCGAATCCGCGCCTCGATGGACCGCACACGAGCCAGTTTCGAGGCCAGTAACGACTTTACGTCTGCCGCCCGACTTTCCCGTATAGAATCGAGCCAATCCTATAGCGATCGGTTCCATCCTCGAAGACTACGAGGTCTGTCATTGACGAAGAGTGCCAACATGTAGCGCCCGCTCTGCCTCATGACCGACTCGAATTAACCTTGTATTATACCTCGCCTCGCCCTCGAGACAGGGCATTGTTTCTTTTTGCTGTTTTGTTGATATCCCCCGATGCATCACGATCTGCATGAGCGATCTACGACATTCCCACCCTCGCGTACCAGCGACACCCGATGCCTTGTCACCCTCAACCTCCCGTCTGCTTCTCTTTCGGTTTTGCAGGTTTATTATTCACTTTTTGGTCTTTTTGTTTTGATATTATCGTATAGGGGATTCCTATTGCGACGGCGTTCACGGAAGCAAAGGAATGGAAGACTCGGACGGCATTTTCCGTGCAAGTTTTGGTGTGCATCCTAGAATCGAGAGGAGAGGGGGCGCTAGGAAACAGTCCATGCTGCAGATGCTGGAACCTCTACTTGGGGGCCTCAGGGGCGTTGTGGCTTGGTGGGCTGACCCAAGCGATGGCACACGCCGTGCCAGCAATGTCTTCTTTGCACATAGGCGCGAACAGTAGGAGAAATACGCGAAAGCCAAAACATATAATAAGAGAGGAGCTTGAAGACGAGCAAAGAAGATAGAAGTTAAATTTTACGTGAACTGTTAACACAGGATATCAATCCTGATCCATGGTGACTAAAGGTAAACCTATCTCTGTGTCGTTCCATCAAATCTCATCAACAAGGTCAATCCTACCGCCTACCGGTCATAACACAGCCGTTGGGGCCCTACCGTCGTGATGCTGGGGCTCCCCGTCTAACACGCAGGTACCTGCGTTGTCGCGGCCCCGTATCAAAGGCTAAATCCACAATACCTAGATAGGTAGTACCACTATGTAGCGAAGGTAGAGGCGGGACTCGACCGGGGCAAGCTCACCCGAGCTCCTGCTGATTTCATGCCAAGAGCAACTGAGCGACTTCAGGGATCTGCATGGAGAGACTCTCTCCCACCATCTCACTCTCCCTATCCGCAGGAATAAAATCACAATTGCGACCTTAGAGGACGACGCCCTTGCAACAACAAGCCGTTGCAACACCCGGCTTAGGTCGACTCCAAGATGGACATACAATTTTTGGACGAGGTCGCCGAGCGGATCAACTCGTACATTGAAGCCATCCCGTACGCCACTGCCTGCTGAATGGCGCCACTTCCAGCTCTCGAAAACTAACGCTAACTCGACGTAATGGTGGCAGACCCGGCGTTCCCCAGTACCTCTTCGCTGCGATCGCAATTGCCTTCAGTATCTGGCTCCTACATTTGGCGCAGGCTTGGAACGAAGACAGAACTATCACCTACACCGTCCCTCCGCCGAAGACTCCTGACGAGCATTCGATTGTTGAGGAGACCAACGTCAAGGTACGAGATACCATAATACCGAGCGTACGGAGTGCCCCAGATGGCTGACGCAAACTCTACCCACCCAGATCTCTGGCACGACCGCAGTTCAGTGCTACGCCCCAGCTACCGGCCAGTTTCTTGGCTTCATCAACCCCTCTACCCCGGCGTCCATCGACCGTGCTGTTGATGCAGCCCACGCAGCGCAGACGAAATGGAAGAAGACGACCTTCCGCGAGCGCCGTCGCGTGCTGCGTACGATGCTACAACACGTTTCAGACAACCAGGAAGCCATCTGCCGAGCCGCTTGCCTCGACTCCGGCAAGACCATGGTCGACGCCCAGTTGGGCGAGATCCTCGTCACCGTCGAGAAGCTCACCTGGACGTTGAACCATGGCGAGAAAGCCCTCCGCCCGAGCCCGCGACCCACGAACCTCCTCATGGCATACAAGCATAACGAGGTGCGGTATGAACCGCTTGGCGTGGTTGGAGCGCTCGTGAGCTGGAACTACCCGTTCCACAACCTCATTGGGCCCATCATTTCGAGCATATTTGCTGGGAACGGTGTTCTGGTCAAGGTTTCTGAACAGACGGCATGGAGCTCGCAGTACTTCACCAGTATCGCGAGGGGTGCCCTTATCGCCCACGGATATAACCCTGCCTTGATCCAGACGGTGGTGTGCTGGCCCCAGACAGCGAACCACATAACCTCCCACCCCAAGATATCTCACTTGACCTTCATTGGTTCCCGCCCTGTGTGCTTGAAGGTTGCCGCGTCGGCTGCCAAGTCGCTGACGCCTCTCATCGCTGAGCTTGGTGGCAAGGATCCTTCCATTGTTCTCGACTCTGCTGTCAAGGATTTGAACCGTGTTGTTGATATTCTCATGCGCGGAACTTTCCAGGCTTCCGGACAGAACTGCATTGGCATTGAGCGAATCATTGCTACGCCAAAGCTTTACGAACAGCTGGTTTCCACGCTTGCCCCGAAAGTCCAGGCCCTCCGCCTGGGCCCCACTGCAGATGTGGGAGCCATGATCTCCGATGCTAACTTTGATCGGCTGGAGGCCCTTATCGAAAAGGCTCTTAAACAAGGTGCTCGTCTCCTCGCCGGTGGCAGGCGCCATATCCATCCCGAATATCCCAAGGGCCACTACTTCACCCCAACACTTCTCGTTGATGTTACTCCAGACATGGATATCGCCAACGAGGAATGCTTCGGTCCCGTCATGACCATCATGCGCGCCCCAGGCCCGGATGCCGAGTCCGTGCTATCCGTGGCCAACGCGCCAGACTTTGGTCTTGGTGCTTCCGTATTTGGCAGCGACAACGATCCCGTACTCCGCGTCGTCGTCGACGGCCTCAATACTGGAATGGTAGCCGTCAATGACTTTGGCGCAACCTATGCTGTACAGCTTCCATTCGGTGGCGTCGGAGGCTCTGGCTACGGACGCTTCGCCGGCGAGGAGGGTCTTAGGGGCCTCTGCAACATCAAGAGCATCTGTGCCGACCGCTTTGGTTGGCTGGGCGTTCGCACCTCCATCCCGCCACCTGTCAGGTATCCTGTGCCGGATCAGGAGCGCAGTTGGCGGTTCACGAAAGGGGTTGTAGACGTGGGATATGCACAGGGTCTTGTAGGAAAGCTCAAGGGAATCCTTGACATTATGAAGAACGTTTGATTCAATGGCCGAGGAGCACGCGGGAGCTACATAGTGACATGTATAAAGTATTGAGAGGTGGTGGACCAGAAGCACAGATATAGGTCAATTCACAGCATCCCGCATTGCTTCGAAGCTTTCTGAACTGCCTTCATCTAGCCTGGCCGGTCTATTTCCTAGATGTTTGTCTCCCCACCTGAACTTCATTTTTATCTCGCAATTTCTTATTCTGGGTGAAGTAGGTTATAACGACAGTCTACATATTTTCTCGTCTCTCTTGCGCAACAAAGCTCTCGGGCGCGTCCGTCTCCACGCACACGGAGGCTGTGGACGATGTACAGCGCGGCCGGTATCAAGGCAAACGTGAACGCGCCCCAGGAGCGCCCTTTACATACACAAGAGCCTGCCGAGACCAAAATGTGAGAGGCGTAACTCGGGCCATGTCGAAGGAAGGTGGAACTAAGGGACGGCGGCGTCGTTACAGGGAGGAGTTGGTCACAACATATCTATGGACAAGCAAGTAAATCATCGGCCCACGGTTGATTATTGCGAAACGTGGCCGCTCTTCCGGTTCCTTCGACAGTAACGCCCTATTCAGGCAGGCTCTCGAGGCGCTGGGCTGCAATCTCAGAGATGACACGACCTGTTCTATAACAGGGAGATAAGGCTATAGGTTGACATACATGACGACATTGAACCCTGGGCGAGGAAAGAACGGTGTTGTATCAAGCAAGATGGATATGAATCATTAGCTGCAGCCCTATTCCATTTTGGCAACCTCATCAAAGCATTCTGAATAGACCGCCCCAATAATTTTCTTCACATCTGTTCCTGTATGATCGTCACTCTTCGACGTAACCCAAGGCTCGCTGGAGAATGCAGGTATATCTAATCACCAAGCATTACCACCAGCAGAAGCGCCCCAGGCAGAAGCGGCCTCGGGCTCCTCCTTCTTGGTCTCGTTGCTGGCATCATCGCCACCGCCGTTACCACCACCGCCCCACGCATCATCAGCAACAGCAGCATCGTCGCCGCCATAGTTTTCGTTGGACCAGCCTCCATCACCGCCGGAGACGCCAAGGTGGGCAACACCAGCCTCCTCGGGGTCAAAGTCACTCTCGGTCTCAAACTTGAGATGCTCCAGGCCTTTTCCGGTAGGCTTGTAAGGCTCAAGGAAAGAGGGGATCTCTTGGTTCGTCTCCAAGAGGGTGCGAACGAGAACACTGGCAATGGGCTCGTCACGCTCGGTGTAAAAGGAGGTAGCTATACCCCGCTGGCCCATGCGACCTGTGCGACCTTTTCTGGTTGTTAGCGCTGTGTGATAACGACGATCAGGCTAACATCCAGAGCGACTTACCAATTCGGTGGGTGTACTCCTCGATGCCACCATGGTCCATGCTGGGAAGATCATAGTTGATGACATGGTTCACGTTCTTTACGTCGATGCCGCGAGCGCTGATTCCAGTGGCAATCAGAATGGGAGACTTTCCAGCGCGGAAAGCTCGCATGGAAGCCTCACGCTCTAGTTGAGTGCGGTCGCTGTGCATCGATGTGCAGGGAAAACCTAAGTTGTACAAGAAGTCGTCGAGTTCATCAGCCATACGCTTGCTGTTGACGAAGATAATCGTGCGGCAAGCAGGCAGCGAATTGATGTGCTCCTTGAGAGCTGTCTTCTTGTCGAAGGGAGCTACCTCGAAGACTCTCTGCATAATGTTGGCATGGGTGCTGCCAATGCGGCCAATGTTGATGCGAACACTGGAGGAAGAGAGATGCTCCTTGGCAAGATCGCGAAGAGGCTTAGGGAAGGTGGCTGAGAAGAGCATGTACTTGATGTTGCCCTCCTGCTGCTCTGTGAAGAAAGTAAGGATCGGCAGCCCATGGTATAAGCGGCAAAGGGAGGACAATGACACTTACCACCACCAGTCATGATGACATCGAACTCCTCGCGCCAGTCATCGTGAAGCATCTCATCAGCCTCGTCGAAGACCATGTATCGCAGTCGGCGAAGCGAGAGAACATCCGGGCGCTGAATGAAGTCGCATAGGCGACCAGGGGAGGCAATGAGAACATCACATCCCTTGCCGAGCTGCTGGATTTGATCGCGGATCGGACCACCCCCGTAGGCGACACAAGGACGAAGCATGGTGCGATAGCAGAACTTACGGGCTTCATTGAAGATCTGGATGGCGAGCTCGCGGGTGGGGCAAACAATGACCACCAGAGGCTCCGCGCGAACCCACAACTGACCAAGCTCGACCTCAGCAGGGTTGGGTCGAGGAGCAGCCAGTCTTTTAGCCTTGCCCATGAGTTTGTTGAGTACCGGAATGAGGTAGGCGGCGGTCTTGCCGGAACCTATTTTGCATGTTAGCCATAATGGTCAAATAATCTGAGCGCAATAGTGTCGAGATGACTTGCCAGTCTGAGCGACGGCAACTACATCGAGGCCCTTGTGGATGGCTGGCAGGGTGTACTTCTGGATGGGGGTGGGAGCGTCATATCCGGCGAGCTCCACGTTCTCCATCATGACGGGGTGTAGGCCAGCATCCTTGTAGGACTGAACAGGGTCGACTCGGATGGTACCCTCCTGGGTGACTTGGATGGTGGAGATGCTAGAATTGTGAGTCGCGTTCAGAACTTGGGGTAGGAATACTTACGCCGAGAAGTCGATGCCGGTGTGGTCGCGGCGGGTGTCAGGGTCGCCGAAAAGGGTCAGCTCAAGTTCCGGGAACTTAGGACCAACATCGCCAAACTCGTCGTTCCACTCGTAGACGGCACCGTTACCCTCCCAGTCAGTGGTCTCAGCGGGGCCCTGTTTCGAAAGCTCCTCGTAATCATAAGGAAGAGGCGTAGTCCACGCCTTGCCCTCATTGTCAAGGGCAGCGGCAGGCGCCTTCTTATCCAAGCCCTCAGATGAGAGAGCAGACTGCATATCGGTTGTGTCGAAGGCGGACATATCTAACCGAGGAAAGTCTGCTTGGCTCGCAATGATTAGATTATACAGAACCGCCAAATGTGATGTTTTGTGCCCACTTACCAGGATCGTTTGTCCAATGCGGCATGCAATTTTGCTGGTTGAAGGAAGGACTGGACGAGGCGAAAAACTTTGGCTGGTTATGTACCCCAGTCAGTCAATTTGGGAAGAAAAGGAAGCAACGCTTGCAAAAGAAGAGTGGTGCTATGCGGTGGAAGCGATGTAGGGGAAGCTACGGGCAATACGAACTGCCCCTGTTTGACAGGAAGGAAGGAGAGAGTACGGGTAGAAGACAAGAAGTGGAAGGGGGGGTATCAAAGCTGGGATAGATGTGTGCCTCAGTGTCCGTAGAAAGGAAAGTATGAGGGGGAAGATTGCTGTCGATGGGGTTTGCGAGTGAAAGCTTTTCCACCACAGAGCGTCTCGGTATATGGTTGCAAAGACGGGCAGGCCGAGGCGACAAAAGGTTGACAACACAACGATGATAGTGATGATGGAGGGGAGGATAGGAGGTGAGTTTGTGGAAGGGAAAAAACGGAATTCCCTTACCTCTCAAACCAGGCTTGAGAATGTCAAAGTGTGGCCTGGCAAGATCCTTTTCGTCAGACTGCGTTGGGGTGGAGAAAAGAAGAGGAAGTTGAGGTGGGAGGGAGCAAGCAAGGTATAAATACGAATGAGGGCGACCAGTCGACTGGAGGAAAGTGCGAAAGCCGTTCGTAATCTTCTTGAAAGGAAGAGGAAGGCACAATGGACCCTTCTGCCTTGAGGTAGGAGAGTCTGGCCCGGCTGAATGTGATTGACCATCTCGTGATGTACCGGACCAAAGTAAACACCCAGCATAAGCCGGCACCACGCAGATATGAGTAACATGTGCTCTTCGTCTATCGAGAGTTGTACATCAATCGCCCTTTGGACCAATTGGACTAACGCAGTATTGACCAGGGCTTTGACAAGAACCCAAGGAGGCGAGGTTTTCTTTGTAGATGATTGGTTTGGAAGGTCCGGGAAACATCCTGCTCGCCATCGCTTTGATTACATGAGTGAACCCACAACGACCTTCCTTGACACATAAGACAGTCGGATGCCGGAAGCAGACAGATGAGAACTGTCGCCGCGTCTATTCTGAGGAACTACTTCAACAATCAACAACTTGAAGCAAAGGTAATCTTGGAGAATAAGGGTCCCACCAAAGTGAGACGGGTATCATTGTATCCATCCACCAATGCTGTACTAGCCAATGGCCCGGAATTTCCGTAGGCACCTTGAATGATGCTAGTATCGTGTTCCTCGCCAGTCATTTCCCTCGTGTAGACGGTATCTCTTTGATGAAGAGTGGATAAGCATGGCAACATCGAAAGCTACCTCTTCTGCCCTACCAGCCGTTGTGTCGCCCAGACGGACGGCCGCTGCTGACGTCTATATCTGGCGCCGAACTCTCACTGTATGTAAGATGTTGGGCCACCTGAATCATACAGGGGAGCACGGTCGGTCAACGAAGATCATGATCGTCCATAGACAATGACATCGTCTTGCAGGGTTTCACGGCCACGAATTTACGGATAGTTAATGAGCGAATGCGGGCTCAATACTTCACCATAAGTCAAGGAGGTCTTGAGGCTCAACAGCGGACGTTGCCTCGTATCCCCCCATGCCCTCGGTCAGGGCCAGGTCCATCTGAACCGCTGATCGTCCGATGGCACCGCCCTCCTTCTTGGCCTGCTCTACGCCGCGGTTGAAGGAGTCCAAGAACCTCCTGTGGAAAACACGCTGCCGGGATTCACGATCGTTGTACATCTCGGCTTCCTCGTCTCGGCGGGTTCCGAAGAGGTTGAGATACGCAAATGGGTTCGGTATCCGAGGGACGCGGTACATGTTGTCGGCGCGAGCATAGGGATTGCTCGGCGCGGCGATCTCAGGCTTGAGCCCGGCCTGAAGGAACCTGGCCAGGACGGCGATTTGCCTTGCATGAGACTGCGCGTCCTTGGTCCGCAAACCGGTCTTGGGTGCGGTTGACCACCCGGTGCTGGTCTTGACGGTCCAGCCCATCAGCGCACAGAAGCTGTTCAGCGTCTTGACCCAGCCGCCGGGGCAGCTGACGATCTCGTTTTCGGCGACATCCAATAGCCACTCGAGGACGGAGAGGGAGTCATTACTGATATCGGCGGAGAGGTGGGTCATGCCGGCGCGAATGTACATGATGCACCTCTCGGCATGATGTTTGACTTCTGCGTCGGGTAGGGCTTTGAAAAGCTTCAGCAACTGGGTGCGTACCGGCCCCGAAGCGTCGGAGACCAAGGGCAGAAGCTTGCCCAATACTGTTGCGGTTCCGACGGGGTTGTTGCCGGCCAACACTTGACTAGTCAGATGTGCCAACGACTCCTTACGCTGCTTGTCTGCTCGTGATGTCGAGGCCAGAGAGAGATTGTGCTTGAACTGGGTTGCGTTGTCAGGGGCTTCGGTCGAAAGCTTCTGATGGCCCATGGCAATGGACTTTGCTTTGAAGCTGGTGTCTGTGAAGTTGGCAGGCTTGGCCTTTGTCTTTCCGACCTTGAACTTTGGTTTCTGTGGGAGAGTGTCAGATACACCGACATCAGAGGGAGCTCTTCGATGCGATTCAGCCACATCTCACTGAGATCTTACTGCAAAGTCCTTGGCCTTTTCCTTCTTTTTTCTCGTGCTAGAACCCATGATGGCTGTCGTTTAAATGTCTTCGATTTGAAAGGCCTTTCGAATCACAGAAAATATCCGCAAGCTTTGATGGTCTTAGCAAGCAGGATTTTGCGGTTATTGCTGCTGCAATGGCAATAGGTTTTCACATGAGGTATGGCTTGCACCGAAAGGGTCAAACCCCTGCCCGATCGGGAGCCAGAAAATTTCAGCGGTCAGCGACGGCAGAATTCTGCCAAACCAAGCTCTCAAAGCCGCTCCCCCCCACCACCACCACGACGTTGGTAGGCTGTTACCCCGTCAGGCGGGTGACAAAAAAAGCCGCACTCACAAATTACAGTGGTTGATTCGAGTGCCTATGCGCTAAAATATAGGGTATATAGGTATTATTCCAGCATCTACCTCCCTAACATATTGTGGATCCCCAAAGCACAGGCCACCTTAAGTCGACTTCACTGAGTGCGGCTTAATTTGGCACCCGCTTGCCCGTGAATCCTAGCTCCAGTTAAGGTGTACCTTGGGCGCTTTGGCTTATCCAGCCAGCCTTACAGACGAGAGCCGACCCAGCCTTTTGGGAACACACACACATATTTGCCTAGAAGACAAAACTGTTACATCCCCCACTTCGAACCTTCAATTGCTTGACGACGAGAGACGTACAGACGAATGCCCCCCTGCCGTTTTTGATCTCCAGACACCGCTAGCCAGAAACCATGGCCGACACAGTAGCAACCGTGAGAGCGACTTCGAACCCCTCTATAGCGATGGCGTCATAGCTAAACAAGAATGTGCCCCCCCCTTCGCAGAACAACGGACCCGACGCGCTGGACGAGACCCTTACGCGACTCTCCAAGAAGCCCGGCGTCAAGGCCACAATCATCCTCGATCGAGTCACGGGCGCCATCCTGCGGACAAGCGGCCAGCTCTCCTCCTTCAACGCGGCGACTTTGGCAACAGGGCAGGGTTCGTTCTCTGGCGAGGGCGCCGCCGGGCAGCAGCAGCAGCAGCAACAAAACGGTGAAGAGCAACCGCAGGGCCTGGAGGATTTTGCTGCCAAGGTGTGGAACTGGGTTAATGCATCGGGTACTCTTGTGCTTGACCTGGACACCGAGGTAAGAGGACATGGTCCCTTAACCGTGGTGACGTATCGAGAGCTTGGATGGAGCGCTGACCATGGGGAACAGGACGAGTTGAAGTTGCTGAGGCTACGGACGAAGAAACAGGAGCTGGTCATCGTACCTGATCCGAAATATCTCCTTATCGTGGTACACGACACACCGCCGGCCTGAGAACGGCTATGGCCAGCTCGTTGTCACCGATTTGGCTACCGTTTTGCGACGCCTCCAACTTGACCGTGCCAGGAGTAGGCACTCCATGCGAACACATTATGACGAGCCGAGTGGTAAGCGGCTTGTCCATTAACCCTCTTCAGCACCAGCACATTTCCAAGGTGCTCCGGGAGAGATTGGAGCCTGTCTACGCTCCAGGCCTCGCACATCTATACATACGTGCGCGCGCGTGCACGCGCAAAAGCTTTTTCTAAGGGAGATGATGATTTTAGATGAACGGCCGAGGAGGCAGAAGAACGATACCCTGAAATTACCACCACGACGTTCAAGCCGTTCCGTGCGTGTGCCGGGCAGCTCGAATTAGGGCGGATTGTAATGAAAAATTAAAACAAAACAAAATAAAAACACTCAAACCCCCAAAGAGAAGAAAAGAAGGGAAAGTCCGAACCTATGTCGCCCCATATGACAGCACTCCAAAAGTCCTTCAAGTTAGGTTGGAAACCCTCTGACAAGTCCGAGCATTGCTTGCCCCTTTGCGGCAAACGATCTGTGCGCCATGTTGCTGCCCCCAGCTGCCACGCATTGTCTCTTTGTGTGTAACAGGTTTTGACATCAACTAAACTAGCAGCCGGACGATCTAGTTACTTAATACCACACCACGGTCTAGCGGCCCGCCGACTGGCATAAATATCATGGTGCCGGCGCCGAGATATGTATCGTCACACGCCGAAGGACGGACGGCAAGTGGGTTGCAACCAGGTCTGGACAGTGCGGGTGGCTTGCTGGACGAATCGCCCACCCATGCTCAATTGTGGTGCCCCCTTCCACCGCCATGGACTCAAATTAAAGGCCCCTTGCTTCCCCTTGAAGAAGAACTTCATGTCACAGCACACACACACCCACGTTCGGTCGGTACGGGGATCTTGACCAGTTGACAGCCCGAGTCCGTACGCATCTTCGGCGCAGCCGTTTCAGCAACTTATGGCGTGTTCCTGCCCCGATTGTGGGGCACGACTGCAAGTCTCTTCACGGAGTCGTCAGCTTTCCTGGGCTTCTTGGCTGCATAGACTCTATCGTAAGGGGAGATTGGGGCTGGCTGCATTAGAGTTTTCTTTAACCTTTTCCACTTCTGGACGAGATTGCCTCGACAGCCCATCCAGTCAAGGTCATATGCGGCGTAACCTTCAATATTGAAATCGCGTCGATGGAGGAAAGAGCTTGACTATTAGCGGGCCATCTCGCTGGTCTTCATCATCAAAATGGTTCCTGGGACGTGCGGGAACTCCGAAGACAATTCTCAAGGCCCCGTGCGGTCTTGTGATGCTTGTGAAAGCGGCTTATGCCATTCCAAGATGATGTACGGAGCTTAGCCGAACCCATCCATTTTCATTCTTATCTTTTTCAAAAAAGGGGAAGAAAAAAAAACCACCCTTTCCCCTTTCAAACCCTCAAGGATATGAGACGAAGATGTTCGAGCACGATGGGGAAAGTAAACAGCCCACGGGTTCCGATGGTTGTCAAACTCGGAACCATACCTATTAGCATGTCGTCTCATGTCAATGCAGATCAGGCCCCCAGCTGTCCAGTGCTTGTGCTTTTGGAGTGGAGACCTGAGTTGATCAAGTCACAGCCGGGGGTTCGGTTCTGCCAATGTCGTGTGCCGTGTGTCGTTCTCGCCAAAGCAGCGAGGTAACGAATGTCGTTTGCCGCTTAAGCCCCTTTGTCGCCGGCCCTTCCGCGAGGGCCTTGGAATAATAGTCCAAGTAGGCGAGAGACGCGAGACCCCATGGACGAGAGACGGGGGTCTCAACATGCGGTGCAGACTTCCGAGACTGGTCATCAGCTGAGGGGATAGATAGAAGCTTGCCCCAACACCCACCCGGGCCAGGAACCGTCAGGAACGGGTCCTTGTGAACCCACCCGCTCAGGTATTGGTGACGTCCCAGCCGAAGCTCAACGTTCGAGAACAACGGCCGAAGCAAAGGGGGACGATGATCTTTGACGCTTGCGCCCCCGGGGGCGGCTGGCTTGGCTGACTTGCCGAAGATGGACGTGTCTCCAAGCCACACGCGGCGCCCCTTCGGGTCTACCCTAATGGTAGCACAGCGGTCTGAGGTCAGTGTGACGGGCTTGCAAAGACAGTGATGAATGACGGCGGCTTCAAGTCTGGAGAAGAAATGATCTACTGGATCACATCCGTAGTGATGTTTGGCACAGCACCCCTAGATCGGTCCTTGCAATTCCACTTCTGCACCAGCTTCTGCAGACGCTAGGTATACTTGCATCTTCCGCACCTTTCCCTAGCAGATACAGATGCGACCTCTAATGACATTCTTGCTTCTCTCCCGACCAAACTTCCCCCCTTCCGTCCCCCATTCCTTTCTTTTTCTTCTTCTCTTTGCTTCGTCGTCGTCGTCTTGTGTACGCTTTGCAGAGAAGAACTCGGGGAGGGGGGTGAGAATCCGAAACCCAACGATTCCGGTGAGCGTTAAAAACTTACCCCGATTTATTTTTGATCCATTGCCTAGAGATGGAAACAAACGCAACCCAGATGAGCAAACACCATGCGGGAAAGCCCACCGCAGCTGCAACACGACAAATCCCTTCAACTCATCATCCTTGAGACGGTAGCCACCACGGTGCCACACTAATGTGACATGGCATCTGACTGGCCGTGGGAGTGGTGGGAGAGGAGTTTGTATGGGATGCGGATCATTCACTCATAACCGCCTACCTAGGTAATCATAAAGACAAAAACCCTGTTCTGGAGGATCAGCGAGGATCGTGTCTCGGGAAATTCACATGCCCGCGAGCTGGCGGCGCCTGCCCTCGACATTTTCTGATTCTGTTCTGCTATAGATTTATTTCTTGCCTCATTTCCCATCCAGATTCCACGGATGGAGCCGGCCCATGCTTCCTCGAATTCTTTGGTTTCGTTCTTCGTTTTCCTTTTTCCAGAAGCCCCAGGCCCACCGGTGAGTTGGAACTGGATACAGGGGACTCGAATGTCGTGTTTTATTGCGACCTGGCGATCATGGGTCCCTTGCCCACCAGGTCCTCTTCGCTGCTAGACTCTCTTTGCGCATCCTTCTGGCTTGTCGCTGGCAACGGACCTTGCCATTAGTATGCAGATAGCCATGCGAGGCAAAAGCAAGCAGGAGGGTGAGCGCGGCAGGGCTGTAATGCACCCTCGATGCAGTCTGACATCGGTGATGAAGAAGGGCATAACTTTGGCTGGCACTGTTTCGGGGAAATGACCTGTGGCCGTCAAACATGACACTCTCTTCCCTGTGGCTGCCCTGCGACCAACCGAAGCGGCCATGGAACTCTACTGGCCGTCATCTCTTGTTGTTTTCCTGCCCTTCCATGCTTTTCCGCTCTGCGCTAGCTCCCACGACGAGATACAAGGGGCGGACAGTGTCAGTTGAGTCTGGCATGGCCTATAAGCTAGGTAGGTAGCTCGTATGGGACGAGCGACTGATGGAATCACAACACAGAGGGTACACGACTGCCATCCATGCCTGCAAAGCGCGGAACATCCACATTCACGCACCCCCCTCCCTTTCCCCCGGTCCCAACGAGGCGCACAGATGACGAACGAAAGGAAGCTCCTTGATGGGCTCTTTTTTCTTTTTTTTTTTTTTTTGTGTTGTTGTTGTTGATTTTCCCTCATGCTTTTATTCTCTGCCGTCTCCACGACTCTCCTAATTTCTCTACCAGCCTACCTCACCAAGGGTATCTGACGTGGACTCGCCAAGAGATCTGAGACTGCCATGCTGCCCACACCCCCCCTCTTGCTCGGAAGCGAACTTCGGGCCATGGCCATGGTTCCGGCTCCCTCTTCCTCGCGCCCTTTCTCTGCCCCGGCCACACCTCTGGCTCCCAGGATCGGCTGCTATATTCAGATACGTGAAGTAATCAAGTCAAGGACGCTCTCTCCCGCAGTAGGGGCTGGGCATGGAAACCTACCCTGCCCTTGCTTGGTGTAGGTATGCGGCGTACGGCTAGAACGAGGGGTACACCAACAAAGTGGACATGGCCATGGTCCTCGTCTGTCCTATCCCGTCATGATTTGCACCAATCGTCCGCCCAGTTAGAGGGGTCCCCTTTGATGTGCTGGGCTGGACTTTGGGGGAGGGGGGGGGGCGCGGCCTTTAGGCCTGCCCTCTCTCGATGAAGTCCAGTGCAGAGGAGGCAGCAAGAAGAGTGGACGATAACAAGAACGAAGTGCCACCCCCCCCTGCCTTGGCAGCCATCTGGCCGTGTTTCTCTTGTTGATTCGCATTCATTTCTTGTTTTAACAACCCATCTTCTAGCTGTCAACTGTCGTAGACTACATCTGTCTCTTTCTCTCTCCCTCTCTCTTTTACCTACAGGTCTTCCCCCTCCCTTCTTCATGCCTGTCTTCCTAGCTCTCCTCTCACTTACTTGAGTGCCAACTCATTATCGTTTACTCGCATTCGCCCATCTGTATCTTGCAGCAACGGCTGCTTGGCTGGAATTCGCGTCCCGTCTTCCCGCTGCAACCTCCGAGAGGTTAACCGCGCTGCAGGAACTTGGATTTGCACCGTCCACCGTCATCGGCGATAAGACGTCAGCCCCTCCCTCCCCCTTGTCCCACGAACGACGCCACTTTTGATTAGCCACCCCAGCAAAGATTCACGCTTGGAAGGTCGCCACAAGAGAACAGGATTTCCGGCGGCAGCGAGGAGGAATTGCAGGTTGGAAAAACCAAGGCAGAAGCGTTGGAAAAGAAGAAGACGGGGACAGCACCAGCGGATGAGACGAACACGGCGAGAAGCTTTTATCCCATCACGACAGCTCCAGCACCACAACAAACGACTTGACACCCAAGATGCCGTCGTTATCGCTGCTCAGACGAGGGCACAAACATGACCAGCAAAGACCGGTATCTCCGCAAAAGCAGCAACTGCAACAACAGCCGCAACTGTCGCCACGACACGAGGATGATGGAGAAGACGGCCCTCAACGACAGCTGTCGGACTCGCCCGGGCCCGAGGGAACGGGAGTGCGAGAACGCAAGTTCTCCGCACGGGATCTCTTTGGAGGGCTGCTGAGTCGCAACAAAGGCCGGAGCAGCAACAGCAGCAGCGCGTCGGCGGCAGCGTCGTCAACAAAGTCCGGGCGGGGAACCGGTGCCGAGTCGCCAACGAAGCTTCCTGTAAGTCGAAAGTCTCCTTCAAGTCAATCAATTAGTGTTACATCGTGCACCGCCCCTTCTTGTTCCATCTACCTTGACGTCTTCGGTTTCCCAGACCGTCGTCGGTCACTTGCCAATCCGTCCTTCATCTTATTTGTTGTCGTGTTGGTTCCCTTCCTCCGTCTGCATTATCTACTCAGGCTAGGTCCCTGAAGCGAGCATCAATGAATCCGGTGCCAGATCTCGGCTCCAAGCCCCCCCTCCCCTCCCCCTTGATGTTCCCGATGCACCTGCCGATACAGCTGAAGATGAGGAAGTCCTCAGAATAGCAGCAAACATGTTGGGAAGATGTACGTGTAACCGGCGCTTCTTTCAGCATGCAGAAAGCATACTGGGCAGTTACAGCCTCGGTATGCACAACCAAGTACCACCCACACCTCATGTTCACTGTCACACCTCGTTCCCTTTCTCTCAGACCAGGTTCAGTCTGGCCCCGGCGGTGTCGGTGGGTTTGGTTTGTCTTGGCTAAGGCTGGATATTCCGTGCACTACAAGACGCGGACAAGCCGTGGACGGCGAACGGACGGACGGACAGACAGACAGACTAGACCCCCCGGCACAGGGCAGCGGCTCCCAATACGCGTGGGTACCTTCTCCCCCCGGCCCCTGCCCGGTCTGATGGTCTGGTGACGGGGTCCCGTCCCTTTCCTAATACCCAAGTGGTGTGTTCCCCCTTCTTCTTGCCCTTTGGCTCTAGGTACCATTCTGCCTGTGGCTTGCACCTCCTTCCCCTTCCCCCACTCCACTACCGGGCTGGATCATTGCGACGCGGCCCGAACCCGATGCCCTTTGAGAGGAGACAGACAGTATTGGCAGCCACAGCTGTAAGTCTGCAGCCACCACCTCATTCCTACCCTGTCACTTCCCCGCAGTCACCCTATATCCATCCAGTCCATCAATGGGAGCTGCATCAGGCCACTTTGATCTGCCCATCTGGCTCATGCCGTGTCATCTCTCCTGCGTGTACGTAGTAGTCTGCTTGGAATCTGCTTAGCAGTGACGTCCGTTCGAGATGCTCAGACTCTGACGATCTACGTCCCATTACTCCCTCGCATGTCCTTTTTTCTTATGCCGCGTGACCACCGCCTCTCGGGAGCTTCAACACCCATTGTCAATCCGCCCTCTCTGCCCTTGTCCTATAGAGTGCTTCTTCTTCTTCTCCTCGTCCTTTTTCTTTACTTCTCGCAAGCTGTTCTATGCTTGCTTTGGTCACCTCAAGCCTCTCAAAGCCACTCAAGACAAAGGGTCTCCCGTTTACACAGACGAAGCAGGCAGTCCTGCCAGCCAAGTGCCCTGCCGTCTCTCTACCCAGGCTTTCCCCTCAATTGGCTCGATCCTCTTTGTCCGACCGTTCCAAAAACCGTTGTGTCTTACCAGCAAACCCCAGGTTTCTCCTCCGCAGAGCAGCGCCGAGTCCCGTTCTTCTCGGTCACCGCCCCCTCTTAACCCCAACAAGCCACTCCCTTCCCCGCCTCCACTCGACAACGAGCAGCAAGCCGATGGCCCGACGCTTAAACCAGTCTTGAAGCTGACCAAGATCATGGCGACTCTCAGCGACGATGATGTTGAGAAGCTGTTCTCCGGTGCCCCCCAGTATTTTGCTCGCTCCGAAGGCCATTACACCGGTGCCCCACACCCCTCGGTCGCTTTCCCATGGGATGAATCTCTCGAGATCCGCGATCTGAACGACCATGTCCAGATCGAGGACGCCGCCTGGAGCTGCATCACTGCCTGGCCTCACGTCACGAGAGACATGAACTCGAACCCAGTCGCAATCAGATGCGCCAGAGAGAGAAAGCGAGCCCACTTCACCCCGCGATGTCGAGAACGGCCTAATATGCTGAGCATGCAAGGACTGGAGAAGGGCACCATGGGGTACCAAGCTGCTCTCGAGATGCCCGTTGGCGATGCTCTCCAAGAAGAGCAATTCGGCTTCGGCAGCCTCGGGCCCAAGGCCAATGCCATTATCGAGCAGCGCAAGGGGATGCTGGCCTCCAAAGATGGCCTTCGCCGCCTTGACGAAACGGCCATCTTGGATCAACTCATCAAAAACAGCGAGAGGTACAAGGAGAACCAGGTCCACAGGAAGATCCACAACACCTTGTACAATGAACTTTTCCTAGGCATCTTGCATCCCCCGACCCGTGTCGTCGACCACCAAGATCCGTACAGTCTTTCTGTGCAGATCCAGGCGCTTGTCAAGGTCCTTGCAGCACCCAATGTCTGGATTGACTTCTCCCACGTCGAATGGAGGATCCGCCTGGGCCAGATCTTGTGGGGCTCTTTTGAGGGCGACGACGTCGAAACCGACATCGACATTGAGGATGCTGAAACAAACGAAGAGCGCAGGGAAGAGCGGTATTGGCTGTTGCTCCAGGTCCTCCTCTCATGCGAGCTCCTCATCAGACTAGACGCTATCACGGAGGGTGAAGAGCTGGGCATCGAAAGCATCAGGCCGGCCGAGATCAAGCGTTTCGAAAAGGATGCGAACACGACAGTCAAGTGGTCGTTACACCTTGCACGGGCTTGGCTTGAGAACATTGAAATAACCGAGAGGAAGGTCGATCCGGCCAACACACAAAAGCGTAACTCGGGTGGGTGGCTCGCATCTTTGACAGGGAAAATGAGTTTGCAACCCAACAACATTCACGCTCATCCACACGATGACGTCTCTGTCTACACCATCCAGGGGCGCTACAGCGAACGACAGGTCAACGGTCTGACCAACTTTGCGAGGAAGCTGCGCTGGCCCGACATTGAATCAGACTCGCACGCCGAGCAGATATCGGAAACGGCCAACAAGGTCTCGGAGGCTACGCCGATTCACACTCCCGCAGAAACACCAATGAGTATCGATACGACGAGGTCGTCCTATTTCGGGGGCGGCCGAACTGAAGCAAAGGTCACTCGCCATCCGTCCGGAAGGCACAAGATCTCTGCTGCGTTGCACCCATCTGGTTGGTTGTCAAAGTCTTACGTATCCGGCTTGATGCTGCCCGGTGAAGGGTTATATCACTTGATCATGTCCACTCTGTTGGAGAACGACAAGGAGGCAATGGCCAGACTGGGCCCGATGGCCAACCTCTGCGGTGGGTTTGTGTACCGTGGAAAGAGTTTCTGGAGTACAGCGTGCATCATCGGCCGCGTTCTGGCCGCTGGTAAGGGTTCTGCCCAGTGCATGGGATGGGTCTCTAGCGACATCACCCCTCAAGGCCACGGGGACGGCTGGGTCAACATTGACGTGGCTGAAGTATCAGGTATGTGCAAATCTCAAGAGGTCTCGATGACTGGAGCTGACAGCATCCCAGAGGACATGAAGAAGACTGGCAAACAGGCCAGGCTCTGGGCAAAGACCCGTGTCGAGCGCGATTCTTGTATCTTGGGCGACGGGGATCCTAGCTCGGTACTGCCCGCCGACTTTATCATCCCCTACGAAAACAACTATCCCGAGCCGCCCCCTAGTCTGAGCATCTCGTTGCTATCCCTCAACCTTTCCTCGCCCGTGGATTCAGCCCTGTCCACTCCGACAGAAGAAACAGTGATGACGCCGTTATCCGATGTGACTAGAGCCCCCGAACTCTATACGTACCCGTCGTCTATCTCGTTCTCGGTCGGCCAACTTGGGGGCGAGGCGACAGAGCACACCTTTGCGCTGACCAAAGACATACACTTCGTCACAGCCCATCCATGCCATCCGTCTTCTCATGTGAGGGTTCTGAGGTCGCCATCTAGTCCTACTATCCAGCAAATCGACGTGGACGGCAGCGGCATCAGCTGCCAGAGCTCCAAGCCGGTCACCATCACAGGTAAGATGGTTCACTCCATCTCCTAAATCTACGTAGACTAACCATCTCCAGGGCATCCTCTACACAAGTTCTTTACTTACACCGTCATCCACCTTTCGGAGCTCCTCCAGAAGCCCGACGCCTCACTGAAAGATCTCCTTCTCAACGCTTCATCCGTTCGACGGCCCTCTTACACCCCCAACGCGAACACCACACCCCGTGTTCTGGTGATTGACTGCATAACCGGCTTCAAGCGTCAGCCTCCCACGCAGGAGACCCCCACCTCTCCCATACTTGAGCGTACCGCCAACGGCGCCAACCCCGCTACGACGAACATGCACCTCGAGTCCCGGCGTCGCCAGTTTGGCAGCGACATGGAGATTTTAGTCCGTGCCTTTTGCGCGGAGAAGGGCTGGAACGCCATCATCTCAAGGCGCAGGCGGGGCTGCCTCGCTTGCGCCATCAGAGAGGCCGGCGCACTTGCCTGGAAGGTCATCATCCGTGTTGACTAAAGTCGTACCAATTCTTTTCTTGCTTTTATTTCGTTGTGTATATTTAGAGGCGATGGATGTCATCAGTCGCTTGGGCGTCAAGGACTCGGGAAGAATTGCGCACGGGGTACACATGCCCACGTACACACTAGGCATACATAGCGTTGATTTCCGCGGGACGACTGACTAAGAGGTAAACATATGGACACGGGTGTATGCATTGTTACGTTCTGGGCTGTAGTGCAAGATACCCCCTCCTGATATAACACGCCGTAATGATGAGCTTCCTCTACTCAGGTCATCTTCGTCATGTAGCTCGAAATGTAGAGACCCTTTGGTGTTCTTGTGTGACTTTGTTTAGCGAAGGTATGTCTCGTGCAACAGCGCATGCCAAAACCTGAATAGTAGCCTACAGCGAAAGGACCTTGTTCGTAAAGCTGGCAAACAAACACAAATCATCTATCCATCGCCAGAGGGAATTACAGGCACACCTGAACCGATTCTTGGCCGATGCCTCAAGAGAGGAGACCTGAAAACACTATTCGACCCTGAACTGGTATCGTTACCCCCTCCCAAAAAGACGCGCGCCGCCTGCTCGAAATCGACAACCCCGTGGCCGACCCAGGTGCTGTAGGCCGTGCAAAACCGAACCGCCCTTCAATGTGCCCCTCGGCTAGAGGTCGGCGCCGTCAAACCAGCTGTCTGCGCTCCACTCCTCCCAGCCACGCTTCTCACCGGGAAGCTCGATGGATTCGTACTCCTCGCGCGTGACGTTCTGCCACTCATCGAGGGGGATCCAGCCGATGTAGGCGCGGTCGCCAAAGCCGCCGATCCAGTACACGGATGTGACGACGAAGCGGACCCACTCGGACTCGTGGACGGGGCTGCCGGGGAGCCAGTACTTGGCATCCGGGTGCTTGTCGACGAAACAGTGGGCGAGTTTGAGGGAGGTAACGGGGTCGACGGGGATCTTCTCAAGGTAGCCGAGCAGCGAGAAGCGCGGCAGGTTGGCGGCGGAGTAGGGAACGGTGTCGGGCGAGGCGGCAGCCGCGGCTCCGGAGGAGCCAAAGAGTTTGTTTCTGAGAGAGGAGAAGAGGGAGATGCGCTTCGCGGGCGGGTAGGGTGGGATCCAGTGCATGGAGAGGGAGATGTTGGAGCCGGCGCGAACGTTCTTAAAGGAGGTGGCAATGGTGATGGCCAGGATCGTGGGGTTGCCGCCCCCCTCGCAGTCAGCGACGTAGTCCATCAGGCCGATGGGCATGCCGGAGAGGTCGCCACCCGAGGCGGAGCGCGCGCCGGCCGGGAAGACGGTCGAGAGCTCGGCCAGTTTGGTTCGCGCGAGGATGCGGCGGCCCATGACGGCGGACTCGTACGAGGTCGGGATGCGGGCGGCGTCGGCGTCTGAGGGGGAAGGGTTGGAGACGAGGTGTAGAGGCATGCCGGGCTCGAGGATGGCGGTGGCCGCGGTCGCCGCGAGGCCGACGAGGAGTGCGGAGGTCTTCATGTTCGGAATGCTCAGACGGGACGGGGACGAAGAGTACTCGAGGTCTATGAGAGGACGGGGAGGGGCACTTCGAACGTAGGTGTGTGTATGTGTGGGCGAGGTTTTTGTAGCAAAGTGCTCGCTCGAGGTATGCGGTCGGATAGATACGGGGGTGGGATCGATCGTACGAGCCTTTCGGAGTGCGGAGCGGTCTCGGCGAGGCTAGAAAGAGAGCCAAGAAGTGCGGATTGAGCTTTCGAGTGCACGCAGGGCGGTGATGTCTGCTTCGGGGGCGGCTTCGTTGGTCGTGGATGACCGAAGAAGGCTGAAGAAGGGGGGGACTCTCTCTCGCTGGGATCCGCCGGGAAACGCGGGAGAGGGGGGGGCAAGCTCGTCGGGGCCTACTCTTCAGCGAGCTTATGGACAGTCACGACGAGTCGGGTTTCGTAGCGGCAGAGGCGGTTAGTTTGTAACAGTGGGCTGGTGCTATCGGGATTGGTCATTCAGAAGGTTACGTTAGGTTCCTCATGCCGTGTTTAGCAACACACGTTGGCAGAGGAGAAGGGCCCATGTGATGCCTATGATGAGACGCTTGGAAAGCGGCCTGGGGTCAGATCTGATAAGCCAGAGGTACCCACTCGACCGCCGGGAATGGGCAGGGTGCCTAGGTACGGTGCGCTGTATATGCGAATATCAGACGTCTCCGGCACCATGGCTGGGGAAAGAGTTCGTGCCCTACACAATCTGGGTTGCATCATCTTTTCCGCCCCGAGTATGGGAAAGTGTGGTTCGAGGAATAATTAGTTATGGCGTAAGATTGGAAAATACAGACGAACGGACGGCTTCCCGGGTGCCGGTTAACAATGTCTCGTTTGCCGAATGCCGGGTGTCACTCATCGCTGCCTATCGGCTTATCTGGTGACCCCTGGGGGACAGTGTGTAGGACAGTCCGTTACCGGTCGAGGCAGTTACATGCAAACTGTGTGCTGGATTTTTCAGCGGGTGCACCAACACTGAGGTACCTGATAAGATGGAGGGAGTTGCTAGTCACGCTAAGGATTCTCGGAGTAGGAGGTACCGCTACAAAAAGGAGCCTTTCACCTTGGCAAACTCTGATTGGTGCGCGGGCATGTCTATCCAGCCGAAAGGCGCAACTCCCACTGGGCTGCGAGCCAAGACATTCAGTGACAACATAGACATCCAGTGCATTGAAAGGTGCAAGCCCTTCGCCTGTGACAGCATCGTTGACAGCGACCAAGAAGGCGCGCCCTTCCGGTGCCCAAACCCCGAGCCATCATTCCCAAGTTCTTACATTCCGATTTCCATTGTTTTGGCCGCCTTTTGAAGGACACAGCCGGCACTTAAACACAAAGGGCCCGGTGTCTCACTCTTTGCCCCGCTGAAAATTCACTCGAGTCTCTGAGGGACCTCACCTTGGTTGCAGGGCAAAACGGGCCTCGATCGTCGCCCTTATCAGAAGCCGACTGCACCCTCGGCACCACCAAGTCTGCCATGGGAAACAAGACCGAGATGGCATCATGGAACGGTCTCCCCGTCGAGCTCAGGGGTCTCATTCTCGAGCATCTGGCATTCAGCGCCGTCGCAGAGAGACGCTCGAGAATCTGGAAGGCCAAGAGCAAACGCCATGATATGGGCAGCTACGCCGTCGTGTGCCGCCAGTGGCAGGGGTTCATCGAGAAGATCAACTTCAGCAATCTCGAGATCAGCACCGCCAAGGACCTAGCAAGCTTTGACGAGATACTCCAGGACCCAGCCCGCCGCTCCTACCTCCGCCGCGTCTCACTCCGTGTCGAGCTGCCGCGCTACCCCAACAAGCTCGCCAAGGTGCCCGAAACCGACATCGAGCAGAACGAGAACGAGGTCGCCTTCACGCAGGGCGTCTGGAACTTCTTCGACATCCTGAGCAAGTGGGCGCCTTCGGCTTCGGACATGGAGCTCGAACTGAGCGCCGCCTCGCCCAGCGATAAGAACAAGTACTTTGGCGAGATGGGCCTGGACCAAGACGGCAACTCACGCTTCTTCGACCACGACCTCGACTTCTGCTTCATCACCGCCGGCTGCGACCAGATTGGACGACACGGCTTGCCCGAGGTCCCGGTCATCAGCAGCTGCCAGATCTTGCGCCGTAACCACCGCAACTTCTCATCTCGTGCGCTCCTCACCATTTTCTCAAGCCTGCCTCGGCTTCGGGAAGTTCGCTTTGAGCCGTGGCATCAAGTGGACATGGAGGCACAGTTGGAAGTCGACTCAGGTATGTCTCTCTCTCTCTCTCTCTCTCTCTCTCTCTCTCTCTCTCTCTCATCTGAACGGGTGGGTGATAGATAAAGAGTCAACGGATGTTTACCTCTTTTCAGATCACGCTCGGAGTCTTCCCTTCTGGCCGTCTCACATCAAGCGGATCAGCATTTTTGAGCATTTCGATGCCTTTGCCGATGGCGGCGAAGGCGAATGGGAGGATGCTGATTCTGGAGACGAAAATGAGATGGAAGCAAACACGGACCCTGCCGCACCTGGTCCCGCCATGGCCGAGGCCGACGACGTGGGCGATGTCCCGAGAACGTCTTGCCCCAGTCTGGGCCACAACCTGGGCCATCTCAGTCTCCAAGCCGAGGAAATGGCTGTTTCGAACGTGTCCGACGCGAGCGACTTCTTCGAGGGACTAATTTCCCGTAACCGATCGCCACCCGTGTGGAAGCACCTCCGTCGTCTTGCTCTGACGTCCAACATGATGATTGATGGTGTCGACGCCGAGCTGATCAACAACGTCCTTCGCACGGTGGCCACTGCTGCAAAATACATGCCGGTGCTGCAGATTTTAGAGATTTACAAGACGGATCAGTTTGGTGGCGCCGTCTTCCGCTACAGCGTTGACTCGCTTTCAACGACAGCCTCCTGGGAGGGCACCTGGGACTTCCGCGTGGAGAAGGACGTGAAAGCGGCGTGGGCAGAAGTGTCAAAGAGAAACACCGCCCACGACATGGATTTTCTGCCTGAGATTCACCTAGGTGACTATCGCGGACCATACGCCTTCGTTGACGAGCACCTGAAGACGAAGGACCTCGTTCTCCACCCGAGCTCGCTGGAGGACATGCTGTCGAAGAAGATGGACAAGTGCAAAGCGTGCAACGGATACTGTGCGCACCCAAAGAGCGCAGAGCAGATCTGGGGTTCGTTTGGAGACGATGCATAGACTACGAAAGCATGGCCGATGCATTCATACGAGATCATGTATAGATACCCTGTAGAGTACGCACATTGCACGGCCGGTTTAGATACAAACGGGAGGATGGTTGAATAGGTTGCATGGTCGTTTGGATAGAATCCAATGAGGCAACATAGCTGCAAGTGCATTGTCCCCAGCCTAGTGCTATCCCGTTATTGAGTGAGTGCTTCAGGCTTCCTCGCCGAATGATTCATTTCGCCCGCGCCACTGGTCCACTGAGACTACCCCCATCTGGTCAGAGCCAAGGTGCGGATTGGGTGGTTGGTTGGTTGGTCAGACGATTGGTCAGTTAGCCATAACCCCTAAGTCCGAGGTTTTACCCGTGCATTTCCTCCGGGAGGCAAAAACGAGAGAAAGCGGGTTCAGCCATAAGCGGAAGGAAACCCCCTCGCTCGCCCTGCTCCTTCTCCACAGTCAACACGTGACGTGCACACAGAAATTCACTGAGCCAAAATTGCTGGTCCCGCAATCTACTCGCACGCAACCCGACGCCCATCCGCCCGCGCAGAAGTCGACAAACCCGCTCTCGATTTCCATCGACAACCAACTCACTGAAACACCACAGCAGCAACTTGTCAAACCGTCACAATGGGAAAGGTTCACGGATCGTTGGCGCGTGCCGGAAAGGTCAAGTCTCAGACGTAAGTCTTTGCCCGTTTAGACAGCCAGCCCATCTCCAGGTGTTTTTCTCCCTTTATTTTTGGAAAGAGAAGTGGCGACCGCCCAAAACCCGGCCATCGCGGACGAAGACGAGGGAAACAACCGGTCGGAAGAAGGAGGGAACACAACATTCGATGTCAACGGTTGACGACGACGCAAATGACGAATGCAACGGACGCGATGGCCGACCGGGCGATGCTGAAGCCTGTCAGCCTGATGAACTAAACCGATCCGATCACTGACCATCACGATAGCCCCAAGGTTGAGCCCCAGGAGAAGAAGAAGACCCCCAAGGGCCGCGCGAAGAAGCGTCTCACATACACCCGCCGCTTCGTCAACGTCACCCTCACCGGTGGCAAGCGCAAGGTACGCTTTCCCTTCGGCCAAGGCCGCCGCCGAGTCGTCTTTAGATACCCGTGAATGATGTTTCGTGACTAACGCCACCCCGTAGATGAACCCCAACCCTACCGCTTAAGCGCCTTTTCTCTCTTACCCCACGCATTCGATACGACTCTAGGAACGTCTGGGCCACTGGCATGAGGGTGGAATCGACGGACAATCAAGTTCAAGGGTGGTTGGCAAATTATGGTGAAATTTGGGAAATTGCCGTCGTGGTCGGGGTTTATCCCACCCTCTCCCCCTCCGCCTGCTGATGGCGCGAGACTGGGTGCGGCTTGGGTGTAGATGCTTGTCCCACCCGGCCCGACGAAGCAACAAGAGACAAACGAATGCGTACAGCAGAAATACGTAAAACTATTTGGTTTTCTGGCATTCAAAATCGGAAATGGGGAACTCGCTTGTTTTACTTTTGCCTATGCCTCCAAGTCTTGAGTCCGCTGGGTGCTGCCAAGGCGGCTGGGCGGCTCGCCACAGCTTGGGGAGAAATACACGATATTTCTTCGGTCATCTGCCGCATGTCCGTCCTCCTCTGTTCAAGTGCTCCAACATGATGGCCGTTTGTAGAGAAGAACACATCCGAATACCGGTGGAGACTTTCGTTGACGATTGGGACCTTACAGATGTTTGACCGTTTATAACGCTTTGCACACTTGTCGCCGACTTTTCGCTCATCCAAGTCCGCCTCAACAGCGGTATGTGCCAAACAGGCTTTCCACTCGGCCTCGTGGGCGTTGACATGGCGACGGGTGGTTGCATCATGCTACCAGACTCAGGTCTGAGTATTGACCTGGCCAACAGTTTGAATCTGCTATTCGTCCGCACATTATGCACTGCAACCATATACCCGGTTGAAACCAGCCTCATCAACACTTCAAGTGGGGGGAAATGACTAGCAAGTTGCCTCCCCCTCCCCCTCCCCTCCCCTCTTCCAGCATCCATCATTCAACCCGATTGCCGCCTCTGCTCAGGACCCCTCCTCCAACAGACCTTGAGGCGGGGGGCGGTCTACCCGTCCACGAAGTGGAGGATGAGTAGTCGTCCGGGTACCCCGGCCACGCCCCGCGCAGCTTCCAGTAGCACTCGTTCCTGTCACCGCCGTTCGCGCCGGGGCAGTACGTCGCGGCCCGCCTCATAAGCTCCTCCATGAGATCCATCTCTTTGGGGAACTTGGCGTTCTGGCGCTCTTCCCCTCCGACGGCGACGCGGGCGTCGGGCCGGGAGAGGACCAGGGCCGGCGGCGACACCGGCAAGGGCCGTTGAGAGGAGGGCGGCGAGGGCGGCGACACGCATTGCGGTGGTTTTGCCCTGGGCGGTATGTTTTGGCTTCGGGTAGGTATTCCAGGTTATCTTCTTTTCTTCTTGTTTGGCGGGGACGAACATAGTGTCGAACTGGGCAGTTGCCCGGAAAGAAGGCTACGAACGACGCAAATACGCCGGCTCGATGGCAAATGTGTTTTTGCCCAGGGATCTATTTCCGTTGTACAGGTTTGACTTTGGGAACACCACGGCCCATACATATCCTCAAGGCTCTTCTGACCAACGGTTCACTATGCGAAGCTTCCAATGGTAGCATCGCCTGGTGCAGGTACAGACATCCGGAATGCTGCAAAGCTAGTGTAAACGGTCCTTGGCCGCATCGTATAAAAGCCCAATAGCTTATGGATGGCCAGTTTGTCCTGGCGGTTCAGCTCGGCATATTTATTTTGCCCGCAGGTGGTGGAGACGGTATCATCACGAAACTCATAATGAGATGCCCCAAGATGTTCATTCTCTGGACGTGAAGTCACAGAGAGCTCCGGGAGATCTACAGCCCATCACTGATCGCTTTCGGCCTGTCAATGGAGTCCTTCGAGCCCTTCAACCCCCCACCTCTCGACGAGTCGGTGCTGAACGCTGACGAACAAAGACCCCTGGCCAAGCTCCGTCCCGGGCCGTCCTTGCCTTCGTCTCCTTGCGCAGTTGACGTGTCACGCTGAGAATGCCTCCCCAGGCAAACAAGACCACTACATACCTTTGGCCAAGGAGACACAACGGTCTCCTCCATACGATACTTGATCCCGCCGACCAGGAAAGGCCACAACGTTCCACGGAAGACGGTTTGGGTGTCTGCCCTGTATGCTCCCGGCAAGAGGGGGAGGCAGCTCGGCCATCACACTGCAGCGGCGGTGGTGGCTGGAGAATGAAACCTATACACAAGAGGCAGACCGACAAACATCCCGGGCAGAGAAGAGTACATCCGTCTTCTCGGGACTGTCACCATGGAGGTACCCGCCACATCCTCAAACGCATCCCTCCTCTTTCCCACCCCTTTCGGCCGCCCATGATGAAAAGAAAGGCAAGATAAAAGAAGATTAAACGGGGGGAGGGGGGACAGAGAGAGAGAGAGAGAGAGAGAGAGAGAGAGAGAGAATTTCAGAGTAACTTGATGCCATTCAGCTTATAATCGGAGGCCCCAGGCCAGCCATCTGGGTTTCCCAGCTTGCCCAGAAATATGCCACCCAGAAGACCAAACGATTTATGAGACCGTTGGGCGCGGAGCTCACGTTCGGGGCCAATGCCCCAGCTGCCAATCTCGTGGGACCACGGGATCATGAAAGCCCGTGTTCTTTACCAGTACGTAATGAGCCCTTCGTCTTCACATGTATGTGACTGGTCAGGTAGCCTGGCATCAACACACCGCACTTTGCTATTACTTGCCTCAAGAAATGTCAACCAGCCAGGCGTTGTCTGGACACAGACCTGAATAGGTACACAGTCAGAATAGGACGGAGATTGTGATGAAGAAAAAAAGAGGTATCTCAATTGATCTCGTTCAGGTGCATAGCGCTAGATATAATCAATATGCAAGACACGTGGCCCTGCTTCCAGTAGACCGCCAGGACGTTCAAAGAAGCCGCTCTAGGACCGCTTCACAAAATTAAATCGTCCCGCCCCAAAGTCTGATGATACCCAGACAAAGAGAAAAAAACACCCCCATACGCTCAAGGGTACCCTGACGGAAACAAACTTCCTATCATGGTCGTAAAAGGAGAAGCGGTCGCTCTTCTAAACATCGTCATAAATCTCCCAAGCTTCCATCGGCTTCATCAAGCCTCTCATCCCTCAGCGCATTAAGTCGTAGATCGCTGCTGACGTGGGCTGGGGATCCCGCGATATGATGTACACACGGAACCCCCCGCGAGTCGCTAGCCTCAATTGTAGGATATCGAGTAAACAAATCAGGCCGCCCTCCATTATCTTCCCATACATAGGCGGCCCAAAAACAGAGGGCCGCCGCACAAAGGCCAACTTCGAGGTTGTGGTGGTATCAAGCAGAATTCGTAAAATATCAACCCGTATAAATCAAACTGTTCGCCATTACGAAGACTCTCAAGTCTTTCAAAACACGCAACGAGTAAGGAGCGCATCCAGTCATCGATCTATCGTCGAAGGGAAAACGGGGCTTCAACAAAAAAGCAAACCCAGCAGCAATACTGCTTTTGCGACACCGCGCTGGTGTCTGAATTTGCAATCGTACCGAAAATCGTGATGAGGGTGGGGGAGCGCAGGAGCCTCAAAGACTCATAGTGAGCCACTCCCATTCCTGCGGACCGGAAGCAGGGCCACCTGGGTTTATCAGCTGGCCATTCTGACCACCAGGCATTCCCATCATGCCCGTGCCCATCATTGGACGCTGGGTCATGCCAAATCCATTGGCCAGGCCCAGTGAGCCAGCCGTCGGCATGCTAGTAAGACCGGTGGCGGATCCTAAGGATTTCGCAGGCTCGTTGGGAGAGCCCGTTGAAGTTTCGGGACTGTCAACGTCCATACCCGCGGTGCCCTCGCTGCCGGCACTCTTGCTGTGACGGCGCTGGCGCTTCGAGGAACCGGAGGACGAGGATGTATTGACGTTGCGAGACAGAGCGGCAGCTCCAGGACCAGGAGTGTTCTTGGGTGGAGCGGCGGCAATCGGCACAACCCCCTTACCGCCAGCGGCGGCACCGGTGGACGAACCGGTTCCGTAACTTGTCGGAGTGCTGCCAGCAGTGTTGCCTCCCGACGCAGGACCGCTAGCAGGGCTCTCACCCTCGTTTGCACTACCGGCTCGAGCGGCAGCAGGCGGCGTTGTGGCGTTGTTGGTCGGAGTGGAAACGACAAGCGTCGAGTTCTTCCGGGAGACAGGCCCCGAAGCGCTGGCCCCGGCACTCTTCTTCGACCTTGTGCTCGTGCCACCGACGGGCAAGCTCGCGCCTGAGCCACGATTTCTTTTCTTGATGACATCGGTCTTCAGACTCAACGGTCGAACAACGCCGTGGAGCTTCAGAAACAGACCGCAGGCGTTGCAAAGAGGTTGACCTTCGGGGTTCCGGCGCCAGAGCGGCGTTGTCTGAGTGAAGCAGTTTGTACATGTGGTAGGCGCGTTTCCTTCGCCTTGGCTGCCCGCGGCCGCTTGCAAGTTGGTCGTGGAACCCTGCTTCGAACCAGGAGGAGATGAGGGCCGGCTAGGGGCGACGGAAGAGAACCCAGACACTGCGCCGTTGTTCTCGGGTGGAGAGTTGGGCGTGGATTGTGCCATGCGATCAAAGGGGTTTCCGTTTCTGCCAAGATGTCCCGCGGGCGTCGAGGCCGTGCGTGGAACCTTGCCGCCCCTCCTGTCGGAACCTTGTCTGAAGGACTGCGACCGCGGCAGGTTACCGCCTTCCCAGTCATTGTTTTCGACATAATCAGTTGTGGTGCCACCGATAGTCACCTGCTTTCGGGGTGGGCCACCAGGGTACCGCGCAGCCTGTGTACTGTACTGGCCGGGCAGCGACGGATCCCAGCCAAGCGAGTTGCTGTCATCAATAGGACCGGGCGAAAAGTCCTGAGGCATGACCATGTTACGGTCGGCAAAGGCACCGCCGTCCTCCTCGTCCGAATCTGCGCCAAATGTGAACAGACCCTCATTGGGCATAGACATGCCGGGGGACCGAACAGGGTGATCTTGCTGGAACACTTGGGTCGGGTCGATGTGCCCAAAGGGGCTGGGCGCGGCGCTGAAGGCAGATACGTTCTCGGTAGCGGGTGCTGATGCCGGGAACATGGGGTTTCCATTTTGCGGGTTGTACATGAACTGCCCGTTCATCTGATTTCCCATGTTCTGAGGGCCTTGGCGGAAAGATTGCTGTCTTTGACTGCGCATATCCATCGACCCAAAGTAGAAGCCATCGTTATCGGGCATGGGATGCGGCGTCGATACAGTGGAATGATAAGCCGATCCTGGCGGGGAGTAAAAGTCGGACGGGTTCAGGGAGGAGGACTGGACTGAAGAACCATTGTAGACGGTGGAAAATGGGCCATGAGATATCATGGGAGAAGTGGAAGGTGAGAAGGAGAAGTTCTGCTGGAAGGGGCCGGCAGATGTGATGATAGGGTCGCTTTCGATGTTGTAGGTATCAAGACCGAAGGGGACACCCGTCTGATGCGAATTTTGCGACATGTTGGATCCGTTGGCGTTATCGAGAGAGTATTCGTGTAGTTCCGAGTCGGCATCCAAGTCACTCGAGGTTGTCGTGGTGCTATTCACAGCGGGCACTTGGGGAGAGAAGTCGGCCGGACGTTTACGGGTCTAAGTGCGATTGGGGTCAGCTCAGGCGAAACCAAAGTGGGCACTAACACGATATCGGGGGTGTGCATCGGTACAGCGCCCGGGGTGTGCGCAAGATAGGAGAATTAAAAGAAACGCAGACGTCAGAGTTGGGTGGGAAGAGGGGGGGGGGGGGGGGGGGGCATCCGTCTCATTTGACTGATTCGCCGCAGGATTAATAATAATCAAAAAAAAGATTGGCTTACCCGTCGCTCATCAATACTCGTTTTGCGATGATGCCGAGTAACATAGTTGAACTCGTCATGGGTCTTCTGGTGATGGGGAGGGAAAGGAACGGATTGCGGGACAAAGTGCTGCTGGATGACCGAGTCTTTGCGCGATTTGATAGGAATGGCTGACGGAAAAGATGAGTGCGCTTGATGATGGCTCTTCTCTTCCTGCTTTTGCGGCAGAGGCGATGGGTTCGTGACAGGCGTCGCAATATTCTCGGAAAAGATGAAATCATCGAGATTCATGGGCTCTGGGTGGTTCACGTTTTGTTCCGACGACTTGCGCAATTGAGCGATACCGCTGGGGGGTTGGCATTGAACGTAGTAGCCGGTGGTGCAGCTGCCGGCGCAGATCGAGCGAGCCTACATCGTCCCACACAGAGGTTAGCCAAGTCCTATCCGGCATGGCACGCAAAAGAAGGCTGCCAGAGAGTAGAATTCATGGGCGAGAGAAAAAGAAGAAAAAAAAAATAGAGCATATAGTGAAGACAGATGGCGCATTGGAAAGGTAGGAATCCTGACCTTTCTTTCTCTTCCGCCTGCCGCTTGTTGCGTAAGTTGAACGCCATCATTCTCCATGTCAGGTTCTCCATGCGTTGCTGATTTGGCAACATGTGCTTTGTCTTGCTGAAGAACTTCCACACCTGGGTCGCCAGAGGGTCCTCCTTCTGCATATCTTCGGGACTCTGGTACGAGTCCATGGTTGCCTTTTGGAAGGGGGGAAAGTCTGATTTTTTCAAGAACCTGTCGTGCGCATTCGGGTACAGAACGGCGGAGAGGTCGAGTCGTAGATCCCGAAGACCGGCGGGCAGGTCGCTCGGGCTGGCCTTGGAAAGCGCTTGTGACTGTGTTGTACCGCGACAGTGGTCATCAGGCCTTCGCGGGAAGCGAAAGTCGTGCTCTGTTGTTGTGGGATTCATCGATGTGAGGGGACTGGAAGCCGCAATGGGGGAGGGGGTGCCGGCGGCCATGTGAAAGCGAGCAATACTTCGGGAGAGAGTAATAGGTTTGTGTGGTGTGAGAGAGAGGAAGGGGGGGGAGGAAGAGCTTCCTTTGGAAAAGTGAAGGTTTCGGTTTCGGCGAGTCGAGGGTCACCAGAAGGAATTTCCCCACGTTCGCCTGGGTGCAACTCTCTCTGGCAGTCTCTGTCTTTCTCTCTACCGCACTGCACTTGACCTCGCTGACTGGGTGGCTTGGTCCGCCGCCTCGGTCGCTAAGGGTCGGTGGGTACCTGGGTACGCCACGAGTACAGAGAGATGGGCAGGCCGATCTGGCAAGGCGCTCGTGTGTGGGCAAAGCCTTGTTCCCTCTGCGGTGGGTGCTGATCAAGTCTGGCAGTGTCTTTGGCGTATTGGATATGGAAGGAGGGTTAGGAAGAGTTAAGAGGAGGAAGAAGAAGAAGAAGAAGAAGAAGAAGGTTTCGGTGATAGGGCTGCCGAGTCGATGGCGCTTGAGTTTTGATCAAGAGCGGGTGCAGACGGCGTCGAGTGGACATCGGGAGGAAAGTCATCGCACAGGTTGCAGCGTCGGGAGGGATCTCTCGTCGCAGTAGACCCGGCGGAATAGTGGGCAGGATTGCGTAGAGAGAGGACGGCTCTTGTCCGTAGTTGGTGTCGCTTGCTGGGAGTACGTAGTTGTGCCGTTCCTCGTGCAGGGGCCGAGGGAGGGGAGGGGAGGGGCTGTCAGGTGTGGTGGGTGCGTGGGTGCGTGGGTGCGTGGGTGCGTGGGAGTTGGAGTCGGAGTGGGATTCAAAGTGGGTGCAGCAGGAGGGTCATCCACGGTGCGTGGATGAGGCCGACCTGGGCCCTTCCTCCAGAGATGGACAGAAAAAGCCAGGGCCACAGCCAAAAAAGCACTCTGATGGCTCTCCTCTCACACCCAGCCAGCCAGCCAGCCAGCTGAGGAATGCGGGAGGTGGGTGTGGAGTTGGCCGAATACTCAGTAGTCCCATTCCAACGTCCAGTCTCGTCTCGTTCTCCTTTGCACTTGTGAGACTTGCTTCACCTGCTGTACTACCTACTCTGCTGCTGCTCTACTCCTATGCTACCTACCTAGCTACGTATGATGGATGTGAAAAGGTATACCACAGTTCAGTCCCTTCCTTGCTGAAGAGCGGTCATTTGATCGGCCAGTCCTGCTCCTCCTCCTGCTCCTCCTCCTGCTCCTCCTCCTCCTCTTCCTCTTACTCTTCCTCTTCCTCCTCTTCATCTCTCTTCATCTCTCTTCCTATCCGTTTCCGTCTCATCTTTGTTTGTTTGTTTATTTATTTATATATATCGTCTTTCTTCCTTCTCCATCTCCCCGTCCCCCATCTCGGCTCTCTCTGCAACAAACAGCAAGAAGCCAGTCGTTGACATGTCGGCGCGCGCACGCTGCTGCAGGTGTAAGTGGGCCAGCATGAAAATAGTTTAGATGCAGGGAGGGCGTCTCTGTAGGGGACCTGCCCCCTCCTCTCCTCCTCTCCTCCGTCCGCCGTGAAGGCGCGCACGCTGGAGAGGCCTGCCGCCCACTTGGCTCTCTGGCTGGCGCTCCTGCTACTACTTAATAACTTGTTCCACCCCTCCCCCTCCCCACCCTCTCCAGAGGCGGCGGCCAGGAAATCGGGCCCTCTCCTCCTCAGGGACCATTGGGACCACTGCCTCGGCGGGAAAGAAAGGAATGACAGAACCTTGGACGGAACAATGACCGATCCCAGCCTACAGTTACCTAGCTGTTGCGGCGGACTGGCCTTCCCGACCTCCAAGGGTCAGCACATGGAAAAATGGTTAGCATCACGAATCGTTGGAAAAGACCCTACGCTGGGTATATCCCTCTACCCGATACCGCTTCTTGGAGCATGTTACATGTCGGACGCTCCCCGCAAGACGTTGCGTCGGCCTCTTGCGAAACTCCTCAAGCGGACCATTCTCACGGGTAGAGAGCGAGCGTTGACAGCTGATCCGGATCTTAATCCCTTTGCTATGGATCAGGGGAGTCGACAGAAAAAGCTGCTGCTCCGGTCTACTATGTATTTCCCCGAGACGGCGAGACGCCGTCGCAAGCCCTAGCCTTTGCGCTCTGGTACGGGAACCGAACCGGACGGGCCGTGGACTGGCAAGAAAATGGACTGCAAAAAAGGCGAGGCAAGGCGAGGCGATGCGATGCGATGTGATGCGACTAGACCATTCCCTCTGGAGGTGGCAGCACCGAGCCTGACTGGTCTGTGTGGTCTAGTGTGCCGAACAGTGGACGTTGGACTGAATGAAATGTGGATGCCACTAAAGTCGAATGTCGGCACACCACACCAGGCACGAATGGGGCGCGCGCCTCGAAGCAAGCCGAGCAGAGAGAGAGAGAGGTAAACCCTCCTGCAGGCTACCTGGATACGCAGTGCCCGACTCTGTGCCGCCTGCCGTTCGGGTTGTGGCCGGCCGGCATTCCTACACTAAGAAGGCTGGGACCCAAGACAGACAAGCGTCATTGGTGATGAGCCCAAGACATTCCAGAGTTCCTCATCTGCTCCAGTTCCCGCCTGCGCATGCTTCGAGTCGTCCCGCAGAGGGTCTGTAGAAGCTCAGTGTCGCTTTGGAGAAACCGACCCGTGTCCAAGGCTTTACTGGAGTCTCCTTGTCGCCCGCCGCCCCCAACCGCCGATTCCACGGTCCAAGACGCTGACGACGCCGTTGAACCAGAATACCATGGCTTACATGATGCCGCCGTCAGCTTGCATTCAGGTCGGATTTCAGGGTCCTGTCGGGGAAATGGGAGGAAACTTGCAACGAACAAGGCACGATCAGAAACCGCCCCCCCCCCCCCCCCCCCCCCCCTTGAGGGACGCCCCATCTCGGTGGAACTCCACTTTGGACAACTTCGACCCTCACGCTAAGCATGCAAGAAAAAGAGGAGCGAATCGAGACACCACCGTGCCAGCCGCGCCGGACGGTGATCCCCGGTCGTGGTGAAGCGCCAACTCGCGTGCCCAACGTTGTCACCGGTGGGCCCTGTACTGGCTCCAGCACAACAGTGCACGCCATCTTGTTGCGCCTGCCTTCGTCTCGGTGCGCCCTCCACCCCAGCTGAAGAGATGCAGGTCAACTGGGACGTCGATGAAAGAAGAAGGGCATTATCTTAGGTGCAGATACTCCGGACACTGGGCCGCGCCGCGGCCCCAGGAGATGATTCAGTCCTTGGTTCATCAGATCTTTCCCCATCCGTTCGCCTGCTCGAGGCCCTCAAATCGCGACCCGCTCCCATCCCCTACCCTGCTTCCGGGAATACGTCGTATTCTTGCGGCATTCGAACCATTGAGCAATCTCATTTGAAGACGAATTTGCCGCCCTCGTGCCCTCGCGGGCTCCGGTACGCGTCAGAGCCTCGAGAACAAGGAGACATATACATATGCTGCTATGGTATTGGTCCAGGGCCCTAGTATTCACTTGCTGGCTCGTGCTCCTAGGAAAAGCTGGGATTCCGTTTTCCCGTGTATGTATTCGTAAGGCGTATAACGCTCTGCGCTATAAGGAGAGAAAGGGCATTGTGTTGTATTGCGCGTCGGGCTGCCGTCGAAGGAAGCTTGCTGGCACACGGGCGACAGGTTGGTTTTTCCCCCCACCCCCCCCCCTATAAAGTAACATTTCGTGTCCTAGGACAAGCTCATCCCAGGTCATCGGTGGTTGTGCCCATGGCGATGGGGGTTGCTTCGGTGGCGCTACAGTCGCGATAACTACTTGTTTACTTGCATGATGAGTTAGTTCCCCAAGGAAATGCACCCTGGAGCCTTCATCTCATCTTCATCACGGATCCGTTGCTTGATTGATCCCGGTAGGGGGCATCCATAGCGAAGCAAGAGAGAATTCGGGCGTATTTCTGCCGTGGCTTGTGCCCGCCTGAAAGCCCCCCACGGCTTGCTGATGTTCATCTGCTTTTCCCTTCCGCTGCCGCCAATCGGAGGCGCTCGCAAGAAATGTTCTCGAATGAACCCACAACGTACTTTGTGACACGCAATACGTGATTGGCGCCTCTCTTCTTCTTTTGCCGAGGAACGTCTAGTCTAGAACCAGGGCTGAGCACGAGCTGGTATTGGTCACAACATCCCACTCCCCAAACTATCACCCCACGCTACCTGTTTGAGGGGAGGGGTCGACCGCGGTCTGCCGCTGTTACTCGATCCAAATGCGCAGCGCCATCAAGTTGTCCTAAACAGAGGAGAAGGAGAAAAGAAAGGGGAAAAGAGGAGGAGGAGGGTGATTAATACGATGAAGAAAAAGAAGAAGAAGAAGAAGAAGAAGAAGAAAGCTGGCCAAGGTAAATGGGGTGGCTTCGGTCACTTCAATGCAGACACCTGCACGCTGCCGCATTTTTTGGTCGTTCTCTGAAGAGTCGATGGGGCCGGCCTGTGTGCAACTCACGAGCGTGGCGGGCAGGCCAAAGATAGATAGTAGCGGCAGGGCCCCTTCCTCTCATCCCCTCTCCTCTCCGCAGGAGCAGTCGCCAATTGCAGTGGGTAGGTAGGAATCCGTAGCCGATTCTTTGTGGTGGTAATGGGTCTCATCAGCCTTAGGCCTGGAGGACACGGGAATTTATCCCCATTTTGGCGCCAGACCTGCTGGCACAATGGCAGGGGAGGAGGACAACGATGGCACGGTTACGATGCGTCGACCTGGCTTCCCGGGCATGGCTAGGTCCCGGGGCACCCAGGTAGCTCAAAGGCACGGATGCGGTGACATTGCTAAAGCAATAACGAAAGCCGACGGGCCAGACAGAGACTTTAGGCTAATGAAGGCAGCGTCTAGATAGGTATTGTGAGCTGCGGGTGTAAACTATGCATGTCGTTCCAAACCCTCTTTCGGAATGGTGGAGGGGGGCTCAAGGCTGGTGTAAGTTTAGGTATACTCTCCATGATCGGAAGAAAACCGAGCTCTGGCTCGAGAGGCAAAGACCGCGTGCAGTTGCGGCGAGAGTAGAAATCGCGGCACGGGAAAGGTACCTCGTCAACCGGTGCGAGGTATTTGGCATTCCGACTGGTCGCCGCTGCAGGTCTGATGCAACTTGGGAGACTAGACCGGCACTCACTGGGGGGAGGACAAGGAAGGGCGTCAGGATGCGCCTGGCGGAACGAGACGCAATAGCTTTTAACAGGGCACATATGCCGCCGGTTCCGATGGCGGCATAGTCCAAGATGAAGACAACGGACGAGATGGAGGGTGATGTTGCATGACATGTGGTAAAGTGCAACTTGCAGCCGGGTTTGCAGGGAAGGTGCACGAGACCCCCACACGAGACCGTAAGTGGGCAGGCAGTACGTAGTAGCCCACGGATGTATTTCTGCCTTGAACTGCTCTGGGCCTATGAAGGAGAAGGAGCAAGCAAGCCGCAGACCAATACTGGCAAGTACCTAGCATTTGGTGGCGGTGCTTACCTTATGCAGACAAGACTGGAAAGAAGCCACAGCAGTCACCTGCTAGTAAGGTAGGTAGGTAGGTACGCACAGACAGACGTTCGAAAGCAGGTCACGGACATTACCGACCGATGATATGCTGATCAAGGTCAAATCGAAAGGGAAAACTCTTTTCCCATTCTCTCGACATCTCATCAATTGACAGACAGTTGCCATGGATATCAACACCATCTCACTCACATCGATCACTCATCATCAAATCAATGGGTCTCGACATGCCTTCGCGCGACATTCTCCAGACACTATTCTCCTTCCCGTCCACAGGCGCGGTTCCCGCTCCCGATCTCCATTTTCCAGTCCCCGTACGGATGGATGCGCCTCCTTGCTGTCTCCATAATTTACCCCCACTCTCAGGTCTCTCTCATGCTGGTTGCGCTCTTTCTCCCATCCAACGTTACGGACCTATGGTTCCTGTCGAGATTTCGATGCTCCTGCGTCTACCTAACCAACACTCGACCAGAATCGACTCCGCCCAACTGTCCGAGACCTGCGTCACATTCGCGGAGCCTCCCTGTCCTTCTTACCAGAATCTTTCTTGTCATCCAGCCTCTCATTCAAACCTATTCGCATGGCTACTGCCCTATTCGACATCACCCCCGTACCCACGCATCCGACACTGCAGCTGTAGCGAGGCATTTCACGTCCAACACCCGTCCCGCTTGAAACTGCCCTCTTTTTTGCCCCCGTCGTCCTTGGATCGTTAACGTTACCAAGAAAGCTCCGCACCAAATCCCCCATCCCTGCAATTGGTGAGCCAACCGACACAATCATCACAATAGAAACATACGGCTGTGCCGGCCTTTTTTTTTTTTTTTTTTTTTTTACGCCCGCGAGTCATTTTACTGGCACCCATGCCGTCCTTCGCAAGTCAGACATGGGCGAGCTGGCCATGGCTCACTCAACGCCTCGTGGCAGAGGGTCCAAGTAAGTGTGCTGCCTTGGCTTCACCTTGGGCCTGACGGGCGCTCCTGACAAGGATTGTCTCCGTATCATGGACGCTCTGCAATTCGGATTAAGTTGCTGGACGTTCTGGGCCCAACCCAAATTCTGCAGAACAACGCCCGACAGTATCGACAACCCTCTGGGGCGGATACTGCTACTCCCTTCATGCACCACGAGATCATCACTTGTCATCTTCTTTCAACACCACAGCATCCCGACTGCCATACGTCAGTCGCCCGCACCGTCGAGACGTGGGGACATGGCGCCCGCAACCTTCAATGGCTCCGCGCGCGCTTCATTCTCCTCGGTTTAGCTCGTCTTGAGCCCTGGCATGCTCACTGGCATACAATACTCACTTCATCCTTGACAGCATCGGTCTGCCCCATATTCTGCCCAAGTACAAGGTTCATTTACGTATAATTCCGAGGTTGCCAAGGCGTGCCGGGGAGGCTGTCGCCGAAAGGAAATCTTGAGACTCGTCGAAATGAGATCGGTACCGAACACCGTGGTGGGCTCGTATACCAGTCTTCGGACCTTGCGATATGTGCACTCCTCTACTCTGCGGGCTGCTTTGCTACGTGCTGCTGCCTACACTCGACTAGACCCGGCAGCCTTTGGCCTCGCGATACTGCAGCCACTCAAATTCATGACGAGATTCTGTTTGTCCGATGTCGACTGCGCGGTCTTCCAAGCCGCCGCTAGCCATTGAGGGCTCCGAATTCGATGCAGGGTGCGCTGTGCCGTGTTGCCCCCAACGGACCGATCCCCACAATAGCGACAGCGGTGCTCAGCGGCCTATGCATCCGACCGCGCTGGTCTATTCTCAACTTGGTTCAACTCGCATCAGCAGTGGACCTCCCTCCTGGTCCTGGGGCCTGCCGGAGAGCCTGCGAGGGCATCTGCAACGCGGCAACAAGACCCATCAGTGCCAGGGTGAAACGCTGAGGTCAGTGTGCTTCTCCTCTCCGACTCCCGACTTACAGATCCCCGCCTGTAGAGCGGATGGTCGACTCTTAGTGTAGAGCCGCCTCGGTGGATTTGTTGCGTCTTTCGCCAAATCAGCCCGACTGGGGAAAACTCCAAAGCCCAGGGTCTGACGAAAATGGAGCGGAACAGACTGTGGCTACCCAACCTCCAGCCTTCCATGATCGGAGCATGGCTGGCGTCAGGCAGCTCAGACTTGTATTCGACCCTGGGTGGCTCGTGTGGCTATGAAGGCGTTCCCAAAGCATGTCTTGACATCTTAAAAGGCTTCAAAAGCTTTGTCCACCGCTAACATCCGTCTGCTACGTCTCGTTCGACCTCAGAGGGCGCCAGCTTGACATGTGACTCCCCCACGAGCGTCATGCGCGACATCGGATCTAGATTGTCCAAGTTACGGATGATGGTCCTGAGGCCCAATAAAGGTGTCGGTCGGTTTTGACAATGTGCATAAACGACCTCAACACCAACAGACGTAAACAGAGGGGCACACTAGTTTGTACAACTACAGTGCTTCCTAATGATTTGGACATCCTACGAGCAGACGTGAGTCCGCAACTACCCAGAATCGCAATGCAATCTACGAGAAATGGGCAGCCGCGTTCGCGCAGGCCACTTTTTGGGCAGCTGCGGCGGCCTGCAATAGCTTACGGTATGCGAGATCGAAACGAGTCCAGTGCCTCGCATGTCAGCCTTCTCGAATTAAGCCGGAGCAGGTGCGAGAGTTATCCCGTTTAACACCGGCGCATTGTACTCCGTATTTGGAGAGTCATTGTGGATGGCGGTGAGTAAGTAGGAGTGGCTCCAATGCCCCCGGCAACGCCACCCATATTGGCCTGGAGAAAGCGACACACGAGTCGACTGTGCTAGGATGATAACAACCTCCATGCCATGCTTCCCTAGAAGAAAAGTCAGCGTTTCGAACAAGGACCAGCAATTTGTCGTCCTATTGGTCTGCCTGATGTCTCTTATCCAGGCTACCCCCACATGCGTACTTTAGAGCCTGGCAATCTCGGCCAAATAGCGTGCTCCTCCCCCCACTATCGCTGTCAACCTGCAGGACTTGTTGTGTACTGCTCCGAGCAATGGTGCTGATCCGGGAAGCCAACCAAGTGACTATCGATTGTCATCCGGGAAGTCTCGCGCTTCTCGACCGAGGACCGATGTTGGTCGTCCTGACGGGTAATCTTGTTGCGTCGCTTGTGGGCCGGTTGTCTTCTCGCACACGAGTTTGTGTTGTTTCTTGTAGTTCCATGGTTGTTCGGTCCACCTGACAGGGACGACGTATGGTTGATCACGTCTGAAAAGGGGTGCTTCCGCCGCGAAACCCTCGAACTGCGGACATGAAGGTGCCCCGCGTGGGGGTCTGCTTCTGTTCTGGCTGGGCCGAGCGCGCAGGGAGCATGCCAGCTGCGACTTGGAAGCCGGTGGCGTGGCATGTGGTTGGTTGGTTTTCGATCAGCACCAATTCACCAGTTGACTACCGGTACTAGGTTTGCTGAATGGCGCTACGTGGGCTGTGCTGCTCCTCGTCGGTTAGGGAGGACGGCAGTTTCCTCGTGCCGCTCGAGAGGTCGATGATGCTTCCGGGTCCTTTTTTTTTCCTTTTTTTCCTTACCTCCTCGGGGGGCGGCAATCGCTGCTGCTGCTGCTGCTGCTGCTGTTGTTTGCGGCTAAGGGTCACTCACGTTCGGCATTGCGAGTGGCCTGGAAAGTGTCCCAAGGTGGGATGGTGCCCTACCTCGGGATGGTCGCAATTCGTTCAAGTCCGGTTGCTTCGATGGAAAAAAAAGAAGAGGAGAGTAAGGGCGCTTTATAAGTCTGCTCTTATCTCTCGTACCGAATCCATCAAGGTGTAGGGTTGCTCTTAAAGACGTGCTCGGGTAGGGTAGCTGACTCTTTTGCACCATTCTTCTAGCAAATTGCAAAAGATCGTCTCCCTGTCGTAGCATCCCTACTTATCTCTATCTCTCTATCAGCCTGCCCATCTATCTTTGATATGTGGTTCTCTCCGGACCTGCCCAATCTGCCAGGAAAGCAGAACTAGGGGAACAGGGAAACGGAAAACTCTTGCTCTACATAATTGGCTTAAGCATCCGTCGTATCTTGATCGCATTGCGCATTCCACTCTTATCTACGGGACAGGTCTTTGAGCTGCCCGCCTGCCCACCTTTGCAACACGAAGAGTTTTGTGCGCGCGTGACTCTCGAGATAACCTCCCTGCCGCACACAAACCCTTCGTGCATCCATGCGTATGTGTGGCCAAACATGGGCACTTATGCACGTTTTGGCATTGGCGCTGGGCAGTTTGCTGCACCTACTGTAGTAGGTCAAATTCTTTATCTTTTGGCACATGGCGTGGGCATGCATCTCAAGCGACCTTCTTATCTCGTCTGAGCGGAAGTGGGCGAAGCGGACCCTTATCTTTTCTCCAGGTTTCGCTTCCCCGGACATGGCTTGCTGGTGGAGTAGCATCTTTTTTTGGAGATATAGATGCAATCTGCTGCTGCTCCTCTTGCAAGAAGTTCTCCTGCTGGAGGGAATCATTCCCGTACCCTTCTCAGCCTACCGACCCGAGGGCTTTCGAATCCCCCATGCTTTAGTCATCAGCCCCGCCAAGTGGGAGAAGAACGGTTCCCATCAATGATGCGATGGAATACGACACTTGACTTGCCTGATACGACGAAGCCGGACTGCGAACCAAGCGGATGTATCCAGCACGACGGGGAACACGTATCCTAGAAGTAACATTGTCTTTTCGATGCGGATAAATACCGCTGGCCTTTGAACTATCGACCACAACACCAGCACTACGATCTCTAACAACAATACAACTGGCTCATCGATCAAGTGAATGCCCGGTGGCAGAGAGAACATGATCAGTTCAACATTATCTACCATTAACGAATTTACACTCAGTATGAGAGGGATGTCTCCGTCGGGTCTCCCTGGCGGCTTCGTGGAGATCTCAGGTACAACCAGTAACCTCATGTCGGCGGCTTGGCTTTCTTGAACGCTCTTGGCCACGTCGCTCAGATGATATCGATCTAGTACCTAGGCTGAGCTAGTGCGCAGCCTCACCTGCTACACATACCTACCGCCACTAATGTCGCAGGGCCGCACTCGAATATTGCTGTGGATAACCACGAGAAGACAGGGTCGCCTCTCTGGCAGCCTACCGTACCGAACCGATTTCACGAGCTCTGGCCCGATACGACACGATACGATATCTCGACGTTCATCGCTGCTCCTTTCATTCGAAGACTACCTCCTGATAAGTGTCGGCGCATTATCTAAGGTGGACATCCACATCGACCGCCATCGCCGAGCTTAGCCCCCTCCATCAAGGGCAGCGAAAGCCGGGCTTTTTCCTATGGTCTCTGCAGTCTCTCTTGCGGATGGACTGCTGATCGCCTGGATATGCTGGTATCCTGGACAAGAGATTCAGGCTCCCATCAAGGACCAAGGTGGTGTGTGGTTCGAGAGTGCGTTGCCGGAGGCAAACCATGGGGGGCGAATAACTGTTTCCGTTGCCCTTGGCTCGATCTTCAATCTTGTGTCAGCAGGAAAACCACCATCCAGACATTTGGTCTATGGCCGCATATTCCTTTCGGATTGCTTTGTTCCAGACACATGTCGATTCCGAACCGAAAGTTGCATATCATTCATGGCGGCATGAGCCATCGGGTTCAACTCGTATTGTCTTGGAGTACGCCCCGATGACAAACTTCTATATGGCAACGATCTACGCCGAACAGTTGAAGCCACTCGACGTACAATTACCGACGCGCAAGAATGCCCAGAAATTTGCGGATCACTTATGGAAAGGGCGAGCATGGTTCTAGGGCCAAGGACTGGGAGGCATATCCAAACAGAACAGGGAAGGTAATGGATGGTTATTTCCTCCAAACTGGAGCACATCTGCTCTTATGCGGTGTTTTACTCTACGGAGATCACACGAAGCCGAATAGTGTGCACATGGTCGGCGAATTGATGTGGTCCCTTGACAGAACATCACTAATCAAGATGGACGGAGGCGCATCTGCCGATTGGTGTTGGCGATTGATCTTCGGTCACATGCCGCTCGCAAAGGATAGGCGAGGTGTCAGTCTTCCAAGCAAAAAATATACTGCTCAATCCTCGACCACGGAGGCAATTGGGAAAGTTCAGAAGGCTTGGGGAACGGTATCAGTAGGCCAGGTGGGTTGTACATAACGAAACAATGGATCGAAAGGAATCCTTCGGCTCCTTTCCAAATTTGTTGTAAAGAATGACTTCTGTCGGTCGTGAACAGCAAACCCAGCACTGCGCAGCACGATTCAGCCTCGGGGAGGGAAGCCTTCGTTGAGCCGCGAAGCAAGTCTCGCGACTCGGGAAAGCCAGGCTAGGCAGCGGCCGGTGCGGACAAAGTCTACTCTCCTGGTCCCCCGGCTCATCTCCGTCTCAGGCATCCAAGCCTCCGGTTGGCTGTGCGCAATGCAATCCTACGTCACCCATCATGGGTTCGGTGGTCGATGTTGCGCTCGCTCATCGAACTTTGCCGTGGCATCGCGGAAGTCCACTCCTCCCTCGAGCGGGTTGGTTCTTCAATGTATCGGAGAATCGTCGCGATTCAGTGTCTGCCATGACGAAGATTTCGCTCATCAATGTGACGGATGGGGAGAATCTTCGGGCCCGCGCAGACGTGTACGAAATACCACAAGCGGCCTTACCACGGCTCTGTTAGCGAATTATGTGAATCGGTACGGCAATTCAGGAACAAGAGTGTTTTGATAAGTACAAGTGACTTGCAGGCAAAGAGGAAGACGTTGTGTAAAGATTCGTAGTGTAGCTACCGCCGGGTATTTGGAACAGCCTGCTTCGTTCCTCTGGCCGGCCCAATCATCGTTTTACCGGACCTGCCGGCCTCGCAGTATGTCCCTCTTCACGAGCCAAGGGCTGCCGAATTCGCAGCCTCACCTCCCAAGAGAGCAGAAGCAAGCAATGCGGCCGATTCAGAGGAATCTGACAGGATTACAAAACGCCTACAACGGAGACGCAAACCGCAAGATCAACCGGATTGTCGACAAAGAAACCGCATGGGACGCTACCAAACGAAGCTTCCGGAACCGTATTCCTCACATTCGTCGTCAACCCTAAGCAGGCGGAAAACCGTCGCTGTGTGTTTCGCCTAAAGGTACATCTGCCCCCTCTCCAGCCGCCAGGAGTAGTCAAGTTCATAAGGAGGACGCCGGTATTCGAGCCAGCGGCAAGGACTAGAAACCCGCAGTGATTCGGCTCTGCGGTTGCGTTGGTTTATAAACTGCAGCAACATCGGGAGGACCAGAGCGTCGTTAGAAGGCTCCATGCTTACCATACAGAGAGGCGATTGGCTGTGGGGTTCCGTCGACGGGCATCCTATTCTATGCAAAGAGGTGGAAGAAGGCTTAACACGAGAAGAGGACAGCGAGGAGTCGACATGATAGATTAGAATTGAGACGATAACAACGTATCAAGCCTGCGGGTTTTCTTGGAGAAGCATGATTCTGAAGGGACGACCTTGATGCGACGACTGTTGCAACTTCACGCGCCGAGTCGGTAATACCATTCAGCTTCCGCTCTTTCTTGTATATTAATGTGTCGACGAAGAGCATATTGAGCGATGCAGAGGGCCTGGGTATTGCTAGATCTTGGACTGCTTGCGAGATGCCTCATGTAAGGCCTGTCCATCATCACGTAAGGAACAGCTTTTCTGACAACACCGACACTAATCACTAATGGAACTCGATTTTTCATTTGATTATTGAAAAAGTTTGTCTCTCTTGCGACCTTCATCTACGGTAACATGAAACCCTTCCTACATCCAAGGGGCTTTGCGTCCAAGAGGTGTCTTGTGCCATTCAAGCGGTTGATTCGGCTGGATTGCCGAGGCATGCTAGATTCGGAAGTAGAACGGACTGTTTGCTGTGATCCATGAGCCTCAGAGGATACAGATGCAAAAACTGCATTATCCACCACTGTCCAAGTGTCTCTGGAGCCTCCCCTGTTGAAGAAAACAAACAGTATAACTCGTTCTCGAGGAATCGTCAACCTAAGTATCATGTGAAGTAGCAGCTCAGTTGGGTGTAGTTGGAATTTGCTTGGCTTTCGGTCCACGGCCGAACATGTACCGGTTCCCGGGCTAGCGCATTGCGTCACAAGAACCCACCCTGTCGGTGCCACCGAGCATGTGGGGCAGCGTTCCCACAAAGTGCTTGTCAGCATGAATAATCCAGTTCGAGAGCAGCGCAGTGGTTGAAGAATCCAGCCGGTCATCACCTGCGGCGACGCCCCCCCTTAGGTAACCGCTTAGACAGCTTCACTGGGGGTATGTGTAAGACCCTTACAGTAGTCTGCAGCGTCGGGACATGACAACATATAAGCTTCTATAGGAGATTTGCAAATGCTGAACAACGTTTCCAGACCAGATTCACGCTGATTCTCGATTATACTAGCTCTTCTTCATCGTGCGAGAAGCCCCGAGCCTCAAGTATATATGCCTCGTATCGCAACCTTCACTGCTGTCATCGCTGTTTTCGTTTCCGTCATCATCTTCAATACACAGTTAAAGAGCTTCTTCGCAGACGTCACCTCTTCACTTATCAACACCAAAACAACAACTACTACTACTACCACCACAACCACCGCAATTCCATCCATAGTACCAGACTCTTCTGTGCCTCCCATGCTCAAGAACACAATGTCCAAGACTCTCCACCACGCAAAGATCACGCCGCACCGGAGCAGCGCTCGCGGCCATGCAGACCACGGCTGGCTCAACACCTACCACAGCTTCTCGTTCGCCAACTGGTACGACCCGCGCTTCAACAGCTTTGGCGCGCTCCGCGTGCTCAATGAGGACCGCGTCAAGGCCAACTCAGGCTTCCCCACGCACCCCCACCGCGACTTTGAGATCTTCAGCTACATACTCTCGGGCGAGCTGACGCACCGCGACTCCATGCTGCAGAAGGGTGCCGAGGGTGGCCAGAGTGACAAGTTTTACCGCATGCACCGCGGCGACGTCCAGTTCACCACCGGCGGCACAGGCATCGCACACTCGGAGATGAACGAGCACAACAAGGACACGGTGCACTTCCTCCAGATCTGGGCCATCCCGTGGAAGCGTGGCCTGCCGCCCACCTACCACACGCGGCACTTTTCCGAGGACGACAAGCGCAAGGGCTTCGTCAAGATTCTCTCCCCTCTCAAGGCCGGGCCCGACGCCACGGCAGCCGAGGAGAAGGCCGCGGAGCCGGCGATCCCGGACACCATCCCGATCCACGCCGACTTCGTCATGGGCGCGGGCATCATTGAGCCCGGCAAGGTCTTTGAGTGGAACGTCGGCGCCAAGGTTACAGAGCAGACGAAGCGCAAGGTTTTTGTCCACCTGCCGGCGACCAAGGGCGGCAAGGCGAAGGTCAAGATCGACGGCCGCGACGACGCCGTCTTGTCCGAGGGAGACGGCGCATTCGTCGACGCCGTCAACGCCGGGGACAAGCTGAACGTCGAGAGTGTTGGCGAGGCCGAGGCCGAGGTGGTCATTCTGGACACGGCGTGAGACCGACAGATGGCGCCGCAGGCAGGATGGAAGAAGCCTTTGTGTTTTTGAGCGACTTGGAATATCCAACTTTGAATACCACTTGACTTCAAAGTTGACGTAGCTGGCTACCTTGATGTTACTGTGACAGGCCGGGCAAAAGGAGTAGAGCATAGATTCGATGAAGGAAAAGCAGACTAGCCTCAGAGCATGAATAAAAAAACGAATAAAACAGTCCAGTGCACTTCATTTTCGTCCAAGGCCGTTCTTGACAACAGTAAGCGCAGAGAGCTAGATCTTCCAAAGTCGACACCGCAAGCCGTGGGACGACGACGACGGGCCGAATAAATGCTGAGGGGACTGTGCGCAAAGATTTATAAACAGTACAGGGGAGGGCTTGAAGCACGCATTTCATACAGTGCGCATGACGAGAGAGACGTGCGGGGAGTTGCTTGCAAATCGTCTTCCGATTTTTCACCAAGTTCGCCATTCAGACTCATCAACCACCACTTGCGAAACCAGCCGCCACCAAGACATTGTCCCTCGCAAGATCGCGGTGCGCATAAGCCGTGGAAAGAACACACCGCCATTCATCATGCATCTTCAGCCCATCGACAATACGGAGATTGAGCCCTTCGCCAGCGCCATGGCAACCGACCCCCGCTTCACTGTCGTGCCCGAGGAGCAAGAGATCTTCGACGACGTCTGGGGTTCGGAGCCGGGCTCGCCAACCAATGTGCCCCAGCATGCGCCCACAGGGACGCACCCTGGCGACATCCCGAGACTGCAGGCGGAACACACCACCGCTGGGTACCGCGAGGGAGTCACCGTGGCCAAAGCCCAGAGCATCCAGGTGGGGTTCGACGAGGGCTTCAGCCTTGGAGCCGAGCTCGGGTCGCTCGCCGGCCAGATTGTCGGCATTCTGGAGGGCATTGCCGCCGCCTTGGTCGGCCAGGACGAGGCCGTCGTTAAGGCCGCGCGCAAGGCCTCGGACGACGCCAAGATGGAGCTGAGGACGGACTCCATCTTCGCGCCCGCCTTCTGGAATACCGACGGGACCTGGAAGTTCGACGTCGACGAGCACGCGGGCGAGGAGATCCTCTTCTCTGACGTGGCCCGCGCCCATCCCCTCATCCAGAAATGGACAAAGGTCGCGAACGCCGAGGTTGAGCGGTGGGGCATCGTCCTTGATGCTATCGGCGATGCGCAGGAGCATGAGAGGCAGCCGAGCCCGGAGCGGGCTCCGAGCGCCGCCGTGCCACAGACGAAGAAACCTCTGGACTGGTGAGGTCCCCGAAACGACCAAGCTGTTTATCACACCTTGTATTTTTACGGCTGAAGGTTTCGGAACGAGCTGGCCACTGGGTAAGCAAGCCCTCGTCGACAGTGCCGCCGGTTTGACATCATGGGCATGCCCGGGCCATTGTTGGTTTTCCAGTAAGTTACCGTGCCGATAGGCTATGCCGAGTGGGGACACTATATGCTTACTCGATGTGCTTGCAGAGCAAATTGCGTTGATATGACGAAGTGTTATCGCTCGAGCTCTATGAGTTTCCAGGAAAATCGGGGAATCCTTTGCTTCTAGCGCAGAGTCAAATCGGACTTGGGTCCGGCTCCCTCGCAGGATTACGCCGTCTGTGTAGACGGGCTGTGGCTGCTGAGAGACTTGGGATCAAAGCCGAGCCGCGAGTCCGACGCCTGCCGTGCGGCTTGCTTGAATCATGGCACGGCAGGGCATTCAGGATAGGATTCTGTCTTGTGACTGTTCTGCCGTTGTTTAGCCTATCCGGGTATGAACGGGAAGCGAAGAAGTTTCGTAGTAACAGGGGGGGAGGCGACATCCTGCAGGAACAAGTCATGTCTGCCCGTTCAGTTCAAAATCGATTGCCCCTCAGCGAGCCCACTGCATAAAGAAGGGAGCTGCATGGACAGAACATCACAAAAAGCTGGCCAACCCTCATTGCCATGGGTACTGTAGGTGATGGAGCTCAGGTGTTAAGTGCATAAAGCCAAAAAGTCGGTCCGCTGCCAAACTTCGGCTATAGATGCAAAAAATCCCACCGCGAAGAGAGGATCACCTCCGATCCCGTCCCATTTCGTCATTAACATCATGCTGCTATGGTGGGCGCAACTACCACGGCCCAGTGAACGAACACATGGCTCCATAGGACACCGGAGTTCGCTATATTAATGGTTGCATCCAACTTGTGCGTGCCTGGCGCTTGACCTCAGTAATTACGGATACCGTAGGCGTGCTCATGGGGTGAGTGACCCTTGGTGTTTCAAGAGTGCGGCTGTGCTGCCTCACATCGGAAGGGCCAGCCTATCGCGTGGTGGATGTCTCTTTAAGCTCAACACCATTAGCGCTGGATTCTGCAGGGGTCCCCGCTGTTGAACGTGTTCGAGTCGGGAGGCGCGCCTCCTTGTTGTCGGAGGTGGTGACATTGTCAAGGCTCTCCCCCCCTGTGTTCCTTGGACGAAGATCTGGAGCTTCTGCTCTGCACAGGGATGGACGGTGATCTCATCCACCGACTGCTCCGTTCCTGTATCAGGACGTTCCAAGCTGGAGGGTGCCCGCCGCCCATCCACAAGCCGCCCATCTCAAAACCCTGTCAGCCTTCAATGCTTCTCTTTTTCCTTTACCCAAAGAGATCAGAGACATGGGTGGCCCCCCGGCTTTGCCTCTGCTATACCTGCACCTGTCGTCCGAATTTGACCCTAGGTAATTTTAGTCAAACTTCATCCGAGCTAGGTCACTCAAGCGACCACGCCCCTGATCGACAAAACCCCATGGACGAATTACACATACACGGCCACGGGGGCGTTCGATGGGGCGACGGAACCCACCTGCTGGCGTGTTATTCATCCGAGCTCATAGGCCAGAAAGGGCTTTTCTCGGAGACACGATGGCATGATAGCTAGTGAGGCTAAGTCAGTACGGCGATTCGACGAGAAACTCCACGAGCCTATTCGCGTGTTTGGGTCTAGCGAGCCTACCCTGGTCCCTATCGTCACACTGCCTCCCCCCTGTGTGGCTTCAGGCCATGGAAAAGGTTGAAAAGGGCAGCTGCCATCCGGGTTATGTCTCTCCTCTCTCTTTCTGTTCTTCAGTATCTCTGATACCATCACATTCGCTAATACCTTGGACCCCGTTCAACGCTCTCTATCTCCCCTCATTTCCATCCCAACCCATCACATTCTTTCACTTATTCGAGAGAGCGCCACCACCAACATACAATGCGTTGCTCCGCCATCGCAATCCTCGGCCTCGCGGCCGTCATCTCCGCAACATGGGACGGCAAGTTCAGCTACCCTCCCGGCATCGAGCCCCTGGGCATGGCCAGCGGCAATGCCGACTTCAACATCAAGACCTTCGGTCCCTCAACGGCCCCGCCATCAGACTGCATCTCCGTCTGGCACCCGCCACACCCCAACGTCTACATTGATGACTGTGACAACGACAAGGAGCACGGCTGGCACTGGGTCCACCCGGGCAAGCCCAAGGACAGTGACAAGCCTGATCAGTCGTGCGACAAGTGCGACAAGCCCGACCAAGATAAGCCCGGCAAGGACATGCCTGACCAGCCGTGCGACAAGTGCGACAAGCCTGGTAAAGACATGCCTAAGCAGCCTGATCAGCCTTGTGACAAGTGCGACAAGCCCGACCAAGATAAGCCCGGCAAGGACATGCCTGACCAGCCGTGCGACAAGTGCGACAAGCCTGGCAAAGACATGCCTAAGCAGCCTGATCAGCCGTGCGACAAGTGCGACAAGCCTGGTAAAGATATGCCTAAGCAGCCTGATCAGCCTTGTGACAAGTGCAACAAGCCTGATCACGACAAGCCCAAGAATACAAGCCAGCCAGCGCAGCCAGCGCAGCCTGCGCCGACCAGCTGGAAGTGGACGACCTCGACCATCACCCAAACGGCCTTTTCCACCGTCTTCAGCTGTGCACCCACCGTTACCAACTGCCCCGGCAACGGCGGTGGCGCCCACTACACGACTGTCACCGTCCCTGTCGTCACAACCATCTGCCCTGTCCCCGTCGTGCCGATCCCCGCTCCGACGACGGTGCCCGCTGCTCCTCCGGCGCCGCCTGCGCCGCCTGCACCACCTGTAGTGCCGGTTGCTCCTCCAGCACCGCCTGCGCCGCCTGCACCACCTGTAGTGCCGGTTGCTCCTCCAGCACCGCCTGCGCCGCCTGCACCACCTGTAGTGCCGGTTGCTCCTCCGGCACCGCCTGCGCCGCCTGCACCACCTGCAGAGCCAGTCACTCCTCCCAGTCCTCCCGTTGTTCCTCCGGCGCCGTCGAACCCGCCCGTTGTCCCCCCTGCCCCCACGACCACCAAGCCCGAGATCGGCACCATCGGCACCATCACCAGGCCCAACCCCACCGCGACCACTAGCCTCGCCATTGTCACTGCCGGCGCTGTTCAGAACGCCCAGCGCGCGGGCGGTGCCGTCGTCGCCGCCGTCGTCGCTGTCGCTGCCTTCATCTGAGAGCACTCCCGGCGGTTGCGGACTTGTCTGTCTTTTGCTTTTACACGTGTCACTAGAACGAAGCCCAGCAACAGGTTTTCGGGCAGAGTAGAGGCACATCACAACGATGGCTTATGGATACAACATCGATTTATGGTTATGGTAATGACTGGGTTTCAATATACGATCTTGGGACTTCATTCGGACGGCGTAGGGTTGGTTCCTCGGGCTTCGCAAACTTGGGCGAAGGGGGAATAGGAACTCTGGAGTCCAGGAAAGCCTACTTTATTAGTTAAGGCTAATACAACGGTTATGTTTTCTTCTTTTTCTTCAATATTTTGAATACTTTGTTTGCAGTTCTCAACCCGTGGTCTCGAGACAAGCCCTGTGATTCCTCATCCACATGTGACTGCCTTCTTCGATGAGCTGGCTTCAGAGGCGATACCACTGTGCTTGGCCCCGCGAACAAGTTTACCGATTGCCTTTGGCGTAGTGGGTTCAAGCACGGCGTGATTGTGCCGTATCTCAACGATTGAGGATCAATGGCAGGAGTACAGCTTCTGTGGAACCCCTAGGGCAGATCGATTGCTCATCCGGCCCGCATCGATCTCTCGTCAACTAACCTTTTCTAAGCCCATTCTGATTGTGGGCCACTGCAACCGAGTGACTAAATCGGGTTCCTGTCGCATGATGCCGTAGATTGAGTGCAATGTGCGCCTTTTGTTTTTGCGTTCAGGCAAAGTTGCCGATGACTCTGATCTCTCCATATACGAGCCGGAAGGCCTTGGTTGACGATCTCTGGTGCTGGGACCCGACAGCACAGCCTCATTTGACATATGCAAAACTTGCCGCGGCGGAAAATTTCGAGAGTTTGGGACCGGTTGCCGCCCCGAGAGCTTGACTCATAGAACCATTCTGAGAGGCCGGAGTTTTTGGAGTAGGGTCGACAACTGTCTCGAGGTGGGTCCTTTTCACCAGGATCCGGGTGCATCTAGTTTCCAGTCGATATGGTGTGACTTGGGAACGCCCCAAGTTTCCCTCATAAAGGTAGCCATTGGGCAATACCAGGACCCTGTGGACGACCCGTTGGATTAGAAGCCAGGTGTACGTCGTTTGACTTGCGGCCTGAACGGCAGACTTCAGAACCTGTCATTTCTGCTTCCACCGCCTCAAGTGCTCGTCAACCGCTGTGCAACATCCTCCACACGATGGCTGTCGCCAAGAAGGTCTCTTGTGGCTCCTCGATCACGTCCTTCTGAACCAAGCACAACAAGCTTTTGGATCTGCCCATCCTCGCTCATGACGAGCCTGCCTGCCCTGCCATCGGCCCATTCGATGCTGATCTGCTTGGCTTCAATATCGGCGGCTGTGACACTGGTGACCGCCCGCTCCGAGTCTTCGTCTGAATTGTCGCTGCCACGTAGACCAGCTGCCTTCTGCAAGTCACCGATAACGGCGGTACGGTTGTGGAACCTCACAATCTCCCTTCTTAATGTGCGGACGAAACAAGACAGGTCCTGAGGTTTCTGTCCTTCGTCGTCGGCCGGCTTTGGTGCTGGGAGATGACGTGCAGCAAGCGCTGCTAGTGGAATACACGGAGGGACGGTGTGTCGGTGGACTCGCAGGTGTCGGGACTCCTTGTATGGCCGGTTGAGCATGACATAGTATGGCCTGCGGAACTTGGCGTCGGACATGATTTCGATGCGAATGCCAAGGACGTGACCACGATCAACGGCATTAGGATCGGGATCTCGGACCTTGAAGGTCGTGACTGTCGCGCAGGCTCGGTAGAGACATTGCTGATCGTGTGCGTCTTGGGCCTTGGATCGGGAGAGGACTTGGTCGCGGGCCGGGTTCGGCTCGGGGGGGAGCGCGAGGGCACTACGTTTCTGCTTGTCGTCTTGCAGAATGGCCCGCGTCGACTCGGAAGAGAGGAGAGCTGTGGCTTGTACTTTCAACTCTTTTTTCAAAGAGGCAGCTGGCCGTACCAGCAGTCAGCAACTGCGTGGAGTTTGAGTGGCTTCATTACCTACCTTTGGCTCGGAGGTCATTGATCTCTTGGGTGAGGGCCTCGGCGGCAGCATCCTGCGGTTCTGTTGACATGGCGCATCCAGTGTGCGACTCGGATCTAAAGCCGCAGCGATGTGGAGGAAACTAAATGATTGTCGTGGCCAGCGATGACGTGATCCGGGTGCTCGACGCGGTTGACGCGTCTTGGTGAAGTAGTTGACATTCGTTACTATTCAAGAAGCGCGACGTAAACACAGACGAGTGATCAGACAAGCTGATAGTATCCCCCCCCTGTCAACCTGAGAGTACCGTGCACGATAACTGTGATAAACCTCAGCAGACAGTGGATCTAGTGATAACACAACTATCTTAGAGGCAAAAGGGATAGTCTTGGCCCATCCCGACCCAGAGCGCAGCGTAGGAAGCAGGGTAGGTTAGTACCATTCCAACTTGCCCCGGCGGAGCTATTTTAGACTTAAAAACCAAATCAAAAAATCTAAGAAAACTGGATTTGAACCTGCAGCCTTTAGGATATGAGGTTTATCGCTGTTATCGTGCACGGTACTCTCGGGTTGACAGGGGGGGACACTATCAGCTTGTCTGTAAACTCCTTGTGAGGACGCTTATCTAATCTTCTATCTTATCACGTCTCGGTCATCCAAATGAGGCATGGTACTAGGGGTCCCAGGCAGCATTTCCGGGTGGCTTTGCTAGAGTGGAGCACGGTTGGGCCGCCTGGGTAAGCTTCTCTGCATATTCTCCGTTTGTCCTTTGCCTTCGAAGTATCGTCGCATTCAAGAAACACTCTTGTTATCTTGAGGTGCTTCGGTAAAATCCGCATTGTTTCGGTCCACGTTGAACTCGGGTCCTTTTCTCTTACCCGACTTCATTCTTACTCTTCCTTTTACCTACCGTCATTTTCTTTTTGACCCCGCATTTACCAATCGGTCACATTTCATTCTCTCTTTGCCACTGGCGTTTCCTAAAAAGTGCCAAAGGCCACGGTTGCGCTTTCACTCGTCCCTCTTCTTCTTCTCCCGTCCTTCCTTCAACCAGCACACCCGCACAGGAAGCTAGGCTCTCGATCGCACGGCTGCCTAGCGTCAGTTTACCTGTCATTGGTTTAAGGCTTTTTTGTTTAAGACAGTTTCGCCTTGACTCCCACGGACGTTGCTCCACCCCGACCTTATCTTGTCCTCCCTCTCTGGACAAAGAAACTCGACTTTCTCACGACACCCAACTTGTCGCATAAAGTCTCGCAATCCCTATTCCTACACTTTCAACACCGCCGGAATTTTTCATTTCCTGCTACGAGACAGAGCCGCGACGTCACACTCAATTCAACAGCCATCCATTGCAACCCAAGCCCCAAATGAGCGTCCGAACACGCCGGAACAAATCCGTGAAGCGAAAAGCTTTGGCCGATTTATCTGTAGATACGGACGGCACGAATGGTCACACCAACGGCACCATGAATCAGAATAACGTTGAATACCGGCGCAAAGTCGCGGCTTCCGACTCCGACACAATTACCGCGAACCACATCTCGCGCGAATCCTTCACCCTCGACGACCCCGTTCCCAAGACCCCCGTCGCCAATAACCACGGCTTCTTCGAGCTTCCGGTACAAGACCAGAGGAACTTTCTGCTGTTGGTGCTTCTGTACTTTCTGCAGGGCGTGCCCATGGGCTTGGCGGGCGGTTCCGTGCCCTTCCTCATGAAGGACCACATGTCGTACAGCGAGATTGGAATTTTCAGTCTGGCCTCATATCCGTACTCTTTGAAGCTTCTATGGAGTCCTATTGTGGATGCAGTCTGGAGCCCCAAGGTCGGTCGCAGAAAGAGCTGGATTCTTCCCATCCAGCTGCTCTCCGGGTTGGGTATGTTGTGGCTCGGGTCGACTGTGGAAAATATGATGGCCAACACCGGTAAGCCCGGCGGCCCTACCGTGTGGAACTTCACCGGGTGGTGGTTCTTCTTAGTTTTCATGTGCGCCACCCAGGATATTGCTGTGGACGGCTGGGCCTTGACCCTCCTAACACCCGGAAACGTTTCCTACGCGTCTACCGCGCAGACTGTGGGTCTTACTGCCGGTCACTTCTTGTCTTACACAGTCTTCTTGGCATTCAACTCCAAGGACTTTGCGAACCGCTACTTCCGCAGCTCTCCTTTGGATCACGGACTGATGTCTCTTGGTGGATATCTTACTTTCTGGGGCTGGGCCTACATTGCCATCACTATCGGGCTGTCTCTCTTCAAACGCGAGGAGAAGACCAAGAACGAGGATGGCATCTGGGATGTGTATAAGATCATGTGGGGTGTCCTCAAGTTGAAGAACATCCAGACCATCATCGCCGTCCATCTCATTGCCAAGATCGGTTTCCAGGCCAACGATGCTGTCACGAACCTCAAGCTTATCGACAAGGGTTTCGGTCAGGAGAACATGGCTTTGACGGTTCTCATCGACTTCCCTTTCGAAATCGCGCTCGGATACTACGCCGGCAAGTGGTCGCAAGAGTATACTCCTATGCGTCTTTGGTGCTGGGGATTCGTGGGCCGTCTTGTTGCTGCTCTCATCGCTCAGTTTACTGTCACCATTTTCCCGGCAGGCGGCGTCACCCCTTGGTATATGCTGATGGTCATCGGCGAGCATGTCTTCTCGACTTTCACCAACACGGTCATGTTCGTTGCCGTCTCAGCTTTCCACGCTAGAATCGCAGACCCTGTCATCGGCGGCACCTACATGACTCTCCTGGCTACGTGAGTCGACTCTTGCTCTCTGCTACAGTGCCTATGCTAACATATCATCAGTGTCTGCAACCTTGGTGGTACCTTCCCACGCTTCTTCGTCCTGCGTCTGGTCGATTACTTCACCGTCGCAACCTGCCATCCCGGCAACCCCACGGATCTGAGCTCCCTCAAGGGTCCAGTCATCATCGAGCCCTTCTCATGCTCCCTGCAATCTGACAAGGAGAAGTGCGTTGCCGGTGGTGGTACTTGCGATATGGTGCGCGACGGATACTACTTTGTCAACATCATCTGCGTCATTTTCGGCGTCGTCACATTTATGCTTTACATTCGCCCTAGAGTCTTGCATCTGCAGTCACTTCCCATGAGGGCGTGGCGCTTGTCGCCTTCCAAATAAGGGATGCGCGGACTGTGGATTAAAAAAAAAGAAGGTTTATGTTTCATGTTCTAGCATCGCACAGCGAACGGTTTGGAGGCCTTTGGAAAGACAAAAAACATATGTATCCGAATCCTTTTATTACCGTGTATGCGCGCTATGCCGTTAGCTACGTGACGCTCGCCAAAGTCTGTCAAAAACACAACGTCTCCCGTTCAACTGAAATGTCGTCACTTTTGCAGCGACTGAATGTGCTGCGAATGCAAATCCTGCACGGCGGGAATGATCAAGCTCTCGATCTCCACCTCCGGGTCGCCCTCCGGCAGCGCGCTCGGGTCAAGCGGCTTGTCCTCCCACGCCTCGGAACCGTCACCGGCGGGGCACTTGCGCTGGGCGCTCGGCACGCGGACCCACCGGTCGGCCTGTCCCGGGGCAACGAACACGACCTCCCACTTGCGCGTGGACAGCAGGTTGCCGATGACGAGGTGGTGTTGGTACCGCTCGAGCGAGTACTTGGCCTTGTGCACGAGGATGGCCGGGTCCGTCTCGAGCTTGAAGCTGACGACCATGCCCTGCGGCGCCCAGCCGTCGACGAGGTTCTGGAGGAACTTGGGCACGGGGTCGAGGTCCACTATGAGGCGCTTGGAGCGGGGGACCTTGGGGGAGGAGTCAAAGTTGTCAAAGGTCTCCTCGTCTTCCGAGCTGGCACCGTTGCCGTTGCCATTGCTGTTGTCTTTGACGGGCGCTACTGTGGCGCCCGAACCGAACGATTCGGTGGCGTTGGTGGACTGGATCTTGTGCTCGGCCATGCGGTCCTGGGGGAGAAAGAAGTCCGAGACGGCGGCGGCGAGGTAGAGCAGCGCCGAGGGGCCCAGGGGCCTCAGAAGCCCGGCGATGGCACGCAGCTCAAAGAGGTAGTCGGTAATTGTCGTGAACGGCAGCATTAATAGCATGTTGTTGCGCTTGGCGGCCGTGTACTTGCGCAGCACGGCGCGCATGCGCTCCTGGTGGCCCGGGTTGGCGACGACGGTGCCATCGTCGCCCTCGGCCAGGAAGTCCAGGAAGCAGTCGGTGGCGTGGGAGTAGTGGCGCGAGTAGGGCTGCAGGGAGAACTGGCGGTGCAGGAAGATGACGGCGTAGCCGGCCTCGAGGAAGTACTCGGCCGAAGTGGCGCCGCGGGTTCCCGCGGAGAAGTTGTCGATGAAGCGGACCGTCTGCTTCTCGAGCGGAACAGTCGTGCCGCCCGAGGTGACGAGGACGATGCGCCGCGAGGAGGCCGCGTGGTGGTCTATGAAGGAGCGGGCGGCGGCGACATGGGACTCGAGGTTCTTGGGGGGAGGTTGCGAGGAGAAGTAGGCGTCTTCTTGGCGCTCGGTTTCATTAGGGGCTGACATCTTGGCCCTGGTAAAGAAGTGACAATCGGAGATGGTAATGGGTGCTTCCCTCTATATGCAAGAACGTGCTTGGTATCAATGCCAGGGAGGATGGGGTGAGATTGGTTGTATGAGTAAGATCTGCGGGCTCGTCAGGGAACTGACACGCAAACACACACGTCATAGGTATCTTCGATTGCTAAACAGCCCCTCAATGTCGTTAAGAGTGTAAACCGCGTCAGCAGCGCGAATCCATGACCTGACCCAGCACAACCTCTTCCCTCCGGTACAATCTTATCTGACGTGTCTTACATGTCACTCACCTTGTGTTTATGATGTCTTTGTGAGGCACGGAAACAGCAGATATGAGAGTGTGTACAGTGCGACTGCTCTTGCAGTATCTCCGTCAGCTCAAAATGGAACAAGCGAGCCGATCGAATAGAGATAGCTTGAGAAGTAAGGGGGGTGAAGGAAGTGACGAGGGTTTTAATCCGTCGTTTCCATCGCCGGTTCGGTTCCTCCGCACGGCCGGAAGGAGGCCCGTGCACCACCGACCCGCACCTCCGGGATGGAATCTGCTGCGGATTTCTGGGAACGTACTTGCTTCGGGGCTTCGCGACGACGTCCCGTCGGCGGCCCCATCGCTTGTGCGGCAGTGCACATTTCTTACACAACTTCCTCATCGGCGTGTGGGTATTCACTCGGCCCCGATAGCCGATCATCAAGGTTTCAACCTGCCTGCCGTCATCAATCATGGTGTAACGAGGCAGACAGACCAAATTTGTGTGAAATTATGGTATTATAAAGATTCGGTTGCAACTATATGGGTTTGATCATAGTCTTGGGTCTATATACAACATTATCTGAGTTTATTTACAATCTTTCGTAAAATTTGGTTGGAACTGTAACCAGATCAACAGTAACTTGTTTTCTCTTTCTGTCTTTCCCTTAAAAGATTCCCCAAATGTTCTTCCCCACGCAGACAATCTTGGCAGCCATCAGCGCCACAAGGGCCAGGACGTACGTAAGGCCGGTGAAGAGGATGACGCCCCAGTATCTTCCGCCACTCGCTGAAACGATCTCGCCGCCCACAGGAATTCCAACAAGGCACGCAATTGACACCACGGTGTACGTTGTCGAGTAGTACCGCCCGTAGTGCTGCGTTTTGCACAACCTGCCAACGCATACGGGGCTAATGCTAATGTTGTTTCCGGTCGCGAACCCGAAAAGCACCGCGAAAACCACGACGCCCGCCGTGGTCGAGCCCAAGGGCAGCCAGATAGCGAAACACGCGATGATAGCAAGCACGATGGCAGCCATGTTGCTGTTGAAGGGGCCCGCCTTGTCTGCCCACCAGCCGGGCAGCGCCCTGCCGACGACGCTCCCAGCGTTGAGGATGGGCAGGATGGAGAAGGCAAAGGACTCGCTGAACCCCTCGCTGAGCATGTAGCTCGAGATATACGTCAGGGGAATGAACAGCGCGAACTCCATGAGGAAGATGCTCGCCGTCGTGAGGCTGAAGGCGGTGCTGCGGAAGATGCGCGGGTCCGGGTGGGGGCTCGCGTTGCGCGCGGGCGGCAGGCGGGAGCGGATGAGGAAGTTGGAGGCGCCACAGAGGAGCAGGCAGATGAAGCCGACGGCGCGAATGGTCCAGCCCCAGCCGATTCGCGGGAAGAGCGACTGCATCATGAGAGGAAAGACTATGCCGCCGATGGAGCCGCCCGTGGAGGCCATGCCCATCGCGAAGCCGCGGCGAAGCTTGAACCAGTGGCCGACGGCGGCGATCGAGGGAGTGAAGACGAGGGAGCTGCCGAGGCCGCAGAGGATGCCGAAGGCGAGCATGAAGTGCCAGTATACTGGGAAATTGTGAGCCACTGCCATGAGGAAAGCAGGCGGGGAAGGAAAAGGGCACGAAAACGACTTACACGTGCAGATACTCAGCAGCATGACGCCGGCCACGAGACATACCGTGCCGGACAAGATAAGCCACCGCGGGCCATAACTGTCAAACACGGGACCGATGTAGATGCCGCCGAAGAAGCACAAGAAGTTGTACACGGAGAAGATCCAGCCGATGGTGCCCTCACTGTACCCCTCGAGCTGGTGCGTCGCGACGTACGTCTGGAAGATGGCCAGGCTGTTCATGATGCCCAGCGCCGAGAACAGCGCGAGCCACGACCCGAGCGCGACGGACCACGCGCGGAGCCCGCCCTCGGGGTACGCCTCGTCCTCGGCGGCCGTGTCGGTGCGGCCAAGATAGTCGTCGCCCTCCTTGCCGCCGTGGCCCTGCTGCTGGCGGGGGTCCTGCCCGTAGACGTCGCCGCCGGCGCTGGCGACGGCATTAGAAACGGAGGGGATCAAGTCGTTGCCCAGGGCGGCGGCGACGCCGTCGTGTGCCGCGCTCTCGGTCTTGCTCGGGAGCGGGAAGTCATAGCTGCCGTAGTCGGGCTCCGGGGTGAGGTAGCCGCCCGTGCGCTGGGCGTCCTTTTCCGGGTCCATGAGGGGGATGGGAAAGAAGCGAGGGCGGGAATTCGTTTTATGTCTCGTTCTGCCTGCCTTGAGAGTTTCTGCTTTCTTCTCAGGAACCTGTCCGTCTTTCTTTTTTTATTTTGTTTTTCCCGACGTCTCGTGTGATCCTTTCCTTCCCGCCCGTCTGTGTATACTCTTCCTAGGCCGTTTCCCCCCTCTGTATCGACTTTCTTTTTTTCACTCCCTCTCCTTTTTTTGCTAATTGCGCCCTTTTGGAGTGAGTGGACCATAAAAGAATTATCGTCGAAACGAGGTTGTTGTGACAGTGATGGGAATAGTCCGTTTCTTGTAGGACAGTATCAAGGTTTGGAATGGACGTCGAGTATTATCAACATCCAAGATGCCGCCGACCAGCCGCCCGGTTGCGGAGCGGCCGAACAAACCGACTTGAGATTTCTAGTTCCTCCTTCCGCTCCTTGCCTAGTCGATCTCGGCTAGAGTAGACTGGTCACAGGAGAGGGAGGGAAAGGGAGGGGTAGTGGCGGCTGCGTTTGGACAACAAGGTGTGGTGAGTTAGGTGAGTTTGATGCAACTATCCAGCCATTCATTCAATCATTACTACGCAAACGTTTGAAAGCAAGAGGCGAACGACATGCAACATAAACGAGAGAGCTAAGAGAAGAATCGCTAGTTAGTAGGTATAGTGCAGTATCATAGAAAAAAAACTTTTCCCTACCCCCGTGTTGCGTTGGATCGGGTTCCGACGTTCGGCCCCGGGCGACCGACAACCGCTGTGAGGTAGGCAATGCAGACAGGTTAGTTCCAGACGCTTCGCTAGCTGGGGGTGGACCGTTATGGATCCGGCCTCAACTCTCGGCTCGTTACTCCGCGTGAGTTGGAGTGTGGGCTAACATCGTCTGATTGCATATACCCGCACTTGCGCACTTCTTTCCAGGTTGAAAGGCGTGGAAGGTATGCTTCGATACATCTCTAGTATCCGGGTTGGTTGATGGGTTCAGGTGATTGACACAACAGTCACAAGGAGGATAGACAGGTCGGTTTCGATATGTGGTGGGTGGTTGACTGTCAAATGTCAGTACAGGGTGTGGTCAAACGGACCAATAGTGTGTTTCGATTAGTCGTTGAAATGCTTTGCAAGCTTTCTTTCTCCAGCCAACCGCCCCCCCGACTTCGCCATCCATTTCCCTTCCCCACTACCACCGGCCGGCCGCCGTCGCCGCGGGAAATCACAAACACCGAGGACCACAACCCACCCGACACATGGCGGCGAAGTCGCATGCTGCACGAATGCCTAACAGCAATCGACGGTCACGGGCACGAAACTGGCGGAGAAGCCTCCGTAGCCCCCGATTGCTTGAATTTGCCTGCCTGCTCCGGCCCAGCTGCATAAACGCGCAACGGCACTACATACGGGCTTGAAGCCAATTCGCTCGTCGGACAACGCCATCGCGACCAGCATGATCTGGCCGCGCCGATTGGTTTTTTCGACGATTGAGATGAGATGACGCTCCGATGCCTCACATCTTCCTCGAACAAGCAGTTGAAACGGCTAGCCAAGGGAATGTCGACACAATGTATAGAGTGCAGTGACGTCCGGAAACAAATGGGCAAACCCTCTAAAGGCGAGAAGGAAGGATCCCGGTGGAATCCACACTACCTAGTATAAGGCTAACTAACGGCAGGGGGGATGACACCACCCGCAAATCGTCGTTCGGCCGATAGCGGAATGCTAGGGTTGGGGTTCCTTGATCATAGGATTCTCTTTACTTTCCCTCTCCCCCCTTGATCTGGTCATTCGCCCCCACCTGCCGCAGATCGTTGAAAGTTTTCTGTTCCCTACGGTATGTGTCGGCCCCAGCCGCTGCCAGATCACCGGACCGGCCTCAACTTTTATTGTTCAGCCTGTAGTTTACCCGGTCAGCAGACGCCACTGTGCCGCATCATTACATAAGACAAGCCTCGAACCCGGGATCTGCCGCCTGGCAGAGTCTGGGCGCTGCGAGTCTTGGGGCCAAGAGTCTCAGACAGACAAAACGTGCGCACCTGGTCTGTGCAGAGCTGACAGTGACAGTGCCGCCCTCCCGGAAAAATACCATATCCCTTACCCGATCCAGTCCACCACGAATCGTGACCGCTAACCCGCCTTCAGACTAGTTCGACGCTAAGTACTCACATCAGCAGCTTATCTGATAGCTCGATGCAGGCCTCGTAGTGCAGTCCTCCCCACTATCGCATCACCGGCCACCAGCGCAGCCCGGGGATTGCTCCATGTCGCCGACAAACACCCAGACATCCCAGGGCAAACTTTGGCTTTCGGGTTTACGAATACATAGTAAGCGACCAGAATCACCCCTCCTCCTCCTCCTCCGTCACGTCGTCGTCTTCATGCTGTTCTACGCGCGCTGTGCCACACCGCCGCCCGTGCTGTGTCCTTGCCTGCCATAACCCACCTCTTGTCTAGGGGTTGTTTCTTTTTTCTTTCTCCTTCCTTTTTCTGTTGTCGTTGCGATGCACATTAGGGGGTCAGCGTCGATCGAGGTCAGAATCCGACCAAGCCCCATCATAGTGGAGTTTCCGCGCCGCCCCTCTTACTGCCCCTTTTGACCTAGGCTGCGAGATATTGCGCTAGCCAATCCAACCGCATGGAGACTTCTCCGAAGGCTAGCTAATCTTTTGGTGGAGGTGGCATCCGCTTACAGTACCCGCGGAAGAATGTTATTGAGGGCGAATAAACGCTGACGACAGCAAGGCCTCGGCTAGACACGCCCGAACAGTCCCCCCCTCGGGCCTTGTCCCTCTGGAGTGTGCCGAAGTTTGGACATTTCGCCTGGTTCCAAGCTACCCGTGGTCATATCCCTATTCGCTTCGGACCTGAACTGTCGGCCGATACTCCATACACCGACCAAGGCGCGCGCGCCAACCCACCCACCATTGCAACCTCTCTCTCTCCACTTCCCCTTCGTGCTGAATCAAGCGAGAAACAAGAGAGGAAAAGATAAGGCCCTAAAAACGAGCGGCACAGTGTGCCTAGGGTGCGTCGGTTAGCTCGAAAAGGGCTCGTCCAGCTGGTGACGGTCGGGCGAGAGTCTTGTATTCATCGTAGACCTCTGCCGTGGAGAGGTACTCGCCACGTTCGATCGGCTGAACTATGCCAGGGGCGGAAGTGAACAGGGAATGAATACAATAGAACGAGTGTGAAGGCCATGTTTCGTGTTTCGTCTGCCCAGTCTTCATCCATTGTGCTCGGTTCCCCCCCCCCCCCCAAGGGAAGCCCGCACGCTCTCGACCCGGGCCCGTACCGACATGACGCCGCTAGCTACCCAGCCAACCCCCATTCCCGCCCTTCTGCTCTTGTCGTGTCGTATGGTAATGACTTGTTTCGCAGGTCGATGTTATTGTGCTGGGTATTGGACAGGATGCTCATACTGTGTATTCCTCACTGCGTCACTATCGTTGTGTACCTGTGAAGTCTTAGGAGTGACCGCGCTGGATCAGTACCTAAATTTCGCATGTCGACGGCTCGTGTTGGGGCCAAGCACCGTCGTGCCTAGGTCCCTAAGCCAAGGTACAGACCGTGGATGAGATTGGTTCCTCGCCGACACTGGTTTAGCGCATGGATATGGACCAACCGTAAAAAAAAACCACACGCTCAACACATACAGCCAGCTCGTGTGTCTCCGCCTGTTTTGCGTTTTGCGTTGTTTTCGTGTGGTGTGTGTGTGTGTGTGTGTACCTGTGTGACCCTAGCGAGGGACGGCCGTCTCCCTCCGGGTTAGGGGAGAGGGTCGGCGCCTGGAATCGCAGCCAAAAGACGATCATCGAATGGGAGCTCCGAGGACTCGTCAAAGAGGAGGGTCTGGTCTTCCACCGTTGGCTTCCTCAACATGCGCATCGCGTGTCTTTGTGGTCAATATTCAAACTTCCTTGATTTCCCTCCTTTCTTTTGGTTTGTCCGTAACTATGCTGCTGTGTGCCAGCAGTCATTGCCCACCTCTAAACTCGTAAGAGACCGGAGTGTCACTTGGGAATTTCCCATTATCCTCCCTTAGCTGCCTAGATTTTCACTTGGTAACAATACTCATATTTGCGGCTGTAAACCATACCTGTCGCATTCCATCTTCCCCAGTGACTTTAGTCACGAAAAGAGCCCCCAACTTTTCCGTCAACAGCCACCACACTGTCGCCCCTTTTGAGCCTGGATCCGCCGCCGCCCAGGTGTCGTCGACTTCGGCGCCAACGGCGCGAGCCACCACTGAATTGCCGGGCCGAAGCCTTGTGCTAACAGCCACCAGGCACCGCGTGTAAATGTTGCACGCTGAAAATTGACAGTTTCCGCCTTTCACAACATGATACCAATGTCAGAAGAAACCCCAGGCCTGCCCTGTGCTGAAGTGATCCGAAATCCACTGCCAGTTTCTCCGTGTCGGTCACTACGCCTCGAGCTTTCCAATAAATAAATAAAACAGGTGTGCCCTTATGCACACTTCATGCCAGCCGATTGCCCCCTTTCGTTAACTCTATCAGCTCGTTGTTTCCATGCAGGCATGTGTCGATTTCGCTGTGGCAGCATGGATAAGTCAATTCGGTCCTGTCATGTCATCGTTGAGCAAGTGCCTGAGAAAGGCCCCTGGCTCTTTGGGTCGTTCGTTATCCACCTCTGCGTGTGCGTCTACACCCGCCATTTCTTCTAGCTTCACTGTTTCAGCGGAGCCGAGTCGGCCGCGCTCATGTGAGTTGAAGACATCTATTTGGCGTCGTATAGTGTCCAGAAATGCGGATCGGGCCGAGGGATCGAGTTTGGAAACCACCGATTTTCTGGTATCTTGCTGTTAGTAGAAGAAGCAGTGGGGGGGTGAGCCCTTAGGCTAGATCAATATTACAATAGCTCGAAGAGAGATGAGATGTCGTTTAGGGGCGTGCTCGGGAGATGCGTCCCAGCACCCGATGCCCCTGATGCAGGAGGTGTGTGGTCCGCTTGAGTGGAGGACAGTTGCATCAACAAGTCGGCGTTCTTGATGAACTTGACGAGATCTTCGAGGTCTGTTTCGATATTGGCGGTGCGCATACGGCTGATTATCTCGAGAGATTCGGCATCAGAACGCATGGACAGCAGGCGGAAGAGTTCTTCAAATAGGGCAAGGCGTCGCTGCAGCCCCTCATGCTTGGTCTTGAGGGCGGCAAAGCGGGTGACGTCTGGGCCGGCATCGTACTCGCACTTGGTGCGACCCATGCCGGCGCACAAGGAGCACACGGGACGCATGCCATCGCATTTCGATTTCCTTCGACGACATGATGTGCAAGCAATCTTGGTCTGAGGGCGGCGTCTAGGTGCACTGGGCGTAGAACCGGTGGCGGATTGCGGGGTCGACTCCCGCTCCGATGAGGCGCTGCTGGCTACTGTTGGGCCTGCGGGTAGAATGTCTCGCTGGGGTTTCATCGTGACCTTGAGCATACGAAGGCCTCGGGCGGGCCTGGTGGGCAACCAAGTTCGCCGAGGACTGGTGATAGGAGGCGTAGGCGTGTAGTAGTAGCCGTGACGGCGAGATCTCTGGCCGGAAAAGGAATAGGCGTGCGGGTGGGCGAATCCAAACAGAGAGAGGGCAGAACCAGAGCCGGAGCCAGAGCCAGAGCGGGCCTCAACCGCAAGAGCAGATCCGCCCGCCGCTTCGCTTCGAATGTCTCGATTTTCTGGTATAGAGCGCGTCATACTGCCGACCCGCCGGCCATTCTGATGATTGGTGTTTCGGGTCGGAGTCGATGTGTCGTGTGTCGTGCTGGATTTTGTCGATTTTGGTCTTCGGAAAACGTTGAAATGCTACCTCATATCCTTATCGCAGATGCAATTACCTAGCGCCTGTGAGGTAGGTGTATGACGAAATGGGTAAGGCGGCGACGCCAGTAATTCTTGCCAACTCCGGTGCTCAGGGTTGGTGGCCGCTGGGGGTGACGAAGAAAGAAAAGAGAACAAAAGAACAGTGTTGGCTGGCGGTGCAGGTGCTAGTGCTAGCTGGGACCCTCCCCCTCTCTGATTGTTCCAGTGCCGGCAATGCTCTCACACCGGCACCTCCCGACGAAAATGAGGAATATGGAACAGCAGTAATGAAAAAGAAAAAGAGCACGAGACGTGGAATTGGGAGGGAGACAATAATGACATGGACTGGGACGTTAACTTTAGCCTTGTAAAGCTGTCCAAACTTCCATGGACCCGTCTGGCCACGACTCGGCCAGGCCATCAGCTGGGAAAAGCAGCTGTGCGATCTGTTCACCCACTCAGGGCAGGGGTATCGCAGGGGACCAGACACCGCTATGCTTATCGAGAGTTTGCCCGCACATCGAATCCCAGTTGTCGGTTCCTGTCAGCAGCCCCAGGATTGGACGCTCGCAACTGTTTGTCTTGTTTCCTTGTGGTCGCTGAAACCTGACGAAGTGCACGTGGGGGGATGGGGAAAGGGCGGGTGGCAGAGCAGAGGGTATTATTTTCCTCCAGGGTTGGGTTTGACGATGAATGGGACGAGAAAGGGTAAGAAGGCAGCTGAGTGCATGAGAGTAACGATGGCAATGACGACGACGATGATGATGAAGAACAATTGACAGCGACAACGATGATGGCATGACATCATTTGACCCGGACGTCGAGAACCGACCGCGAGATGCAATGTGCTTCGTGTGTTATGCTGAAGCACGCATGTGTGGGTGCGCTATGGCCAGGCCCGTGACAGTTGGTTGGTCGGAGACGCATCCGCGAGGGACAAGCCAGCCGCCAGCTTGACATATGATATCTGGACGTGGCTGCCCCTATACTCGGCATAGCTCGACGCGCCGACATCATCTTCGAGTGGCCAGCGGAAGAACCAAGGCTGGTTTCATGATAACAATCAGCAAAAGGGATCGAAGAAGAGTCAATCAAAAGAGCTGGTTGTGCGAGGAAACAAAAGACCAAGTGGGAGAGGGATAAGTACGAGAAGAGCGAAGGGGGGGGGGGGGGGGGGGGAGGGAAAAAAAAAAAAAAAAAGAGGGTACCAGACACTACTTACTTTGGTATCCGACAGCACAACTCTTCCATCTCTTACTTAGCAAGTGTATCAGCACAAGCCTTTGGCAGAGGCAAAGTGCCCCCGAACCGAAACTGTAGCCTCCTTCCCTTTTGCGCTTTTCAATGCTTCAAATGCTTGGCTCAGCACGCTCAAAATCATTGCCGTATAGTTGTCGTGTGTACGTGTACTGCGCACGCCTAAAAGCGTAATACAACTCAGAGCCGTGATCCTTCTTTCGCCCTGTTATATGTTAGGGTTCAAGGCGACGGCTGCGATATTGTAGGCACGCCATATCCGGTAACGCTGACGGTGCTGGATGTCCTGGCGATGTATCCCTGGATCATATCGCAATCGCAGCTGCCATGCCCGGTAACGCTGACGGTGCTGGCTGTCCTGGCAATGTATCCCTGGATCATATCGCAATCGCAGCTGCCATGCTGAAGGATCTGGTTCTTCAGGAAGAGCACCTCGTTTTTGAGCGCCGTTACGTAGGCGTCGAGGTACATGTGCTCCTGTGTGACTTGCTTTTCCTTGTTGACCAAATCAACCTCGTACTGCTTCGTCTTCTCGCGACAACGCTTGGCAGCCGCTCGGTTCTTGACGCGATACGGCTTCTTCCTGTCTGTTTCTGCTGGTCCCAACGATACGTCGCTGTCCTTATCCTCGCTGTAGTCCTCTGCCCTTGCTCCTTTGTCCTCGTACGACATTGAGCTGGCGGGAGGGGATTCGCTGGCGCCGCCGACTCCGACCCACGCATTTTTGGAGTGGTTTCGGCTCATCGACACAAGACGCGGATCTACTGGTCTTCTGGCAGGCGTCGTTGCCTGTTTCTTCGTTGCAGTAGCTCTCTGCTCTGGCTCTGGCTCTGGCCCTGGTTTCGATCGTTTGCGACCCTTGGAAGGATGAGGCTGCCGGGCCGGGGCCGTGGTGAGGGGATGATCGGTAGAGGCCGGCCATTGAAGTGGCGAACTGAGGATGGCAGACTGCGTCGATTGAAGGTATTGCTGTTGTTGCTGGAACGAAGACCAGTCTCCCGGCTGCACAGAGCTGGCAGTTGTGCAATGGAGCGTTGGTCTGGTAGCCTCGAAGGACTGACGGCTCTGTTGTTCGGCCTCCCATTGAACGGAGCTTATTGAAACTGCAGAGTTGCCTGGTGAGAAGACTGGCTCAAAGAGTTGGTAGTCCCACCCAGACCACTGCTGACAGAGCTGATCCCCATCAGTCTGCGACAAGAAGGACATCTCCTTCGGGGGTGTGGCATAAGGGGGCAGGGCAATGTACTGTGCCTCAGCCGTCACTACTAGGTTGGGGTAGCCTGACTGAGCCATTGATTCTGGCATGACGGAGATTAGCTGACTTGCGTTCTGAGGACAGGGGACTTGTGTAGGTTCAGGGTGGATACCTTCAGGACCGGCCACCCTGGTGGTGGTAGCAAGATGGCAACAGAAAACGCAAGTCAATGTGACTGATGGTCACACTAGCCGCTACCTTGGCCCGTTATATGACAGATCTGACTGCCAAGGGGGAATAGGGATGAACGCGAGGACGAGGGGGATGAGAGGGAAAACGCTTTGGGTCGAGAGAGCCAGGAGTAAGGCCCAATTGCTGACGTGTGGATGGATACAAGTCTAAGGTTAACAAGAAGACACAGGCAACAGAGGAACTAGGGGTCGAGGAAAGATGACGAACACCGGAGGGGGCAAGGGCATATTTGACTGGGCCGAGTTGGTTGCCAAGAATGACTGTGGACATGCGAGATGGCCGAGATGGGGGTGTTATCCGTTTTAACAAGGGACGAGGCAGAAAAAGGATGGATGGATGGATGGATGGATGGATGGCCACCGAAGGCATGGCCACCGAAGGCATGGTCGCCAACCGCATGGGGGGTGGATTCGCCAGATGTTGCAAATGGCGAATAGGAGATACGTACCGTACTGCGCAAGGCATGCGCAACCCGGCAGCATATCCTTTGACAAGATAGGTGAGGCTCAGTCAAATGTCTAAGTTGGTCTACAATAGTGTTCCAGAAGCAAAACGAGCAAATGCGGGGGGCGCCGATATGTGCTACGATTCGGCATGGTGATGGCAGGGTTCAGGTACCAATCACGATCATACCTCATGTCGATGTCCAGAGCAGCAAGAGCAGACCGGGGGGAAATAATATAAAGAAGATTGGAAAGAGGCTGGACGTCAACTACTGATAGACTTGTTGGGGAGGTTCAGAGGCAAGCAAGCGAGTTGATCAATCGGCCAGTGGTTGTTGTGTACAAGTCGGAACGTATTCCGGAGGGCTCTCGGCTATTGTGATTGGTCACGGACACTGCTCCGGCAATATTGCTTTGGTACTACCCCCAGATGCTGAGTGGATCTCCCCCTACCTCAATCCCCCTCCCAAATCTCTACACTACTGTCGCCCTTTAGTGGACATGCTTCTGCTCTGCCTTGTTCCTTATTCATTTTGGGTGTTGAGGCTTGGAAAAGCCTGAGCATTCATCGGAAGGGGGCATGAATATATAAGTGCGGGACCTAGCTCGCGCATATCTGTCCAGGTATTGCATAACCGATGCCAGTGAAGCATATGCACAGCAGAGCAACCTGTTGTTGTGCCCGGTCTCGCCTGCCTGCGTGACGACGAGGTTGCCATACCTAGCGATCCATGGTCATGGTCCCCTGGCCCCGGGGCGTGCTACCTACTCTTGCCATTTCACGAAACTACTACCCTTGGTACCTGGGCCATCACAGGTAGAAGGGTCAAGATGCAGCCCCCTTACCCTTACAAATACACATTCTGCACATCATTTTCGGAAGAAGCACCGGCGCCACTTGTATGGACCATTCATTCATCATCGGCCCAGCTTACCCGCAGCCTTCTGCATCGATAGTTGCTATATTCTTTCTTTTTTCTTCCTCCCGGAATGCGACCTCTGTCTCGCCTGTCCACCTTGGCTCCGGCCCGATGACCCCATGACAACAGGCCCTGCGGCGAGGGCTTTGGCCCATGTCCCTCCCTCGTCCTATCGTTCTGGGCAGTCTGGCTGCCCGCTCCTTTCTTTTCACGTCAGAATATCTACAGTCCCACATGCTTCGCAAACGAAAACCACCCGCTTGCTGACACCATACGCATCACGGACGTCACCTCAGCGCCGCTACGTATCTTGGTACCATCCATCCATCGCTTTCCAACTTAACTTGCCATGTTGGCAGCTAGAAAAGACCCCCCACGTTGTTCCCTGATGCAACCCCTGCCAATAATCGTGACAGATGCCGTGGTTTCAGAGCCTATATATGACCTCCTCCTCGGGCCTCGACATTTGGATGTTGGGAAGTAACAGGGGCCGAGCATGGCAGTCGATTGTGTTGAGAAACAAAGCGGAAAAGAAATGAGCACTGAAATGCAAGACAATATGTGACAGCCCTCATCTGCAGCGAGTCCGAAGCCCCTCTGCGCCGCACCCTGAGTTCCCTGCATTGCATTCTCCGCATTTGCATTTTGCCCCCCGGCGCAATTGCAAGTACACTACTGTGTACTCCGTACATGCGGACCTTATGCTACCGGTACGTATCACCCCCAAGAGTTTAACTGGCGTCCAATGGAGCGAGAAGGTCCAGGCTGCTCCAATACACACGTGAAGCTCTACTAATACATGGAGCCAGGTGGCAAACCAAGCATGCCAATGCAACTGAGGCGCTGGCTTGGCCATTGGGCAACGCGTGGCTAGGAAAAAGGAAACCTGGTTAACTACCCCACCCTACTTGCGAGACACCCCAACATCCGAGACACTATCATCACCACCATCACCACCACTATCACCACTTATTTCCTCGGGTTTGCCGCCCACCCATATGCAACTTTCGGCCTCGCTAGATGATTCGGATGCGCTGGATTTATCCAGACTATCTATATCACCAGCTTCCATATTTCTTACCCGCTGGATATGCTCTGTAGTAGCAAAGGTGCTATTAGGCGATAGGGGGACTTTCTTCCGCTTCCTACGTGATTGTTGGTCTTCTAGTTAGGCCTGTAACGCGTTGACTTGCCTTTCTATAAGGGCTAGTCTAGATGCCTGCTTATTATACCCCTTTTGCACCTTTCTAGATGGGTGACAAATAGTATAGATATCTAACCTGTCCTAGCCTAGCTGGGTCAACTGGTGTAGTTGATGCCGTAGATCAGCAGATTGATGAGGGGCTGACCATAGGACGATAGATACGGCTTTATCTTACTATTAGCTGCTGGGTTGCTAGCTGGGCTGGCTGGATGATGCCTTGGATACCAAGGGGTATATAGATAGAAGCCGTCTTATAGCAACTGGCTATAATCCTGCTGCCCTCCAGCCACTTCTAATGTTCTAGCTTGTGATAGATGCCTTGTAGGCCTTGACATAACACTCTAGAAATTCACTTTTGCTAGCAACTGTTGAATATGTAACCTAGTCATCTAGATATCTAATCTCCTTGCAATATGCCTGCTTTAATAAGCTAAAGACAACTACATCTAGAGGCTAGAGGACAGCAGAGGAGTGTAGCAGCAGAAATAACAGATAGATGTCATACTACTAGTATTTCCATATAAATTCAGTAGATATATAGCTCTAATAGGTCCTATGGCCTTGTGTTGCGTATGTGTAGAGCTTCTGCCAATGGCGACTTTCACTTCGGCGGCCGGCCGGCCTGCCAGTTCACCAGCGAACGACATCTCCTGCCGTTACGCAACTTCAAATAATTTGACAGCCTCCAGGCAACGTTGGACTAAAGCTTTTTGTCACTTCGCCAGCAGTCAATGGGCACTTTTGGTCACGTGAATTTCAATGTTCTTCAGCAAGTTGGAATCCGAAAGCAAGGGTGTATTATTACACTTTGGGTATCGAGTAAAAGACTTTTCCCCTCCCACACCTAACCCTAGATGAACTTGCCCTTGGGCAATTCGCCAAGAAACGCTGCAATTCGACCCCTACGCCGTTAGCAGTCAACACGGCCGTCAACCAGGCTGTCGCCGCCGCCGCCGCCGTCCTCTGAGACCTCCGCGTTGCTCCCACCCGGCCAGACCGATGTCAGCTCCGGAAGCAGCACTGCCGCCGTCAGCGAATGTACCGAGCATGTCACATCACATATCAACTCACCTAGCCCTGACGGCCCCAAGGGTCGTTTTAGCCTTTATGGCCGCCGCTGCTGTATCTATGACGTTAGCAAACTATACAGAAACTCCCTTGTGCCCTAGGACCTCTTTAATCTTGTTATTGCATGCTTAAATTACAAGTATCTCTCTCTAAATGTAGACCTTATCTGCTCTGTTAGTATCTTTTGCTAATAGCTCTAGGCCAAAGATAGCTACGTTTGCCCTTTAGGCAAGAGAGAGGTCTTTAAAGACTTGCTAATAGGTAAGGGTTTTACTAAGGGAATCTTAAAGGCATATATAAGCAGCTATATCATCCTCCTGTGACTGGGATAATCGCTGCATATAGGCATAAGCAGTATTTTTGCTTTGCCTGCTGTGGAATCGATAGTGAAGCGACTGGTATGGTATGTCCTATTTCCAAGCAGCAGTCCGGATGCTCTTCCTAGCCAGCACATCCAGAAGGGCGCGTTGGAGCTCATATTCGGTATATTGCTTCATAATGGGGTGAAGAAGGTATCCTGCAAAATGGTGTTGTTTGGCGATGTATATAAAAGGAGCTGCTTCAGGCCGGGGCCGGCGCTTTCACGACCGCGGGCGGTTGGTGACCGATATTGTGTGATAGCGGCCTAGTTGGTTTCCTAGACGCGAAAATAGAAAGAAGATGTGCTAATAGCGTAACCTTGGATAGTGATGCCCTTGACAGGCGCAATACCACTGCCTAAAGGGTGGTTCCAAAGCTTGTGGCAAGACAGTGTATCAGGGAGCTTTGTGACATATAGGCAGGCAAAGCATCTAACGCTGTCGCAAAAGATTAGAAGGAACTTGAGCAGGGGGAAGCCGTGAGGGGAAGCCAGACGTAATTATAACTAGTCCTGATGAGTTAGCTCCTGGTCATTGCTCATACTTGGGATATAGGCAAAGGCCGTTCAGAGGGTGTTAGCAATGTCTTCTGGGGCACAGCGAGGGTAACAGCGCCGGAGATGGTTGACGCGAAGGTTGGGTTGCGGCGGGATCGGCGTGCTGCACGCGGCGCAGAACGCGAGCTAGAGAGAAGTGTTGTGACAGTTTAAAAAAGGTGCGCTGTGCTTTTCACGAGACTGCGGTTGTACCATACAGATTTATCTGGCTTCCACTCAGTAAACCTCCTACGTCGCTGGTGGCGACTTTCCTCGTACTGTTGTCTCTTGCCTCTGTGTTTGAACACGCACCTGAATAGTTTAATACGGTTTTTAGCTTCCTAGGCCCGCTTCTCGCAACTTAAGGGAACCCGTCGCACGCCACTGAATTAGGAGCCGTCATTGGCTTCGGGGTAGACTCCGGTGCCCCTATAGACAGTTATACCGACCTCGGTCGGCCAATCTTTCCTTTTTTTTGTCTTTCCCTCTCCTCTGACGTAAGGTGGAGAAGGGGTAGCAGGTATGGACGCCTCGACACAATTACCTACTGCCCTCAGGCACTCGCCGGAATCCAATGATCTGATGGTTACAACACCGGTGTCTCATCGGCACATGCTCTGGACCCCAAGCACAAAACTTGGCTCCGTCAACAGCCAATATTTTTTCCAGGCCCCACGCTTCGTGAGCCATCAGAGCGATACATGCAGAGGTGGTGGGCCTTTGACCCGTGGCTCACACCATTGCCTATGCTTGCTGGGCTTGCTGGGATATTCTTCATTGTTTTGTTTCACTTCGTCTACAATTCACCCAACTTTTCCTCCTAAATTCGCTGTATGCAACCCAGAGGAAGCGATCTCGTGCGCGATCACTTCCTACAAGCGATTCTGAATAATGGAAAACACAGTGAAGCTGAGGCCACTGTTGCCGCTCGGCGCCAGCGGTCAGCCAGCGGCCCCAAGCATTGTATCGGTACCCAAGAGGAAGAGGCCGCAAGTGTCGGCCGCGTGTAATGGTATGCTCCTCGCACCCAGACGTTGAAAAATTGTGTCTCTAATGCCATCTTTAGGTTGTCGGAAGAAGAAGATCAAGGTCAGTAGATACAACCCTTCTCATGTTCCATTGTGTACCTTTTGTTGTACACATAGTCGAGAAAGAACAAGCTCCGGCTAAAAGCCATGGCAGTGCGATGGCGTCCGACCGTGCTGCTACGCCTGCAAGGCCTCGAATGCACCCTGTGCCTACCCCGTCCCTGAGGGTCTGTCACAAAGGGAGGCCCAGAAACAGAAGCTCAGTCATGTGTCGATAGCACACGAGAAAAGCCAGCGGGTCCTGGAACTACTCCGAGCGAATCGAGATGGGACCTCTCAAGATATTCTAAAGGAATTGCAGCACTCGAAACACCTTGATGAGGCCATCGAGTCCATAGCCGATGCCAGTCTGTTGCTACCGGATATTTACAACCAGAGGAGTAGGCACTCCCAAAGTCTACGGGTGTATAGGGGACTTGGGATGTTTTGGTCGTTAACATTGATATGACATCGTAGGAGACCCGGGAGACCCGGGAGACTTCGCAAACCACCCAGAAGCCCTAAATCGCGAACCAGCAACTAAACATTTGACATCAAGGTACATTTAGCTCTGTAAATCCGACTCTTGACCATGTTACTGACCTCTCGTCGAGCTAGTTCCGATGAATTCGTAAAGGCCCCGCCAGCTGCCAACTTTGATCCCGAACCTATCATGCCCGTCTCGCGCTGGACAATTGTTTCGCAAGACAACAAGCTGTTGACCTACCTCATTGACCTCTTCTGGACCTGGGACGATACCTTGTCCCATCTTATCGACCGAGAGCTCTTCATCGGCGAGTTGAGCGCCGCCAGACCAGACTCCTGCACTGGCCAGAACCGGGGGTTCTGCTCACCCTTTCTCGTAAACGCCATACTCGCCGTGGCTTCTGTGTGTGCTTACGATCCTCCTCTACGTTCCCCTTGTATCTTAACCAGTCCCTTGACGCTAACGGTTCTACTCGATGAATGCAGCTACACGCGACGAGGAAGGAGTCTGAGTCGTATTCAGGAGACATGGTTGCTCTAAGCCACAGATTCGCTAGCCATGCATTCGATATGCTCGAGTTGGAAAAGTGTGTGAGCTCGTTGACTCTTCTGCAGGGCGTAGCCGTCCTTTGGGTCTTTGTCGGCAACCGGGGCTCTCAAGCGTCCCACACGGAATATACGAGCCTCAGAGACCTGCTCCAACACACCTGGCTCGCACTTGGCCTAGACACCGGCAGCTCCGCGCACTTTGGGGATTCCGGAAATAAAAATGCGGAAGATGTCAGGATCTGGCAGGCGGTTTCTCACATTACATGGGGATTTTACTGCTTCTTCGCGTACGTCCTTACCCACCCACCCTTGGATGGCTGGTCACCAGAACGCCGCGGCTGACGAGTAGTCGTTTCTTCACACAGAAAGATGGCCTTGCTATTTTCTCCAGACATGCTGGTCCCGAAACCGCTCATCATGAAATCGTTCGAGAACTTGAGAATCCACCAAGGGTCCAGCTCACCAGACTCGGTCTCTTCCGCTGGCACGGATAGCATTGCCAGCCACATATCATACCAACTGCAAGTGTTCAGTGCAAACTGCTCTCTTTGCGAAATTACCGACCAGTTGATATCGGGCTTCTTGAAGGACGATCAAATATCACTCCTGGATAGCAGCCACTGCACGGCACTTTATAACAAGCTGCTCTGTTGGAAGCTGGTACTTCCAGGTCACCTCCTGACTAGCAACGGTATTTGTCCGTCTGTCTTGTTGCTCCAGTAAGTCGCGCCGTTGCTCTGGCTCTCTAGGTACCGGACAAAAATATTTCGACACAGAACCTCGGCTAACACCCCTTCCCCTAAACCAGAGCAACGTACGACTTCGTCGCCTTGAAGCTCCTCTTCAGCTACACGGACCACGCGGGCACCGACTTCTTTGACAACCGCAACGCCGCCTCCCTCCAGATCCTCCACGCGAGCTCCTTAATGACGAACCTCTGGATTTACCGAGGTATCTACACCATCAGGCACGAATACTGGGCCGCCGAGTACTGCTCCTTCGTCGCCCACGCCCTCCTCCCCCGACTCGTAACCGACACCTCGACCCCCGCGATCCAAGATGCCATCGGCCGCGCGTGCTGCGTGCTCGGCGAGATGGAGAGCGCGGGAGTCTCGGGCCGCGCGCTGAAGCTGCTGGCCGGCGTCGAGGAGAGGGCGAAGGCCCTGAAGGTGCGGGTGCCGTCGTATGGGCGGAGGCCGACGGCGCACGAGGGCGCCGCTGCACCTATGGTTCTGGTGAGAGGTGCGCGAGTCTTTGACGGCGCGAAGAGGGGTATGCTGGGCCTCGAAGACGAGACATACACGGTCGGCTTCGGAGAGACTATTGAGTACGTGGAAGGTCCCGGCGGAGAGTGAGGAGGAGAACGAGGCGAAGGGACGGCGAATAATGACGCGATTATGCATCGGCCATCCCGGTAGTGCACGGAATTTGTGATTTATTTTCGTTATGGCTCTAGAAAAGCTTTTGAAAGCTTTTGGTTGATGGAAGTGTCTTAGAGCTCATTCAACGCCCGCAGCAAGGTTGGTCCACAACACTTGCATGGGTTGCAATAGTTCTGGTCTCATAAGTACAGAGTTCGTTCCGGCCACAAAGCCTTTCTTCATTATACTTCATCTTATCATGTTACCGAATGAGACCGCCGTGTGATGATCCAAGGAACAGAAAGCCCCCCAACCCTTGGACATAATCATCAGATACTCCGCCCACCTTATGCCGCAATTTTTTTAGGATCGACCTCTTCCCCCTGTATCCAGATCCTCCTGATGTTTCGGGTCGCATTGATGTCTTCCAGAGGGTTCCCCTCGACGAGGACAAGATCAGCCCGGAGGCCGCCCCGGATGATGCCGCGGTCGCTGAGCCGGAACGCCTTGGCAGCCACGCAGGTCGCCGAGCGCAGCACGTCGAGCCGCGGCATGCCGGCGTCGACGAGCAGGCGCAGCTCCTCGTGCAAGCTCTCGCCAAACGGTATCTGGACTCCCGGGATCAGGTTCGCCGTCGTGCCGGCGCAGATGGTGACACCGGCGTCGTGCAGCGTGCGCACGGTAGCCGTCGCGTTGTTGTAGTCGCTGCCCACGCTGGCACCCGGGTCGGTGTGCTGTCTCGAGCCCGTGTCGGCAGAGTTGTCGTCGTGGTCCCTCTCCGCGCCATCGCCACCGGCGAAGTCGCGGCGCTGCGAGGGGATGCCGGACGGCCGGTCCCTATCACCGGTGTCGCTGGTTATCGCGGTGGATGTATCGGACTTCTCGGCCTGCGCGCGCCTCCACATCATGCCGAGCGTCGGCACGAAGACCTTGCCCTGGGCGGCCATCTCGCGCGCCATGGCGGGGTCCAGGGCCGCGTCGAGCGGCGCATGGGCAAAGATGTCGAAGCCGGCGAGCATGGCGCGTTCGTAGCTTGCTTTGCCGGCGGTGCGGGCAATGGTGAGCTTGCCATGGGCGTGAGCGGCGCCGACAATGGTCTTAAGAATCTCGTCCGTCGGCAAGTAAATGTCGACGACGACTTTGATGAAGTCTGCTCGGTCCGGGCCGCTCGATCTCGCCGAGACATATCTCATGGCATCTTCGCACGTGCTGATGATGGACTCGTACGGGCTGTCGTACAGCTGCGTTTGACAGTCCTTAGCAGACGTGGCCCCAGTGCCAGATGTGAAGAAAGTGGGCAGACCCGTCCTACCGGCAGCATAGACTTGCAGAGCCTGGCATTGCTGTGTATTGCTGCTCAGGTCGATAACGGTGGTGACTCCGTAACTCGCAAAAGAACCAAGAGCAGCATTCGCACCCTTGATGTTTGCGTAAACGTCAATAAAGCCGGGTAACAATGAGCAGCCACGCCCGTCAACGACGCAATCAGACGTCTCGGCCTCAGAGCCATCGGCCATGGGGTCCTGGATATTGCCGGCAGACCGAGTGAAGACGACATTTCCCGCTTCACGGATCACCTCGCTATCGAAGACGCGAACATTCTTGATGAATATTTTCGTCATAGCTCCGAGTGTCTCGATCTCGATGAAACGTGTACGTGTAGCGTGCTGCTAGGGTTGTGTAATCCAGCTTTGGCTTGAGAGTGCAGTTTCGGGATTCGGTGGCCCGGTTGATTGCCCTTGATAGTTGGCAGACAGATAGGCGGGTAATAAACAGCCTTTTGATCAGTTGTCTTGATGCTGCAAACTAGGGCAGGCGAACACAGAAACCCAGTGATAAACGTGCTCTACGCGAACACATACCGCACCTATGTGCCACACAAAAGATGGCGAAAAGGTTTCCCAATGACAAATATCGGAGTCGGACAGTTCGCCGATAAAGAGATTACAAGTTGCGAATGGGATCACGGCCGCATGTTGCTTCATAAGTTTGATCACACTGGCCTGGCCGGGGGTTCGATAGGACGCATGCGTTCGGAGGAGGCTCCGTTCGTGGGGCACCAATGGGGGTTGGAATCCTATTTAAACTCGGCAGGGGAGGTCTCTATGATGGTGTTCAAATAACTCGATCCAATGGCTGTCGACGTCAGATGTCAGTTATGTTGGCCATGCTGATTCGAGGAAAAGTCGACACAGAGCTTGCGAGCCAATTGGAACATCGAGTTATTCGGAGCTCTCTCCTGAATTCCCGGCTGATAGGTCGTGTTGCCGTATAACGCAACCGATACTGCGCCTTTCCCGCATGTCATATATCACAAGGCGCCCTATTGCGTCATTGGGAGTGGTCATACTGACCCGTACGGAGTACTTACACCAGAACTTGGAAGTGTTACATGTAGTTGGTCCTCAAGGCGCCAATGTGGATATCTTTTTCGCGGAAGGCCCTCCGGTCTCTAGTAGCCCTGGAGAACTGCAGCAGCTTGCTGGGATCCTTGCAAGAAATGCTGTTGCTTTCAGAGGATATCCAGAGGCTGCGCTTTAGTTGCCATTGCTCTCTTTTGGTATATCATCTTCTATGCTATCTCCACGCCTTAGGGTGTCGCTATTTTTGTATGGCAGCAACCTGAAATTGTCATATCCTCCACCGAATCGAAGAGCTGCCAGCCGGAGCCTGAGTGCCACCAATAGAGTCGAAGACGCGCCGCTTTACACATGCTTCTTCGGAAACGACGTATGGTTCGGTGACAGTGATCATGTAGCGATCGCTTTCCTTTCTGTTCTTCAAGATTGACCCAACCTTCGATGAGGCTTGATAAACTGCCGAAATCAATTACCAATAGAAACCACACCACTATTGGGCAACTGGGACGAAGGATGGTCAGCCATGCTTTTGCTGCTCTCGTAACGTTGATACTCTGACTTTGGAGTAATCCCTGCGCCACATAATCCGCATGTCGCCAATTGGGATGCGCTTCGTATCTCATTCTTGATTGTAACACTAGAAGGCAATGCTCTCATCCCGCAGTCTGGGTCTGGCTGGAAAACTTGGCGGTAAATGCCGCAGTCCTAGAAATGCGAAAGCGGCTGTCACCGAGACAGTTAGATGGGAGTAGTCTCGATACTTGCCCAGTTTCGTGTGCTGCGCAAAGCTGCCGAGAAGCTTCGTTGTGCGAGATGCGACTGAGCTGTGAGCAGTTGCGTCTCATTGCCAGGCTTCTCAGACTGTGCTATCGGCACAACGAGGGTGATGGTAATGGGGGTGTACAGTTGACCCCGATCAAATATCTTCATCGTCGGCATCTTCAACCATAGCCCTCTTGGATCCAGCGGTTTCGGTTTCGTCTGTCAAGGCTAGTGCCTTCAAGTAACCCTCTTGTTCGAGCTTGTCTGCTTCCTCAGGTTCCATCAAGCCACCCTTGCCCTTGCCTTTATCCATCTTTATTTTGACGGCGGTAGGCACAAATGCAGATACTGCCTCCTTCGCCAGGTTTCGAACTATGGGTTTGGCCTCATACACAGTCTTCGGTTCTGGCGCTGCAGGCTTTTCCTCCTTCTCGTCCGACTTCTGGGTTTCGGCCTGCTGAGCTTGCCAGCGAGCTCGTCTCTTGGCATACCATTTATCCATCATTTCCTTTGGAATCGGCGGCGGGGTATCTCGTGGCATGGGAATACTTTTGACATCATCCGGGACGTCCTCGTCGCTTGTCAGCTCGTTGTCGTCCCTTCTCCGCTTTCCAAGGACTCCCCTTGAGGGATCACCACCTCGGTTGAAACCTCCATGACCAAATGAAGGGGCCTTGTCGCCTAGTGCTTCGCGGGCCTTTTTCACTGCACGCAGCTCCTTCTCGAGACCTTCGAGAACTTGTTCTTCGTGACGGGAGAGCTTGCCACCTCCTGTTGTTATGGCCTTAAGGTCGTCTATCTGCTTCTGGATTCGTTCGGGATTTCGACGAGCGAGCTTCTCATTGCGACGTGATTGGACTTCAGCCTTGCCTGCACGGTTGATGCATCAGTAAAAACGTCGCCAATAACGGCGAGCATAAACCCCTGGTTTGGGGCATACCTTTCTTGATTGCTTTGACTTTTTCAGCTTTCCGCTGGGCTTGCACAGGATTGAAGTTGCGTTCCTTCGGCATTTTGGGATGTCGAGCTGGTATGGGGTTGGTTTGGCTGACGTAGTGAGTTTCGAGGTCGTTGTCGACATTGATATCAGAGGAAAGAAGCTTTGGCCATCAGGAAGAAGCCCGATCACTTATTCCGACAACGTTATAATCTTATCTTATATCATCACGTGATCATGTTGTATTCGCGACATGGGTCCCCCAGCGGTTGCCCTTGCAACATTGTTGACTTGATGCCCCGCATTACCCAATAACACTGTCCTTTGTTCCCTGTCTCCCCCCTAAAACGTGAGAGTGCCCACCCGGGCAGCGATCGACTGTGCATGGTTCTATCAGCCTTCAGGCCCATAGATCTTGGGCTGTCTGTCTCCATACATCGCCCTGGATTCCAGCCCAAATCAACCCCACGTCGGAGAAGACAACAACATAATAAGCCGCGCTGGTCATCCTCTATCAAAAGCACGCAACTTTATTCGTACTCGGCAGCGATTTCAATCCTTTCAGCTCTCTCCTATCAGCCCCATCACCGGCTGACTGTTTGCTCGTTTTGTTTTCGGCCTTCGTGCAGCCTTGACCTCACTTCACTTCCCCTCCCTCAATTTATCGCGGCCTGTCTGTTTGACAACGTCGTAACGATGTCAGGCTTTATGGCCAACCTGTTCCCAGGAGGGACAAGAGACACTCATACCTCGTCGCGACCAGAGACACCCACAAGAAACAGCTTCATCAATCCACCCAGCACGCCCCAGGGCAGCCCTAGCAAGAGAACAATCCCTCCTGGGGCCCACGAATTGCCCGATACATTCGACAATGCGCTCAAGCTGAGCACTCCTGTGCTCGAAAGGCCCAGACTCGACCGTCCCTTGAGCGTGATCACCACCCCGCAGTCTCCCGGAAGGGGCAACGAAAACAGCCCTAGCATGGACGAAAGCGTGTTGCACAAGGGAACGACCTCCACCGGCAGTCCATTGAAGAAGTCCCATGGACAGGAAAACACCCCTCCTATCCCGCGCTTGGGAGCGACTGACTCCCCTTACCAGCAAAGCCATGCCGCCATCTCTCGCCATGAGCTGTACCAGCCAAGAGAGAAGGCTGCAACTCCCAGAAACAAGTTCAATACTCAGAGAGCTCTTACTCCAGAAGAGTTGGAGATCCTGCAACGTCCCAATGTGCGAAGACTTGTCAACGTGACGCAGCTTTGTATGTTGTATCCCTCAAAACTTGCTGCCATTCAGCTGACGAAGACTAGACTTTCTTGACTACTACTTCGACCTCCTCACCTACGTCGGCTCCAGACAGAACAGGTTGACTGCATTCCAGTCGGAAATTCCGCCCCCACCCGAGACTGACGAAGCGACGTACAATCAGATGTGGCAGAAGTATAAGGGCCGGGAGCGCGCCAACCTGAGAAAGAGGCGTGTCAGACTTCGTCAGGGTGACTTCCAGATCCTGACGCAGGTTGGACAGGGGGGCTACGGCCAGGTCTTCCTCGCGCAGAAGAAAGACACTCGCGAGGTTTGTGCCCTGAAGGTGATGAGCAAGAAACTGCTCTTCAAGCTGGACGAAGTCCGCCATGTCCTGACAGAGCGCGACATCCTTACGACCGCCAAGAGTGACTGGTTGGTTCGCCTGCTTTACTCTTTTCAGGATGACAAGAGTATCTATCTTGCCATGGAGTATGTGCCAGGTGGAGACTTCCGCACCCTGCTGAATAACACTGGTGTTCTGAGCAACCGCCATGCGCGTTTCTACATCGCCGAGATGTTTTGCTCTGTTGATGCGCTCCATCAGCTTGGGTACATCCACAGAGACTTGAAGCCGGAGAACTTCCTTGTTGACTCCACCGGGCACGTCAAGCTCACCGACTTTGGATTGGCAGCGGGCATGCTCGCTCCAGCCAAGATCGAGTCCATGCGAGTCCGTCTCGAGAAGGCTTCCGAGACATCGGTGCCGTTTGGAAAGCCCATGGATAAGCGAACTGTGGCGGAGCGGCGAGAAGGCTACCAGACGATGCGGGCGAAGGACATGAACTACGCCAAGTCCATCGTTGGCTCGCCTGACTACATGGCGCCTGAGGTTCTTAGGGGGGACGAGTACGACTACACTGTGGACTACTGGAGTTTGGGCTGCATGCTGTTCGAGGCACTGACAGGATTCCCTCCATTTGCCGGTTCCACCCCTGATGAGACTTGGCGGAACTTGAAGCACTGGAAAGAGGTTCTCAAGCGGCCTGTATGGGAGGACCCCAACTACTTCCTCAGCAACCGCACATGGAACTTCATCACGACGTAAGTGCTCCTTCTGTCCCAAGGTTCGCGTACAACGTTAGCTGACTACGGTCCACAGTTGCATCAACTCCCGGTCCAGGCGTTTTTCCAACATCAAAGAGATTTATGAGCATCACTACTTCGCCGAGGTTGACTGGGACACCCTGCGGAGTACCAAGGCTCCATTCGTGCCCGAGCTCGACTCGGAGACTGACGCAGGATACTTTGATGACTTCTCCAACGAGGCTGACATGGCCAAGTACAAGGAGGTGCATGACAAACAGCAGGCGTTGGAGACCATGGCGGATCGTGATGACGAGATGGGCAAGAGTCTCTTCGTTGGCTTCACATTCCGCCACCGCAAAACCACAGACGATGTCAGTCCGCGCAAGCCGATACCATTCAAGGAGGAAGAGGTCACCTTTGGCACGATGTTGTAGAGCAAGCCTGTGTGGCGGAGAACGGAATGGCAGTGGTTTCGTCAGCGGGGCTACCACTGAGCTTGGAGCCGACAGATTCCATTCATTGACGGTGATGAGATAGACGTCATGGCAGGTGGACAAGGCGGTGCTGGGGACCGGGGGGCTACTTGTATGAGTTTGGGATTGGACTACCCTGCAGTAACGGCGTGTCTGAGACGTGATTGCGGACTTTCTTTTTGCATTGGAGTTTGCGCGAGGATGGGAATGGGATGAAGAGCCTGCTGCATCGCATCAAGCAAGCAGGGTCCTCCTACCGGCTAGGGTTAATTCAAGGGTATGGGACGGCGTTGCAGACGGCCGATCATCCGACACACGTGGGACTAGAGATGATAGACACGCAGAGAACTGATCTTTTCTTCTTTTTCCAATACGTGAGCTTTCCCCAACATACCGGTAGCGGCGACAGCCAACTGCCGCGTCATCTGCTGAGGCGGACGCGGAACCCCATGAGAGTACCTACGTTAGCTTACGCCGATATGACCAGCCTCGACACATCGGAACGCCGACAGCCAGCCCATAATCTGTTGCCCTTCGTGAAGGCGGCCAGCCAGATGACCAACCCGGGTCCAGCAGCAGCATAAGCACATATTCTGAAACAAATGGAATAAGGCAGGCTCCAGTTTAGGCCGGTGATCAGGTTATTAGCGCCCAGACAGTACCTAACTACCCGCTGGCAATGCTGCGTTTCGGGGGGCTTTTTTTTAACCCGGTTTGGAGGGGCAGCATGATCCCGATGGATGGTTGTGAGTCGCATCAGGCACGGAGCACCAACGTTAGCAGCATCAGCGCACTCTCACATTCGGACGAGTCGGCGCACCTATGTCAGGGGAGAGACACCAAAAAAGGGCGGGATCCTAAGGCCGCTGTCACAACAGAAGCGAGGGAAATCAAGGGGAAATAGAATCCATGTTTCGAGTTACCCGGGGGACCGAGCCTGTGCCGGTTCAAACGGCAGTTAGTGCTGATTGGCTCGGGCAGCCATGGATCACCAGCCAACACTAGGAGCTGCCGCTACGGCCGGTGTTCCCCAAACCCCATCCCGGACTTCCACCTGTCAAGTCACACCACCAACCGACCGAACCAACTGCCTTGTTTACGCGGCCCTGTTGGGCTATGGTAAGCATGCAATGCCGACGAGCCACTCGGATTTATCTGACTGCTGCAGGCGAAGAGGTGGCCACCTCTGAGCGAAGTTCTCGATCGGCGCTATCTTTTCTCTCTCTTCCCCTATTTTCTTGTCACGCAGCCCATGGGAGCGCCATGCAGGGCTGCGCCCTGGCTTTGATGCGAGGGGGTGGAAGGACAGGGCGGTCTGCACGATGCGCTGTGCTGAAATCGTAAGCAGACAGGTTGCCAGAGGGATGGAGGAAGGGACGAAGAGGCCTTCGACCGTCGTACCGAACCAGCGGCCTGGGCTACCCGAGAGGATTTGCGAAAGAGTTCAAAGAGTTCTACGCGAGTGTCTGTGGGCCGGCCAGTGGTTCCCTTCACCAAGGAGACGAGGGGGCCACCAAGACACCATGTCATTGCTTTTTGCCATGCGTCTTTCGGGACCGAAGCTCTGGCTTCCCACCCCAGTCTGCAGGAGTAAGATTGCCATAGACGTCAGCGGGCGGAGAGGCGTATTTGTGTCTGAGGCGAGGAGGCGGCCATGTCGTTCGCAGAATATAAAGAGAAGCCATTCGAGCTCTGTGTCGTCCGGTGTTTGGCTACTGCTCTGATACACCAATCTGATACACCAATCTGGGACGCATCCTATCTTCGCCGCAAACACATACTCACCTACAAGCCTCTTTTCATCAGTCTTACCAACGACCTCTGCTATCCCAACCAACAAAAAAAAAAAAAACACCAAAGCGAAACCCCATCAAAATGAAGGCCACCATCGTCGCTGCTGCCCTGGCCCAGGGCGCCGCTGCTGTCGCCGCCCCCAACGGACCGGGCAATGGAAACTGGGGCCCCGGGAACGGTGCCGGTTTCGGTGGATTCGGATATGGCGGTGGATTTGGCGGCTTTGGCCCCGGAGGCTTCGGCATGGGTGTTGCTCAGTGCGCTGTAAGTCTCATGTATTAGACTTTTCTTCCTGTCATCGCAACATTTGTCCCATCATGTTGTTGGGTCCCCCCCTCACCCACTCCCCCGCACGCACCCCCGCCATCATTGCCCCGCCCCCCCAAAATTCTGGTCTTCAGACGACTGACACATACTCCACTTACAGAGCTCTTGCTTCTCCTCCCACTTCGCGACCGCCACCCCTACCCCCCAAGCTTTCTGCACCGATACCCCGGCGCTGAACGACTGCGTTCGCTCCGCCTGCACCACCAACACGGCGGCGCTGGCGTCGTACACCTCCGTGTCCTCGTCCGTGTGCAACGCCTTCACGTCCTGCGCGAGCACGAGCACCTTCACCTACAGCGGCGGCTGGTGGGGCGGCGCGTCCAAGACGGATGCTGCCGTCACGATCACGGGATGCCCCGTCGACGGCTGGTGGGGCCCCGGCGGCGCGTGGGGCGGCATGGGCCCCGGCTGGGCCTACAAGACCGACACCGTCACAGTCACCCGCACTGTCAACGGCGTCCCCGTCACGGGACCCGCCACCGTCGCCCAGGCCGTTTCGGGCAGCAGCACGCTGTTGACGACCTTCACCGGCGCGCTGGCGGCCCAGGAGACGGGCTCGTCCGGCTCCGGCTCGAAGAACGCCGCGGCTGGTGGCGACTCCAACCGCGCTGTCAAGGTTGCCGGGGCTGCCTTGGGCGCGGTCGTCGCTGTCGTCGGCTTGATGTAAGGGATGCGACACCACCGGACTGGGGGGCTGTCGATCCCATTACCCTTAAACCTGTATAACGCGACAAAAATAAGGGGCCAATGATTTGGTGTCAATTGTGGGGGCAAGGTTTCGTTTCTATTTCAACGTCATCCCTTGATGACTAGGACCACGTGGACGCATGGATGTTAATAAGGCTGGATACCTTGTGTGTAACTTTTTCGATGACGAGACGTCTCTGTTGGGAGATGACCACAGTCTTTACTTATGATCTAGAATAGTCACGGCCGGACGCGATGAATGGAAATGAATGTGTTTGTTTTTCACCTAGTGCACCTATCAGCGCGTAATAGCCCCTGCCATGTGGAGTACACCAGGTTGTCTGACTGATTATGCTGTTCCCGTCGCCAACCACGTATCAGTGATAGTCCAGGGGTAGAGAGACAAATCAAACATGTCAGAGGGGGGCAGTTGTGGACTTCTCTCGAGTGGCCACTCTCGAGTGAAGTTTTGGTGAGTTTTCCACTGCAATCAAGCTCGGAGAGTTGTTATCCTGACGGCATAAACAGTGCAGCTTATGAATTTTGTGCACGTCGAGCAATCCGATGCAGTAGGATGATATGCTCGAGAAATACGTCACATCAATGCTTCGCGGAGCTGGTCATAGATGGATAACTAACTGTGTGCTGCTTTGTGCTTGTAACACTCACGCATTCTTACACCACGAGACATTGACGACTTCGTTGTTCACTTGCGCCAGTAGTTGTAGACTTCCAAGAATCAGACTCAATAGGAGGTGGGCATTGTGGGGTGGTCGGCTACTCACTTCGGGTCAGGTCGATATGAGCACCACCGCTCGCCAACCACCCGTGCGTGGTACGTATGACCAGCCACCCTTGGAAAGGTCGTCACGTGGCGTAAGAGGTCCCTAGGCTTTATTTACTTTCACCTTTCGCCGCCGTTGCTGTGGAGACGGTCGTCAACAATCGCGCCCCACCTTCGCGTCCCGGGACTCGAGGAGGAGGAAGACGGGATGAAAGCACAACACGCGGGCGCGAACCACCCGCGCTCCTTCCTCCGATGCCTCAACACGGTCCGCGAACCAGTCTCGCGCACCCTGAAGGCCTCCAAGGAGCGCTCGAGGCCCTACTTGGCCCAGAAATCCCCCTCCGGCTTTCGCCAAACACAGAAGGCGATCCCCTCGGCGTAGGGGGTTCGGGTCAAACTGTGATTTCGAGGCACTCGCCAAGGTCGATGGTTCGAAACCCACCCGAGTCGATCGAAAAAGTACCGCACCGGACAGCCTACTCGACGACTGGCTAGCGATGACTTCCCGGCATGTGCACCAGAGATGTAGCTCCCACCGGGGAGTGAACTCTTTTGACTTTTGGCTCATATTGGTAAATTTTTTTTTTTTTTGCAACAGCATGCTGCTGCTTGTTCGTCGCGTTCTATCCTCCTCTATGCTAGGCGTAGTGTTTGGGGCGGGAATGTCTCGATTAGGAACTCGAATGACTTAGACTGCGTGTAAGCGTACTCTGGCGCACATCTGACAGTTTGGCTCCCTCCGCCATAGAAGATTGCTAGCCTATATTCACGTTATACACTGACATGTTCTGACCTCGTCGCTCTCTGTGTCATGTGAGCCTAGTATTGTAGCCCCTGAGTGGTCATTCGTGTGTATCACCATGATCGATGAGTCTGAGCTGGCCTGACTACGGATAACACACAAATATATAGAATTCAACATCGTGTCTCCAAAATCAAAAGAAAGTGCAAAGCATCGAATTTATGGTTCTCTGTGCAACAACAATGTGGGAGGGAGAAATCCAGAGCACAGAAAGGACCAAATCGCTCATCAGATATACGGTAGTGTGCACCGCCAAAGCATCCCAATTACTTCAGCTGCGAGACCCTCATGATTTATTGCACACCCGGTTCACATATGTAGTTTCTTATGACTTCCACACGCTTGTTCCTGCACATCTTGCTCCCATCCTTTCCCCACAGAACTCGTATACTCAATTGACTACCCTGCAAAAGGCCACACAGAGTAAACGGTCCCGCCGATGTCTAACCAAATAGAGTGTGATCCTTTCCGCGGGTTTGGACATCTCGCCAACGGCCCGTTCGTGGATATGCCAAGTCACATATCCCGTCTGCGGTGATGAAACAGAATAGGAAGTACCGATCGGAAGATCCTAACCGCACACCGGCTCATTCAACTTGTTCAGTAGGGAACTCGACAGCGGGAGACACCTCTCGGCCTTCACTGTATCCTCTAAGGAGCCTGCTAAAAGCGGTTTGCTGCATGTACGCCCGCCATGCGGGGACTAGAACTTGCTTCACCACATCAATCGGCACACCGCCGGCTCATTCATCGGCTGAAAAAGAAAAAGAAAAAAAAACCGGCCGAGTTCCTACCTGTTCCGCCGCATCGCAAACGCACACCGTCCCCCAGGGGCCAGAACAATCCGCAGCGGAAAGGCGAAGCGACATGGCGGCGGACTGCAAGCGCAAGGGTTGAACTCAAACTCCGCGCCCACTGGTGGACTTGGCACGTATCGAGGACACTCGCAAAGGGGGCTCGTTTTGCGAGCCAGTCGCGAACCGAGTGCAAACATGGTATCTGTTTCGAGGCACGAAGGTACGGAACGAGGGGAGGGGACCGCGGAACGGGGGGGAGGGGACGACTTGCTGGATACATTGGTGGACGGTGCAAACTAAGCGATGTTCCGTGTACTTTCTGCATAGAGCATGAAGTTACGACGAACGTTTGTTTTTGGCCGTGGTCGTGTTTGAGGGTTATCTACCCGAACCGTTCATGCTCCCCCGCCCCCCTCCTACTTACACGGCATCGCGGTTACTTGGACCGTTGGAGCACGGACGTTCCGGGCATAGCTTAGGTCCCTTATTCCCTTTGAAGGGGGAAAGAAATTGTGACGAACCTTTCAAACGTTGTCGAATCAACTTTCGGCAATCTTGAAACGCAACGCCCTCTCAAAGCAAGGGGAGCAAACGGTCGCCAAAGGCTATATATAGTTTTCCTCTTTAGAGTTGTCCTACGAGAAGGGGAACCCCCCTTTTCCCCTCTGTAGCATAACGGAAAGAAAACACAAATGCCGAAATGGGCTGTCGTCGGCGGCGCGTCCTTACTCACCAATCTGGTTGGATCAACTGAAAGCCGGGTCTAGGGGGGGGCGGAGGGGGAAGCCTATTCATACCTGGGGCCCAGCACACATGTGAAAATCGGTAGCGGGTAGCGGGCAGTGAGGCTTTGCCTCCAGCCGCTCTCAGTGGCTAGCAAACAGATCAAGGGTCCTTCACTGAGTGATAATAAACAGGGAGCCGACCGAGGCAGCCTTGACGCATCCTTGATTGCATGCGCGGCCATGGTATACGTAAGCAGAAATGCCCCGGGAAAGCATTAATGAACGCGAGGTATAGAGGCTCTCTGCTATACTCTAAGAATGTATCGCCTGACTGTCACATGAGGAGAGGTCATCTGCTCGCCGTCTCCGGCATAGGCCTCCGCAGGGTGGAAACAGTTGTGTTGGTCGAGCGAGATTATCATTAGCCAACATGCCTCCTGAAGAAAGAATACGTTACGTTACGAGCTGCCTGGGCCAGTGACAAGCCCGCATCTGACGCAAGGCAAGTTCACCATGTCAATGGCCCAAGTGCTACCGAAGTTGGGGAACCGGTGGCCTTACCGGTATCCAGACGCCGGGAGACGACCGGCGAAAACATCGGCAGTTTGCAAAGTGGAGCGATCCGCTCCTCCGTGACGGCGGATGACTGATCGGGACTCATCCCAAAACACCCTCCTTATACCGACCAGGCTTGCTTTGTGCTCCCCTCCCCTCCCCAACCGGAAGAGAAGCGCCGACCGCCGCAGCTGAATACCCTTGCTTCCCAGGGGACATTCACGTCCAAGCATGGATGGCGTGTCCGGGGCATCGATCGGGGTGTCCGTGGGGCGTGCAGGCTTGGGTCGGAAGACGTTCGGGGTCGGCGGTGTCTCGGTCACCATGTCAAATCGCGGTGTGCCGTGAAGCGCCGCGGAGCGCCGCGGACGTGACGGGCATCGTGAGAAGGGATTTTCGTCGAGGCCCCCCCCCCCTTGCCTTCCTGGCGGTTGCCATGAGTAAGCGATGAGGTGTTTCTGGGCAAGTCGGATCTGCCCCGGGCGCAGCTCCAGAGGTCGGCTCAATCCGACCGTTACCGTGTAATGATAAGAGAAAAACCGCTGTCTTGTGGGGGTCGTGATGCACTCACTGCGTGATGGTGAAATCGATTGGTTGACTCGCGCAGTCGTGGTCCGCCTTGGCAGCGACCAACCTTCCGCCCCCTGCAAGCCGCCAATCGGTTGCAAATCATTAGATCAATGTCATTGCATCCAACTGACATGTGCAGGCTGTCACTGTAGGTCGTGGATCTGCCTCTTCACGGGACAAGGTAGAGCTGCGTGCATCAGGTTCCAGGCTCCGTTATGATCTGAGCCAAAGGCCCATGCGCCGCGGAGTGATATGACAGGTACGTAACATTGATTAATCCTAGGCAGCAAACAGGCAGCGCATGCTTGAATGGGGGACTCGAGGGCCCAGGGAAGACGAGCGCGTGTTGGGCAATGCATTCGGCTCATTGAAATTCCAGATCCATCCCGGAGATAGCAACGGGGGGGGGGGAGTTCTCCACCTCCCCCGAGCTTTTTCTCAGGCAAGGGAGTCGGTGGCGTGACTCGCAACGCTGCTCATTTCCGTCGAGGCACGGCTGTGCTCCGCTACCAAGCACACCAGCCCCTCTCAAAAGGTCTTCAATGAACAGCGTACCTTGGCGATCGAGATCACAGGTATCTCCTGGGATAGCGCTGGCCAAAACGGGAACAAGGCAGCCGGCTTTTGGTTAGTATGGGACCACGTCACTTGGTGCTTGTGACCTGTCGACGCCGTCGATGTTTGCCCAAAACGTTGACCGTTACGGAACGGTACTGTGTTCGACAAAACCTACGCTCCGCGTTGGTGGATCACGCATGAACTCTGCTCGTGCGCGCTTCATTGCATTGCTGGGCAGCTTCGGGATGGCGGATACCGTACGGCGGTGCCCCGGGCCCCGTCGCCGGTGCCAGGACATCCCGGCGCCCCATCGTCTTCAATCCCGTGACCCCGCCCACGGCTCTTCGGGTCCGGGGGACCATCCAAAAGGAGTATAACTCCGGAAAACTCTGTTATTCCAAGGCCCACCTCTTGCCTCGACTGAAGAACAAAACTTGTGCTTTTAGCGGAAAAATTGAGTGTGGACAGCACGATCACGCGCCCCAAATACCCACACGGAGCGGGAAGACATGCAGCCCTGGCGCGTATCAGTCAACACACGGCACTGAATGAAGCGGGGCCACCAGAGAGGGAGGGGAGGACTCGTGAGCGGGAGCGAGGGATTGCACCCTGGCCGACGACCCGTACGATTCGGAGCCGCCGTCCAGCACCTGGGGTATACTGTCCTCATGCAACGTCAAGTTTCTCGCGATCCATGGGGTCGGGAGTAGTGCGGTACCGCAGTTGAGATGGGACGCCGAAACCCTTTTGGCAGAAAACGAAACGAGATCGAAACCCTCGATCCCGAGTGACGTCTTCAACATCTCGATACCCCGTGACGGCTGGCGCGCGCGAAGCCCGATGGCTTTACGATCTCTTTGCACATGACGCGTCAATGTCCAAGCCCGATGCCACCCAACTCAGCCAGGGGCGCACGAGTCCATGGGGGGAAAGCGTAGTAGGCTCGATGGAAATCCCGCCAGACCGATAAAGGGGGGGGGAGGGGGGATGAACCGCCTTGTCGGGATAGGTATTGCGCAGCGGAACGATCTCGATGCCGCGCCGACAAGCAATGTGTTGTACCACCCATGTCCAGGGAAAGTGGCTGGCAGGTCCTAGCGAGGCATCTAGATTCCGATTTCTTCCAAAAAAAAAAACCCCCATTGAGAAAGAGCCTTTCGCGAACGATTGGAGAAGTCACGTGAGGAACTTTGTGAGACCGGGATTAGGAGGACAGGAAGGCTCCGATCCCGATAGGATTGGTGAATGGGAAGGTTTCCGATATCGGGTCTGTAGCAAGTATATCGAGTAAGGGGGACGCGGTACGATAGCCATATTATGACATTGGCAGCCTTCACCGGGTCACAGGAAAAGAGAAGAGAGAAAAAAAAAAAAAAAAAAAGGGGGGGGGGGGGGGGTGGATTACGGAGCGTAGTCAAGGCCGAAATGCCGCGTTTGTGGCCGAGACATGGCTGCTCCAGGGTCCGACCCGCAGATCAGCGAGGGATCTTGCGGGATAACTTTGTGCAAGTCGCAGACCGGACGGGGAGCGGAAGGCATCCGCTAGCCTCGCCTACACTACTTCTGTACACCGTACCAACGGAGGCTGATCCGAGCCAAGCCTAATGGACCGTAGCCCTATGGAGCGGACTCTAGCTTGTTGACAGCTCGCCGACCACAATGAGCGCGGGCGAAAGACGTTGGTTCATGGGGTCACAGACAAGGGGGCCGCGATGTTGAGTTCATCAGGGATCTGGGTTGACATGACGGGGGCGTGACGGGTGTTGGAGCTCAAGAGGGAAGGCTGTGTAATTGTAAGAGAAGTCGATGGTCGGCGACCGGTGATTAGTGATAAGGCCGATGAAGCCCGGTAGGGCGGTCGGGCAGGCGGCAGCGGGGGGGTGAACGAGAAGGATAACGATGATCAGACGACTTAGAGTAGCATCATAATAACTAAGAAACGGCACTTGGAGATAGGAGGGGCGGCTCAGTACGACAAACCGGAGGCCGAAAATGTGCGGATGTTGTTGCTCTTCGGGTACGTACTCCAGCCGCGGCACAGAGTGGGGCATCCATTTGGCAGCAGCGAAGCCGATTGGTCAATCGCTCGGGCTGCTTGATCTGTAGATATTATGTAGCGAGGTACATGCCTGTACAATCTACCTAGGTGTCCAGGGTACAGAGGTACATATATACTCAACGCATACCTTATACCCAGGTGGGAATTGCACGGTTTTGGGGCCATGCCAGACGGACATCTACAGAATACATGTGTACATAGAGGAGACTGACCCACCACCAATCTTGGCCCACGGGCATAATGGAGACAGACCCGCGAACGACGTTCTAGAAGAACGAGAAAAAAAAGAAAAAAAAAGGAAAAAAAAGAGAGAGAGAGAAACTCGACGATCCATAATGATTTCACACCTGCTGACAAAGACGGGGAAGGAATGGGTCCGTTCTGCCGGTGGTATTTCGCTCTTCGGTAACCCAGATTCGAGGCTCCGCAACGAAATTTTCTTCTCATGGGGTACCTTTTGGAGGAAGTATTGTGGGAGATGGCTGGAATGCCGACTTCGAGTTGTGTGATTGGAAGAGAGGGGTGACTGAGCGTGTCTACCTCAAACCCACCCATCCCACTTGGTCCCGGCGACTAACTAGGTAAGCTTTGTTCTTGTCCCGCTGTGAGATTTCTAATTCATCCCGTGCCTAAGGCCGATGGGGGTTGGGGGTTGGGGACCGGGACCGGACCGGGACGGCGACGGCGACGGCGACAGCGACAGCCACAAGCACCGATTGAGCATCGTTTCGAGTTTGCTTTACACGTGGTTGGGGTCCTCCCTGGCCAGAGCCACCATGATATCACTGTCGTGGTCGTAGTGTGTACGTGCTAAAGAGAAAGCGCCGCCTCGCTACGAGCACGCCATGCCCAGGCTAGCCAGCCCTGGAAGTTAGTTCCCTTTGGCGCAACGATTCGTTCCACGGAGACAGGCAGAAAGGCTTCGAATACTGCCCGCCGTGAGTGAGTGAGTGAGTGCCGTGGATCTTGAGTCTCCTCTCCCCAAGTCGATTCAGCCTGAGGAAACGAAGTCCTGTCCACAGCAAGTGATGGTGGCAGAGGCAGAGACATAGGTAAAACGCAGGTGCAGATGCAGACGCAGACGCAGATGCATCGTCTGGGATCTCAACTAGAGCCGAGGCATGAGTCATTATGAGGTTGTTGCGGTGTAACCTGGGTGAGTAGTAGTTCGGTCAGTAGCATCATGCAGCGAGGCATTGTGTAACCCACTAGCCTAATTAGTTTATCTATCTCTGTCGGAGTCCCGCACCTTCTGCCCCGACGGATATAAGCATCGCTTGCAGGAGTGTTATCCCCTTGCGCCCCACAGACCAACTCATAATGTTTACTTACAAATTGTGGGAGGCTCAGCTTCCATGCTCACTATCACTAATCGAGCTAGGTTAAATGTAAGGACCTTGCCTATCTCGGTAGTTTACCATACGTACCTGTACTCCGTACATATAGGCAGTATGCTGTAGTGGAGCAAGTACTCCGTACTGTATCTACGTTGTTCCTGGCCTTCTTCTCCAACGATACCTACCTAGGTAGGTAGATACGTACCTGCAATGTACGTGCCTGTCTCTCCGTCGTCTAGCTGGTCAGTGAGTGACGTTGTCCCTCTTTTCCTATGCTTCGTACTTGGATGGCTCTAATCATGCACGAGCGGCGTGTTTGTTCGGTTCCCATCTCCGTTGCTTACACTACCTAATCCAGGCCGTCAACCGCCCTTGCTACCTAGGTAGCTACTTAGTTACCTACCTACCTACCTACCTACCCACCTACCCACCTACCCACCTACCAACCTTGTCATCGCTGGTCTCAAAATCCGGTCTCCAGAACAGGACACACGGTAAAGCATGCCTCGACTGTCGGGCATGATGACGCCCTTGACGTGAATAGTGTCGTCGACGACCTTCATGCATGTGTCTCGCCTCGCCTTCTCGCCCGCTCGAAGTGAAGCCCACAGCAGGTCGAGACGTCACCGACTGCCATCGCATAAACCTGACCGGTATGCGGCCGCCGTTCAGCCCAAGCAGAAGCTCAATCATCTCTCCAGCTGGCCTTGCGAGCCTCTGCCCCGTGCCATCGGCGAACAAGCCATGCCATCGCTCTCTGTTCCAACAACTCCCGTCATCTTTGTCGGACTTTGGCTATAAGTCCACCCTCCCCGATCATTGGGGATCGACCACAAACAAACCTTGCTGCCTCGGCGTGCTACAGAATGGGCGGCTCTAAAGCGTTGGCTTTGGGTTAAACTTTATTGCTCGAAACTGCACGCCGTGACGTCTTGTGCACACTCGGACGGTGTCATGGTATCAGATGGGTTTGATGGTAGCCACAACCGACCAGCACGATCCTGCCGCACAGTGAGTGTATTGCGCCGCCCACGAGTTTGAACTGAAGTTCCCTTGCCTCGCCCTCTATACCTACCGGTCGCGCTACAGCAAACCCTCGTGGGCAACACCGTCCACGAGCTTCGGCAAAGTTTGCGGTCAGGCACAACACACCTTCTATGCAGCTCCCCGAAGCATCACGAACCTCGACCGAATGGGGGGGAGGGTAGCTACCGCTCTTGGCGCGACCTGGCTTTGGCACGCACCGACGCCGTGGGGTCTTTGCCACGGAGCAGTTTAGGATGACACAAAAGTCCACTCGCCACGGCCATCCCAGACCAGGCTGCCGGCGCCCGTCGTTGACCCAAACGAGCAAGTCCCTGCATGGAAGAAAGCTCGGCCATTGCCTGACGTCTGTTCCTCGAACCCGTTTTGCATCCAGCCAGCTCGAGCCCTGCCAGAAAGAAATGCCCCTGAACATCCTCTCCCGACGACCTGCCTCCACCAGCCCAGGCAGACAAAGAGCTGGTGGACCCGTTTTGGGCCTTGATGACGGCACCGTATCGAAGCACTGAGGAGTTCAAGCTATTTTTGCCAGCAGAAGCGCAGAGGGCGTGGGCCAGCTGCTCATCCCTTTGGGCCCAACCCAGCAGTCGTGGTCATCCATGATTCATCAAGCCCGGCTCCCTGTCAGTTTGGGCGAGTGTGGCCTTCCACACAGGGACCGACCACGCGTATCAGCAACACGTGATGGAGTCTAGCCTTTGGCGTCATCACACCAGATATGCCGTGTCACGTCCGTGGTCGAGTCTAAATCCTCACCAACGCTGTCGGCCACGGCAATATCTGGTCGATTTACAACAAAGGCGCCGCCCAGAGTCAATCAAGGCCCCCCGCTCTCGGCGCCGGCCTCATCAACAGCCCGTGGACTTGTCGTACGTGAATGCAGCTGACCCTGATGTCACGGTCGGCGGGCTCGCTGAGTCCCGCCGAGTGCACAAGGGGAATAATTACAGTTATGAGCAGCAGGCTAGTGTGATGGATTGACATAAGGAAAAAAAAAAAGCCCTTGGCATTAAAAGCAGAGCGAAAGCAGAACAATACGGCGGACGGCCAGCCAAGTACGGACGAGTGGGGGGATAGTTTCGGCACGTTTGTGTCACTCTCAGCTTCTACAGTGTTGTTTTGTTCAAGCCAAACTATACGTGGTGACTATCGTGTACCTGTGCAACCGCGCGAAGGAACGCCTCGTAGATGTATCTTGGCGGTCACTCTCGGCGCGGGATTCAATGTGTACACCATGTTCCTTCTCTTCTGCAGTAGGTATGCATCTGGCTCCATTCCTTGGCCCCTGTCACCCATGCAAAGCTTACTCACTCTGTCGGGGACCTGGCAACCTACCTCCACACCCGATGTACTGTCATGTACCGGTCCCCTGCCTTGCCCCCCTCGACAGCACCATTACGACGACCACAACCCACTTTGATGAGGCGTAGACTCTTTGTCGTTGCATAGAGATTACCGTTTTGTTCCGTCTCTCCAGACTAGACAGACCCCATTGCCAACATGGGTGCAGCATCATGTCATCTTTCGATCATGACTGCGCCAGAACCGCGGACAGGGGGTATACAGTTCAATATGGCATACACCTTCTACAAGTATGGGGTTCTATTTAGGAGGTGAGTCAAGTCAGGTACAGTATCCGTACTGCTTACCGTAACCCAGCTCCGAGACGGATATAGGTACAATTGTCTTTCCTGGATATTATAACCGGGACGCTGTCTTATCAGATCTAGGTCTCCTCTTTGACCGGGGAGGCAGATGAACGACGTGCCAAATTCCACCCGACTTGACACTTCAGATTTCTCTTCCAACCAAGCACAGCACAGCACAGCGTCCGCAGCCTCAAGAGACGCGTCTGCCCGCGCCCTCGTGGAAGACATTCATCTTATCCACATCATCATCTCATCCCATTCGCACACAAACGGCAACTAGGCAACCGTTTTGCGATTCCAAAGGGTCTAAAATCCGCCCGGCTTGGATTACCAACGAATAAGGAATCAGGGGATCAGCAACCCTGCCTGAAGCACATTTTCCAAGAACAGCCAGCAAGCTGCTAGCACACTGCACGCTTGGTGCCATAATCGGTTCTGCAGTCAGCAACCTGCCACCATATCATAGCATATCATATCGAGGGCAAATAAACATACATCAACCATCCCGGTACGGCTTTCAAATCGCGCCCTTTCCCCCGTCTTTCTGAACTCCGCTGCGGACTTTTCCCTTCCAGACGGCCAGTTCACCAAAGGCTGCTGCTAGCGCGCCGCTACGATAAGCAAGCTACACGCCGCAACTCGAATACGTACCGGCATACATCTTAGCCTTTACTACCTACATACCTACCGACCTAGGTAGGATAGGGTAGGGTAGGTACCAGGTAGTGTAGGCACATACTTTGAGTGCCGTCTCGACACAAAATACTACGCATGGTGTACGAAAGTACACGCACATACTCGATTGAGCAAAAACGGAACCAGGCAGGATCCCTACGCAGTCCATCCCATTCCAGAACTCACCGGGGCCCGCCCGCGCACTCGGACATAAAGACGTCGCCGACCGTTAATGCCAGACCTCGTCAGCGAACCCACACCAGCACCTACCTACCTGCCTGCCTGTCCTGCCTGTATTTGTATCCGCCCCCATTAGCCTCTTGCAGGTAGCAGCTGTCTAGGTACCTTTGTACAGTACCAGTACCGCCCGCGGGATACCGCCCGCCGTCCACGTACATGTACACACACACCACCCACAAATACACACATACACACGTACACACGCGCACCGCACACACCTCACACACACACACACACACACACACACACACCCTGCCCTGCTTAGCATTGCGAGCGGCCAAACTCTATCAACCACTGAAGCTTCCGCGGCCATTATTTCCATTTGTGCATCGCATAATCTCACCCACGCGCGCACAATAGACGCACCCCGTCCACCTGCCGAGCCGACGACTCCCCGTGGTTGTCGACATTAATCATTAATAATTTGCCCACGCCCTGCACCCCAGTACCTTGCTGTGCTGACTTTCCCGCCCGCTCGACCCTAGCACCGTGTACTTGTTCCCTGTGTCATCCCGACTCTCTCGACCCTCCTGCTAATCCCTCTCAAAACTGGGGCCCTTTTTCGCTCTCGCTATCATACACTCGCTCACTCGACTTACACGGCATCCGTCTGCGTCTCACTCACACACTTATATGCAGTTTGCCCCTCGGTCTACAGCACCATTGACCTCCTCCACACCGTCATCTCTCCTCCTTCTCTGCACCACCTCATAACATATTACCCGACCATCTACCTGTCCGTCTGTCCGTCTGTCCGTCTATATACTAGTCCTTCACAATGGGAAGCGGTCTACCCTCCCCTCCTTTGGAGGATCAGAAACCGAGAAAGAGCCTGTCCAGCTCCAAGTCCATCAAGCCCAACCGCCACACGGCCAAGCGCGCCAGCCCCCACAACGCAACACAACAACATCACGACCACGCCGCCCAAGGCATGCATGCCGACGGCCGCCACAAGAGAGTATGGAAGGCCTGTGAGAGATGTCGTATGAAGAAGACCAAGGTGCGCTTGCTTCGCTGCCTCCCCCTCGAGGTCGCAAGGATCCCAAGGCTAACCCGTCACCACACGTCTAGTGCGACGGAGAGTTCCCATGTAAGAGGTGCAAGGATGATGGCCTCGTCTGCACTGCCGGCATCCGCAAGAAGACGGAATACAAGCAGCTCCCTCGGGGATACGCCGAGGTGCTGGAGCACACCCAATTCGCCCTCATCGCCACCGTTCACAAGCTCTACTCCATGGTCAGGAATCAACAGCAATGGGACCTGGGCGAACCCGAGCTCAACGACAGAGGACAGCCCGTCATCCACAACATTGCCCAGAAGCTGGGATGCATCCGCCCCAACAGCGACATCGATTTGCCGGTCCACTCCGTCTTCCCCGAAGACGAGGCCGGTCTGGCCGAGCTGGCGCGCCAATTGGAAGACCACCAGAAGGAGCGCGAGGTCGAGAAGGCGATGAAGGCCGAGGCCGACTCTGCTTCGGGCTGCGACCGATCGGACCGCGCCAGCTCCTCCGAGGTCGACCACTCCGAGTTCGAAACCGACTACCGCAAGGCCGTGTTTGGCGGCCACAACAACCCGATGACCATGTCACCGCAAAGCTTCTCCACGGGCTACACCGACTTCGACGTCGACTCGGCCGCCTCGCCCATCGACCCGGCCGCCGCCGCCGCCATGTTCCAGCAAAGCCAGTCCCCGCCCGTGAACACGTATCAGCAGCCGTGGAACATGCCCAGACAGGCGGCACCCGCGCCAATGGACCTCGCCCAGCAATTCTTCCAGCACCCGGGGGCCCTCGCCGGCATGGACATGCTGAGCCAGGGCCTCGTCGAGTCCGAGTTCGGAACCATCAAGCCCCACGTCCTCAACTGCCCGAACCCCGAAGTCATGATGGGTATGGGCGACCCGATGATCTACGGAGGCTACGACGGCGAGCCAATGCGGCTGTAGGCGGGGAACTCGGACCAATGGGTACTTGATGATGCCTTTGGGCAGTTTCTGCATCGTCACGGATTTATGAGGTGTGGAGTTTCCACCTATCTTGTTTTTGGGTTTCCGGTCCGGGCGATGGCATTGGGCGCAAAAGAACCGGGGCAGTGGTTTGCGTTTATTTGACTTTTTGTTGTTTTTTTAACGATACACCACGAAGGCGTTGCTTTTCTGGGTGGGCAAAGGGCCCCACCCAACCGGCGAGACGAATGTGGCGGGCGTTCAAGGATATGGTCTTATTCATCATCGTCCTTTTTTTTTATACTCTTTTTTTTCTTCTTTTCTTTTCCTGTGATGGGTGTGAGGAGAAGTGCTTTGGTCGCCGAGGAAGCTTAATCATCGCCATCGAAGTCCCGATTGGAAGTGTAGAAAACGAAGCCTGGACGAAGGAAATGTTGGGGGGGGGAGGGGCGGGGAAGGAGGGTCAACGATACCATGTTACGACGAACCGGACCCGATGCGCGCGCAACATACTCCGTACAAATCTATCCTATTGTACAAAGCATTCTTTTTTTCATTACACATTTCATGGCCAGGTTCAACAGCCAGTCCGCTGCGCATATAAGGTTTTGCCCTTTAACCGCGCCCCCCTCCTCATCACCCCACCCCTTACCTCTCTCTCTCTTTACCTCAAAACGGACACAGAGCTTGCATAACATAAGGCTGGGGGTCAAAGTGCATAAGCTTTTTATTTTCTATTTTTCTCTCTTGGAGGTCGTGAGTGTATGTGAAAAGCACAAGAGAGAGAGAGAGAGAGAGAGAGAAAGGGGAGGGAGGGGAGGGAATGTACCTAAACCACCACTCATCAATCAAAAAATGAACTTAGTTGCTCTTCCTTTGCCAGTGAGATGAGATTTTTGCTATGGGACACATTGGCTGGTTGAGAGAGAGATTACCTGCATGTTGGCGAGGAAAAACCAAGATAAACAAACGCCGGACCCAAATGTTTACAGCATATATTTCTTTGACTTGATTATTTAATCCCGTCATTCTCTTTTGTTTCCTTTCCATATGCCAATCACGCTCGATGAGCTGTTGCAGCAAAGGACGTAAACGAAACGGGGGGGGGGAGCGTTTCCCCCGGCGACGGTACGCAATAACAAAAAGAATATACGCGTATAAACTCCGCCCCCCCTCCCCCCTTCCACGTACCCTTGGAAAATGGACAAGAGCCAGCTCCCCTGGGTATGCGCGCAGCAACAGCAGCAGGGCAAAGAGGGAAGGGCAAGGGGGGGGGGAGGTGCCAAGGAGGATTTTGAGCGAATGCGACGCTCAAAGTTAGTTCCCAAGGGGCCAAGTGATGAGCCACGGGGGGTTTTCCACGTCACGACTTTGTTGCAAATCACCTCCAGCCCCCCGGGGGAGACGCGGGCGAACAATCTCTCCATCAGATCATCATAGACGAACCACCAACCATGCAAGTAAGGTACGGTAGGTAGGTGGTGAATGTGCAGAAGCGGGCGCGGGCCTTACTGGTAACGGTGGTCACCGAACCCAGCCGCACCCCCTCCCTCTTTTCGCCCAATCTCGAGAAGGGGGGCGGGGGGCGGAGAGATCTCTCCCAGTTTGATTTCAAACCTTCTTCAAGCTTCAGGCGGCACGGGGATTTGATCGACCGTACAGGCTGTTCATGAGCATATCTTTTTGGGGGTGCATTAAAATTAGGGGGGGGGGGGGGGGACAGCGAAACAGCATGCTGGGGGGGGGGGCATAGGAGCAGACACGACAAGCGCGCGCGCGCAAACGGTCGTGGGGAGTGAAGTCGGAGTGCGATGCGGACAAAATAGATGCTCAAAGTCCGCCGAGTCGGCGGACAGGCGGGCACCGTCAGCCGTCGTCACATCCCTCTGAGCCACACCTGGGCCCAAAAGGAAGTAAATTAAATAAATTAAAAAAAAAAAGAAAAAAGGTTTACCTCCTCCACACACCCCTAGGTTGCACCCGTCATCCCTGTCGGGCGATCAAGGGGCGGCGGCGGCGGACGGGGGAGGGGTGCCATGCAGCAGCGGCAGCGGGCAGCAGTAGCGGGCAGCAATACCTAGCAGACGAGCCAGTGGGCATTTCGTCGATGCTAGTAGCCTTGGCGACGGCTGGGCCAGTTGGTCGGGCGCAGATGCCAACAGTCTGCGCAGATACCATGACACCACCAGGCACGCACGCACACTCATACACACACACACACACACACACACACACACACTCACGCTTATAATGAGGAGCAGGTCTCACACCGTTAAGTGAGGAACACGAACAGTCCACCGGAACCGGAAAAAACCAAAGCCAAAAAATAAAAACAAACCCCATATTTTCAGGCACGACGGCAAACCAAAACCATCTGAATGTGCCCACCCTACGACCTCCCTATCGGCCCCAAGGCCCCCCCCCCCCCCCATATTACGGCGCTTCACATCGCAGGTTCCACTAAAGACGGCATGCTCAGGGCGCCATGATGCCGCCTGGGGTGGTGCTAGGTTACGTTTGCGAGAAAAACGGGCTGATGGCGCGCTGGTGGAGGGGGGAGTGTTTGAGCGTCTGTTGCGCGCCAAAGAAAGGGGAGGGGTTTTTTTTTTTTTTTTTTTTTTTTTTTTGCGGTGCTTGGAAATCAAAATGTAATCGTCAGCCTTTGGCGGAGGGGCGGGCCGGAGACTTGTAAACCCCGCGCTCCGAGGCCGAGCGGCTCCTATGATGAGCCAAAAAAAAAATTCTTTTCTTTTTTTTTTTTTTCGTCGACTTATTTGTTTGTCCCTCTCCTTCTTTGTTCATCACGTGAAATGTCTCTCTCTCTCTCTCTCTCCCTCGTCATCGCTGCTCTGAAAAGGGGGAGGGGGGCAGGATACTGTCCGTCGTTCGCCAACTGTCAGGCTTGGCCGAGGGCAGTGTTTGGAAGGGGCCCAAGACAAAGAATGTTGGCAATGGCACGTTGTGGGTTCACCTGTTGACTTGGGCCGAATGTCTTGGGCTGATTATACTGGGGAGCCCCCCTGGATCAGGCTCCTTGGGACTCAAAACGCCTTGTAGGCTGGGCCATTCTGAGTTTGGGGAAGGCCCATTCGTTCATTCATTCATTCATTCATTCATTCATTCCTTCATTTTCGACATGAGATGAGATTAGGGTTGCATAGTATCCAAGTTCCCGCCGGTTTCAATTGTGGACATGATCGGCTGTCGCCCATGCCCACGTGTTGTAGAGAAGGAGAGACAGAGATGGCCCGGCAAGCCGTTAAGCTCGTAATGCTCTTGGCGAAATAGCCAGCCCCATTCTCGTCCAAGACAAAGCACACCGTTGCTCGAGCCGCACTCAACGCCGCATACCATCTGTGCCACAGCGCTCGAACTGTGTCGTACTCGGCTTCTCCCACCGGCTTCTGCTTTGCTCACTGGGAAGAGGAGGCGGCCGTTTGCTTGCAAAGCCCCGTGTGTGGGTTACTTCCGTGGTCAGGCGGCCGAAACCCGGCGGGATGTGAATTGTCATCGTCCCACGCCCCCCCTCCCCGCTCAATCATGCTGCCCCATGGTGGGAGCAGCCAGTCGGGCTGCAATGGCGCCTCGCCCCGCCCTGTCCACATCGTCGGGAACGGAGAAGAATGGGTACAAACGGTTGATGACCAACCGCCTTCGTGGGTAGGCGGGCGGGGACGTGGTTCCACGACAAGGGAGGTCCGTAATTCTAGGCAGGTGATCGGGGGGGGATCGGCCGCTGGCGGGAGAATTATGAACGCGAACGCGGCTTTTTGTGCAAAGCATCGGTGGCTCGCGATGCCGAACGGGGAGGTTCCATCCACCATGGAGCAGCCGGGGATGAGCGAGCACGAGCGAGGGCCCCTCCCAATCTGTTCCAATCTGTTTGACTTTCCAGTTCGGGAGCCCCCCCCATGGTGGACCGGTAGGCTGTACGCCGTACGCCGTACGCTGTACGCTGTACGCTGTACATAGGTCCCAGGGGGGATCTATGCCAAGGCGACGTCCCCAGATGGTACGATGCCGGGCAGCTCTGGGGCTGGGAAAGTTTCGGCTCCCTGCCTGACCATCTGACAAAGGACAAGGCGCGCTTGTGCAAAGACAGCTACAGGTCGCATTGGCGCTTGTCTTGTCCATTCTTGGTATTGGTCTTTTGTTATTGGTCTTGCGCTCCGCGGGCTCGGGGTGACGGGTGTTAAGGCGGACCTTTTTTCCTCAGATGCGAGGAGGCGTCAAGAAAGAAAAGCCACTTACGTTTACGGCCTATGCAGACGGCAGTGTGCATTGCAACATCCGCCCGGCACTCAAACACGGGGGGGGGGGGGGGGGGGGGCAGTCATGTTAAGCTGCATCGACGACCACGACTGAAGTGGGAAAAATACACAGGATACATCAAGACCCCGTCAGCCACAAGCTCGGGTATCCAATGTCTACCTAGTACTATACTCTAATCCTGCCTGGCCAATCTTGTTCTATTGCGAATATCCCCCAAAGGGGGGGGAGGGTCCTGGTCGCTTCAAGACCCCATTTTCGAACCAAAAAGTTTCCGATTCCACGAGCTGGCTCAGTCGACGCATAGTGGTGGTGTCAAAGATTGAGAGAGAGAGAGAGAGAGAGAGAGAGAGAGAGAGAGAGAGAGCAGGCAGGCAAGCAGCTTTGATCTCTCGTTTAGGTCTCTTTCGCTCTCGCTCTCGCTCCTGCGCTTGATTCGCCCGGTGCTGCTATCCCCACCGCCGCTGCTACATGGCCTAGCCGCGTATTCGTCCCTCACCAACCACGAACCGATGCGAGCGTTACGAATCGACACGATTGCTTGACTGTACCTGTGGCTCGGCCCAGATGCCCGCAAACGGTAGCTGTACAAAATACCGGTGGCTATGTGGGCATGTTTCTGACCCTGGCGCAGCAGCATTTCACAACAGCTACAGAGGAGCCCGTCAAAAGAATTATCCTAGAATGCCAAGGCCAGACCCATGTCAAGTGGCAAAGGTATTTACAGGGGTGCCCACCCAACTTGATTATAGCCAACATTTCATATCCCTAATAGCACTAAAGTAAGCTAGTTATTTTAGTTAATTTAATACTTTTAATAGCTATTATTTACTATATTTAACCTTTAACTAGTATCTACTAGCCTACTAGCCCTCCTTGTATTTATTACCACTGTTAAAGGTAATAATAGCCTTAATATAGGCTAGTATTTACTCTATCTAAGCCTAGATTTTCTCCTAAGGTAGCTCTTACTAGTATTTCTCTTAGGCTTTTATAGTAGTAGCCTAGTTAACTAGTGTGCCCTTCTTTATTATAAATTACTTTATCTAAGGCTAGCAAGGCTCTATAAGGTTAAGGTTAAGGCTATTACTACACTAGAGTAGCTTCTAGATATTATAGAGGGCATATATATAGTAAATATAGTAGTAGTTATAAGAAGGTGCTTTATCTTCTTAGACTAAAGCGTTAGGTAGGCACTTAAGAGTAATAAACAGAAAAAGCTTTAGTAAAAGAATCTCCTTCTAGTAGTAGTACTAGTTAATTCCTCTATTACCCTTGTAGACTAACTTACTAGTATAGGCGTTCTAGTAAAAAGTTAGTTTATAGCCTAAGATCTACTAGAGCTATAGCTAAGTTATCCTATTCTCTAGTTCCTATTTAAGGCACTTAACTAGCTTTAACTCCTTGTTTAACTCCTTAACCTTAGCAGTAGCTTCTTATTATATTACAAGAGACTTAGGTAACTAACAGTAGTAAAGGCCTTTCTTATTATATATAAAGTAGCCCTAGAATATAAACTTAGAATACCTTTTCTATTAAGTATAAATATATAACTTTATATAGGCCTTATAGGTTTAGCGCTATAGATAGTAGCTACTATAGCAATAAGATAAAATAATAGATGTTTTATTAGACTATATAACCCTTTTCTAATCTTTAAGAGTCTAGTAGTAATAAGCTAGGCACTAAGAAAGCCTCTCTTGCTTTATCTATTAAAATAGGCTAGGTTTCCTTGTTAGCTTAGTCTTTCTAAATCTATATTACTAGAGGATTTAGTAGACTATTAAGGCTAATATATCTATATTAAGCTCCCTTTATAGCTTACTAGTAATATTAGTATATATCTTTTCCCTACTATATTAATTATAGTAAACCTTTTATATAACAAGGTCTACTACTAAAAGTGTTACCTTCTTTAGCTAGCTAGTCTATAGGGCATTATTAATATATTTAGGTAGTAATATAAAGGTAAGTGTAGTTAAATTAAAGCCTTACTTTTTTACTTAAGAGAGGGTATAGTTAACTATACACTTAGGTAACCTAACTATCTCTGTAGTCTTATTAGCTATTTTTTCTATGTTATAGCTACAAAGGGTAAAAATAACTGCCTATAAAGCTAGGTTAATATAAAAGGCTATAATAGTTAGAAAGTAGAAAAAGTAGTATTATTATTGTTATTATTATTATTATAATAATTACTCTTGCTAAGGCCCTAGTCAAGAAAAAGAAAGGTAATAAATCTAGTGGCTCTTATTAGCTAGATTAATAATAAGTAGGTCCAGATCCATAGGTCTGGCCTTAGCATTCTAGGATAATTCTTTTAACAGGCTCCTCCGTAAAAAGTACCTATCTGGTGGGGAAGGGGGGGGTTCTTTGAGTGATTTAACCCCAAGTCTCTCCATGTATCTAGTGTACATATTATCTCCGCAGCCCAGCCAGGTCACGCGATCGAGGAACCTTCTTTCTGGATCTCGCCCCATGCCTCGGCAGTGATGAGCAATGCCTGATATCGGTAGTCAGCACCGCCCGGGCGACGGCCAAACATTTGGACCGTGTCGTTCTCGGCGGATCGCCAACCGGACCCGTTGCACTCGCCGCCTTCCACCTGACTATTATCAGATGATCGCTATCGAAAGTATCGCCTACTAGTTTATCCTCATACGGGGGGTGGGGGGAGGCGAACTCTGGTGCTGCACCTTGCTTGATTCGCGGGTATCCAAAACCTAAAGCAGGGCCTCGACGAGCATCGCAATCTTGGGTTCGCCCCAGAACAGACTGATATGCCTCACGGGGATCATGTGGCGTCGTCGATGCCTTGAACAGCCGGTATCGTGGAGTGTTTGCGGCTATGCGGGCGTCGAGGTAGGTCTCCCATGCTCCGTTCCGGGCACCTGTTGTTAGGAATGCTCACCCGGAGACTTTCTGTACGCTGGCCGGCTGGCCGGGCACAACTACCTTTTTAGTAGAGAAGTGGCTGCCCCTTGTGTGAAGTCTGTATCGGAGCTAATGTTACGTCGACAGGGGCCGAACTATCCAATCCCTCAAGGTTCATATTGCTCGCGAGTGGCTACTATGTAGTTTGCCCCATCATCGACGGGTGTAATCTCGGCCCTCGACGTTGCCAAACTCTGTGCTAATTGCGGCAAGATCATCCTCCCAGCACGGGTGTCCCATTGTCTCCACCCAACCCGTTGGCTGACCACGGTGGGATCCCACAAGACGTGTCAACTCTGTACGGAAAGCTACAGGTCGCCGGTGAAAGTCTCATGCCACGTTGGCGCGCTCGGTGCCAGTCGTTCGGGTCGCGCTAAAAGGTCCTTGTTCGCGATCATAAGCACCTTAACCCAGGCATCCTATGCCTGGTTCCAGGTTGCACAAACTTCCCATATTGAGTCTGTCAGAGAATAATGCGAGGTGATGCGGTATGACGAGGGAGGAAGAAAAAAAAAGATCGTCAGCTTACGGACACCTACGCGATAGGAGACTGATGCGCGTATCCTGTCCAAGTCTCGCTGACTGGCGTGCGTATAGCTTGCATGGTGGATGGAGTCTCAGACTACTGTTGAGTACCTGTCAGTAATGGCTGACTGCGTCTCGACTTGACGAGTCGACCAAACTGGAGAGGGCATCTCGTTTAATCCAACGTCAGCAGCGAGGATCCCACCGCCTGAAACCAAGGCTTCGAATCTCACGACATGCACTTTGATGGCGGTGTCAGTCACTTCAATGGTAAGTTGACAACGCAGCCAGCCTACCGGTACACCGACAAGTTAGGCTCGTCTCGGAGACGATGTCTGTCAGTGTTCTCCGCGTCGTATTTATCCCAGAATTCAAAATCTCCCACACAAAAGCTTGAGTGCAATACCCTGGGAGGTGGGGGGAGGGGGGGGGAGGGGGGAGGGGCACCGTAAGGTTTCGAGACGGGCTCCGCCCGCTGAACCGAACCGATTACAAACACGCCTAAGCTGGAGGGGGATCTCGGCCTACGCAGAGCCTCGTTCTCCCTTGAGCTCGTTGAAAAGGTTATGAACTCGCTCCAAACATCCAGGCAACGCATCCACAACCTCACCCGTGCAAGGGGGGGGTTAGACTTCAGACGAAGACGGGTGGGGCTTTGCCGCCCTTCGGATTATGGGTACACCTGCTTTTCTTGAGTGAAATGGGCTCAAGCGGCGGCGACGGGAGCACTGAGGATAGCCAAGGGCAAAAGTTTATTGTCAGTGTATACTGGGGTACGAGTACGTAGTATTCGAAGAAAGAGCGCGCAAGTCAGCGTTGATCTTTTTCCTGGCAGAGCATCGAGATGGTCGAACCCAACGGCTGGCACCGCAGCAGCGGCGGGCGATGATGGCCGGCGCACCGCCGTCTCTGGCGCTGCGATGAGCGCTCAAGTCTGGGCTGCGAGGAGGAATTAAGGCTAGCCGGCGCCGCCCTGAATGCGACTTGCTGCCGGGATGCTTCCAGTCCGTCGAGTTTGACAGAATGTTTGTCTGGGTTCGTGGGTTACAGCGGATGCTACCTCGGTATTTTCTTCGGCAACCTGTCCTACATATCGCTGGCAAGCCGGGATTCGGGTTGCGGGGACTGCATCGTTCCGCCACGCGGTCTACACCTTTGTCAGCTCTCTCCCCCTCTCTCCCGACAAGCCTGGCGTACATCGGTCAATATCAGCATGAACGACGGCCGGCTAGAAGTTTCACGAGGGTGCTGCAAGGCCGTGGTATGGAAGAAGTCTGATCGGCGAATGCCGGGACCCTTGAAGCGTAGGTTTGCACGACCCCCCGTGCATGGCCTTGCTGCCTCCGAGGAGTTAGTGAACACGGCCTCTAGACCGCTAGGAGCACAACCGTACGCCCTTACGCTACAATAAGCCTTAGCCGACTGTACAAGGGGAAAAGGAAGTTTGCTTCTTCGGCTGAATCCGTTCCATAAGTTCCATGGGAGTGGTTGAGACGATCCACGGGTGTTGATTCTTACTAGTTCTGCACCGTTGATCATGGGAGTCGAGGGAACTTTTGGGCAAACTTGCACCTTTCCAATTACTAGGTACGTGGGGTACGACGCACAACGGGTCGTTTCGCTGCCTTGTACTCTGTATAAGAAACCGAGCAAGCGGAAACAGATGGGGAAGCGGGCAGCAGCTCTGTACAAGAGCCCGTTATCTACATCGCCCACCCTCACCGGGTCTGATGCTGCAGTAACACCAGGAGACCCTCACCTCGGTACCGCTGTCGTTTCCTCGCTCCCAGGGCTGAGCCTCCTGTGCAACTGAACCGAGGCGGAACTAGGGTCGCTGTTGGCGGGAGGGCTGTCAGCAAGAACTACAACGCGAGGTTGGGTATCTAGTCGCTTTCGCTTTCGATAACACAACCGTTCTGGTTCGACAAGGTCCATGCCACGTGCTTATGCTTTCCAGGGCCCATGCCACTTTGTCCATGCTGACGCCAAGGCTCTGGGCGTAAGAACGGACCGTACCTAAGTAGGTGTATGCCATGGAAGGTGGAGGTTTCGACCTTTTTTTTCCCGTGTTACCTGCTGGATATCCTCGGCTCCCTTGGCATCAGAGTACGGCCCCATCTGGGAACCTGTACAACCCTGACCTGGCAGCGAGGCCTTATTCCGACTGGCTGGCACATATGTCTTTGCGCATTGGCCCAAGGTCGCGGCAGCAATCACGGGGACGGGAGGCCACACGCATCGAAGACGTCGCTCGAATTCATCAAAACGCTACAGAGTCGAAACGGTAGCCCAGCCACCTAAAATCCCGTCGCCGACACCGCGATGAAGCCGGTGGCCTTGCCCTCGGCTGCCTGCCTCATCAGCTCCTGGTAAATGGGATCTTTTGTCTGGTAGTACTCCATATCCCTACATCAAAGCTGTCAGTCCTGAACATGCTCCAAACGACATGTTTTCTCTCTCTCTCTCTCTCTTTGTGATGGGGAGAGAGGGGGGCTAGGATAACACTGACGCCTCGTTCGCAAACGTAATCTCGTAAACCACAGTCCACGGCTGCGAGCCCGGAACGTCCGTCAGGACCTGGCACTTGCTCGCCTTGGAAGCGACGATGTACGTCTGTCCGTCTTCCTGTGGGTCACGAGAGCATCAGTCTCCGCACATTGCCTCCTTGACCCAGGGGGGGGCTCTTTCATCCAGCCTACCTTCTTGCAATCGTTGGCAAAGTTGCTGAACCTCGTGATGGCCTCGTCCCGCTTGACGTCGTCGGCGAGAGCGATGAGCCCGACTCTGGTGATGGTCATGTTTGCGATTGTTTTTTGCTAGTGGGAATTCGTGCCGGCAATAGGTGAGGTGCGAAAGATGACGATTGAACGGGTGTGAGATGGATTTGGATGCGTGCTACGTGGCCAAGATCACTCGAATTTAGGGCTCCTCTTCGTTCTTATATGCGTTCCCAAGCTCGGCACCGTCCCGACATAGGAAGTCGTCGCCGGCTCGGCGGGCAACCTACGTCTCGTCATGCCGGAGGAACAACGGAGCACGCTTCCCATTCAAGGCCATCCTCCACTCGAGCGAAAAATGCAAGCCGGGTAGCCGAACCGGCGAAACGTCAATCAGTCGAGTTCTCCCCACAAAGCACGTTTGGTTCAAACTCACCGACGGGCACGTAGGGGGGAGAACTCCACCGACCTCTGGGGGGCCGACGAATACGCTGCATGAACGCACCGCCGGTCGAGACTAACCGAAGGGCGGAACCATCTACCGAGGCATGAATAACAATACCGGTACCAGCGCAGAGCCCCTTTCCCCTCATGGGTCAAGCCAAAGATCGGTAGCGGTGGGAATGTGCCCCTCCCTCCCCCTTTTCGCACCTCAAACCGCGAAACGGTGGCAGGCGGGGGAGACCTCAGACGTCGGTTGTAGTCAAGGATCGGCAGCGGAGCATATGCCGATTCGGGTCGCGGGTTTGCTTCAGTTGACGTGTGGGGAAGCGGAAAGTGCCGGGCAAATCCCGGTCTTCCCGCGGGCGGGGGAGGCGCAGTCCGGGGCCCGTGCATGACTACCCCGGCCTCCGATCCCCCCCGGGCGACACGATCATGGCCGGCCAGTGAGTCCAGAAGGCGCCGCCGACCGAGATCCAGCTTTTTCGCTGATCCATCCGACGAGAACGGAATCGGCGCCCGTTCTCATGCCGCGTTGGTCCCCATGATCGGTTTACTCACTTACCACAAAGCAGACGAGTAACTGGTCAATCTTTTTGTTCATACTAAATAAATTAAATGTAACCATCTTGCTTTTTGTAACCATCCCAACAACGCCCCAAAAACAAATATCCGCCAATAGACTGGACTCATCATATCATACATACCCCCCCCTCCCCATACATTTCCTTACACTACAATCAATGCACCATCTGATCTCTTATCATCTCCGAAGCCATGATAGACCCCTGCGCTCTAAAACAAGAACAGGAAACACAAACGAAAGGGCCTCGTCCCATTCTATTTGAAGAATTGAGGTTAGGGCGGATTGAAAGGGTAAGAGCTCAAACTCCTACGTGAAGCCCAGCGGCCAGGAGACCCGGGAATCCCTCCCCTCCGCTCTTGAGGGGGAACAAAGGTAGAAAGAGCAGAAGAAACGCCGAGTTTTGCCGCTGAGAAAACGCCTCGTCAAGAATGATGCAGTGGGAAATCAGATACTCGCTAACTCCAAGCCGAAACGAAAAGGTGTCGGATCATCTCCGCGCAGTCGACGCGAGAAAATAATGTGTGCACGTGCACGAGAGCGAGACAAGGGCCGCGAGGACTGGCCATTACTGGCTTCCTCTGCGCCGTCTTTGGTCTCTGTAGTTGAGAGAGTAAGGGCCAGGACGTTCCTGACGGATCGTTCTTCGGTCCGGAAGTGTGGACCTCACGTCTTGGTAGTACCCAGGGTGGGCCGGGGCCGGTCCCGGCTGGAAAGACAACGGGGACCGCGGGGCGTAAGCCGCCTGCGACATCTCTGCTCCGCTCGTGGCGTAGAGGCCGTTGGGCGGGTTCGGACGCAGATAGAACGAGGCCTCTTGCTGAGTGGTGTAATGATGCTGAGGGGGCATGCTCGGGACAGGCTGCATCGGGCGCATCATCTCCACCGAGCTCGGGGGTGGGTAAGCCTGCATCGGGCGAGACTGCATCGACGTGCCAAAGTCCGGCACCTGCATCGTCTGCTGGAGAGGGTTCGGAAGAGACTGTTGGTAGAAACCGTGTCCGCCGGGATGCTGAGGCTCGGCGGGCGCAGCGTGGCTGGCCATCGGAGAGTGGATTCGAGATGTGGGTTGACTGTAGCTTGTTGGAGGGTAAAAGTCCGAACCAGCGCTGATGCGAGGCTCCGGACGACGGCCATGAGCATTGGCCATGTCACGGAACATGCGCGAGCGGTCTCGGTTCTGTGCGGATGACCTGTCTGGTGGCGGAGTAGCTTGGCCATCAACCCAGCGGCAAGAGTCAGACTCGTCTGCTGCTTGCGAGGAGATCGAGGCAGGAGCCGACGGAACTCGGCCAGTGTTGGCGGCCGAGGCGTTCCTTATCTTCTCACTGGAAGCAGTAGCAGCAGGATCCTGCTGGCGTTTGACCACTTCTGGGTGGACACCCTCGACGTACTCTATGAAGTCCTTAAGGTTCTGCACCTTCTGGCCCAGCTTCTGAGCATGTTGCCCAGAAGCGTCTGAAGCGCTTGGAAGCAGTTCCTTCATCGCGTCAACAATCCGATCAACCAGAGACTGGAGTCTCTTCTCTGTGCCTTTCAAAGGAATGCCGGTGATCGGTTGAAGTAGGTTGAGGAGCTGCAGAGAGTCATCTGTGGTTCGGCGGACAGCTTGCAACGCCTCGCTAGCCCGTCGAAGCTGGTCATCGCCGGTTGGGTTATGCTGCAGCTGCTCATAGTGCTTTTCCAATTCACTGGTATGCGCCTGCGCGCTCTGGCGGAAGGAATCGATCAACCCGGTCGGCGAAAACGTATGAACGGGCTGTGCCGGTGCTCGGCGAGCCATGACCGGCGTGCCTCGCGCGCTTGACGCCCGTGACTCCTCGGGCAGAGGGCTGCGCCGCAGCTGCTGAGTATGAGAAGATGAAGGTAGAGTTCCCTCATGCACCGGACTGTAAGAGTTGGGGGCCAGAGAATAAGACTGGCGAGGGTCGTGGCGGTTGCTCTGGATGATATGTACCTCCGGAGTAGCGAAGGAGCTGGTTGGGGCGCCCGGAGCTGGTAACCGGCTAGCCTGCTCCTGATGCCGCGACTGCATCCTGAACCCTTGAATAGGTTGAGGGGCAGCCGCCGGAGGTTGTTGAGATGGTGCATAACCCGCGCGGGGATCGTTCGACATATGCGAGGCTTCTGCCTGGTGAGGGTGGTGGGTAGCAGCCCCGGAGTGCATATGGGAGCTGGCTTGACCATCCGCAAGCCGATACGGCTCGTAATAGTCCGTTTGGATTCCCTGCCTCGCGGGCACTTGTTGCTGACGCTGAGGCATGGGGAGTTGCTGCTGCCTCATCTCCGGCGCATGTTGCGGCGGCATCTGTAGAGGATCCCAAGCATTCTCGGAACCTCCAGGGATGTTGTGCGTGGGCCACAGTGGTTCTTGAACGTTGCCATCTGCGCGTTCTTGTTCGGGATGCCCAGACGCAAAGTTGTCGCTTTCATTCTGTGGCATAAAAACAAAATTGACTTGCAAGTCGTTATCCGCCATCATGCCGCCAAATTGAGACTCGTTGATGCACAGATCGATGTTGTCGGAAAGCGCGTGGTCGAAACCGAACGCGGCATCAACATTGAAGCCGAAGTCATCATCGGATCCAAGATCTGACCAAGCAGACGTGTTGGATTCGTGTTGCACAGGCTTGGGCGAGGAGGTTTGCTTTGTGATGCGGTTGCTATCCTTTGTCGCAAAGGATGCAGTGCGGATGAAGAAAGGTTTGGGCGAGATCGACTGTTCACGAACCGTCAGCTTGGGCTTACAATCTCATGTGCCATTTTTCTACACTAAACTTACTTTTCGCCCAGTAGAGGACTTGTAGATCGGAGATTCGGGGTCCCGGATTTCGATGGCAGAGTCTCTCCGCCCTTGAAGACGGTAGAATAGGGGAGGCGGAGAGTCGCCTCCGGCCTCGGAAGGGCTTCTCGACGAAGCACAAGATGAGGCAGAGGGAGTTAAAACCGGGTGTTGCAGCTCTATGTGAACTGACAGCGCATCCCATTGGGCTGTGAATAAAGAAACTCGGCTTGCGGGGTCCAGATTGACCCTCGAAAGGTTGCCTTCCAGCACGACCTCGCGACCAACGTAGACGCAAGAGCCGAAAATAGTTGCGATGCCACGATAACCCATCTGAGGAGGTTCGGAGTTGGAGTGACGGAAGTCCAGGTTGGGTCCGTACAGAGTGAGCAGAAAGGTGGTGCCGGACCGTTGCTCGCTGTGAGTGGGAATCCAGCACACTGCTTTCAGTAGCACGAGCATGTACTCATTGTTTCGAAGGTTGAGAATCTGAATTGCATCTGCGAGGCTGTCTCTTGCACCGTCATCGACGATCGCCACCGGGTCTCCACGCTGGTACTCGCGGCCGTCGAAAGATTGTCCATCGTTGAGGAGCGTACCATGAGCTGGCTGTATGTTGGTGTTCGTGGGCTCGCCGGCCATGAGCGTATGCCTTGTGGACTCCATGGAGATTGTGTTTTCGATTGTCGTTGCTGACAGATTATGTACTTGGGTTTGGTATAAGTATAAAGACTGAATGAGCCTCGAACCACAAAGACTAGCACCACCAAGAGTCAAGTTGACTTTCGACCTGGCACATTGCTTGACAAGATTCGGCGTCAGAGGCTGCGTCGAAGTGGACCTGTATTTGAGCCGGATAGAAGAGGTTTCCGATAAAAAAAGATAACGACAGGTGGCGAAGCAGTATGCTATGGTTGAAGAAATATGTGAGGGTGGTGACAAGAGGGACTGTTGAGGAAGTGATGAAGTTTATAAGATAAATCGAAATAAGAGAGAGCCGTGAACACCCTATCGCCTGGTGGACTTCTTAGAACCAGATACGACTTGGCGTCTATTCGGGTCCGATACGCAGAACATGGATCATGGAGTATAGCTGCAGCGGAAGCCTCTCTGCATTTCCGATTGTATGCTTCCGTATGCCAACCCTTGTAGACGCCCTGCCAGTCCTTGCGTCCGTAGGGGACAGGGGTATGGGGGTGCATTCTCAAAGGTCCAGAAGCACTAAAAGGCGATCTGCTAGGTATACAAGTAGGGCCGTAAGACACAAGTCCTTGTCGACAAGAGACCAGGGATGGTGATGGGGCATGTCGGGACGACCAGGGTAACAATGCCACGGGTTGTCTCGGACCCTTTCTCCACCCCCAAAGTAAAGTCGTTCGCTGCGAATGTAGTCTTCCTGTGCCTCGATGTTGCGTACCCGGCCCCATTGTAGCGGAGCGTGGCTTTCAGCCAACTCGCATCATACATCTTTTTTTGTCGTTTGCCTCCCAGATCATCGATAATGGTGGACATAAGAAAGAGCTTCAAGTCAAACGTCTCGGGAGAGGAATAGGCGTCATCTGCGTCAACAGCTGCGGCTTATTTGGCGCCATTGACACGGTTCCGGGTGGTGAGAAAGTCTTCGTGACAGCTCACAAAGCACTTGTTCAGTGGCAGACAGAGACTCGTTTCAAAAGAAAAGTCAAAAACATAAAAGGATAATTCTGAGAACTGATAGGGCAAGACATGCTATTGGTTGTGGATCATGCCTGACGGCGCGGGCATGGAGAAGCCGGACGCCTGCCAACCCTCCTCGACCACTAGCTTCTAGTCGGCGACCCCGCTAGAATGACGAGGGGACATGCGTCTAAACCTCCTGTCCCCCCTTTCTTTTTATGAAGTTATCGGGGATGCGCGCGGCTGGCTTACCGGTAGCAGATCGGCGTATGGCGCTAGGACTGTCGCGATGCAGAACTCCAATGCTTTTCCGTAGCAGGACGGGAAGACTGGCGTAGATGATCACGTCGCCGTCCTGGGCTGAAACCGATGCTGGCATAGCCATCTTGTGGCTTCATCATTTCCATACTGGACACTCCGGTCTCGCTCCCTCATGATGGCCAATAATCTTGCTGGGCCGGCAAGGGAGGGGTGACGAAATCCGCGCCTGCTCATCCTCTTTGTTGAGTCGATTCATAGTGAGAGGTGTGTCAAAAGCGGTCTGTGCCTTATAGAATTGTGTACATATTATCGCATCGCACACGATGTGGCAGCATCCGTATTGAGGGCTGCCCAGAGATCGTCTATAATCGCGACAAGGAAAAAGAAGGGATGTTGGTCCAGCTGGCTATTGCTACCTCACCGTCCCTCCTTGCCTGTCTTGGAGTCGGCCTCACTTTTGTCCTTGTTCGCTACCGCGCCGTCATCGGGCATCTTGCCGAACTTTGTCAGAATTTTGGCAGCCCATTCTTCGAATTCTCGCTCAGCAGCCTCGTCCGTCTGAGCAGCTGCTCCGCGAAGGCTTCTTCGGGCCATTTCCCTCAGGTCGTCAACCGAGGAAACATCGAGTGCCCAAGAGGCGCCTCCTGTCATCATCATGGCAAAACTGACGACGTTGAGTGTGGCCAGATTCAAAGCCTCAAATGCAATCATGCCTCCCTCAGGGTTCCCTTGCTTGCCTGCCGCGTAATGGCTGGGCTGATAGAATTTGGGAAAGGCAGCGAGCTGTTTGCGTACCACGGCACGTCGCGTGACCATGGCTGAGAAGAGGAAGAAGCCGGCGCCGGCGAAGAAGAGGCCTAGTTGTTTCGTCGCTCTGGCCTGGAAAAGGGAGGATGTTGGCTGAAGTGGTGACCTCGCCGACCGAGAGTCGGAGGACTCGTTGCTGGAAGCCATGGCTGTTGGAGAGTGTTGGGCAAGCATCGAATCTTGTCCCCTAGATTGCACTAACGTGTGTCAGACAGAGCATCCACAGTGGCCTTTACAAGAAGGCTTACCAGGTTAGAGCGGCAGGGACAGGCCGGTCAATTGATCAAGACAAGAGTCGATGGAGTCGCGGTCCCTCGGGCAGCTGAAGTTCGCGTGCTGGGAAGAGGTAAAGCGGAGCTGTGGCGGGACGGGACAGGAGCTCCTCTTGGGGGGAAAGGAAGTTCCCGCCACTAAAATTTTCGGATCCTTACGAAGAGTGGGCCGGGCCATCTTATTCGACAAGCGAGGTGGCCGCTTGGTGTCGTGCATATTGTGGATTAGACAATAACGCCCCACCGAACGGATGCATCACCGGGGTTATCTGATTTATCCGACTTCAGCATTTGCCCTGTTTCAGCGGCTCTCTTCCTTTTGCCGACTTCACCTTGTTTTCGCATCATCACCAAAACGGTTCTACCCTTGGTAACGCATATCCTAGTCGTTCCAAGTCCGGTGATCTTTGTCCATTAAATCCTACGTCGAGACCTCTTTGAATGCTGGCAACTCTGCACTATCTACGCTGGTGAGTTGCTAAACTTAGGTGATTACGGACGAAATGCATGCCGGCCCACTGTCGATACCACATAGCTTGCAGCAGAAGATGCGCTTTTGACGAGTCGCTCTGGAAATGCAGCACGACGACAGCTACTCAATAAGCGGATCACACCACAACGGTACGACGGGAATTTTGACTGCATCCGCGACAGCCAACCGTCGTCATGACTGCATATGACATGGGGAGCATGATGGCGGCCAACTCAAATATCCTGCTCCCTCCTTGGCGCCAAATGCAGCCACTTGATTGAAGCCCTGGTCGAGCAATGGCACACGCCGCTCTGCCCCTGGTTACCATGTCCAATCAGCATCTATCGCAACAAATACGATAAGCCTCCTCATCTTCAGATGGCATACCAGTAAGATGATCGGATGGCTTCCCCGGGGCCTGCCCACCTACCTTTCATGAAGACATCTAGCGAATGAACTGGTGTTGCCGTCTCATAATCCGATTCACTCAGCACCACAGCAGTAAAAACATGTGCGAGACCATCAAAATGACACATCAGACGTCGGTTTTCGGTTACATAAACTAGCACGCCGTCGCCGCCCTTTCGGCCTGCTCCCTCCACAGCTCGTGACCTGTGCTGTCATCAGAGTGGCTGTCTGCAAATAGGACATGACACAATGCAAGCTTGTCTCGGCAGCGATCGATTGCCCGAGATCTAGGTTACTAGATCGTCGATGGCATTTGACAATGCTTTAATGCTCCCCCGGTTCTCCATCTCACCATGCCATGGGGTCCCTACCATCCGTGCGCGATGAGGTGTGACAGATTCAGGCAGGCAAACGATCAAACATTATCAATTTTTGATAACAAACCTCCTGGGCGGTCTCTGTGCATGGCGTATCGTGTCAGCTAAGATCAGAAACTGTCTGTGCCGGCTACCTGGCGGGGAGTCACTGCAACGGGCTTGCAACTGTCCATTCACTTGGGCATAACAGAGTTTCGCGGTCCCTATCAGAAAGGACAGTGAGATGACAGTAGGCCAAAGCATACTCGAAATTGCCTCACCACTTCCGCTGGCGTGACGATGACGAGACGATGAGGTGGTCTTTCCCAATGTTGTGAAGTAGGGCTTGGCAGGCGTTGGAACAAACAGTGCACGAATTGACTCAGGTTCCAGCAGATGACTAAAATACCGGGCCGATACCGTGGGGCGTCACATGGTTGGTCGGCATCATGGACGGTTTAGGGAGGTGGACAAAGTCTGTCGTAATCATCTTGGTGAGAAGTGACATTAGGGTGAGTCGCGGAGTAAGATGCAGCGCCACAAAAAGAAATGTCGACGAGGAGTCTTCGGGCGTCGCATATGGAGAGTGCAGCAGGCTTGCCTCCCCTCAACATGCCCTGTGTTGAAGAGAGCGCTGTCCCGACAATCAGGCACTTGGATCGAAAGTTGCAGCCAAGAATAGCAAGCCACAGTCAGGGTTAGATGAGAGACATGTGTTGGCGCACAGCTATTGACGAGTTCCAATTTGCCCAATCTGTCTCACATCACAAACCCAATCTCGTCAGAAGGCCATTGTCTTCTTCATTGTCAGGGGTAGATTCGGACGATCTTCCATCATGGGAAGGGCGACTTGCAGTAGAAAGTCTTCTACATTTTCAAGCAAGGATGAGTCCTGCCCTGCGGTGTGCGTCCGATCGTAGAGATCTCAACAGGCGGGCAGCTGGTGGAATCTGCCAAAGTTGCGCCTCCGGAATCCTGTCATATATCACATTTTCCCAAGATCTAGTACCTCAGCCAGAAAAGGCAATGGTCACGAGTCGGAAACTAATGACAATGCAATAATACCACGGCTAGCATGACGCCTCTCGACCTCGGTTCGAGGAACGCTTTTTTTTTTTTTTTTTCCTTTCCTGTGGAGAATTCCTAGCGGCTGAGGGATTTAAACAGGCGTCTGCGAGTCGTCTCAACGTGTAGCGCATGTGGGCATTTCTGCGATCGACAAGGCGCGAGCTCAGAGGTTCCACGATTGCTTTACCACATTACTGGGTCACGGATCTGATTGCATCGTGCAAGATCAGTGTTGGTGGGCCAATGCGGCCTTTGTCCTGGATTGGCAAATGGCGCCGGCCAGCAACTGTTGTTTGAATGCAAATGGTCAAATTATTCGTGGCACCTTGCACGGAAAACGTTTGTGTTTATGTGGCACTTTTAGCAGCAATTCTGGGGTTGTACCGTACCGGTAGTCAGACGCGGGAGCAACCGCGTTGCCGAAAGTTTGCTGATATGGTTCCCATGCGGCCGGAACGGCTTAATCAATACTCATCGGGCATGTAATCACGACTCAGCATCGTGCACAGATTCAACAAGCAGTTTCCGAACCACCCAACTCGACGGCACTCTGTGCACGGACCGGAGTCCAAACGGGAGGAAAGGGATGGGTGCGAAACTACATAGTAAGTGGCATTTGTTAGAGGCACGCCATGGGACCGCACTGGATCATGAGCAACCCCTGAGGTTAAGCAAGTCAACGCTGGCCTCGGTACACCAGGAGGGGAAATGGAAAGTTCGTCAACTGTCATTTTCCGGCGGTAAGAAAAACAAACGATCACGCAGGAAGAGAAGCAGGCTGGCTGACTGGCTGCTGAGATGTGACGAAAAGAGGGTCCAGGTAAATGGTGAGACCAGACGTCAGTGAAAACCGCGGTTCCAAGATCGAACCAGACCAGTCCTGAGCGTCACAGACCCCTCCCCTCACCCCGCCCTGGCACCGGCGGAGTTAGCCCCGGACCCCCGAATATGCAGACCCGCTTTTATATTGTATGGGTCAACGAGGATGTCAAATCAGCGGCTCCGGTCGGGTGGAACGGCGCGGCTTCCAAGGGGCGACACGCACACGCACACGCAACGCACAGGGGCTCAACACTGTGTGCACTGTATTGTTACACAGTAGCACCATGGTACGGTACCTACCTCCTCCGCCATCCATGCCTAGGTATGTCACCCAACCCCCACTTCTATTCATCATCAACAAACACTCAGCGCGACTTCATCCCAATCCTTTCCCCAGCCACCAGCTCGCAATTACCCGATACCATACGGAGTACCTACGCACCAATCTCTATGGAGTAAGTAGATCGGCCCCGAGCCTGGGCGTCGTGATCATACCCTGGCCATCTGAATCTTAGCTCCCCCCCCCCCCACTCTGGCTGTTCCACACCCGCGCTTTTCACGCGTCCATCTCCAGGACCCTGACGACGTCTCTCAACTCCAAATACATGCCAGCCGACGGACCATCCACCCTGGCCCAATTCGGATGCAAGCCAACTGCTCACCGCAAGATCAAATACCTGCTGGTACTCTGTTTCGCGGGGACCAGTCAGTCGGTTCATACCTTTCCCGTGTGCCACGCCGCTTTGCAACACGCTAGCGGGAGAGCCGCCAGGCACCACAAGCCATCGGTTACTACTTGGATCGCTGCACATCATCCCGAACCACGTTACCTCCTGTACGGCGCAGCCGAATCCACAAGCCATGGGTAAACCCAAAAGCGGTAACGCTGCGAAGACGAAAGTCGCGGCTGGCACCAGTAACAGCAGTAACACAAAATCAGCCACGCCCTCGACCCCCGGTGCACCACCCGCTTGGCCCCAGTTCAAGCCATCACTGCCAGTTACCGACCTGGTTCCCGATAAGCTCGGCTCTTGCCCTGATAAGGTTGTCCTGATCCGCAACTTCTGGCCAAAGTCCCTTTGCGCTTCCTATGTCACCTTCCTCAGGGGCCTGCCACTCACCACTACCCCCGGGCGGCCCAAGCGGGGAGACGCCGTGAGGGTAAACGACCGTTTTCAAGTGCAGGATGCTGCGTTTGCCCAGCGCCTTTGGGACAAGACTGGGCTGCGCGAATCACTGGGCCAAGAAGATGTTCAGGGTTTATGGTGAGTGCTCTGCCTTTTCTTCCTTGCCGTCCCTGCCTCCTTCAGCTCCCTTGCCCTAAGCAATGCATCCCAAGCGCTTCCGGCCAGATCCGCCTGCGTCACCGCGCAAGCAACAAAAATACCTCCAAAACAGTTATAATAAACATGAAACCGATACGGATGAAAAACCACATCTGCGCCAGAGCATCCTCAGGACGGGATCGCTGTGAGACTTGCTGACAAGGGTTCAATCTTCTTAGGGGCGGTGAAGTAGTTGGTTTGAACCCCAATATCCGCATATATCGCTACTCCAAGGGCCAGTATTTTGATGCACATTGTAAGTCTCATAAACCCTATCGTTGACCTGTCATACGCCACAAGCGCCCCATGCGCCCAAGGCGATGACTAGTCTGCAAGCTACTGGGCAAGTCCTCCGTTATTGCCTGGCTACTTTCAACAGCAGTGGCCGACTTCGGCCAGTGTGCCACCAGCAGAAAGCCACGAGCATCTGTTTCTCTCTCGAATGGCCGAACTCGAGCGGCAATGGACAATCGAGGGACAGAGCTCGCCGGCATTTCATCGCGTCGTCCATGATGACATCACGCCGTACCACCTTGTCGTGTACCGACTCTTCTGGGGCTAGCATTGCCGGTGTGCCTGAAGATCGTTGCAAGACATCCGGTTCCGTTCAAGCGTTCGGCCCTGGACGGTGTCACACATCAGCTTGCGCAAAAAGGAGCTCGCTCGGCCCATATGTTTCCTCCCCTTTCGTCACGGTTGCCTTCATCGACCCGTCCATATGGGCGCCGAGCTCGGAGCGGTATGCAAGTCATGCATGTCTTAATCTCCTCAGGCCCGGGACCAAGGTCTCTGAAGACGATCATGACTTACAACGCCCCGTGGAGAAATCCTGCGAGAATCTGAGATCTGTACTCATTATTCCTTGAAGACGATGTTGGGCCCCACAGCAAGTGCCTGAGCCATTGATTAACCATGCGATGGTCATATTTGATATATGACATCTCATCCCCTCCGCTCAGTCCTCTTCGTTTACACTCATCCTCACACCGCGGGCTTTTATCCCAATATCGAAAGAACCGATCGATGTAAGGCACAGACCCAAGCCCTGAGAATCGGTCCATGTTGATCCACCCAAAGGCGTTGTCCTTTCGGGTCATGCCGGATACTATCCGGGAGCTGCGAGTCCGATCCAGTGAAGCCACTTAACATCTCGTGTCGCCCTCTCCAAACAAGAAACTCAGCGACAAGCGTTCTGGGACTCCCTTTGACCTACAGCACTGAATGGTTCTCTGATCCCTCGGCTCAGCCTGCTTCCTTCTACATCCTTCACTTGCCTTCTGTGCAGGCTTGCCCTTCCTTCGCAACATCGCCCCAGCTAATTTATGAACCCCCACGCAGATGATGACTCCAACAACGTCTCGCTGACACCCGACCCGTCGGCTGGGCCTGTCACGTGTAAGACAACCTGGACGCTGCTACTTTATCTCACCTCCTCCGTTGAGGGCTGTGTAGGCGGCGAGACCGTCTTTTTCCCCAACGACCGCCGTTCCGCCAAGGAAGAGATCCCGGTCGCCCTCGAGACGGGAATGCTTCTTCTTCACAAGCACGGCGACGACTGCATGCTGGTAAGTCTCGTCTTGGGGGAAGGGGAAAAAAGAACCCTATATCAACATACATACTCCTGACAAGCCTGTGCATCTTCCCCTGATCCCCGGAATGCTCCAGGGCAAGACGCACTTGAACATGTTTCTGTGCGGCCTCGACCGTTGCCACCATAGTCTTTGCTGCAGCATTACCTATCCTGTACTTTTCCTTTGCTTTTGGTGGCGTGAAACATGGATCAATCGCGGTCATCACACCTGCGGCCTCACCTCCTCTCCCCGACTCCCCCAATCACACTTCCCGCTCCAGCCACTAACCTGTCCAACCCCCTCTCCGCGTGCCGAACAGCATTACCCCCCTCCCCCTCCCACCTGATCCTGTTATTTTTACCTTCTTGGCCGCATTGCAGGCTCTGCAGACTGACACATATCCCACTCATCAACAGCACGAGGGTCGCGAGGTCACCGCTGGCGAGAAGTGGGTGCTAAGGACGGATCTGTGCGTCAGGAAGTGAAGGGCTTCGGCGACCTACGCCAGGCATCACGCAACCACGGGTGACCTTTCCCCGTTGCCTGTTCCGCCTTCTGCCCGCTCAGACGTGGAGAGCGATTGCGACACAATGATTCCCGATTTCCTATCCGCTGCTCTGGTACAGCACCCGGTCCCCCTTGGAGCACGACATCGGTCTGTTTTTTTCCCGGGCTGCCCGTTTGTTTGATCGACAATAATCGACAGGAACTGAAAAGAGGCTGGAGGATTTGGAAGACGGGTTCTAGAAGAGGGAAATGAGTTTCAGGTCGAGCTTCTCCAACCCCCCGTCCGCAATGCAAACCATCAAAACAAAACAAGGGCTCAACGAAACGTTCCCCATCGCGTGCGTGCAAAGCAACAGACAATCGCACGAGTGATGATGCGTTGACATGGGAAACCCCGTGCCAGAAAGTAGTCCTCCTCACCCTCCTGCCTGCCGGCCTTCCAATCCAGCCGCCGCAACCGGTCGTGGGGCATTCCTTTTTGATTGATGTGCATGCCGCGTTAATGGGCTTGACCCCGGCATACGCTCCCGGCCCGCCCCCCTCCCCTCCCCTACCTAATTTTTATTTTTATTTTATTTTTTAAACTTTCCTCCTTCCCTGCTGATGCTGGCCGTCGCGTATGCTGTTCTCGTCGGTTCCGCTCCTCCCCTTATTCAAGGCTTGCCCCTCGTATGGGTTGCATAGGTGCACGATTCCCTCCCTCCCACTCAACACCACCGGGAATACCGGCTCAAATGCGGTCGCCCCGGCTACCTCCCGTCGAAGACGCAGCGCGGTGTGGACTCTCTGTCCAGCAGCTCGAGCACGAGGGTGTGGCCTCTGACGACGCCAGACAGTTCTCGTTAGGTCACGTTGGCATGGGAAACGGGCCAATGCTGCGTCACGAAGCAGGTCTATCGTGCAATTTGCTATTTCCCGTGTCTCGTAAGAATAGGTTGCCTAGCGGTGTGCGGGCATCAAAAGCCTGGGCGGGCGGCGCCCCCCCCCTCCATCTCCTTATCACCCTGTTTCTTTCCCAACTTTCCACGATTAATGAATTGGGACCGCGGGAATGACCTGTCGAACGCCCCTGTCGCAGCAGAAAAAGCTCTCGTTGTTGCGCCTCCCTAGCCCATGGCGCCGCTCATCAGCCGGTCCATGGCATCCATGGCACTCTCCTCCTCAACATGTACCTCCTCTCCACCAGTAGCGGTGGCGTCCTCGGTTGCTGCTTGTGAAACCTCGCCATCGTCTTCCTTCGTGGGGCTCTCGAACACCTCCAACAGGTCGCCCCGGTGGACCACTCTTCCCCCGTCCAGCTGAGTCTCCTGCTGCACCATGTCTCCTTCGACGCGGCGAAAGGGGTAGATCTTCTTCGTCATCGGCTGAGCCTCGGGGTCGATGGTCGGTTTGATCTTGACGTGTCCGGTGGCGATGCGGCCCATGATCCAGTGGAAGATCCAGGGGAAGCTGATCAGGGGCATCGATTGCCGCTTGTGTTCCTCGTCTTCGTACTCCTTTGCGAGCGCTGCACTGACCTGCTCCTCGGTGACTTTGTACATTGCAGCCACGAACGGGGCAAAATCGTCATAGTTCCTGCTACCGGCCTCATTGTAGCAAATCTCGCGGAACCTCTGCTTCAGTGCCGCCGACTCCCGGCCGATGTCCTCTTGCTGCTTGTAGTCGCTGCCAACCCGAGGTCTTGACAGTACGAAGCCGGTCCAGGCTTCGAACTCGGTTTTCACGTCGCGATGGCTCATGAGGCGACGCATGGAAGTGTCATATTGTCTCTTGACCTTGCGCGCTTTTTGGAGCAGATCGTCTGCGAGCATGAAGCGATTTAAGATCCTGTGGTCGAATTTCTTCTCGTACAGCGGGTCAAGTGCCTGGTCTTGAATCATGTCATAGATCTGGCCGATAGGGCTTCGTGACTTGTAGGTATTCTTGCGGTTCATAAAGTGAGGCCATCTCTTGGGTTGAAGGTACGGCGGAAAGTCCGCTGGGTCTGCAGTCTTGACATAGTCAACGGCCTTGGAGTGTAGCTCCGCTAGCTTTATGCCTGTTAATCTAGGTTAGCATTGTCTGTGTTCGCCTCGAGGTAAGGACTCACATTTGCCATCTCGTGCCCCCGCTTGGGATTGGTCGGCTTGTGCCAAATGCGCCACGGCAACCAATGCCAGGCAGTCGTTCTGAATATATCGAACGAAGAAGGTTCTCAGGTCCGATACCTTGACGAACCCGCGCTTCAGCACGGGGGCCTTTGACGCTACATAGTTCATTGGCGGCTGGTGCCACTGCGGAGGTATGAGGGCCGGGTTCCAGATAACAAAGAAGTCGTCGCCGTCGAGGTCTCCCCCTGAAAGCATGCTGGGGACATCTCGGTCACCGATACTGGGGAACACGACGACATTCTTGAGGTGACGGAGAGCGGGAACATCAACCGCTTCCACGACTCGGATGTCGCCAGGGTGGAGAGATGGATTACGCCCGACAATGCACACTCCGGTGACGCAGTAGTATTTCCCATCGTCGGGGTTCGGGATTTGTAAGAAGATTTGGGGAATATCTTCAATATTCCGTGTCTCCCTCCCTTCTGTTGCTTTCGAGTGACCTCTCAAGGTTCCGGTCTCGTCGAGGCATCCAAGAAGGAAAGCGCTCTGCTCAACAACCACTCGGGCCTTCTCCTTCAACAGCTTCATGGACCAGATTCTCCAGAGGTTTAGAATCGTGAGAACAAACGGCTCTTGCACCTCCGTATCCATGAAGCCCCAGCAGACGAGGTCCTTGATTGTCAGCGATGTCATGTTCTCGTCGACGTACCTTCCCAGTAGACCAGCAGCCGCAACGCGGTCACGCATTGCTTTCTCGTAATTCTGAACCTGCTGTTTAGCGAGCTGCAATATGGGCTCGCTTTTGACCCCAAGAGTGGCGAGAATGGTGATCGTCTGACGATTCAGTGTGGCAACTGAGTACTGCGCAAACCTGATGATTTCTAGTCCGTTGAACTGCGCCTTGAACTTTTCCTGTGAAGGTCTAATGTGTACTTCGAGACCCTTGGCATCTGGCCAGACTGCTAGCATGCCTTTGCAACCACCCATGCGGAATTGGAAAGCTGACGGTATGCCGACTGATTCCTGGCCCATCTCATTGACAACCATCTCGGCCAATAGTTTTGAGATCTTGCCTACGCCATCGCTGAAGCAATATACGTCCCGTTCAATGTCCTCTGCTTGCACAATCCGAGGAACAGTGACTCCTCGTATCTCTCTTGTTGTCGAGAAACATTGACCGATGCGTGCGGCGTATTTCGCGACGTTCCTGATGTGACTGAATTCGCCCATCCATTGCCGAATATCATCGCAAGTAGTGTAGGCGGTCGGGCAAAAGAAGTAGACTGCGCATTCCCGAATCTGTGAGTTCCCAAACGCCAAGAAATCGTAGACACGGTTGCCAATCTTGATCCCTTGCTTCAAGACGCGGTAAATTCTGTTGAATATCTCGGTGCCGGCATCATTGTAGACTTTGCCCTTGTAGAGCTCATCCGTGAACTGGACTCTGAGGAAACGATCCTGGTAGGAATTGTATTTCCGGAGGATTCTGTTTGAAGACTCGACGTTTGGCGAGCAAAAATGCATCGTCGATGGCGTAACCGTGATCTTCCGGATAGTAGTGCAATAGTATGGTATACTGGCATTGGGAAAGAAGAAACGAGCGTCTTCATCTTCAAACATTTCCATAGGGTCCCATACCCTCTTTGCACGGTCTGCGAAATATTCGAGCATCCATTTTGCCCGGTCCTTGTCCATACGAGACAATTCATCGACGAACACCTGAGTGATAGAATACTCCGACAGAACGCCGCGAGAGATGCAGACTTCCAGTTGGTAGTAGACTTCGAAGTTCAGATGATCAGAGGCTGCTTCTCGAGACAGTAGCGAGTGGATGGTCGATGACTTGTCAGACGTCGGTGTTGGTGTTGGGAGAAGCGTACCCAACAAGGGGGAGCGCGGCGGAACGGATCTAAATTGGCCCAGGACTGTGGTTGCAACGTTGTAGGCCTGCAGCGCCTCCAGTAACTCATCAACAGGGTTTCCAGTGTTCTGGATGACGAACCTGTAAGTGGTCCAACGGCCGATGTTGATGAAGTTCGGGTCGTCGAAGTCGGCCTGGAGAGTCACAGGAAAATCGCGAGGCAATTGCTCATCATCTAGTATGGCGGTTCGTCGCTCCCACATGTCCAGGCTGCCCCAAGAAGACGTTCCCGCGGCCATCTGGCTCCGCTTACTCCTGTTCGCTTTGGTCCAGAACATAGGCGGAAGCTCTAGCGGGATTACGAGTGCAGTTTCGTTTCCTTCAGTAGCTCGAAGTATTTCTGTGAGGCGAGCGAAGTCAACAGAGCACTTGTGGTGACTGGTGTCGTCGTCTTCGGGGGTTTGGTCACCCTGGTTTCCAACAACCTGGGCAGCTTCTTGGTTCCGCGTACAAGTATCGAAATAGATGGAGAGATTTTTCTTTGAGAGATTTATGTCGATTCTTACACCAGAAGTGACGGACTTGAGCACCACCATCTCGTTTTCCTGGAGTCGCGAGCCGAAATCCATGCGATCTGCCTGTAAAGAAATCTTGGACTTGAGCCATATGTCGGGATTGGCGGGACTCTTGACCAAACCCTCGTACGTTTCATGGGGTGTCTTGAATTCTCTGAGTGCGACCTGCACACTCTTGCCTTCGCCATATCTGACGGTGTGGACTTTCGAGGACCAGAAATCGAGCTTGGGCGGGGGCTCGAAGCGGACCTTGGCGAATCCGTTTCGGTCACCATTGCGGTTCTCGTCGATCTGAAGCCAGGCTATGTTTCCATACCGTGCGAAAGAATCGTATAGCTCGGCAAGGGTTACAGTAGAGGGAAGGCGAGAGATGATGATAGTGAATTCCGGCCTTGTTCTCCAAGGCTCGTTCTCAGAGGCGTTCATTATGTGAGGATTCATGCTTGCTGGTCCAAGTCAGAGACGTCAAGTAAAGTGGGTGCAATGAAATTGAGGGGAAGGTTGTCTAGAGCTAGGAGGGTGTGAGTTGGATTCATTGATGGGGGTAGATGGATGAGAGGTAAGAAGTAAAGGGATAGAGGTTGAAGTGCGGAAGGAATGGGGTGGAACAAGATGAGAGTAGCTAAAGATGGAAGGTTGAAGCTGAAGCAAGTACCTGACGTAGATGGATAGGCAACTTAGACGCGTACTTTTGCGACCTAGGCGGATGCGCATGTCTGAGAGAGACAACCCGAGCCGGTATGCCAATGAGGATTACCTCTGGTGGGAAGAAATGGGAAAAGCCAGAATGTCATAAGTGAGGCCAGTTTCTTACCAGGTACTTTGATAAAGATTGAGTCTTCTTCTGCCTCCCCTCCGTCTCTTTTGTACCTAGTTGCCTAATCATAAAAAATCATGAATGGCCGTTGTTGCCCGTTCCAAGGTAATTGTTTCCCGTGCCCATGCAGCTAGCCGCATACTATCTATCTAACAATTTGATTGCCATCATTCACCGCCTCAAAAGCATCTGTAACACTACCTACCGCCGGATGGGTGCTTTTGAGTGAGGCAAGTAACTTTAATTGCCCAAAAAGCAGGCCAATACGAAGGATCGTATGAAACCCTTCTGGCGCCTAGCAGATAGACCTGCAGTGAAAGGATGCTTCTTGGTAGATGGAGCATTGCCAAGCATCGTCTGAGCAGAACAGTGTCCGGATGAAGTACCCACTTCATCTTGAGAAGGAACGAGCACGATAGGTTATTTGCTATGAGTGTCGATACCGGAAATAGAACAGATGGCCTTCAGACTTTTGTTACCCGTTTCCCCATGCTTCCACCCCCGCTGGATGCGCCGGCCATGAAAGGCATGCAAGTATGTCTTGTGCACTCGTCCCCTTTTTGCACACGGATCACTGATGCTTCATGATCTTCGCCCCTAAGAACCGACCGAGTACATGAGGCAAGCCCCATGGTAATCCTTTCCCCCAGATCATCAATCCAGCTATCATCAACAATGCTTACGATATTCCGGCCGCGGCTATGTTGCGCGTGAACCAAAGACAGCGCGACGGAGCCATCTTGTCTAGGAGCTCAAGTTCGTCCTTGAACCGGGGGGAATATCCATGATCTTACCAGGGTTCATTATCCACTTTGGATCCAACGCCCGCTTGATGGACTTCATCACGTCGAGCGTGTCGGGACCGACCTCGAGGAGAAGCGAGCCCTTCTTGCCCCAGCCGATCGAGTGTTCGCCGGTACAAGTTCCCTCCATTTCAATAGCCCGCTTCACCATGTTGTGGACGCACTTCTCGACCTTCTCCCTTTCTTCGGGGATCGTCCGGTTGTAGATGATGCTCTCGTGGAAGTTGCCGTCCCCGATATGGCCCAGGATGCTCGCGAAAAGCCCCATATCGTCCATCTCTTTCTTGCTGACTTCGATTAGATCGGCCAGACGGCTGAAGGGAACCGCGACATCCGTGCTCCCTACGAGCTGTTAGTCCACGATGCCTCTGCAAACTTCAAGCCCGACGACGAGACTCACAAACTTCTTCGCCATCCTTTCGCAGCGCCAACATCGACCATAGCGACTCTTTGCGCGCAGACCACAGCAGCTTCTGCTCCAGGGCATCCTTGGCGAACTCAAAGTTGCCACCCTTGTGGTTCTTGGTGATCTTCTGGACGAGGCTGATGTTCTCCTTGACGCCGGCCTTGGTGCCGGAGAACTTGAAGAACAGCGTCGGGAGCTCTTTCCAGACGCGGGGAGCCGTTGCACCGCCCATGTTGACGACCTTCATCTGGACCTCGTCCATGATTTCCATGGCCGCCACGGGGATACCGTTGCGCATGACCTCGGCTGCGGCAGCTGCGGCATCTCTGATGCTGGGAAACGTGACCACCGCCACAGAAAAGTCTTCGGGTACAACCGTGAGCTTGAGGGTTGCTGTGATTATGTCAGTACCTCGATAAGGGGATTCAGGCTGGAAGTTGCATCGACCAGTGCCGGCGGCGCAAACGGGAAGGGACAACGCACCTTCTGTCACCAATCCCAGCGTTCCCTCGGATCCAACGAACAAACTGTTGAGGTTGTAACCCGCCGACGACTTTCTCGGCCGTCGTCGCGTCTTGACCACAGTGCCGTCTGCCAACACAACAGTGAGGTTGATTACCCAGTCTTTCATGGTTCCGTATCTGACCGCGTTAGTACCCGAGCAGTTAGTACCGATCATTCCGCCAATCTTAGCACTCGGGCCTTTCCAATGGGTCAGTCATCACTATCTCGGTATCCGGAGCACGGCGTCGATCCTCTCTTACCTGGGTCGATGGGAAAGAAGAGACCGCTCTCCAGTTCTGAGAGTTTCTCGTTCAAATCCTGCCATCCAATGCTGGGCTGCACGACGATATCCATGTCCTCCTTGTTGAAGGAAAGGATCTGGTCCATGAAGGCGAAGTCGACGCTGATTCCTCCGTAAGGGGCCGAAAAGTTTCCTTCCAAGCTAGAACCTCCCGAGTAAGGGATGATGGGAACGTTGTATTTGAAGCATACTCGGGCAATCGTCGACACCTGCTCTGTCGAGCGCGGGTACGCGACGGCGACGGGCAGGCCGTCAGGGTTGGATGATGACCACTCCGAATATCCGTGAGCGTGCAAGTCTTCCGGATCGGTGGAGATGATGTCCTCGCCGCCCAGCTCCTGTCGAATTTCCTTCAGAGCCTGTGCAGAATGTCAATGACCGCGATACGCTACACAGTACAGAAAACAACCAACCTGCTCCATCTCCTCTATCGTGGCGTAGTTGATTGGACGAGACTGGCTATCCGGGGAGAGCAGACCGCTGCCCAGGGGAAAGAAGCCAGCACCGGCGGAGTTGTCCCTCGTCGAACTGGCGAGACCCCATCCGACAGTGCCTGTGGCCAAAGCGACTGCCAAAACTGACCTCCCACTCCAACCGTGTTGCACGTTGTTGGCCGAACCGCCGGCGTTGGCCTGAGAGCCGCTCCGTTGAGTGGCCGTCGCCGAGAAGCTCCGACCGGCACGGGCGGTAGGCCCCGCGAGCTGGCCCCTCAAGCCATGGTTCAGAAGGGGCCTCGCAGCGCGCCTGGCCGACATGCAGGGGACGAAGGACATTTACACCAATGCAGATGCGGCTGCCGCCTGTTATTGGCTTGCAGACAGACTGACCGGGGTACGGTGGGTTACGCCGAGGGGTCGCGTGTGTAAGATGGGTTGCGTCGGCGTTGGGATTTATGCAGACTTTTTGTTCTTTGGTGATGACAAGAGCCGGATTTTGAACGTCGGGATCCGAACACCGTGAGCTTATGATTCCGGCCTTTTTGGAACGCCGTGTTTGGGAAGCCGTGACCTAGATATATATATATCCGGAAACCGAGTCCGGTGCCAGTGTGCCGTAGCTGTCAGGCGGGGTGCACGGTTGTGTTGATCTGTGCCGTCGATGTGGAGGTGCGAGCTCGGCCGAGAGGGAGAGAGAGGGAGGGCAAGAGAGAGAGAGGACGAGGGAGGCGTTTAAAGGTGTTTGAAAACGAGCGTAATCGTCTACGATAAGAGCCAAAGTCTACAAGTAATGTCGCAATCGAACACGACGGAGGCTACGCAGCCAAAAGGATGGGGGCAAGCGGACATGATGAACAGCGACGGGGCCCTTCTCTTTAATAACGATGCTTTTTGCCCTCTCTTCCGTGGCAGGAGTCGAGAGCGTGACCCAAACATCAAGTATCTAGGGGTACCGTTTCCCTCATTTGGAACATGGTGCAGCAAGGGTAGATGTAGCGTGCGGACAGACGACCACGTATTAGCCAATCGGCACACCGGACAGGTAGGGTATTGGCCCAAAAAGTCAAGAAACAAGAAGGCGGAGGGCCCGCAAGGCACGATGAAGCACGGCCACCAAGCGAGCAAAGGCGGCATGCCTGAGTCGTCAGCGAGGGTGTGGGAAACTGAGCTGGTGCTCAGTCAAACAAGTACCTGGGAGTACATAGTTTGGTCTGCTACCGTGCCAGCCTAGCTAGTAAGCTCTGGGGTGGAGCAACCAACTTGGATGGTTTCGTTGCAACTTTGCTGGAGACACAAGAAAGAGGACGATATCGGGCCTGGGCGCTTGAGTGCTCGTGCAGTTGAGAGGAGGGCGGGCGGGGACAGTCACAAAGCTGGAATATTCCGAAATCGTTGTCCTCCTCGGCGAACCGCCCATCAACCCGGTCTCGGCAGAGACGGCGGCGGTGACAACGGCGACTACGATGACGACCGAGTGGGCTCGAAACCATCTCGAGCTCTCGCTTACCTACCCTCTGCCACTGACCAGTTCTCGGTGACGATGAGTGGCGGCTATGAACCCAAACATGGGAGCAACAAATAGAGGAGGGGGGTGTGGGGGTGTGTCGGAGTTGATGCGGGAAAAAATGGCCAGGCCTAAGAGACCAGGAGGCCAAAGGACGATGGCAACAGAAATGGAAGACGACAGACGACATAGGCTTCCATGCCATCACCAGAAAGCGATGCTGGGTTGCGGTGGAGGTGTGACCCCCACTGGTGGGGTTGCTTGGGAGCTTTGGGCACACACAGAGCCTTTCACAGTTTACTTCGCGAAGTCAGCCGACCCGGAGTCAGATTACCAACGACATCCCACCCTCTCGGTCGACCTTCACATCAACGTGATCAAGCCATCGGCAACGTTAGCCCAACAAAGGAACCAACTCGAGAGAGACCCAGAAGTCTGGTTGTCCCGAGATGGCATCTGCGTTGTTGCTCTGGGCATTCTTGGTGCTAGGCAAGCAGACGCAACCTCCGTACTTCTCAATCAGCATAGTACCCACCCCTCCTCCCCAACGGCGAGCAACAGGGGGAGACAGGGGGCCTAGAAAACCCAGACTCTTCCCGTGACCACGGGTTCCGACTTTTGGTGAGCGACAAAAGGGCCCCTGAGTTCCGATGAAGCACCGGCCTTATCGGTGTAGACTCGGCGGGGCGGGCTCGCTTGCGCTTGAGGGGTAACAGCCAAAGGTGGCCGCCGCCGACTCGAGGAGGACGCAGGCCCGTTGCTGGCCTCCGGTCGAGCACAACAAAACCAATGGCCATGGTTGCTGTCTCGCGGCACTGGGGGCAGGCGTGAAGCCTACTTGGATCGTCGAGTTCACCGTTCACCGTCCACCGTCCACTGCAGGTTTCTGCGCGATGCTGGCCGAGTCGCAACCTTCTGATGGACTATCCCATCGGTCATTAGTGAACACTGCGGCTGATCATGCCTGCGAGGCTCCTCTTGCCGGCGGCCACCTGGCCAGGGAGAACAATCTTGCTGCTGGCTGCCGCCCACTGGTAGCATCCGGGAAATCCGCTTTCCGGCAGAATGACATAAGCTCAATAATGTTTCTGATATTGCGGAAACAGGTGGTAAGCAGCATGTCGCTTTCTGACCACAGAAAACCACTGGATGTCACCCTTTCGAAGTCGGTTTACCCAGCGAGGCGCCCTCAGTTGCATGCATGCGACGTGCGGAACAGGTCGCACACAATTAATACCCCAGACTGGCCGTCATACAGACGCTGCTGTAAGACGAGACGATGCAGGTTCGGGTCGCACAAAGTCAAACGACCGTTGAATAGCAACGCGACTTCTCGAGCAGCACCCTCAGTAGCCCCCATAGCACAGCATCCAAAGCGTGTTCGACCGCAGTGTTTCGTCCCAGAACTGTGCGTCCTCTGATGATATGAAATGCTACGGCAAGCTGATCCAACGCCCGCTCAGCCCTCCCGACGACGTGCCCAAAGGATTTTCGGTGCGTCACTAGGCGCTTGCCTCCCATGCTGCAGCGTAACCCTCCCTTGCTCCGCGTCCTGTAAACCCCGACAATCGATGAGATTCGATCACGGGTGGCCAGGCTATGCAGCTTAGAAAGTTGCTACGCAGGTGGGTCCCCAAGGACTAACATTAAGACAAAGACCGAATGGCCAAGTCAGGAAAGCCGACGAGGAATCTCCTAAGTTGTGGTGACGAATATTCCTCCGGCTCCTCTGGCTCATGCGATTATCCAGGCTGAAGCAGCGACTCGATACACCCCCCCGGCTTTACTTTGAATTCGTTGCCCAGAGAGGCCTCAATAAGCGTCGAGGTTGGCCTACGCATAGCCAATGGCGCGCCGTCACCGTGGGACGAGCGTTCCTCGTATACGTCGACCAAACGGATATGGATATGTCTTACACACCCACTAGCTGCGCGCCGACGAATCTTTCCACGGCTCAGAGACCTCCTGAGCAGGACACCGCCAAACGACCCTCTTGTGCGACACAAGGACTCTTGGCCCCTATGGCCCTGCTCTTCACTTCTTGGGTGGTTTTCCAGCCTGCGGCCAGATGCCTCCCTCCCGTCAGGCTGAGAAGAACTTGCTGGCAGCCGCGAAACATCGGGTCGTCTATGCCGGCCATTGCTGGAACGAAAGTGCGAGGCAAGCAGCTCCCGAGTTCCAGGCTAGGCCGCAATCGAGGGTTTCCAAGCCTGCAGCACACCCGCCCCCGCATGCTCTGGAACGAAGAAAGAAAGAATGGGCATGTCTGGGGCACCGGCACTGGCGTCCCCCGGCGCGCTCTCACTGGCTGCCAATGTCTCAAGTGCGGCGGTAAGATGCGTTCGAGGAGTTTTCACGGCGTGGTGTTGGTTGCCGGCGTAGGGAAGCTCAATGCCCGGGGGGCAATTGTTAGCGCCAGGCGGCCCTGTCCTCACCGGAAGCACCAAGCGGCTAGCCATGTTCACCTGAGGACCTACGGAGGATGTATTGAGATATTCGTATGGAGAGCATGGCACCAGTGGCTGTCTACTAGTAGTGGCTGTCTACTGGCAGTGGCTTTACTAGGAACGAGGGACAGACAACAAGGGTGGCCGTTGTCAAAATAGCGCATGGCCATAGCACAGCAGAAAGCGTGATCCCCGCTGAGGGCGTTTTGGTACGGTAGTGTGGGTGGCACGGCGGGGTTAGGGGACCACAAAGGCGGGGTGTTCCAACGTCACGCCAGCCCTTCGCGCAGAAGCACCCCGAGATGCTCCTCGGCAAGGGCCCCAATATCCGATGTGGTCTGTGTCGCACAGAGACAATCGATATAGACAGGCCAGTAAACAAGACCATGAGAGAGTTCAACACCACGAACGGCTCTTTGTGACCCTGCCGACCGTCCCAGAGCTACGGACCAGCCGTGTGTTTGCCCAGGCGCGAGAGAGGGTTCCTCCACGGCACAGGCCGATTTTGATTTGTGACGACTTCCGGCTCCGCAGATCGGAAACAGACAGCCGTCAAGAAATCCCGGGGGGAGGAACTGAGGTATGTCTCGAGCTGATGCATCACGAGGAGCTGCCGCCGCCACCACCCCATCAGGGGCAAGGGGCACCGGTGCTCAACCCCTCACCCGAGGGGAGGCAAGTACCCGGGGATATCGTAATGTAATGACCAATTCCGGCGGGGCAGGGGGGGGGGAGGGGAGACAACCCCAGTGAAAGCAGCTGGGTTCGCTAACTACGGACGTAAGTACTAGGTCAAAAGTCTTGTTACAGCAGCGAAAAAAGCAACCCAATCAGCAGCTAATACTGCCAGCCAGATCTATCAGTTTAAGGCAGAATGAATGGGGATATCCTGATTGATGTAACAATACTTTTGACCTAGTACGGAGCAAGTCTGCGTCATACCAGCGTGCACCAACGGGCACGAGACCGCCTGGCCTCCCCCCCCCGAGCCTGCCGGTTTGCAATTTTTTTCTTCTTCTCTTTGCTAGGTACTGTCGTCGTCTTGCTAGAGTACCGCCGGGTTCGAGGCCGCGGGCGGTGCGCTTGCCGCTATTGCGCGGGGGAGGCACAAACGTGACCGGCTTGATGGCCCACACGGGTGGCTTCCCCGGGTGAGGAAGCATGGAAAGCGGCTACTGTACGATGCGGTGTCGTCCAGGAGAAGGGGCGACCTTGGGAGGCGAGCGGACCATTCTGCCACGCCCCGCTGGGAACAAGGAGGAAAAAGCAAGCCTCGCGCTGGAGGCTCGCCCTCCCCCAACGCCGCTGTTTCCTCGAGGGCCTAGGCTCGGACGGCGGCGGCTAGGGGAGAGGAGAGAGCCGGCAGGGCCGATTGGGATGTTGAGTAAACACACAAGTGGCGGGCCACGTTCCTGACGCCCGGACTGGGGCGGTGATCCTCCTATGCAGGCCGGGGAAGGGTGGATGGTGGGCTGAGCGGGCTCGGTTTGGCTGGATGAAAGGATCCGGCCGGGGTGCCGTGTATATGATGACGGACGACGATGCCTCCCCGTGTGTGGACACCAGAGGCCCGCCTCTTGAAGCCACGGGGTCTAGGCTCCTCCCCCAATCGGCGGAATAAGCCACGCTGGTCATTCAACACACAAGAACATCACGTCCACCGGAGACATGCATATATATGGGAACTCAAGGATTGGGCGGAAGAGTGACCATCAATGGCTTGGTATTGGCCGCAATACAGCTATCTGCCGGGTAGTCAAAGCCGACAACTCTAAAATCAGCCCTGGACTCCGTTAATTTTTTTCGATCATGCACAATCCCATTTGCCCGACCCAAATAACCGTTTTCGTCCTGGACAGACATCACGAAAATGCGTCAGGCGGCCCCCATGCCCATTCATATATTGACGAGGAGGGGACCCTGCACGCACGCAGCAGCAGTCACTCTCACAACTCTCTTGAGAAGAGGGAGCTTAGTTGCCGGCAAGGGCGTTGGCGCGGCGGCGGTCACGCTCCTCGGCGATGGTGAGCTTGACACCCTTGCCCTTGGGCAGGGAGATCCAGGGCTTCTCAGAGCCGATGACGAAGACGTTGGACTCGCGGGTGGCGAAGGTGTTGTCAATGGCGTCCTTGATGTGGACGATGTTGAAACCTCCATCGTGGCGCTCACGGTGGGTGATGACACCGACACGACCCATGTTGCGACCACCAGTGACCATGGCGATGGAGCCAGTGTCGAACTTGATGAAGTCCTGGATCTTACCAGTCTTGAGGTCAATCTTGACCGTGTCGTTGACCTTGATGAGGGGGTCAGGGTAGCGGATGCTATATTCGAAAGTGGCACAGGTCAGCAAAGGGGGGGTTCCGTAACGGGGGCGATACATTACAGCCGTCGGATGTTTGCAGCTCCAATCTCTTGTTCGTTATCGGCCAGTCTTCTTCTTTTAAACGTTGCTTCCGCTTCCTCCCGCGGGGGGGAGTGAAGACATATTTCAGGAAATAGACGCAACCAAGAGTACTTTGGGGGTGATAGCGAATCGACCAAAGCTTGATCCAACGGCTGAATGATGTCTGACAGAACAGGTGATGACTCACGTTCTCGCATCGTGCGTGACCAAGAATGGGATTCCACCGCGGCCGAGCTGGACGCGCTTGACCTTGCCGAGCTTGTACTCGGCCTCCTCGGCCTGGATGCGGTGGACAGTGAAGCGGCCCTTGGTGTCGTAGATGAGACGGAAGTTCTCGCCCGTCTTCTCGATGGTGATGACATCCATGAAGCCGGCGGGGTAGGTGATGTCGGTGCGGATCTTGCCGTCGACCTTGATGAGGCGCTGCATCATGATGGACTTGGTCTCGCGGAAGTTGAGCGCGTACTTGAGGCGGTTGCGCAGGAAGACGATGAGCGGCAGGCAGTCGCGGAGCTTGTGAGGACCGGCCGAGGGGCGGGGCGCGTAGGTTCCGGACAGCTTGTCCAGGAGCCAGTGCGAAGGCGCGCTAAGGCGCTTCTGGTGCTTCTTGCTGTGAGGGCATTGTCAGAGTTCTTGTTCGTTGGATTCCTCGCCGGCATCGTCGAGATTCTGCAACCCTCCCGCACGGCGGCAGGAATATTGGTCTCGCATTCGACGTCGCCATTGAATCGGCGTAAAGGGATGAGGGAGAGGGGTTTGATCAGACTTACAGTCCCTTGCCCATCTTGTCTGACTGCCGGTTAGTCTATGGGGGTATCTGGTCGGTGGGTGTGAAGGTCGAAGTCGAGGATACTCAAAATTTCGATCTCGAGACTTGGGAGTGCAGCGACGAGAACGCCAAATTTTCTCTCGTGCTAGGTTTTTCGAGCCCTACGGCCTTCTGTGGGCGGCACCTCACTGGACGGGCGGGGCTTCGATAATCCGGCGCTGTTCAGTGGCCGGACTAAGCGAGGTGGTCCGTGCTTATAGGTCTCAACCAACCCGCGCCTGGAGCACTGTTGAAGGTCGCCGCACCGAGTTGGTTGTCGGCCGTGGTGGGGCAGGAACTCTTTGCAGGAAACCAGGACAGAGGGGGAAGGAGCGGTTACCATACACATATTCCCTTCACCGTACCAGCTTTGGTAGCTAGGCGACGCCGCGAATTGGGCGACTTGTACTCATGGGTTTTGACACGGGAACGAACAGCAGCAGGGGAACACGAGTGTCAAGTACAATCATCTAGCGATTGGTGCTCTAGCTCACAATGGCTTTATCGACACTCTCTACTCGAACAGCCGATTCAAAAGCCCTGGAGCAGTGATGATGCAGGAACTCACGCTCTTGCATAGAAACGACTGTGGTCCTTCTAGTATCCCAATCTTTTTTTCTGCTCAGTTCTTGCCCCGAGGCAACTGATTATGCGCCATGTCTCCGTAACGCGGGTAAGGATATCCCAGTTTGGTATAAGTTATATGTCCAGAAACGACCGTTGAGGAAGCAAAGCGCCCCGTCCCCCTTGTACGCCACGCAAAGCAAACAATCGCGACGCTTTTGATTCTAAAGTTCCATGTAAAGCCCGGCGCCTCAAGAAAAAAAGAAGAAAAAAAAGAGGAAGAACAAATGTGTCCAGACGGATGCCTGGTATATGTGCAAGGCATGTGTGGCTGGACCACGTTGGTAAGGATAGCTCCAGCCATCCAGGAGATTCTTCAAGTCATCGCACGGCGGAAACCGCAGAAGATCTCCCGTCCCCGATTCCCGATTCCCGGTGATGTTCAGGGTGACGTCGAGTCTGACGGTTGATCAGGCGCATACCGTGCCGAATTGCCAACCTGCGAGTCGTCCAGCAACAAGCGGGAAATGTCCATCTCACCTGCGCTGCCCATGAACGCGACTGTTGTGGTTTCGCCAAAGTCAAAGACCTGCGGAACAACAGGCAATTCTCCGTTGTCGAGGACGGACAGTGGCCACCTGGGCAAATCCTCCTTGGAGTTGACCCGGTTTAGGTTCGCCTCCATTGGGGGCGGCCGGTTCGGCTGTAAGTTGTTGGCGATGCTCATGCTGACCGTAGGCTCAAGCGTGTCGCCCCCTCTGCCATCTTGGGGCTGGAACAGACCCTTTTCAATCTTGGCATACACGCTAGGGTACTTGTTCCGCACTCTGTCCCTGAGATCCGTGGGTTGCCGCCCTGAGAGGCTGAAGCGCGGATCTCTCTGGATCTTGGTCCAAGCAGGCCCATATTTGTCCAGGCCTTCTAGTATCTGTTTATCATCTTGATCTGTGAATGGTCGCCTTTCGCGCCTATGAGACTTCTTAAATGGCCCGTGAATGCCTAGCTCGGCCAAGTCTTCCAGCTTCTTCCTGTGCGCCCTGCTCTTTTTCATTTTGGGGAATGTGTCAGACTCGGCTTGTGGAACCTGCAGCTGGTCCCCCAAGGCGGGTTCTTCCTGTGCGATGAGTATGTTTTCGGACAAGAGCCCGGTCTTTGCCTTAGCCTTGGTCTTCGGTTCCGTCGGGGTCGTCGGCGGCACGGCAATAGACGCAATCTTGGGGTCACTGTTGCTCCTACGCAGCTCGTTTGGACAACAGGTGCGGAAGCGGTCCTTGAGATCACCAGCAGTGCGGTCATTGAAATTGAAATCGGGATCCGCGAGGATGTCGGTCCACTTGCCAACTCCATGGCGATTGACTCCCAGAAGCAAGTGATTCGTCTCGGCTTCGGACCATTTCCTCCTCGGCTTCATAGCCTTTTTCCTGGTTTTGCTGTTGTTGGCTTTCGCATTCTTGTTTGGCGCCGGCTCGGTCTCGGTGGGTTTCTCCGTCTCCTTGTCTTCCGGCACAGGCGCGAATTCCCGCATCGGCTTCAGCTGATTGCTCTCAGGTTCGTTGAAGTCGTTGGAGGCAATGGGCGGGAAGAGAGCAGCGTCAGGGGGTGGTTCGTGTAAGCCGTTGATGATGGGCGGCATGGCCGGCATAACTTGGGGCTGGATCGGCTTCTGCTTCTTGACCGGCTGCGGAAGTTGCACAAAGTCGTCCTTGTTTGTTATAGTGCGGTGTCTCTTCTTGGTGGCCGTGTCGTCCTTGCTGTCGGGCACCTCATCGAGAATTTTGCTTATAGAGAAGGAGGAGTCTGCCGTGTCTCGATCTTCGCCGAGGAGCAGCCTTAGCTGCAAGTGCGCAGTGCCGTTGACTGCGCCCCGATCGAGCATGGACTCATCTTCCTTCCTCTGCTCCCGTCCCAGAAAGCCGTCGTCGACAGCTCCGTGGCCGGTGGCGAGAGACGGGGCGTTGGACTGGTCTTCGCGAAGGCTCGTGTCAGGCTCGAGAGGAAAGGGTCGCTCGGAGGGACGGGAGAAGGCCAGGCGAATGGGCGGGAGATCAGCGTGAGCGAGCTGCGGCGTGGTGGAATCGTTCAGCAGGTGGATGAGGCGTGGCTCGATGTAGGCCATCGTGGGCGAGAGGAGCCGGAGTGGGCATTTGGTTTGGAATTGGAGGTAAGGGATTGGCACTGGCGAAGAGATGGAAGGAAGCAAAAGGGGCGAGGAGAAAGAGAGAGAGAGAGAATTGCAGTGGTGTCGAAAGTGGAAGTAGGGCGTGGAAAGCTTAGAGTGGTGAAAGAGGAGAAGACGAAGAGGAGGGCTCAAGCGGAAGAGACGCGGAGTCCAAGAATCGAGTCTTCAACAAGTGCAAAAAGGTAGGTAGGTACAGAGAACCTTCGCAGTGACTGACCGAAAGGCGGAGGCAAGGGTACAGCAGTTAACAAATTGGCACGCAACCATTCCAGCGGGCAGCTTCACCACACTGGACAGCAAAGATCCAGGGCCCTTCCCAGAGAGGGCATTTGCCTGCCTGGAGTTCCACGTGAAGATTTCTCCACTACCTACAAGAGCGGCAAACGAGACTAGCGCGGTTGGTTAAGCGGTACCTGCTGCTACGGTCTGGCGGCGACGCTGGGCGTGCCAAGTAACTCTTCTACCACCTTGTGTACTTTGAGAGTATCGTTGGCTAACACCCCGTTCGCGTGCTACTACTGGACGACACAGCAACTCTCTACATCGTACGGATACTCTGGACAGCCCTGGAAGCTTTCAAGACAACGCACTGATGGTGATGGCCCCTCTCCAGTCGCCTCCTCTCCCCTCACCCCCCAACGAAAGCCCCCTGGGACGGGTAGCGAGCTTCTTGCAACCGGCGTCTGGCCAAAAGCATCGGTCGACAAACATTTCGAGGGGCGGTAGCTGCCTAAGCAACCCAACACGAACTTTGCTCTGAGCAACCTGAAAGTGACACTGACTGAATGGCTCACCGTGCACGCCTCTCGTCCCACCTCGGGTTCATCGCACTGGGCCATCCCCTCTCTCTCCCTCTCTCTCTCTCTCTCTCACTCCCTCTCTCTCACTCCCTCTCCCCTGAGCCTGATTTGGGGCACGCGCAAGCACAACCTCAACCCGACCCAGGGGAAGGTTCCCACCCAGGGGAAGGTTCAGCAAGGTATCAACTACATGCGCCGAAACCCCTGTTGACCTGCATCAGTGTTCCCCATGTCTCAATGAGAGTTGCAGCAGCTCGACTACCCCAATACGGATACAAACATTCTACACAAATCATCCACCAGCCCGCCGCTGAGCTAAACGTTTGACAATTTATCGGGGCCGGATCAACTGTGCTGCTTATTGCCCTCCACATTCCTTTTGCTTGTCTCGACCAGAGAGTATTCGCGACTGCACAGTTCTGATCTACCAACTCTAGTTCCTCTGTGGATCACTAGACCATCCTGGCTGGGCCATCATCTCCAAGCAAGATTTGCATTTGTGGTTGTTGCACCACTCGTACCTGTCCATCTGCCCACCAGCCTTCGTTCACAACACCATTTAGCTTTTTCTTCATCATGGCATCTGCTCTTCCAGCCTTCCCCCGGCTGGTGTTCACCATCTTCGAGCCCATCTCACTGTACGTATCACCCGTTCTTCTCACGGCGCCGTCGAGCTGAAGGTGCATTTGTTTCAAGCGTCGGCGGCTTCTTGGGACCAGTGATCAATCCGGATTGGTTTATATCCGAGCAGATCGTTGGGAGCGCCGGCTCGGTCGTTCCACCCATTCCGGCGTCTGATAATGACCGTCTCGTGGCACTCCAGCTTGGCAACCTCTACCTACTCCTGGCCATGATCGGCCTTGCCGTGCTCAATCTCACGAGCGAGATCAAGGTTGTGCGCGGCTACCTCGTCGCTCTCTGGGTAGCCGACATTGGCCACATTTACGCCTGCTACCACTTCCTGGGTCTCGACCGATTCCTGGACGTTACGCATTGGAACGCCATGACTTGGGGCAATGTGGGAGTAACGGTGCGACCACCCGCCGACCCTCCATGAGCTGCCGTGCTGACCACCGTAGGCCTTCCTCTGTCTAACAAGGACAGCGTACCTTCTAGGGCTCTTCGGCTCAGATAGTTATGCGACGAAGACAGCAAAGAAAAACCAGTGAACATGAACAAATGGATTGAGGAAGGTATGTTCTCCGGGATACCACCGTGTTCTGAGTTGTATGTATAACCTTGTTTCCGGAGAAGAAAGCAGAAAAGGCAGGGATGTGGGAGGGGTTGTCGGTATGAAGCGGTCGATACAGGGCCATGAGAGAGCTGCCGAAGGTGTAGATCTAATCAATCTAAAATCCTCTGATGCTCCGTCTCATATCGTGTAGGCTGTCTTTGCGTCATGGAATCGGCAACAAAGTCAAGAAGACAGCGTGTGTACTTACATGGCCAGCCATTCCTATTGGGGTAGCCTGCCAGAAGAGGCAATAGCTCCCAACGGCCCACGGTCCACGGAAGAACCTTAGACAAACAATGAAAGACTCAATGGCAAGGCGAAGTGCATTGGCAAACTCCAATTCATTTGATTTATTTACCTTAATAATCAAAGAACCGCTGACTAGCATTGCGTCTGCGATGGATAGACAATAGGCGGGATTGATGCCCACCCAACGCAATGGGCTCAGTCTTGTTTCAAGTATGAATCCTCCCACAGGAGGCGCCAACCGCCAGGTTCCACCTCCAACGGCCGCCTAATTGGACCGATAGCAGGCACGACAATTCAAACAATTCAAAAAGAAGACGGTGTTCTTTCCGGAACATGATGCGTTCAATCTATTCGGACCAGATACCATGTGCACCTGTTGTGTCAAAGAAAAGAAAAAAAAAAGGTGCAGAGGGGTTCTGCAGAGTTGAGAGCCAATTGGTTATTCAAACCTTAAGCCCCTCTCGAGCTAAGCAATGTGGATACCTCAGGCAGGCATGTCAATGCACACCTCCAGCGGCTGCCAACACCTGAATGCGCAAGGGTTAGGGTTAGGCCACGAGGGAGCTTGTTTACCTTGACAGATATTCACCACCGCGTCGGTGACGCGACTCCTATGCGATATTTCTTGCACCAGCATACTGCAAGCCCTGAAATGGTCCAGACGAGAGCGGGCCGCGGTGCCTTGTACCAAAATGTTATCGACGTCTCGCCTTCGGCAAGGTTGGCACGACGCGACGCAGGTGTTGACGAGACGGCGGGGGCACGCGCCCCGGCCACCATCATCGCCGCGGCCGCAGGCCCAGGTGTGGGCGCAAAATCCCGGCTGGCTCGGGGCAAGAGCAAAGCAGAGGTTGTCCCTTCGAGCGTTACTGAAGAGGAAGTGGAAGAGGAAGAAGACGTAAAAGGAGACGAAGACGTAAAAGGAGAAGAAGACAACGACGACGGCGATGAAGAAGATGGGAGGGAAGCAGACGAAGAAATCGAAGTCAGAAACGAGCCACCGGCTCGTTTCAATGCACAACATCGTGTCCAGGGCAGCATGAGTCCGCCGCCGAGTGAAAGTGGTGGGTCATCATCTGTTGCACTTCTCATCGAGATGTTGTGAGACGCTGTGGTTGATGGCTGACTGACGCGGTGACAGAAATGGGATCGCAGAGCGTGGTGGGGGCTCAGAGTTATATGACACCCAGATTCGCCAATGCGGAATACACGCGGTATTCAAGTCCGTTTGCACACCCCTCTTCTCATCCTCACAGCACAAACGCTCATGCCGTCTTAGGTGTAGCCCACCAACCAGACCCGGTGCCACGAGGCCACGACGAAGGCAAGATGAAGCCGCATGGCGTCCAAAATCTTACCGGCGCAGCACTGACTGACCGAGTCTTAGATCCGGTGCGTCTGCCAGGAATAGAAGATGATGGCGTCGACGACCCGTCCGAGATGGGCGACACGACGCGCCTGTCCCAAGAGGAGGTCAACGAGAGCCAGTACAGAGAGGAGGCGGAGCTTAAGGAGAACGCCCTCGATTCCCTCTGGCACAACTCTGAGGGGCTTGCGAAGCTGCTCCGGGATCCAAAACCCAAAAAGCAGTCCTGGCAGAGGCTGCTCGATGTGCTCCGCCGGAACTGGTTCAGCACCAGGGTCTTCTTCGCGGCCGAGGACAAGCTGTTCATCGACCTGCCCCGGACCGTCCGGCACATCAGCGAAGAGAACGAGACCAAGGCGCGGGCCGTCATCGTAGGGGCCAACGCAGCGGCGCTGTTGAACGCGCTGTTAGAGGCGGTGCTGGCCGGCCGGGAAGGCGACCTCTTTGAATTGCTCAAGCTTTTGGACGGAGGTTTCCCGATACCATTCTGTCCCAACGATGACTGGGGCCATGATGTCGCCGAGAAGGACGTCGAGCTTGCGCTTGACATCCGGACGCAGAGACTCGTCATGGGGCTCAAAGGCCAACAAGACGAGCGGCAGAATCCCGCCGACGTGCTGGCGGACCTCTTCTGCACCACCGAGGCTTCGGACGATACCGAGGAAGCTTTGCATAGCGGACCCTACAAGGGTGTCGAGGGGCGCCTGGCGGACCGTTTTGGTGAGAGGGCCAGGGCGATCCTCAAACTCGTTAGCGGAAAGAGCCTCGCAGAGGCCATCCGGACCCTAGAGGAGAGGTTCCCTCTCGGAGGGCCGCTCGACGGGCCCCATCAGCATCGCGACGTCGTCGCGGATGGTTTCGTCACCAAAATCTCTGCATGGTGCGGCAAGATCATTGACGATATCGATCAGGGCTTGCGGGGTTTACCGTCACCGCCGAGGGAGTCTTCGCCAACGGATTCCCTGGCCTCGTCTGCGGCGCAGGAAATAGTCCGCAGAGACGTGTACGTCGTCCCCTATCCCGTCCGCCCCGCTGCGACCTGAAAAGCTAACGAGCCCCGCAGACACGAAGACATACTCTCGCGGTCAAACGTGCACCTCCTAGCAACGCTCTCCCGGCAAAGGCAGCCCTCGCAGGCGACACGCTCATCCCCAGCCTCGACGAACCCGCGGCGAGGCACCACCCGTGAACCGACCGTCAACGGCGGCGGCGGCGGCGACGACGATCACGAAGACGACCGTCGCCGCGAAGCGTCTCTCGCGCCCACTGACATTGAAGGGATCCTTGCGGACCTCCCCAGCACCGCAATCTCCCGCAACAACGCCCAGTCCTCGTCCGCCGAGGCCGCTCGTAAGAGCAGCCGCGGTGCCTCCGCCCCCGTAAACACCCCCTTCGTCCGCTCCAGCTTCACCCCCGTCAACGGCGCCAAACGTGCGCGCACCCAGGTCGACGACGCAGACGACGACTTCGAGCACGATGATCGCGAGCCTGACCCACAACGCCGCGCCAGACTCGACCGCGACCGCCACGACATGCCGCCGCCCCCGTCCCGGCCGCAGAAGCGCGTCCGTCTGCCGTCCACCGCACCGCTTCCGTCGTCCTCCGCAGGGCACGCAGACCGCGCCCTACCTCCCAACGGCTCCGCGCCCCTCCTCCCGCCCGCGTCCTCGTGCGGCTCCCTCCCCAGCAGCACCAACAGCAGCGTCGGCTCGTTCCGCGAGCTCAGCGAGATGAACCGCCGCGCCGCCTCCCGCGGCCCGCAGCAGCAGCGCGTCCCCTGGTCTGAGCGCGACACCCGCCGTCTCATCCGCCTCATCGAGTACCACAACTGCCTATGGGCGCGCATCGCCAAGCGCCAACTCCCCGAGCACCGCCTCGACGACCCGGGGCCCGAGGTCCTGGAGGACTGCATCTTCGACCACCCGCGCGACCAGCAGGCCATCCGCGACAAGGCGCGGAACCTCAAGGTCGATTTGCTAAAGTACGTCCCCCTCCTTCTTTCCATACCCCTTCCCTCCCCGAGATTCCGGCCGAGGTCGTACTGACACATGCCCGCAGAGCCGACCTCAACCTCTACCCCGGCTTCGACGGTGTTGCCCTAGGGAAGAAGGAGCGCCAGGTTCTCATTAGCCGCGGCAAGAACCCGGACCGCACCGAGGCCGACGTCGACGCGAGCGGCAACCCGACTCACACCGAGTATGTTCCCCTCGGCGGCGAGTACGTGCCCCTCGGCGGCGACTAAGAGGGTGACGAAGGGCAAGGAGAAGCGCTCGATGCTTGAGGTGGCTCGCCTGATGGCTTCCAGCCGTCTCTTTGCTCCCTGCCCCCACCCTCTTCGTGCACCTCCTCCGCTTCCCTTTCCTGTTGCGAGGAAGGACGCGGCAGCTCGTCGGAAAAGGTAGTGGGCGACGGGCGTAAGGAGGTGGGGAGGAATTTGACGCATGCATCGGGTGGTAGAATCGAGGATACTGGAGCCTCGCTCGGCTCCGGAGACGTTCTCCCCGAGGGGGGGGGACATGGAATGGAATGGTTGATTCTAGCATCACTCAGAACAAAGCCCAGTATTGTCAAGCATCAAGGTTGTTGTTTCTCTTTTCAAAGTCACAGACTGTTGGCTAGGTTGGTACAGCAACTGGGGGGCACGTCCACTGTGAATGAGAAAATCAAACTAAACGGAATATCCGGTCCCTATAAAAAGGCTGCTTTACAGATATCAACCGGCGTCTCCTGCTTAAATCGCCGTTGCCAATCTCAACCCATCTCTGCTGCATCTCTCAAACGTCCACCCGCTGATACTGAACACAAGACTCTCCCCCGCCGACCTGCTTTTCAACCAAGTTTGGCTGATTCCAGCACCTGCTAGACTCCGTCTACTCTTTCTGTCCTCGGGGTCTCGAAGGTCGTTAAAAAAGAAAAAGAAAAGCAAAGCAAGATAGGAAAGAAAGAAGTCTGGTAGAAATACCACCGCTGCTGACTCGGGAGCGGGGCGACGTATTTTCGGTGTGCCCAAAGTACAGTGACCCTCTCTTTCGTGTACAACAGGCGTCTCGGCGGTCATCATACCAACCCCTAGCGTCCGAGGATATCAAAGGGTTTTCGTCATGCGGGGCCGACCTGAAGATACTGTCGTTTCGCCGTATTTTTTGGGTGCCTTCCAACCGTAGAAGTTCGTAAAAGTATGTGACAGAGGAAAAACGGGGGTATGCTGCGCGGGGCTCTCGAAATCTCAATAACAACGACAACGAAAAGTGCACAAAACATGCGCAAGGCCAGTATCGAAAAGACCGGCGGGTGTAGAAGAGAGAAAGGGTATCTATCAGTGACCCCAAGGTGACCTTGCGGGTCGGTTCGAAAGCAGTCTATCGTCGACGGGCATTCGGGCTGCTCTTAAGTCGCGAAGTACGCCAACCTTCATACCACTGCTCCCTGCTGGCTTCGCGAAGTTCAGCCCTCCACTCGCTGAAGACGGCGTCCTTGAGTCTGGTGAAGTCGCAGTGCTCCTCGTTGTAGGGGTCGGCGAAACCCCAGGGAAATCGTCGCCCCAGGACCTCGGGCTCGTATAGATCGGGGCTGATGATGGAGAGCGGAAGGAACGGCACCTCATCGGCTTTCGTCTCTTGCTTCGCCTTGTGCTGGCGGATGGACGCGGTGGAAAGTCGGTTTGAGCCGGGCGAAGCAGGTGTGCCTTCACGTCCTTGAAGGGGAAGTAAGTCCTCTTCGTCGGAGCCAGCCCGCTCGTCCTCTGAGGCAAGCTCTTCCTCTTCCTCAATTCTGGTCGAGTCGTCATCCTCGTCGAGGCCCAATGCTTCGAGAGGGTCCAGGCCCGACTTCTTGATGGTATCCCAGACAGTCTTCTTGAGTATGTTCATGTGCTTGGTGGTGATTGTGTCGGACTTGGCAATGACAGGAATGACAGTCGTCTTGCCGTGGAGAGTGCGAAGTACTTGCAGATCCAAATCCTCGTCCAGGCCGCCCTGGACGCGATCGAGAGGTGCATACTTGCCGTTGTGGCCATTGGACACAGCAGCACCCTTCCCCGACGCCAGGTTGCGGTCGAGGCGGGCAGGGTCGAGAACCATGAAGACGGCGTGGATGTGGGTATCTTGTACACCAGGCGATCGGATCACCTTCATCTCCTCGGTGAAGGTCTCCTCGAACTTGCTCTCCAGGAAGGCCGACATCTCCCTAAGCTGAAGATCGACTACGTTCTTCTCGAGACCTTCCGAATCCCAGAGCGTAAGGCCGACTCGCTCGCCATCAATCTCAGTCTCGAGGTAGTGAGGGATGAAGTTGCCAGAGGGTGGTGACCTAGGAGCCGTGTCCTCCTCGATCTCGGTCCGGCGAGATCTCTTCTTGGGCGGAAGTGCGAGGGCAGTCTTGAGAAACTCGAGGAAAGAAGTCTTGCCAGCGCCGCGAGTGCCAATGACGAGGATGCTGCGGGCGGGTTAGCAGGCAAGCTAGGGCGACGAGGCACGCGTGGCCATGTCTCACGTCTCTGGGGGGGCGACTCACTTGAACGGGGTGGGATCCTTTCTTCTCCGGACCCTTCTAGGGCTGTTGATGGTGCTGATGGCGCTGCTAGCGTAACTGTATCGGCCGCGGTGGGTCATGCTCTCGGTGCGAGCGTACGGGTCGTAGGCGCTGTCGGGAACCGGAGGCATTGGCGGGATGGATCCCGCAACGCTGCGGCCGGGCTCGATGGACGGCCGGGTGGAATAGGCGGTGCCTATGGTGTGGTCGGGCATGACGGAGCCCTCTTCAGAGCGGAGGTCGGAGGGGATCGAGTTGGAGAGCTGGTCATTGGGGTTGTAGAACTCGGGAAGCTTGGGAGGAATGCGAGAGACGGCAGCGAGGCGCTGACGTTCGAGTTCGCGTTCCTGCTGTTGGCGCTGGGCCTGGGCCTTCTTACCACCCTTTCCCAAGTCGCCGGACTTGGAGCGTCTGAGAAGCATACCGAAGCTAGAGCGACGGGGCTGGCTCATTATCTGGGGTCCTCGGCATAAAATCAAAGTTTCAGAGTTGGAAACCGCGAACGGAATCGTTGAATGGAATGCGCGAGCACGCAACCAGCTGCACCGTCAGTCGTGCTTGTTCTTTTGGTTAGGAGTTTTGCTGGGTATGTTGCGTGCAAGCGGCTACCAAGATGGTGTAGCAAAGAGGATCGAGTAGTTCGCTGTGTCGGGTAGCGAAGCTGCAGCTCGACAATTGACGTGTCCGGGAGAGAATACGCTCGGTATTGCTTCGTTTTTTTTTGTGACGCTCGTGCTCGATACAAGTGGAAGGGATTGAGATTTCCTTGGGAAGGAGTGCAAAAGGGGGGGCGATGACCGAACAAGGCAATGGAGGGAAAAAGAGCGTCTAGTACCTGGATCGAGGTCAGCTTCCAAGTGACGACAAATTGGGCCGGACGCAATTGCCAACCACGCAGACGCCCTCCTTTCTCTTAGCCAACCGCAGGAAGTGAAAGCGGGAGGTGCAGGGAGTTGCAGCGGGTGTCTCTGGGCGGCGTCTGCGAAACGAGACGTGGCAGGGAAATGACAGCGAGAGGCGTTTAGGGGTGGGAGGGAAGCCAATGCCAGCCAAGACAAACCAGGGAAAGGGGAAAGATGGAGCAGGAACCAATGCGCAAGTCAAGGCAGCTCCAAAGTCGAGCTTCAGGGGGCGTGGGTGTTCCTAGTGCCCTTCTTCCTCCCCGTGTGGCTGGATTGCGATGCACGACCTTCGTTTAGGCAGGAGATCTGCCGTCAAGGAAGGGCGTGAAGGAGGGGCGGGTTCGCAGCAACAATAAAGCACAGAAGGAGGGTGGTGAGGAGACGGGCGCGAGATTATCGCCGTGATGCGTACTTACCCAAGAAAACAAGTGCCGGGTTGATGAAGAAGGCAGGCTAGGCTAGTGTGGATGCGAAGTCGCTATCGAGAGGCTATAGAAGCAATGGGCGTGAAAGCAGGCAGATGCAAGTGGTTCGGTCCAAGAAGCATAAGCCAGACGTCAGACGAATGAATGGGCGAGGAGAACGAGTGTTTTCCGCTCGAGCGATGAATGAGGAAGATCGGATGAAAGATGGATGGCCGCGTGGGGAGGGTCGTGTGTGGGTTGGGTTTGCGCGCGCGCGCGTGCAAGTGTGAGATGCCCGGGTAGCTCGCACGATGCCGAGGGATGGACAGAGAGTTTGGGCTGGTTGTCGACGAGGGGGACCGCGTTGGATAAGTACCTTGGTAAGGAAAGGAAATAGGCGGGTGAGGGAAGGGAAACGAGCAGATACCTAGGCATGCCAGAGGCCAGGCGGGTCGTGGGATAGGAAAAGAAACAAGGAGGAGTCTCCTTGGTTCACAAATGGCAAATGGAAGGAAGAGGGTTGGGAGACAGTCGCCAGATGCATGCGCAGTCGAGACCCTCCTGGACCTGGACCGGGGGGAATCGAAGAGCGACTGGGAGTGGAATATGACGGATGGCCCAATGCAGCCGCGCGATGGGCGATAAGTGGGCAGGGCGAGGGGAAGCGGGCGGATTGGATGGGGCGCCACGACCAGTGCAATTATGCCAGTGGAGGTGCACTACATACATATACATGCGCAGTATACCAAGTACACGTGTAAGTAGGTAGGTAGGTATGTAGGCAACCTACCTACCTACAGCCCCCAGAGATGGAAACGGAGGGCCAGAATGAGGTCGGTGCCTTTGGTTACTATCTGTACGAGGTAAACCAAGATTACGTAGTTGGAAAAATTGCCAATTGATTGCATCGACAGCCGTTTGTTGCTTACTTGGCCTGTCGGGTTTCTTTTATTGAGGCATGACAATGACAACGGCATGTGAGGTGGTGTTACGGGAACGGAAAAACAGCAGCAGGGCAACTGGCTGATTACCTAGGTAGGTAGGTAGGTAGGTAGGTAGGGGAAGACGGTACGGACACAGGTAGCGAAGGTTCCCCATACTGGATCCAATGTCCCGTCCAATTTGCGCCGACGATACACGCCTGCCTGCCTCTCGGTCGGGATGTGCTCTGCTCTCTGAAGCAACACCAATCCGACTCTTTCATTGGCCAGCGTCGGGAAAGTAGTCCGCACGCAAGCACAAGCACCCTGCAAGTGGTGCAATTCCCCCGACGCAGGTACAGACGGGGCAGCGCCAAACTGGGTCGAGGCCGATGTACCTACCTGTTCTCCATCAGCCTTTGGGTACGGACCGCACGGTACTACGTAGTTTACCTACTACCCTTACAGGTTACGTACCTATGTAGCTAGGTCGTGTAATGGATCACGGACCAAGGAGAGAGCCCCCCCCCCTAAAACCTCTCCGCATTGCGTGTAACGCCCCCTTCTCCTTTCCCAGAGGACCCTCCTGTGAGAGCCAAACTAGTAACGCAATCGGGGGTCAGGGTCGGTGACAGTGACTCCCCCCCCCCAAAAAGGCTTGGTCTCACCACGAGCCACTCACTACGAGTCACGCCCCTCTCCCAGAAACACCGTTTGAACTCTGCTGTCGGGCTGGCCTGGACGCCTTGACACAGAACTAGTCGAGCCGCTACTACGACGTATGGCACGACTTTGGACCGACATAGACCATTGTCTGCTAGTCGGAGCCCAATAATACGCTACGCTAGATGACATGGCGACGGGTATCCGTGTAACACCGTCCAGCAAATGCGGAATGCGATGCGATGCGAAGCCTTCGTGTTCAACCGGACGTGTCCCCCGGGGCCGTATGGCGGTGACCACAGCCCTCGGAATAGGTGATTTATCGGACGACGGCCAACACATGAGACGGGGTCGTGTCGGGGCCAGCACATGGAGGGACGGTCCGTCTGATGGTGAGGATGAGGGTGATGATGATGATGATGACTTTTCCACCCCGTCCTCTCATCTCAGACTGACGGTCGGAACCGTGTCGCTCCCAAACATGACTTGCTGCAGCTGGGCAATCTTTCCCTGGCAAAGAAGAAAAGAGAGATTTCCGGGTGCGCATCTCGGATGCAGATACCTAGGGCCCCCAAGATTGCACCCAGTCTTGCAGTCCCCTTGCCTACCTTAGGTACCTACCTACCTATCCAAACTTCCCCCTTTAGCCTTGAGGTGATGATGAACGACTGGCTAACTGAGGAGAGGTCCCTCTTTCCGCTGAGAGCGTCGAATCTTCCTTACCAGTCGCCTAGTCGATTCTCAATGTAGGTACACTACCTACCTATCCTACCTACTCATCTACCTATCTATGCCTGCCTGCCTGCCTGCCTGCCTGCCTGCCTGCCTGCCTGTCTAGGCTGCAGGGCACGGATGCTATCGTCTTGTCTCCCGAATGCCCACGGGAAAGGTTGCAGGAGGCTGGCATTCCCAGGCTTGCAGTGCAGTCATGGCCATCATCCATCCCATCACGACACCACCCAGACTGCCGCTCTGCTCATTGTCACTCACGGTCCTTCGGATTGTCAACAAGCCTCGCTCACAGCCTCCCTCTCCTCGGCTCGTCCCCGTCATCTCTCACTTGGAAACCGTGACATAATCTCGCCCGCCTCCCCATCCGCCCTTCGTCGGCTCCCATTGCTCGTGGACTGTGGATCGCCGACGCCGAAATAGCCCTTGTTTCACATTGACCACGCCTTTCTTTCATGCCCTCTCGTCCTTCCAAATTGTCCGAGATCGATCGTCGCTCCAAATTTTACATTGTCCTAGTCTGTTGAACAATGCATGCACACAACCTCGGTTCAGGGCCCCCCTAGACCCCCCCCCTTGTTGTTGCCCACTTCTCTCATTTCCCGCGTGGGACCTACTGTTGGTAGCATTTGACTACTCCGTACCATCCATCCACACCCAGTGCTTCGCCGTGTCCCATGAGCCGTGAGACGAGCCATTGGGGGGGAGGGAAGGGGCCTCTTCTCAAGTGGCGCCGAACCGATTGTTCTCCATCATTACACCCCCCGTCACGCTCTATTCGCTAATCATCTTCACACAGCCCCAAGCTTAACCCGACTTCATGCAGGTCCAAGACATGCACGGAAAGTGCATATCGAGATCCCACCCCTTCTTTCTCTCCCTCTCTCCCCCTCCGTTATGTAACTTCCACGGACTGGTTATATGTTCACGGCCTGCCAACCCTGTCATCTCATTCGCCCAGATCTAAAAAGCCTGCTCGTCCAGGCGGCGCCCTCCTCGGCCCGCTGTCATGTAAGATCGACTCGAGGTTGGGCTACAAAGGCCTGGCCAGAGACGCCATGTCCCGTTACTGTGCCCACGTGGAATCCACGGACCAGCTACCCAGGGCTTGGCTGCGCCAACCTCTGCAACCACTGGCGAGTAACACGACCACCCAATGTCTCGAGGCACCGCAAGCTAGCCAACCAGCAGGGCCGTGGCGATCGCAGTGGACGTGCTGGCTCAGCTCAGCCTTACACAGATGAGCCCGCCGACGGTGTCGAGCAAGGTACGGCCGGCGCCCACGAACAGCACCTGCCTGTCTTGCTTTTGCCAGTGTGAAGTTGCCCAATATGCAGAATGTTCCAGGAGCCTCCCCTACTGTGAAGCCTCGTCGCCGCAGGACTCTCACTCTCGCGTCTGTAATTCAGTCTCATTTCATGTCGACGCCGTATTGCATGATTGTCTATCATTCCTTGAGGCCGGACTGCGGCTCCTCTCCTCCGTCTATACTTTCAGCACTGTCGGAGGTGTTGGTTTGTCAATCCTACGTTGTGGGGGCCATAGCTGCCTACCTCTATCATATCAGCGGCTGCTATACTCCCGGCGGAATGCGAAGGCTTCCCCCCCCCTTGAAGACTGCCACCCGGGGCGGTTTCAAGACGGATCGCGTGGGGTTCTCGTTTTGCATCCTTCCAGACGAGTTCTTCTCTCGGGAGGACCGGCAAGCAACGTGTCCATGGACTGGATTCATTGATTCACTTTGTTTTTGTTTTTTTGGGGCATCCGCGCCTCTCGAAATCTTTCCTGTCTATCTCTCGCGACTAGGGATGCCCAGTGTCTCGGAGAGTGCGATCCCGGCACATCCCAAGAGCGGAGGGTGGGCTCGCCTGCTCCGAGATGTTGGTATCCATTCTCTTGCGGCTATCCCCAGGACCCCTAGATAGGGATCGAGGAGCCCCGCTGAGCCACAGACGTATGACGTATGCTCCTGCGAAGATGTGAAGAAAGCCCTGGTCCACCAGGGGCGGATCGTGTATCCGTCGCCAGCCGGACGGACCGGAGAGTAAGCGTGGTGACGCAGGCAGGCGAGTCAGGAACGTATCCCAACTCCGTTCCGCGCCGCTTTCACCGCTGGGCGCTTCTCCAGTTCCAGTAGGCGAGACATCTCGTCTTCGTTCGTCTGCCGTGGCTGAGGTTGTGCCCGGAGAGCGGGACCATGAGCCCACACGGCAACGACGACGCCGTCGTCGTCCAGCCTTGTCCGACGAGCTCCTTTATCCACGGTAGCCCATGTCGCGCCGTAGCGCCCAGGACCTTCATGGACATAAGATTGCAAGATATAGTAATGGACTAGAAGCGATTTCGGTGGTTTCATGTGTGGCGGCAGTGTGTCGGCCTCAACGACCCGTTGTGGTTCCGAGGGCCGGGTGCGCAATGGGCAACGGCGTCGGGGCGAGAGTTCGCTGATGCTCTCCTGCCTAGGATCGGTTGTGTGTGTGTGTGTGTTTGTGTGTGTGTTCGATTCCTTTACCGCCCCTCGCGTAGAACATCCCCGTATGTAAATGCGTGGTTAGAGAAACGAAAAACGGCGGAGCACTCGTGGAAACGTGCATCGTCTGCTGTATGTCGTTCGAGCTGCCCCCTCCCCCCGGGGTGATACTTCTCCATGCTCCTGTCGTGTATAACTCCAAAGCGGGAGTGGCCGAAAAGGCCAAGCATGTACAATCCTCGTTGACGGAGACCTTGCTCCTCGGCCCTTACTGATACCCATCCGACGGCGTGGTCGAGCGTAGGCTGTCCGGTGCCAGAACGAACAATCTATCACAATCCGCCACGGAAGCTTTGCAGGTTGGGAAGATTAAGGAGCAGACTCGGGCGTGAAAACTTGTCTCTCAGTGTCCGCCAAGGGGCCATGGATGATCCGGTTCTACAGACTACGCTGGTTTCCTAAGAAGCGGCTCCGGGGGTCTTGCCGAAGTAAACTGCATGTCCTCTCCAGCGGTTTCTTGCTGATGATATATACTATTCATATCGGTCGCAACTGTAATCTAAGGACATGTAAAGGTAGAGGTAGAATATAGTTTTGAGGTGTCCACCATAGCCTGCCATTATCCTGGGAGGTGAAGGGTACGTCGCCCGGGGTGGAGGGGATAACTTCGCACATGGTTGGGACCTCGTCGAAGCTGACAACCGGGTCGGCCCGAGGGCAGTCAGGCCTGTAATGGTAGCCACCTGGCGTTAGCCCCTAAGCCATCTTTGTTATTGCTCCTTGAATGCCCCAGGCATCGTGCATCGTGATGCGCGGTTAGAGGCGAGGACGGGAAGAAGTGTGTCTCGGCCGAAAATGACCACCACCTGCTCCATACGGCAAGAAACTCGGACCGAACGTGGCTTTTCTTGATAGAAGGAATACAACAGAATAACAGATGAGTGGTATCTTTCCTGTATCGAAACGACGTCTAAAGGACTCTCGCGGCGAGTCTCTAAAACCGCAAAACCGTCAAATGCAAACCTGACCGCGGGCTACCGCAATTCTATAAGAGACACTTCCACTCCCCCCCCCCTCCCTCTAGGAACGTCTATCCCTCAAACACATCATGCTGCAGCTCGACGCCAAAGTCCTGCGCCATGACCTTCATCCTCTTCTCCATCTCGTCCTCCATGCCGCCCCCGAGGCCGAGCCACTGCCTGATCTTGAAGAAGTAAAAGGCCACGTCCGTCAGGGCCAGCACGCCCTTGAACAGCAGGTGCCGCCACGCGTTGCCCGCGCGCTGCGCCCACGGCAGGTTCGGGTCCTGGAACAGGCTGCGGCTCGCCCACTCGCCCATCATCTTGACGCGGTTGACGGGGCTGCCGAAGTACTGGTTGTTGCCCTGCACGATGCGCATGTTGCGGCCGATGAAGACGAGCTCCTTGGGCCACTTCTCCTCGTCCGCCAGCATCTCCCGGATGCCCTGCTTCATCTGCTGCTGCATCTCGTATTGCCGCTCGGCGGGCGTCTTGCCCTCGAGCTCCTTCAACAGCCGGTTGCCCGTCCGCTCGTCGCCGCCCTCGTACGGCCGCAGCAGCGTCGCGCTCGCAAAGAGGTCCGCCGCCTTGATGCCCCACTCGCCGGTGATGCGCTCGATCGTCTTGTTGTCGAACGTCATGAGAGCCTTCCAGAACACGCCGTACTGGTGCCGGAACTCGTCCGACATGTACACGTACAGCCCGTGGTCGATGAGGACGAGCTCCGCGCGCCCGTTGGGCAGCCGCCGGATGAAGATGTTGCCCGGGTGCGGGTCGCAGTGCACCACCCCCCACTTGAAGATCTGCGCCGCGAAGAGGTCGATCATGGTCGTCATGACCTCCTTGCTCGACAGGCCCAGGCCGCCGCGCCCGCGCACGCCTTTCCACTCGGCGCGTTCCGGCTTGATCTGCTCGGCGTGGGGCCGCTCGCGGAGCTCGCGGCGGACGGCGGCCAGGTCGGGCGGCTGGAGCTGCGCGCCCTTGACGCCGGGGGACCCCTTGCCGTAGCCGCCCATCCACCGCCCGTTGATGCCCTGCTTGTCCCGCAGCCGGACGCCCTCGATCCACTCCGTCACCATGACGCGCTTCGTCGACAGCTCCGCGTACACCTTGGGCACGTAGACCCTGCCGCGCAGGCTTTTCTCCGATCGTATGAGCTCGCGCATCGTCTCCGAGTTCTTGGCTTCATTGAGGAAGTCCGTCTCGAGCTCGAGCCGCTCCGTGATAAAGGGCACGAGGCTGTACAACGGCAGGTCGAACCACTTGCTGTAGATCCAGGTGACCGTCTTGAAGGCCCACAGGTCCCAGCTGATTTGCTTGGCAATCTCCCGCTTCTGGATCTTGATGGCCACCTCGCGGCCGTCGGCGAGCCGCGCCCAGTGCACCTGCGCGACGCTGGCGCTCGCCCTCGCGCGCCTCTCCATGACGCCCTTGCCCTCCTCCCCGCGGAAGCTGACGCCGAACACCTCCTCGACGCTCTTGCCGCCAAAGTCCTCGCGGATGACGGCCTCGGCGTCGGACCAGTCGTCCTGCGGCGCGTCGTCAAACATGCGCGCAAACATCTTCTGGAACTCGGGCGGCAGCAAGGCGCTCTGCATGGCGATGGCCTGGCCGATCTTGAGGTACAGCCCGCCGTTGTGCCGCAGCAGCTCTGACAGACGCTCGGCGTTGCGGCGATGCAGGTCCTGGACGGAGCCGCCGGTCAGCGGCTGCGGGCGGAAATTGAGCTTGTAGTCGAGGGCGACCAGGAGGCCCATGCCAAACGTGCGGAGGGTGCGGCCGAACCCGGAGGCGTAGACCTGGCGGTCGAAAAGGTAGATGGAGCCGCCGACGGCTGAGAGGATGAGGAGCCGGCGCAGCCATTTGCGCCCTCGGGGATATGTGCGTGCCTTGCGCGGTGCGCCGAGCGAGGCGGGCGAGGGGGGGACGAGGGCTTGACGGCGCCTGCTCGTGCGTATGTTCGCGGTTCGTGTGTAGGAGAGGAATCGCGGCGGCGTTGTCTTCGTCGTCGTCGTCGTCGGCGGTATCGTCGTCGTCGAAGTACGGAGCGAATGGCGCCCCGCGATGGCGGCGGCGGAGGAGGCAGAGAGGAGACGTCTCTGCGCCGGTGCCCTCGCGGAAAGGCCAGCTATGGTTTGACGTAACATAGCTGGTTACGGATGGTATGCAGAGGGGAAATGAAGCAGAAAGCGAACCATCACCCTCGTTTCGGTTGGAACGAATGGAAGCCGAAGGAGGAGGAAAAAGTTGTCAGCCCGAAGTCGGCACGTACACGCCGGATGCGCCGCTGGTTCCAACAGGATCAATGACGAAGGTCGAGAGCCGCGCCATGGGCCGTGGGCGAATCATGAAACGCACCGAGAAGGTCCGCTCCAATCTGCTTATCGCCGGCCCCACTTCGACCTTTTTTTCGGCACCGGTTGCAGGTGCCTACCTCGGCCCTCCCGCGATGGGCGACGACGTTGTAATTCGGTGCGGGATCGGCACGAGTTGGCTATTCTGGTAGGCAGCTCGGTATTCTCTTTATAATGATGTTGACGGACGATGTGTGGAACAGGAAAGTGATGCTAGCAACCTCTCCAAGACGCCTCGACTGTCATCACGAGCCCTGGTGTCTGTCCTGTCTGGCTGTGCCAGGACGCCTTTTCCGCATCGTTGACCAGTTCGACCTTTAATCCCGCCCAACAACCACCGGGCCACTCCCGTTACCCCCTTGCTCAGTGCTGTGATGTTTCTGAATAAAACCCGATAGAAATACTAGATTAGCCGTATCAGTTCACCGGGTATTTGGGGCTGTCGGGTCGATATCGGATGTTTGCTCAATCCCGAGACCAGCCGGATCGTACGCAGGTCCGAGTCCATCGTCTTCCCGCCAAAACACCCAATATTACGACGAAGCAATTACTCGCCGGGGTGCCCCAAATAGTGACAGCTACCTACACTACAAAAATGGTGCTGTGGGGCGTAGAAGCAGTCGGCCAGACAAATGCCAGACGAATGCCAGCAGACGATCCTTGGGGATCGCCATTCATCGTCAGTTCATCCAGAACCCTGAGGGAGCATCACACATCAACCGCCTCCGCCCCCTGATCGGCCCTGTAACCTCAATGACCTCAGCCACGTTTTCATAACTGGCGACGGCTCTGTCCCGGGATCCAGAGGTTCGCTGACAGGGCCAATCAGCCCTCAGTCTGAAGTGCTTGTTCTGAGGCATGAGGGATCGACTTGGTCCGGTGCCTCAGATCAAGTGAAACAAAACTGAGATTGGAGGTCAAAATTGCCTAAGAACGACGACCAGTCGAGCTCGTGCAGCCTGCCGTACCGTGAACCAAGGAACCCGAAGAATAAGGAATTAAGGGTTTGAACCAGCCTAGCCCCCTCACGCAGCTTAGCGACGGCCGTTCCCGCCACTTTCTCAATGCGCGCCATAGGTACTGGCGTACCTTCATCTGAATTCCTCATAGGAGGGCGCTTGCTTGTCGGGCGAATCGTGGGGGAGTTGCATACTCAATACCACCAAGGAATGCGTTCTGTGGCCCCCTCCCCAAAAGCAAGAACCTTGCAGCGATTCGCCATGACGCATGTATCGGCAGGTTTGACGTTTTCGTTTGGGCTGGAGGGGGGTTCGGTACGGAACGAATGCATCCATGAACCTATTATTCCTGCGCGCCGATTACATACCTACTCAAAGCTGTCCATGTCCAACAGGACTGTACTGTGTAAGCAACCACACTAATGCCCGGCAGGCTGGACGGCATTCCACGATAGACGAGGCTTCTTTGGATGCCGACAGTGTAGGCAACCGTATATGCCGCTGCCCAGCAGTGAGAGGTTTGGGTGAGGGAACAGAAGTCGATACATGCATGGTATTCCAGGGTTGGTTTCAATTGGACTGGTAGGCTACACACTCACCTGCTGGTGCCACGCGTCAACGCGAGTCGACTGCCGCGCGAGAGTCATACACCAGCAGGGCATGTCTCAAACACTGAACACGGACAGCTCCAGCTGTCTGTTTGCCATGCGGCCAGCCAATTCCCCAGAAAACGTCAAGGAGAGATGGCAACCTTGACAAGGTACTCGGCATCAGATCTCGTTGCGGCCCTTGGCTGCCACTGACTTTGCTTGGCGCCGTTTGGTCGTTCGAGGAAAACCACCAGGCATCATGTACGGGGCAGAGACAACAACCTGCCGAAGCACAGCCAAGCAGCCCTAAAACTTATGAGACACACACCTCAAGAAGGCGGTATAGTCGAGGCCAAGCGCAGTACTGCTCCCCAGCGGCGTGGTAGCTGTCGCACTTGGTCTTTTGTCGTGACGGGTTATACGGCGGATGGGCGACGTCGACCGAAGCCGGCGGTCTACCGGACTGGACTGGACTGGACTAGACTAGACTGTCGGGGATGGATTGGCATGGAAGCCAGAAAGAGGGACACGCATGGCGAACAACCTTGGTGTTAGCTTCAGAATCCGAGACGGCGAAGCGCCGTGTCGCAAAGTTGGGTGTATAGACATAAGGTCCAGATGCGTCAGATTCTCCCGTCTGGATGAGGCCCCCACACACAAAGGCGGAAGCCACAGGGCTTCCCATTGGGTTTCCCGGCGAGACGAGCCCCGGAAGGAAACGAAGGGCTCAAACTTACGTCCAGGTCTCTGATGAGAGTTTCGCTCCTCCGCTGTGGCTCTTTTGGCTTGCAGAGCTGTGCACGGATACTAGCAGACTACTACTGCTACTACTACTACTAATACTACACTACTGGTAGGTAAGGTAAAGTATGGTAGAGCACGTGGCACGGCTTCGGCAGGTTGGATTCCTGAAATAGCGAAATGATCCAGGATAGCGTTGGCATGCGTTGTTGCCGCCAACGGGATCTAAATAGTTTCCCTGCTGTAAGCGGGGCCGTTCCGGTTTCGACCCAGAGTGTGGCCATCCATACATCTACATTGTACTCCGTACATCGTTGCCGTTTGACATTCGGCACTGCGGGTCGTACCTTTCTGTTCCGACACGCCTGGAGGGGGGTTCTTCCGCAGACGAGGGCAGTCAAGCGAAGGACGCTTATCAAGGGACAGCCAGGCGACGCAGCCGAATCGTGTGGCATTCAGCAACCTTCTTCACACCGATCGAAAGCCCAACGTGGACACCTTCAAGTGGACCCGACCACTCTCAGAGCATGGAGCGATCAGCAGCGGCGGTAAATGAGCCTCCTGTACGGATACCTGCAACGTAGTCGGTCCACGGTTCTCACGTTTGTAGCAATGGTTGATTGCGACTCGACGGTGAGCGGGTGCATGTCTGTAATTGCAGTGTAGGAATGCATGCGACCGACAACGGCGTTGCGCACACTAATACTACTACTATAACCTAGGCAGTATGCACCAGACCCCTGGAATCCACGCACCCACAGAGGTCCCACCTGCTCCAGACCGACAAGGGGCCGTTGATTCACAATTTCATGCCTTTGCAACAATGGTTCGAGCGATGAATCTGGATGAGTCGTGACAAATCTTCTGCCCTTTCAGAAGCCCCATGGAGCGGCCAGCGTGGGGAGTACGGTACGGCGATGGGTTAGAAACTCGCCGACGAGACTCGCAGTATTTACCTCCGCAATCCAGAGAACACAATATGCTGGCTGGCTTACCGGATAGGTGCAAAACCTCGAAGCAGACAGACGATTGGTGGACCGGCATGCCCCGCAGGGGTCCTGTCGGGGGTGGGGGGGGGGGGGTTGACATTGCACATTGTACACTGCCTGCCTACTAACCTTGGGCACTTGGATAGAGAACGAGAAAGGGCACACCCTCTTCCATCGCGAACCTCACTCATCCAGCTGAGCTTTGACGGATCAGGACCAACAGGTTCGTGGGCGCTGCATTGCGACCTGCTCGATCGAGATAAGCTCGCTGTGCCGGCGTCGACGTGTGCGATGATACCCATGGCCTACACGTATATAGGTCTCTGAATACAGACAAGCAAAATATATATATGTCTGTCTGGTGGGACGCGAACGGTGCGCGCGGCGTGAAATACCGGGTGCGAAGTGATAAGCAGGGCCCGCCATAAAAGCACGCGATTGCGCGCTTTCGGTTTTTGCAGATGAGCGGGCCTACGTACCATTACTAGTGTATGTACTAAGTCCGCACACTGGACGAAGATGGGGCCTGGTTGGGCGTGGACGAGTCTTATCCTTCTCCATCCATCGTCGAGGTGATATCAGCCGTGACTCGGGAAATTAAGGACGCCAATGGTCGACCGACGTCTTTTTGGTCGGTTGGTCCCTGCTCTGCTGGGTTCATGCCGCAACGCCACTTTGCCGTTATGTCCTGTGTCCTCGGTGGTATTCGATGTCCTGTCGATAACGAGCCGGGCGAGAACAAGGGCATTGTGCTGGACGGGCGCGCGGAGAAGATGTCCTTTTGGGAATGCCACGCGGTCGATAGCGGCATGTCTCAAGAGAGGATTCCTACCTAGGCACCAAAGGTTAGGTACACTAACCTAGGTACCAGTGTTGTCAAACCTATCTATACCTAGTGCAGGTACCCAGACCAGAAACAGGACATGTTTTGGAGGAGCCAAAGATACTTCACGTCGACGCCGAGGTCTGCGCGTATCTCAGGTACCTGCCGGCTAGGGTGTCATGTCGTCGGCGAATGAATTGACGCCCACCGATCATACTGCAGGACAGTGACAGACACCTGTGATGCACGTCGGCGGCGGAGAACAGAATTCTTGATTATCCAGAGCTTGATCTGAGGCGCTGCAGAAGGTCGGCCACCCGCCGCTCGGGCAGTTGCTGGTCCAGGCACGCCCACTTCTGTTTCTACCCTCGTACGGAGACCCCAATGCTTGTCTTGTCACTCTCACCTAGTGTAGTGTCTGGCCTCGCTTCTCTCTCTTTCTGCCAATCTGCTTTGCCTCGTGCCTGCCAATTGCCCGCCAGTGTTGGTGGGCTGTGTACACTTACTTGTGTTTGGCCGTTAAGTATCCGTACCCGGTTTTCTCGTGCCCGCACCAAACCAGGACGTCCCAGGTGGAGCCCCATGGTACCTACCTACCTATATCGATAAAATGTATACAATATGTATAGCACTGCGTGGTTTAGGTACGCTACTACCCAAGGTACGTACGCACCTACATAATCATAGCCATGTACATATTACCTACACATGTCCGATACTCGCCTATGGGGCATCTGTCATCGACGAGGCACAATTGCTCCGGGCCCAAGTCAGTCTCGCAGACGAGCCATCATTTCCACGCAACTGCCGCACGGAAACCTGCCCAAGTGAAGACTTAGCCACAAGAACGAGCACCGCAAGATACCTATGCAGGTAGCTGAGAAGCCCGCTGGCATTACATTCCATAGTAGCGCCCCAGCCACAACCAGCTACGCAACGTCTCTGTCTCTCTTGATCTCTCGCCTCACCCTTTCCCCTACTTGCTCACACACCCCTGTTCCCGATCCCCCCTCGTCGGCCTGTCTGTGGCCCAAAACTGTACACCCTCGCTGCATCCACGGCTAGTGACCCACCTTTTCTTCCTCGCTCCCTCCACACAAGTCGTCCACTCTCCCACTCTACTACCCACATCGTCTTCCTCCCCAGATTGTGCGTACCTTTGTCTCCTTCTCCCTCTTCCTTTCTCCAGGTGGACACGAGGGCACTCGATCGCACTTCACTTCGCACAACCTCAACCTCAACCTCATTCTCGGCTTCGACTTTCGATGCACCCTGCGCTCACAGGCCACGACCGAATTTACTCCCCGCCCATCATTTTTACTTCGTCCTGTTCGATTTGATTAGTAGCCTCGACCAGAATCGCCAGCAACTTTGCGACATTGTTTCAGGCCAACAACGAACACCTGCCAGTACTCACATCCCCGAACAGCACTTGGGAACAAAGGAGCAGAATAAAACGGCACTGGGAACAATAAAGAGGGACAGGAACCAAATCGCCCCGATTGCCATTCTTCGACACTGTCTTTTATGTCACTATTTTAACCATCTCGACTTCTCCCGCCGAACAGACGATGCCGCGCGACGCTTCCATATTGAATTAGCCAACTCTCGACTTTCTCGCGACGACACCCAATCTCTTCGGGCGCAGCCCACACGCTCCTTGCCGCGTCTTGACGACGCCGGCTTCCCGTATTCCTCCTTTGAAGCAGGTTTCCTCGACGACGAACCGCCATCATGTTGCGACCGGCGACCCCCATGTCGGTCCTGCTCTTTGCGGCCTTCGCCCTGCTCCTGCTTTCTACCTTGTCCACACCCATCATCAAGCCAATCCCACTTGGCAGCTTCAAGGGTGCCAACTTTGGAGTCTTCGGTGTCTGCAAGGCCAATGGCAAATGCGAAGGCCCCGAGATTGGCTATGACACCAGTAAGTCGACCGTCGTGGCTCTCTGTTCAACCCTGTTGATGACCGCAAACTCACACCTTATCCAGCCAAAGTATTTGCGGCTGCAGATAGCAGGGGCGCCTTCGATCTCCCAGACTCGGCCCGAAACACGCTCTCGGCCATTCTGATCGTTCACCCCATCGCTACCCTTACGACGCTCATCATGTTCATCATGGGAGCCGTTGCTCACCTCCACTCACCCTCTCACTCGGCGAGGTACCTACTTGCCGTCTTCATCTTCTCCTTCATTGACTTTCTCATCTGTCTCCTCGCCTTCCTGGTCGATGTCCTCTTGTTCGTCCCTCACATGGCCTGGGGCTCATACATTGTCCTTGCCGCCACGATTCTTGTTGGAATGAGTGCGCTCGTGGCCTGCGCCATGCGTCGTATGCTGGTCAGCAGAAAAGCCAGGAAGAAGCGGATCGCAGAGAATGCCGAAATGAGCGGCGAGAACTACTACAACCGGGAGGCTCAATCCAAACCCGCTGTTCCTGTCAGCCCGCAGCCGACCATGCCCGTTGTAAGCGGTGGAAATGGCATGGACAAGATGCCTGCCTATGCCTCATTCGAATCCCAGAAGGACGACCAGGTTAGCGATGAACGCATTCCCCTGACGTCCAGGAGCCCCGTCAATGGCTTCCAAGGTGCTGCGATTGCGATGGACGCCCCCCCCTCACGATCCGGATCTATTCCGCCTCACCAGAGAGATCCGTATGGGAACCCAATGCCGCCACAAGATGGCTTCGGTCCCAGGAGAGGGCCTTCCCAAGAGCGCATGAGAGGTAGAGGCGGCCCGCCGCCTGGCGGGTTCAGAGGACGCGGCGGCGGTGGTGGCTACGGCAGGGGTGGGTACAACAACTACGGACCGCCACCGCCAGGAAGAGGCGGTTATGGCCCTCCGGGACGAGGAGGCTACGGTGGCCCCCCTCCTGGTGGTCGAGGTGGATACGGACCGCCACCCCGTGGCGGATATGGCCCGAATGGCATGCGAGGCGGACGGCCGCCTCCGCCGGGTTACCAACCTGGCCCCGGTGGGCCTGGACCCTACGACCGCGGACCAAGTCCGGGCAACGGCTACGGTGGCCCCCCTCCCGGTGGGCCTGGGCCCTATGACCGCAGACCAAGTCCGGGCAACGGCTATGGTGGTCCTCCTCCCGGTGGCCCGTACGCGCGTCGCTCCATGGACATGGCTCCGGGATATATTAGTGCAAACAACAGCACGAATCCTTCCCTCCCGTCCATCCCTCAGCAGCAAAGCTATGAGGCGTACAATCCGGAGCGTACGAGCCTGCCGCGAGCCGAGTCTCCCCCACCTCTCCCCGGCGATGTACCGCCCCTAATGGCCGGTCAAGCAGTTGAGATGAACGCAGTGACGGGAAACCCGTCTCACGCACCGACAGGTTTTGGCCAGTTCCGAGACAGTGACGCTGATATCGCGGGCATGGTTGGACTACAGCAGCAGAATGGTGGAAACAGAGCCCTGCCTCAGAGACATGAAACATACATGACTGAGGGGAGCAGGTACAGCACAGACGAGTGAGCCCACTAGATTTCCGCGCATGTTATCTGTACTAATCCGGAACCCATAGGGCATACGTACCCCCACGTCAAGCTTGGAACCAAAATGGTAACCCATCGCGCACGGCGTCCCCGCTGCAACGTTCCGAGCTACCTGCCCGTAGCTCACCTGCGCCGGCGCCGGCGGGCAGCGACTACTATGAAGACGTCGATCCGCGCTTTGCGGACGCTCCCTCTTCAGCCCCAGCTTCCAGAGCAGGCGCCCCGCCGGCCCTTCAGGTACCTCTACCCGCGCCCAACATGTATGATGACGCTCATGCCGATGCCGGTGCACGTAGCCCGGGCGCCGAGTCTGACCTGTCCAACTTCACCTCGATATCTCAAAGAGGGATAAACCCAAGGTGGCACCCCGCTCCTCCGATACCTGGGTTTCATCAGCAGATGCCGCCACGTCGGCCGGTTCAACAACGACGGCAAGACATGCTGTTGAACAACAACCCCGACTTCGAACTACCCGGTAGCCGCCTCGGGCCCCCATCCCGAATGGGAGGCAACGGCATGATACCCGGCAGTGCTTATCCGCCGGGCCTCTAATTACTACAAATTCATCTCTTTTCACTCAGCCATAATCGGGCCCTTTCTCATCAGTTGAGTCAACTCGTCGCATGTATACACCAGTCAGGGGGTTTGCCTGGCATTTCATTTCTTGACTCTCCTTCAGCAACGCGAGCCGCCATTTCGAGTCAGCGCAGGCTCATGATGTTTACATGCTCATGTCCTTCAGCCGATACCCCGAGCAACATTCGATTATGTCCCGCCCAGTACATACATCGGACTCGTCGATTCACTCAAAATGAGTACTTCTCTTCTGACACGAGCTTCTTTGCATCTAAAGCGGTGGATACAGCGGAGTTTTCCTTTTGGCATTCCCCAAAATTTCTCTTAAAAATCGTTTACTTCAAACGTAAGGACAACTTGGTCCTTTTTTTTCTTCTTTTTTCTCTCATGATGTGGCCAGAGGTTATGTTGTTGGGGCTCTCTCGACCTTATTGTTTACGAGAGCAGTAAGCTCACTGATTACCCCC